AGTACGTCTCTCTTTTTCCTGTCCTCATGTACCACCAACGCATAACGCAGAGGTGCGTCTCCTGTGTTCCATGTTGACATTCCGGCACAGACTCGACTGCGTGGTGATGCCGCTCCTCGCCGCGGGCTTCTTCGTCCTCCAGCTTGATCGCGGAAACATGTGAGTCTCTCTGCCTATGTTGTTTGCCATGGAACAGATCGCTCACTCGACATGTTCAGCGGCAACGCCGTGACCGACTTTTTCTTTGCAGATGTCGGCATCACGCAATTCGAGTTCAACGTGGGCAACCAGCTCATGTATCTCGGCGTCACCCTCTTCGAGGTAACAAGGGCCCTAAATAATAACCCACGACCATTCATAGCGGGCTTGTAGCTGACGTGAAATGCCGGTAGATCCCGAGCAACCTGGTCCTCTACCGAATCGGCCCCGCGGCCTGGATCGGCTGCCAGGTCCTTGCCTGGGGTATGGTGGCCACCTTTCAAGCCTTCATCAAGGGCAAGGGAGCGGGCGCCTACATGGCGACCCGCTTCCTCCTGGGGTATGTCCAAAGTCTCGAGAGCACAATGCGCTGTCCCCAGGCAGGCTAACGTGTGGATGTGACGAGCGCAGGGCGTGCGAGTCTGGGTACATCCCTGCTGGCCTCTTTACCATTGCCCGCTTCTACACGACCTCGGAGACTAGCAAGCGGTTTGGCTGGTTCTTCTTTGGAAACATGCTCGCCAACGCGTGCGGCGGCCTCATCGCCTACGGAATGTACGTGGACACATGGGCGGGCCCTCTGGACCCCCTCCCCCCCCGACGAGCAAACACGCGCGGCTAACATGAGCCTTGCACATGGTCAGCCTCCACATGCGAGGCATCGCTGGCCTCGCCGGATGGCAGTGGATGTTTATTGTACGTCAGCGAGTGTGCCTGTCCTTGGGCGAACCGTACATGTACCCTCGAGACGTCTCAGCTGACATAAAGGCGGGTGGCAGATTGAGGGCCTCCTTACCGTCGTCGTGGCGGCGCTGTTCCTGGTGCTCTTCCCTCGCTCGAGTCAGAGGCCCATCTCACTGCTCGGCATCTCCTTGTTCAACGAGAGAGAAGCACGCATCCTCACGGCTCGTGTGATGCGGGACGACCACACCAAGATCCAGGCCAAGCAGCACGTGTCGCGGGACGAGTTCAAATCAGCCGTGAGTAGTAGTCACCCCTTTATGCCCCCTTTACCTTCCTGTCTGCCCCCCCTGAGCTGAGCCGCCCGCCTAGCGGGACCATTGCTGACCGCACACGCGCGCGACCAGATGACCAACTGGCGATCCCTGGGCCATATCATTGTCGCCATCTGTTGCCTCTCTTCCCAAACCTCGCTCTTCACCTACGCCCCCTCCATCGTCGCCTCGTACAACTACGGCAGGCTGCAGTCCAACGCACTGGTCTCCGTCGGCTACTGGATCCTGATCCTGACCACCCTTTCCTGGGGCTACATTGCGTGAGTACCTCCAGTCATCTTGCCGGCCGAGTGATGCGGCGTGAGGCCAGCATAGCCCAGGGTCTGACACGCTTGTCCATCTAGCGACAAATGGGACCGCCGCGGGCCTATGGTTCTACTGGGCGTGACGATTGGCTGGATACTTGTGGTGAGTTATCCATCCTCGTCAGCCAATGTGGATGTATCGAAGCACACTATGCTAAGCCCGGCTCTCCTCAGGTCGCCAACCGCTCCATCATCGACACAGGCAGCAACAGCGCCAAATACGCGGTCCTCGTGCTGATCATCGGCACCAGCTTCAACTGGCGTATGTGCATTTTCATGCCCCCTCTCACTGCACAGCCAGAGTTGAGCGCTAACGTACCTATCATGGAAGATCCCGTCAACGGCTCCTGGATGTCGCTCAATGCCCGCTCCGCCGGCGAGCGGTCCGTCAGCATGGCCATCTTTGTCATGAGCGCCAACTGCGCCGGCATCGTCGCCAGCCAGATCTTCCAGGCCGAGGACGCGCCCCAGTACCGCACGGCCTGGACGGTGGTCCTGTCGCTCTCGAGCGTCGGGCTGGTCGCGTGCTGCCTCACCAACCTGCAGTACTGGTTGCTCAACCGCCGGAACCGGAAGACCGGCGTCGACACGTTCGTCTACAAGCCCTGAGGGAGGGCGGCCATGGCGATGCAGGCGGTCCAACGCGGGACGGAAAGCGGTCCTGCTTCGAGCTATGGTGGAGGTTGTGCACAGGAAACTGGGAAGACATTTGGGCAGTACAGGGGAATCTCGGTCTTTCTTTGTTCGTTGAAAGTTGAATAAAGTGAACCTGATTTCGATCCTCAGAGTATTTTGACGTTCTGTCGATTCGGTACTATCTTGCCTGCGGCGTCCAGTCTCTTGCAGCCTACATAGACTCGTAACGAGAAGCAAGGGGGATAGAAATGATGTGCCGGGCAGATTCTCATTGTCCGTCTCCGTAATACTGCTTCCTAAACTTTCCTAGAAGATACAAAAACATAAGGTCACAGGGTATACGCACATGGCAGCACCCCTCGTTCATCTTCTGACAAAACAAACATGCCATGGCTATCACTTCACTTCCTGAGGATAACGACCCAATGCTCACGTCCAGATACTCCAGTGACCACGGTTGCGCCCCAGAGTTACCTGCTCCCGACCTCCCCAGTCGGCGCCACTGGCAGCGTGGTCCATCCCGTCAAAGGGTCTCACGTCCATCGGCCCCTCATACTCGGGAAGATAGCCTAGCTTGCAGTCGGTGAAGGAGACCCTGGGTTGGTTCTGGTAAAAGTCGTCGAACCGCTCGTCCAGGCTGTCGAGGAGACCCTGGACGTCACCGGACGGGTGCAGAGCACTCCAGGGCTCGACGCAGCTGCGGCCCCGGCAGCTCTTGAGCACCATGGTCAGCGCATCCAGGCGGCGCGCCAGCTGGTCCACGTCTACCGGGCGGCCGGCCACGTGCAGGTCGTTGACGTAGTGCTCGGGCGCCAAGAGGTTTCGGAGCTCTCCCGGGTCGGTCTGTCGAGGGGCTCACGCGTCAGTACATGTAACGTACACACGCCGGCACACTTCTCTGGGCCGCCGCAGACGCTCCTCGTCAAGAGCAGTGTAAATTGGAGAAGAGAAACGTACCTTTAGATTGTACAGCTCTGTCTCGTTGGTGCACCACACGGCGTAGTAGAGACTGTAGCCCTCCCCGATGACGCGGACGGCCTTGTACGTGTTGTTGCCGACGGCGATGCTGGGCTGGGAGCCGTAGCCAGGGTCGATCATGCCGGCGTCGCCGTAGGCGCCATAGATGCCCTCGGGGATGGCGAGGCCCCAGTACTCGATGGTGACGTGCTCCTGCTTGGAGGCCTGCATCTCCTCGACGGTCAGGGGGAGGGGGTAACCGTCGCTGGCGTCCTCGGGGAGGGCGTGGCCCGCCAGCGTCATGATGGTCGAGGCAATGTCGGTGTGCGCCGTCACAGCCTTACTGACGTGGCCCGCCGAGACGCCTGGTCCACGCTGTGTCGGTGGGATTCACTGTCAGTGAAATTTCTCCTGCCAGAGGACAAGGACAGGACTCACCACGATGAGCGGAATATGAACGTCCGTCTCGAAGCCGCACTCCTTGCCAGGGTGCATCCGGTGCTGGCTGATGTGGTAGCCATTGTCGGTGGTGTAGAAGATGTACGTGTTCTCGAGCTCTCCGGCCTCGTCGAGGATGCGAACCATGTGCTCGACGGACTCGTCCACCGACTGCAGGGCCCGCAGGCGGGACCGCTGGAACTCGTCGTTGTAGCGGATGACGGTGTCGTTGAGGCGTGGGAGGTCCTTGACCCAGCTGACGCCGCCCTGCGTCTCCGGGTTGAAGTTGTCGTCCCTCGGGATGATGTAGTCGTGGAAGAGGTGGGCGTGCCGGTCGGCGTACTCGGGCTTGTCCATGACAACGTCGGGGACCAGCCGGACGCTGCTGTGGGGGGCAATGGGCGCGTGGACGAGGAACCAGGGGTCGTCGTGCGCCATGGCCTCGCGCAGGAAGCCGTGGGCCTTGGCGGCCGTGACGTCGGGCGAGTACTGGCCGGCGTAGCTGACGGGGCGACCGCCGTTGCGTGACATGGTGGCGTTGCGGTACTGATACGTGTAGGGGTCGAGGACAAAGTCGGAGCCGTTGAAGCCGCCGGCGTAGGGCTGGTTGTAGTTCTCGACCGAGTGGTGGTTCCAGAGCTTGCCCGAGTAGTAGGTGTTGTAGCCCGCCGCCTGGAGCCAGTGGGGGAGGTAGTCGTCGTTGATGCCCTCGCGGACGACCTTGGGATAGCCGCCGTAGGGGGCCCAGACGTCCGTGACGTTGGTGTTGTGCGCGGCCTTGCCCGTCCAGAGGTTGACGCGCGACGGGCAGCACAGGGCCACGGTGCAGTAGTGGTTCGCGTAGAGGGTGCCCTCGTGGAGGAGGTGTTTCTGCAGCAGGGGCATGTGCTGAAGCGACTCCATGTGCCTGCGATGCCGCCACGGACGGCGTCAGTAAATGGAGCAAGTTCATGCCCTTGCCCTCCTCAATGCGCTGGTTGGGACCGGCTCACCAGTCCTGGTCATCCGTCAAGATGAAGAGGATGTTGGGCTGCTTTTTCGATGCGGACGCGGACGCCGACGCCGAGGCCTGGGACGTCGCCAGGAAAAGGGCCGCCAGTGCGGCGAGGCGAAACCACATGGTGGCTATGTACATGTATGCTGGGACAGGATGTGTGAGAATGGATGTGTGTGTGCTAAAGGCTGAGAGAACAGAGCCGAGTCGACGGCTTTCCCCCAAGTCAACATGGAGGAACAGGCCGGGCAGGGCTCCCTTTACGCGAACACAGGGCATTGGGAGCTTGATCCCGAGAAGGACGATGCTCGCCACGAGATGGACTAACATGACTCTGTGCAGCCACGCTAGTCTGGACTCTATCACTCTAGGGCGCAATTACTCCAATCGTTAGCCCATAACCAGACCCCCGCACGGCACTAGTCACGATATCCGGGGTTCTCACTTCTCAGGTTCATATTGCCGGCCCAGCAGTCGGTCGAGTATATACATCCGCTTGTCCCCATCGAAGCATCTTCCCGTGGCCCTAACATGACACACGAACGGACGGACCTGCACGCCCAGCGCCCACAATCAAATACATATGATGCAAGCAGATGACGCCGAGGACGCGGCTACCCAATGCCGACGGGTATCCAACATGACACCCGCGCAGGTCGCGCGGAAACGTGCCATCGACCGGGACAATCAGCGCCACCTCCGAGCCAAGCGCAAGGCGCACACGAGACACCTGGAGGAGCAGATCACCAGTCTCCAGCAGAAGCTGGCCGAGGCCGAGGCGCGGATCGCGGTTCTGGAACGAGACACGCCACGACAGCCTCTACCAGGCCTGGACATGACCTCACTCGCCAGCATGACCATGCCCCTCGAGCTCGGCCCGGGCATCACGCTTGACATGACACAGCAAGGCGGCTTGTTCGACTTGCTGGACATGAACCTGGACACAGACCTACATGTACACACAGACCTCGACGTGAACCTGCCCCCCGCCACCGACTGGGCCGTGCCCATCAGGCACACGCCGCCCACGAACCGCCTGGACCGCTTCATCACGGGCACTGTCGAGGCCTGGCGCGGCAGGCTGTCGAGCCGCCAGTCGGCCGAGCTCTCGGCGGCGTCCCAGTTCCCCAACGTCTCGGCCCTGCTCGAGCACCCGCCCGGTGCCCGCCTCAGGGCCCCCCCGGTGTCCGACTCCGACTCCGACTCCATGTCGGGCATCTCGGGCCAGCCCCTGTCCAGCGCCGCCTCCGCCCACATCCACGGCAGCCCGCTGCAGCCGCTCGTCGAGCGCCTCGGCATGCTGTACTGCCTGTCCCACCTCGTCCGTTGGCTCGTCTGCCTCTCGAGGGAGACGTACGACCGCATGCCCGCCTTTATGCGCCCGACGTCGCTCCAGCGCGCCGTCCCCCACCCGGCCTGGGTCGACCTCGTCCTCTTCCCGGCGGCGCGCGACGACATTATCCGCCTCCGCGACTGGTCCCCCGACCGCTTCGAGGCCTACCGCGCCGCCACGGCCCGAAGCCTCTCGGCCAATTGGCCCTATGCGGACTCGGGCGCCGTCGTCGAGTCCGAGTCGGGCGACCATGACGGCCAGCGCGCCGCGCTCAACCCCATCTTTGAGGCGCACGTGCGCAACCTCGACAACTGGACCGTCAGCCCCGAGGTCGCCGCTGCGTTCCCCTACATGGCGCCCTACGTTCGGGTGCGGCGTGAGAGAAGCATAGGAAAAAGGGCCTAGGATACATGTACGGATAGAAGGAACCAGATCAGGTTGCCCTAAATTAGAGCCACCGCCCCGAGTGCGATGTGGTTACCCTATACCCTATAGCGGAGCGTTTGCTTCACGCGCAAGATGTCAAGTACCAACCTCGATAGTGAATTCATCTCTTCTTTTCCACCTTTTACTAATTACCTCGGGGAACGAGAACAGGGCACCTGCGGTGGAATCTTCATTTACCTCGGCAAGCAATCAATCCATAGCCTCGCACAAGCACCAAGCCAAGCCAAATAGACCTATTAAACATGGCCCCTGGTGACCGGAGCAAGACTGCGTGGGAGCACCTCTAGTGCTAGAAGTTGATTCTTCCGAGTTCGCAACCCGTGACCTCCAAAAATCGATGTGCTAAGCTAGCACATAGCACTGCAACGGTAGGATCCCTGGTTACCCTAGACTAGAGCTATAATATCCTGCGGCCATTGTAGTCTTCCTACTTGTCTATCTAGAAAACTCCCAGGATATATCCCACCAGTTCTCTTATGCAAACTCATAAAACATCAAAATGTACCAGAATGAGTGCCAAAGGTTGCCGCGGGTAGCACAAGTCCAGAAGGGTCTGGAGATCTCGAGTCCCCAGCCCAGCATTGCTCGCTTAGTTGCCTGGACATCCGCACGGGTCATTTATGAGAACGTCAACACGGTGGACGAGTTCTTCTACCGCGTGAAGGCATGGCTTGGCATCTACCCGAAGAGCACTGAGCTGTGGATGTCTCGTTCAAAATACTGACGCGTACATGTATTCTTTTGGACCATACGCACCCCATTCTTGCCAAAGTCACGATTCTCAGATAGTGGGAGTGGGAAAGCTACGCTAAAGCTACGCTACACAAACACTTAGGTATTAGATCTCCTGGAAATTGAAGGAATGCTCTCGACAAGCTCCTTTGCCGGGTCCAATAGTGCCAGCGAGCGGACGCGGTCTCAATTATTTCATGGAAACTTATAGCCACGCGTTCTGGCGCGGAAAAGTGGTGACGCCCAATGGGCAATGGCACGGTATGTCTAGCACGACTGCACGAGTAAATAGTGTACCTAATAAGGAGAGATGAGGACCGTGAGGCGCACCACTAGTAGTAGCACTAGCCAAGGATGCCGCCGGAGACGCTTACATCCGGCGACCGACGATCGCCGGGAATGGATTAGCCATTATATATGTCGTCACTCCCCGCATGATTGTTGCTAAAACGCTACCGTTGATTGGCCGTGTCCCTGAGATGCGAGGCCTCGCGCTGTGGGGAGCCTTCCACTTCCTTTTCCGGCTTGTCGGTTCCGATCTTGGCCCAGTGCAGCTAGATGTCGACCATCACCCAACCGAATCCTAACAAGAGATATGGCCGCGATTTCGAGCACCTTGCAAGGCTTTAGGCAGCACTGGAAAGGCATCAAACGTGCAACTGGCTCCGTGTTGGCGAATATCCACGCTTTCGAACGAATCTCCGAGGTGATGATGGCGTGCCAGTCGTGAACATACTGCTCTTCGTGATGAGACATATGCCCAGCAACTCGAGCCGTAAAGATCTGACAATAACACCCAAGATGGATCAACCCAATCTCCCCTCCCCTCCTCCGCCGGCACACCAGCGTCCCGCCGCGTCTTGGCACCCTCACGAACTAGCATCGCGCTGGCCTGGTCGCCTCCCTGTAGCATTTCTGCCGGCAGCTGGTCATCCGGCTTATTAGACTCGCTCTAAAGATGTCGAGGCCAATCAAACGACGCAAGAAGGGGCCCAGAGGCGAGCGGGCGGTTCGACTTGAGAGAGAGCTACTTCCTCCCCTTTGATCCAGGACTCTTCTTCTCTTCTTCATACCTCTTCACGCTTTTCGCTTCTCACAGTCCTCACATCAAGCCGAAACACCCAATCCGTCCAGGTCAACAACCCATTCAAGATGCTTTACAACAAGGTTGTTCTCGCCGCTGCTGCGGCCACGGCTGTCAACGCCCAGCGTCCCTCTGACGAGTCCATCTGCGACTACTACACCACTGCCCTCCTCAAGGAGAACACCGCCGAGAACCAGGCTACTCTCCTGACTCTTGTCGTCAACACTGTGGTCATTGGTAACTGTAAGCTTGCCGTCTCTTGCTACTACCAGCTTCACCGTGTACTGACAGTCGCCAGACACCGAGCCCAACGTCGGCATCAAGGTTCCCGGTATCCTGGCCCCTGGCACGGTCGACGGCGAGGACGTCAACCTGATGCCCTACTTCAGCGGCGAGCTTGCCACCACCAACAGGGGCGGCAACCAGGGTGTCAAGGTCAACTTTCTCGACGGTGGTGCCGCCGAGCCCCTGAAGAAGAACATGCCCGCCGACGACGACTCGTCTAACCAATAGTGAGCTCTCGCGATCCTTGAATCGAGAGATAGATGGCTAACGTTAGTCTCCCAGCTTCCTCCTCACCCATCTCTACCAGTTCTTCGGCTCCCTGCTCGGCTGCTCTATGCAGGGCATGTCCGGCTTCGACGCCTACATGGCCGATCCATCCATGTACGAGGTTCACAAGTTCATGAACCTCAACCTCGCTGAGAACACCTACTTCATCCAGCAGGTTGGCATGGCCGCCGCCTCCTTTGGTGTTGCCGAGGAGGACGTCACTACCGTTGGCATGGCCCTCAACTCCCTCTTCAACGTCCGCTGCGCTCCTCCCGCCACTGCCGTCAAGGCCCAGGGCCCTCAGTTGCAGTCTATCTGCATCGATGAGAAGACTTGCCCTCTGGCCGACAACGCCGACTGCGCACTTTACAGCGGTCAGGGCGGCAACAGCACCACCACCACCACCACCACCCCAACCAGCAGCGCTATGCCCACAGCCACTGGTGGTAACGGTGACGGCGGCGCGGCCGAGCCCACTTCTGTTCCTGGGGGCGCTGCTGTCGTCCACGGACTCGGCCTTGGCGCCCTCGTCGCTGCTGTCGCTGCTTTCGCTCTCTAAGGGCTTGGACTAGGTCTAGATTATCATTTTCTCTTCATACCTTCATTTGTCATGACTTTCCATACAGACTGTTCACCACGCCAATGGATATGAGCTTGACTTGCCTTCATTTCCTGTCATAACGCAGTGCCATAATACCGATTCGTTCCGGCACGTGTTTACGAGAACCTTATGAAACGCGTCAATATATAGTACACCTATAGATGAACACGTGTGCTAGCGCAATTCAACTTGCTTCCTTATCTTGTGGCATGCCTCAATTTGATGATATTAGACGTACATAGGGAATGTCAGTGTCCATAACACGCAAGTTAAGGTCTCTAACAGCGCTACGCTCTTCGAGGTGCCCCAAGACCAGCTGTCGTTTCTCAAGGATAGGGTGACAAATTAGTGCAAGCACACATGAGGCGTATATGGGGAAAGTCAACCCGCTCTCAGCACGGCATCGCCATGGCCCAGCTTATGGAGTAGGACATCAACATCCAGGAAGACTGCTCCGGTCTCTGGGCTTGGCTGGAAAAGGTCCCCTCAAGCTTACTGCTAATGTTATTTGCAAAAGAGAAAAAGTCTACCACATACGACCATACCCAGTGGAAAATACGGGATCCCGTCCGCTCTCCCATAGTCAAGCCGCTGAGGGGCTGATTAGTAGTTGGGTCGGTGACGACCAGCGAATACCGGCTGTTGTATGTTTTTGGCTCTGCCTTTTTCTTTTTGTTTGCCCTAGTACCGGTTGGTGGAATCCTACATCCCGGTGTACCTAATCCTACCTTGTGAAGATGTTGCTTGCGATGCGGTGGTTCTAGAGGAGTAGTCTGCAGGGTGAAAGGGTAGTTTGAACTACAGTTGTCTGGACTCTGGTGCGGCGCTTCATGTTTTCTCGCCAGCATGTTAAAATCATCCACCACAACATGAAGCCTGCAGTCTAGTTGTCTTGTCCCTCATTTGCTGTGATCCTCATGTTCTCTATCGAATCGAAAATTGACAAGGGCTCAATCGGCTTTGCTGGCTCAATCAGATGGTAGAACTCGAAGAAGTGCGAGGCCTAGAGAACTTGGCTAGGCGGAGCGAGAGGACCTTGCTTTATGCGCACACAGCCAACATCGTCCCTAGCCCGCGTGCTGGTCATGATCCATGTCGAATGCATGCTCGCTCTGAATCGCGAACAATTCCAATGGCTGTCACGGGGCGACAGCGGAAGCAAGTGTCAAGGCTCCGACCCTGCCAAGTGCCAACACACGAGACATGATCCGTCTGGCGCATGGCTTTGGCGCCCACCCAAGGATGCCACAGGGGCAAACTGCCCTTTGCGCGCCTTTTCAATGGCTTGTCTACTTACTTGTTGGGCAGATATTGTAGCAGCCACGGTCCATTCTCCGCCAGCTCGTCTCGTCTGGGGGCTCGCTGAATCTGAAACGCGGCGATGCGTCAACACAGCGTGCGTATTTGGCCTCGGCCCTCAATGGCCCCTTGATACATGGATCTGTGGAATTCAGATCCGGAAGCAGCCGGCGACCGGTTTGAGGCTCACGCAATGGCAAAGTTCAAACACAAGACGTCTGGCGGCTGCGACACCAAACATCAAATCCAGACCCGCGACCCGAATGATGACAATTTTTCCCATCGTCACTGAAGTTGGGATGAAACTGGGAATGCATCTGAGCCGCGAAATTCGGACAATGGGCATCGAGAAATGTGTATATGTACGTACATCTCTGGGCGTGATGCCACTTCCACGATGCGTCCACCATCACTCAACCCACCGACGAGCTCTCGTTGAGATAACCGTTTGTTTTCATTCTACTCTCCTTCTTGCGTGTTCTGCGAACCGATATTCCCTTCTTCTTGGATCGCGACTGGTTTCGCTCCTTTCTTGTTCGCTTCGACCATTCATTCCAGTGTGCTTGTTCTTCCGGGAAGCACGATATCAGCAGCCCTTCTTCTATACCTTACTCTCTCGCCACCGTTTCTCTCAAAATGAAGTGGTCGTCGGCAGCGGCTCTTTCCGCGAGTGTAATCGGCCTCGCCGTGGCCTCGCCCATGAAGCAGCCCCTGCGCAAGCTTCACAGTCGCGAGGTGCCCCAGGAGCACTCACACGACTTCGTCCTCACCATCACCAAGGAGTTCTTGGACATGGACAACCCCAAGGGCATCGCGGATCCCGTCTTTGGTCTCCTTGGCAACGCGGCTGCCGCCGAAGGCGCTGGCACCGTCACCAATCTGGACTGTCTCAAGCAGGAGACTGCCGACCAGGCCTTCACCAACGCCAAGGCGGCAAGCGACCTGCGTGGCATGGCAGGCGCCCTTCTGTTCCAGGCCATCGAGAGGAACACGGGCAAGGTTGGCCTGGCGAGTGTTCTCTGCAACGAGAAGGCAGTGAATCCCGAGGTGGCGGCCCTGGCGTCGCACCAAGATCCGGCCTCCCCAGGAGCCGCCGAGACGAACAAGAAGATTACGCTCGAGTTGGCCAGGCAGCTTGCCGGCATTGGCGCGGACCCGAATCTGGCTCTTCTCAGTGGAACCTTTGCGCCTGGTGATGTACGTATCGCCCCCTTGCGCTGATTGCCACCGCAATGGTCTCGATGAGCTTGACTGACATCTGATCCTCCAGCTCAACGACAACACGGGCGCCGGCTTGACCTGCGACACTCTCGAGCCTGATCTAGGCTGCATCTTCTCTCAGAAGCTGCTTGTGCTGGATGCCACCACCGACGAGATTGCCGCCGCGGTGGCAAACGTGCAGCCCACCTTTGCTGGCGGCAAGGGGGGCATCACCGCCGCCGACATTGTCGACTTGTCCCAGTTCTCCGTCGCAGGAGGCGGCGCTGCTAGCCCCGGTGGTGGTAATGCTACTGAACCTACCGAGACTCCAGCGACGCCCATTGCTTCCGCCCCAGCAGCGATCGCGACCAGTTGCGCGGCTGTGCCTCCGCCTGTCTGCTCCGCCATCACCACCACGGTGGCAGCGGACGCCATGTCATCGCTGATGGCCTCAATGACCTCCGCCACCGTCGGCCAGGTCACCGAATCACCCGTCGCGCCCGGCTCTGGTAGCGCCAACCTCCAGCCCTTCACTGGTGCTCTTGGCGGACCCCCGCCGCCGGTCGAGTCGTCTGTCGGAGATCGCCCCTTTTCCACCAACGGCGCCACCTTTACAGGCCTCTCTGCCGCGCTCGGCCGATCCTGCGACGTCCAGCACAACAAGTGTGCCAATGCCGCCAACGCAGGCCAACTTGCGGGCGGCGCCGCCCAATGTGAGACGCAGCTCAGCCAATGCCGCGCCGCCAGTGCCAGCCAGAACACCAAGAGGCAGGCTGCTCTGGACTTTGGGTCGTGCTCGGACCCTAGCATCATCTTTTCAGACGGTCTCGACGGTCGCAAGGAGCCTTCGTTCGCGCCATCCAACAGCAACGACTTTAACCACGGTTCTGCTCTCGGCAACAAGGTCATCACTAGCTTCATCTGCGGTCAGCTCAAGGACAAGTGCAAGGCGGGCCAGGATGCCGTCGCGGCGTGTGAGAGCGGTGCTGCTGCGGCAGCGGCCGCATCGGGCCAGGCGGCTGCGGACGCGTTCAATGCTGCCCTGGGTGTTGGCGGTGGAACTGCCACGTCTCCCGATACAGGCGTCGTGACGGAGGCGCCCACGCAGACCGCCGCTCCCGTGGCGTCAGTGGTCATGACCATCACGCAGTGTGTTTAGCATTCACGTTGTCTCTAGATGAAGTGCTTGTAGGCGAGAAGGGGAGTCTCTCTCCTACATGTATGATTGGGGGTGGTGAAAGGCTTCGGTGGATGTTGACCAGATATACTACGAATTCATGTGTCCACGATCTCATGTGCAGTATACTGTCCCATTTGCCTTGGGTTCCTGTCATTGATGTCCTTCCTTGCGAGAGGAGTCTTCATTTCACCTATGCTATGTCTTTATAAGGGAACCGCATAGTCTCATCAGTCACATCAATTGGCTGAGGTTCGGTCCACTTTGCGTCTCTAGGCACTGGGACCAGTTGATACGTTGCAGAGGGAAAGGATACTCTGCAGGTCAAAGAGAGGGCTTCTCTGATGATTTTGATACATGTTGTGCTTTCTATGAGAACAGTACACAGCGTTCTGCCACGATTGTTCGCTAGACTCTCTTGATCTGTCGTCACGACGAGCTGCCCGAAATGGAATCACCCGGCGGCTTCGCCTCGGAAGTCCCATCCTTCTGCATCTGCAGGATCCACGCCTCATTGTCTCTGACCAGTCGCCCCCGGACTGCCTCATCGACCTGAGTCTTGATGCCCGTCGAAAACGCCGTCCCCCCGCCGGGCACGCCGTCATCCTGCTCTTCTCTGCTGCTTCTGCTGTTGTCCTGGGCGAATAGCTCCGCGAGGTTGTTGCTCCTGACAACGGCTACGCCCAGCCTCGCCGTGTGCACGGCCACGCTGACGACAAAGACAATGGATAGACCAATCTGAGCGGCTAGCGCCGATAGCCACGGCCACCTGACGACGACAAATGTCTCTGTCTGGAGCACGTCTCCCTCGATATCGCTGTCTACCTTAGCCATCTTCCGCATGTGTGCTGTGAAGCCCTGCGCGACCGTGGCCGTTATCTTGCCCAGGTTGTCCCACATGATGACGTCCCACTCCTCAAGGGTCTGGCGGGACCAGCCATCTGTTCCGTACTCATACTCGTTGAGGAACAGGCTCTCTGCTATCTGCGCGGAAATCTCGCTGTAATCCATATCGAAGTCCAGAAACGACCACGCGCCGGAAAATGCCCGCCGAAACATACGGTCGAGCTCGCTATAGGTGTAGGAATCGGTGATACGAAATCTGTCCTGGCCACCGGCGTCGGTGAGCATAAAGTAGCACGGGTCCCCCCGCTGCTTGACCACCTCGTCTACCTTTACCACCGACCCGAGGCTCTCTGTCGCCGCGACGCCGTCACGGGCTGTGGTGTTATACTCGTGCACGCAAAAGTGCCAGAGCACCTCCGCCGCGCGGTACCGGGTGTGCATATCCTTGTCAAGACCCTTTGCGGTGGACCAGATAAAGAAGAATTGTGCAATGGTGGCGTCTAGGACGTCGGGGTTCTCTTCCCAGTCTGCGACGGAGGTCCATTCCGGCGGCCAAACATACTTCTCCATCGCCTTGTCCATTGCTTCTTGGGCCTCTTCAAAGTCCATTTGCGACGTAACGGGCCGGTCGTAGTCGGCCAATCTTATCCTAGGTTGTAGGGACGTTGCGTTGAGCGCCATAGTATTAGAGGTCAACTCGTCTTCCATAAAGACAGTGTCGTTTAAGAGCGAGGCCCTGACCATCGTAAATCCGGATTGTTTCTCGAATTCGTCGTACGTCAACGCAGACGTCACGTTCTGCATGCTCACGCAGAGCCCTAGTGAGCGGTATACGGGATAGTCGCAGTTCCCGCTAGGGCAGATAGGCTCGGGGATAGGCCAGTGGTCGTTAACGTTTAGAAAGGTAGCCTGTAGCGCTGCCCGCTTCAGCCCCTCGAGGTCACCGGAGGTACTATTATCGTCGACGGTCGAGGGGAACATGCTCGCTCTGCTGATAGTCGCGTTACCGCTCTTGGCGCTGGTAACTAGACGCTCCTCGTATGACACGGCCGACTGGGTGAGGAATGACGTCGCGACGCCTGAGACGAGCACTAGAGCCGCCGCGTGGCTTAGGGGCGTGAGCCGGCCGCGCATACGACCAAGTAGTCGGAGCGAGCCCCATGGCCCGCGGCTAGCCTGATCAAAGATATAGAGGTCTTTAATAGGGTGGTGGCCCGAGGCGAACCAGTTCCACTTAAACTGCGAGATAGCGTCCGCGACGGGTAGCATAATGATAGAGCGGCATAGTGTGGCGAGGAGGGCCACGGCAGTGTTGAGAGTTAGGCCGAGTGGCCACTGCGGAAGTCTTTTATCGTTACACCTGTCGAGGACGACGGTGAGGGCAACAAACAGACCAACGGCTAGCAGAATACACCCAATCTCGGGCGCCCAGGCTCGGAGATGGGAGGCCCAGGAGCGCGGCGGTTGGTGCAAAGGCTCCCCAACAGCAAAGGATCTGGTCTCGTCGTCCTGTAGTGCTGTTCCTGGGCCGCCATAGTCCATGTGCTGCTCGGTCGTCCAGTTGTCGTGAGAAGGGGCCGCCGCCACTGAGCGGTCGCGAGGGTCCAAGGTCGGCCGCATTGTCTTTGTCGTTGAAGCACCTTTTGAAAAAGTCAAGAACAGGAATGCGTCGTCGACCATATCGAAACATTGCGCGCCTCTTGGGCTTGGAGTCGGTACCCCGGTCTGCCTCACAGGCTGACGTGCAGTTGCCAAGGGGCCCAAGTGGATACGAAGTCAGCCCAGCCACTCACTCTCTAAGGTCGGTCTTGCATGAATTGAAGGGCTGGAAAGGAGGCACAGTTTTGTAATATAAAGCTCCCGGGGTCAACGAGCGGGGGCTCACGGTTAACGCTAAAATTTCTCGGCTTCTAGAGGTCGGAGTTGGAATTAATTATATAACTTACGTTTTAAAGAAACGAAGTAAAGGTAATAGCGCACCCTTGGGATGGAGGCGGACGAGACTTTATGATTTTTTTGGTTATTTCTTATATCTAGAGTTATAATGGGACAAATTGTTTGCAAAAGAACTGCGACAGCCGGGTCCTTCGCCGTGTCGTCTTGTCTCGGCAAAGAGCACGAGAGTGTTTCTTGGTGAAGTGTTGAAAGGAGCTTCATTAGTGTCTGCCGCGACACCTCTGCCAGTCTTCCGACCGCCGACACGCCCCAAGTCGGGCCCTACCTTCAACGGTCGTAGATGGCGGAAGTCGTCATAATATCTGGTGCCTCTATTGGAGCAGCTGTTTGTCCGAAAGTGCTCAGTGCTTGTAACACCGCCGACCGCCGAATTCATTCTAGAGGCGGCCCATGCATATGTACGGATTTTCCCCGCCTTCTGGTCTAATCGGAATCCAAAAGCCCCTCCATAAAGACACCAGGGGCTGTGAAATATTAAAAAAAGATAAACTAGACAAGAGAAAAGAGACAGGGGGAGAGCAAGGTGGGTATAAAATAAGCTATATACGTAGATAATACCTATAGTAAGATAGACCGCCTTTATAACGCTATCGGTAATATTTATATATATATAACGAAATATATATAATATATATATATATACTAAGACTTTAAGAAACCTAGCGCTAGAATTAAACTCCCTCTTATTTTATTATATTTTAAGAAAATATACGGAGGTGCGGGGATAAGATAGAGTATTAAGCCCTATCTAGTAGCTCGTAAATTATAATAGCACTACGTTTATACGCTTTTACGGCTAAATAAATATCTACTCAAGAGTGACTCTTTAGTCTAACAAGGCGCTGCCGATCACTAAAGGATAACAATTTGTGTCTTCTAAGTTAATGTCAACACGACCTTAACGTAGTGATAAGCTACACACACTATATATCATGTTCCAAGGAATAGACTGTCACATACAACTATACCTAGTGGAGAATAGGGGATCCCGTCTAGTTCTTCCCTTCTGTGCGATGCCTTCCATCGCTGGAGGTTGGTACTTCCCAGTTCGGAACTGCGGCCTCTAGGAATGAATATCATTGAAGAAGCACATAAAGCAAACCCCACAAGCCCGCGCCCCTTTCTAGCGTTGCATAGAGTCGCTACCCGATAAAATCGGGTGCTCGATAGTATCGACGTGTGCAGCGGGCTGGGACTAAAGCTGGGAAGGTTGTGATAGCCAATAAGACACTCTTGGTGGTCTTCTTGAAATATTCTTTCTCTAGGTGATCAAACACAAGATAGACCCCTGGATACATGCGGTCCGTTGTTTCCCGTAGCAGCGTCTCCAAGTGGCTCTTGACATGGGGTGCAAACGCCTTCTCTTTCGATATCACCGCTGCCCTCAAAAGGCAGCATCTTCGCACTATCGCGTTCTTTCTCTTTTTCTTAGTGACAATATCTTCTCCACATAGAGAATAATCAAATTTATGTCCTTCTCTATATTATCTTTATTAATAAGAGAGCACACGAAAGGGATTACACGTTAAGTTAATACCCGTATCCCGCATTAATTAAAATATCATATATTTTCCTACGGGAGTCTGATTCCTAAGTTACGCTTAGAGTCTCGACCGCAATCCGCTTAGGACTCGCCTTATCCGGCTCTAGGTAGACCGGAGGGCTTCCCTATACGCGCCTTATAATAGAAAGTAGACTAGGTCCCGATAAATAAGTGCGGTAGCGAGCGTTAATTACATATACTCTAGATTATATAAGCGGTCCGTAGTAAGGCGAAAGGGGTTAGCACTAGCTTAAAGAAGGGGCTCTACGGCGGGTACTCGATAGATCTAAACGGCTATTTTTAGGGGTATCGTATTCCGTAAAGGGACCCTTTCTCTAGATAAGCTTAGGGAATAGTCGCGATTATCTCGCGTAACTCGGTAAGCCGTCCTCGAATAATATAAACGTATAGCTTATGCCTAGGGAGGAACAAGTCGCCTAGGAGTTACTACGGCGTAATCTTTTTATACAGCCGCGCTATTACAAGTACCGCGGGGCCAGAAAAGATTAAATAAAACGATAGATATACGTTATAGAGGGTTAATACAAAGTGGATATAGGGGAGCAATTATATATTTATATATCGGAAGGTTCGAATCCTAGTCTTGTCCGGCGGCTAAACTCTTGTTTACCCTAAACCGCAGCGGGAATCCCGTCCGCTCTCTTATAATTAAGCCACTAAAGGGCTATTTGGTATTTAGGTCGGTAACGACTAGCGAATACCGGCTGTTACATATTTTTTAGCCTTGCTTCTCTTTCGTTTTGCCCTAGTATTGACTGTTAATTTTGACGTCTTGGTGTAACTACGGTTGTCTTGTTGTGAATTTTAGCATGTGTGGTGCTTCAATTTTGGAGTAGGATTGCTTAACGGAGAAAAGGGGTAATGTGGGTCAGGGAGAAAGGGGAATGAACTGAATGACCGTGCGCAGTCCGTAAACTAGTAGTAAATAACATTAACCATCAAGGATCGCGAGAGTGACGGTGCAGAAAAAGGCAATAGCATGCGAGTGAAATTTCTATAGATGTGAGGCTTTACCAGGGGCTCGATCATGACCAATCCCGCTCGTGGAAGATTTTCCTACTATCACTCTGCGCAACTGCCGGGTCTGACGTGTCTATAAGCTCAGTCGTCTTTGCAATTTTTGTTTCGGGGCTGGGCGCTTCGCCTGAAATGACACTCTCGGTGTATGCGTTGCGATCTCCTGGCATTGGCGGGCGATTCAAGTCGGTCTGACTGTGCAGCTCCCAGTGACCGGTACGGCGTTGACTGCGACCGTAGCCGTGACTAACAGTCGCTGCTGATCTTCTGGTAGACCCCCATCCAAAGCCCCATGTTTTGAACAGAGGGCGGTATGTCGCTACGCAGGCGGCAATGATTCCGAGCGCGGGCTCCATGACAGACCAAATTGCTACATCACTGTTTCAAGGCGTCAGCACGTCCTCGCGTCTTCGGAAGAATGCCCGGTAGTACTCACACGGAAACGTAGAGAAATTCAAGCGAGGGCTGAAGTGTGGTTACATAGGGCATGCGGACGATCAACACGACCCCAGCTCTACAGAATCCGTCAGTGTACGCAGTATAACTTGAAACGCCCCATACTCACATCATGCCTAGACTTAATAGGACGGCGACAATGACCTTTGTTCTCATGTTGATTTGGACACCCCAAAGGATGGCAATGGGCAACAGGCCTAGGCACCAGTCCGACACAGCCGAAAAAACGCTGTGCACGTATACCGATATCATGACGATCCTTTTGTCGATGCAAGATCCTTCCTCCCCGAATACCTGCTTCCAGAAATATGATGGAGGGCTGCACTGGAATGCCATGACGAAGGCGAAGACAATGGACACTACTGCTATGACCCCAACGTTGATCCATATGATGACCCGGTAGGCCTTCTTTGTCGTTATCCGCAGAAGCACGATGCAAACAGATGCCCGTATGGCGAGGGTAATTGGGGCATACATAGCCTCGCATAGATACCAACCTAAAAGAGACTTTGCTGCTTGGCTGGGTGTGTAGAGCTGGGAGACGTCCTGGCCGGTAGCTCCGTTGACGACTCCGTCTATGGCCACTGCAGCATACGCTGCATAGCCCCCCTAACCTTGAACGTTAGCCGTCTACTACTGCGCATGTCTCTCAAGAGGTGGGATGGTCTCACCATAGCTGCAAAGATCAGATAGTCGTCGGACGTCACACGGCCAACCAGGAAGACCTTGACATACGCCCGTATTAGTGTCGCAATCCCCGCAAGGGAGACGAAAACGAGTTGCACGAGAAGGAGCTCGTGGCCTCGACTTGGCTTTCCTGCACCGGCAGAGTTCTTCATGCTGTCGGCTCGTATACGTGGAACGCGGAACGTGTGAAGGAACTGCAAACTATGTTGGCAACATGAAGGCTTACATCCACTACATGGTTCATACATGTATGAATTGACGACGGGACTGGTTCGCCTCGGTCTGTCGCGTGGCCACCTCCGCATTCTTAAGCTTTTTTCTCGCAAGACGGGATGGAAGGGGTAATTGTCGCGGAGACTCATTAGCCTGTTGACCGTTGCGGCCCCTGATTCGAGGAGGAAGCACGCCATGCAGCCACAAAACCCAAAGATCCTCGGCATGCAGGTGGGATCATGCACCAACAGGACACAAAATTGCATCAGTCATCGACATGATGAATTTTTAGTGCAAAGAACAAAGTCGGTTGTGTTAAAATGGCATCTTCTGGGATCAAGGCAGTATTTCCAGCGCGAGCTTCGTCGGCTAGACCTGGCTAAGCAGAGGCAACGACTCGTCAGGCTGATGGTGCAAAGAAGTCAAAATGCTAAATAATGACTGATGTACCATTCCGCAGAAGCAATTAATTGACTAGGCTAATACTCGAAACCGTTTCGTCTTCCGCGCCCCCCCCGACGCGCCTGGGGGCCAAAATGACAGGTCGTGTACGATATGTGAGTTGTCGGGTCTCTCATACGGCCCAACGCGAAAGTGATGAAGCTTCCTCAGGTGAAAGCACGCCAGCTATCTTCTATTGCAGAGTCGATGCCCAGTCGCCGATGATCTGGCTCACGTTCTGAGCAGCCTGCCACAGCGCCCAATGGGACGACACCACTTCGCCGCGAGTGAGGCCTTGTTCAAAGTAGTCCTCCATACCAACCGACATCTCTGGTGGCAGTGCCGTATCCTGGGTCGCCCCGATGTACAAACCCGGCATTGTGAAATTGAATTCCCCGGATCGCGCCAGAGAAAGTTCTTCGTAGAAATTGATCTTTGCTGTCCGATACCAGTTGAGGGGACCGCGGACCGTGTTTTCGAGGTATTCGTCAACATAGTACTCCATGATTTGCTCTGGTACCAGTGGTGAAGGCCCAAGATCCGGCAAATTGTCCCAGATGAGCCCGGTATATGAGTCAAATCCCATTTCACCTTCGGGTGTTCGACCACCATAAAGCGCAGTCAGCATCTGCCGTATCTTGGTCGCGCCTTGGAGTCGGAGATCGGTCCACGGCTTGCGCAGCTGCAGTTGGTACCCGAAGGTGGGCGTTATCCCGGCCGCAATCTGATCCCCAAGGTCGACGTATTCCGTGACGGGTGGGAAGTATGGTGTGCAGACGCTGAAGATCCCCTTGAAAACGTCTGGATGCCACAGAGCGACGCGGTAGACCATGGCACCACCCCAATCGTGACCGCCCAGAATGACCTGCTCGTTGGGTGCAACGCGCTGGATTAACTCAACGAGGTCATCAGACATGCTTCGTAGCGAGTACTTGCCCAAGCTCAGAGGCGCGTTGGTTCGGCCATACCCAAGCATGTCGGGAGCAACAACCTGATACCCAATGGATGTCAAGTAGGGGATCTGGTATCGCCAACCAAATGATAAGTCAGGAAAGCCATGCAATAGCACGACTGTGCCCTTCGGTGTACCGGACGGTTTCGAAAGGAGGTAGTGATATGTGTTACAGCCGATCTGTTCGTAGTTTCGGGTGTGCTCAAAGCCGAGATCGAAAGAGTCTTTGTCCGCGTGAAATGCGTCGCAGGATATCATGAGATGCCCGAGAAGGGCGATGATTAGGGTCCAGAGTTTCATGATGTTTGCGGTGGTGTGGGTTTGGTGTGGTACGCAGAGTGCTGTGATTTTGGGTGGGGATTCGGCACCTTTGTAGTTATAATAAATGTTGTATCCCAAGCCCAAGCCTCGGCGCCTCTTTTAGTTGCTCCTAATAAGACCCATCAACGGTCCATGGATTCTTGCAATTAGCTTCGCGTCAGCCCAGGTGACTCTCGATAGGGGCCAAGAGGCCGTGTTCAATGGTTGTAGGACATCCGCAAGAATCGCCCGATTGGGCAGGGCAATTCAAGGGGTGGCCTTCAATCATTGGCTCGGAAACACGCAAAGTGGCCGGCCTTACAAACGGAGTACATTGTTGACAGATCTGATATGCGGCCGGGTTCAGACTTGGCGCTGTTGCCTGAGACGGACAGGAGCCGAGGCAACTTGAGCTTTGACTATCGCCATGAAACGGGCACCCAGTTCTAACTTCCATCGTATACGACAGATCAATTTAGAAAGACGATTTGAAGCGTCTCAAACAACAACTTAATGGATTGGGAAAAGGTCAATAGCGAATCTTCTTCCGTCATCACACGCCATACAACTTCCAATAGCAAAGCTACTTCTAGAGCCCAAAGACCCAAAGACTTGTCTGTTTATAACTTTGCTGAACACCACTCGCGACTATCTACATTGCACTCCAATGGGGCCAGTCTCCCAACTACATCAGGACAGGTCAGTAGCCTGAGGAGCGCCCGGAAGGCCAATCGTGGTCGACGGTGGAAGGGGATTTCCCTGGAATGCCGCCGCGAGGAACTCGACGGTGCGGTCAATCCAAACTGGTCTAATGTACGTCAGGTGCCAGAAGACACAGCTCCCCTGGTCACAAGTCTGTTATAGAAATGTCAGCGGCGGCCATGATATAGCAGAATAAGAAGCATACAGCATCGCCCTCGGCGCAATTTTGCAACAGCTTCTCCCGCAGTGGCGCAGGGAAATCGTCCCCGAACGAGTATCTCAAGTACGGGTCTCCGAACATGGCAAGCGCAACGATACGGTCGTAGAGCGCCTCCGGGATGTCCCGCGCAGCTCTGTGCATAATGGTCGCTCCTTGGGAGTATCCGACGAGAGCGAATGTCTGATCGGGGCAGGCCTCGGCCTGGCTAACAATGCGATTGACGACATCTCTACGGCCTCGAATGCCGCCAATGATGATGCTTGAGCTTGCAGGGTACTAGGTTTGTTGAGTATTCCAATCTAGTAATGCACCGAAAGAGTCAGGAAAGGGTCACTCACCTGGACTGGGTAGCCGCGGGAACCAGGTAGAATTTCTGTCAAGTTGCTGACTACGGGGTCTCCGACAATGACGCCGAATTTCCCACCATCGGCGAAGTTCGGCTCGCTGGTGCCACGAGCTGCACTCGGTTAGCAGAGTGTTCGCCTATATGGCCATACAACTCACCAACGAGAACCTCGAAGTCAGAACAGCCGGGGGGGATGTCGCCTGGGTTAATAGGCACTGGCTCGCCAATCTCTATGCCAGTTTCAGGAAGGTCTGGGCACTCTGCGTCTTGAGCCGACACCAGTTGGCCCAGGGCAAGAACGACTTTCAGAATGTTCGTGGTGTGCATGGTAGCAGTCTTTGACTTTTCACTTGGTTGTAGATAGTCTCAAGATGTTGTGTTGGGAAGATTCTATCCCTATCTGATGTTGAGGGCATTAAGGGGTCTTTATATGTTTCTCACATCCTGATTGCATTGTAAGACTCAATGTGTGATGTTTCATGTCACGGGTTATCCTCAGGCGGCTCCAAGTACAATCATTAGAACAATGCTACTCCGCTGCTCAGTTTGGACATTTTCGCGAGTGAGTGCATCCCCACGACAAATGCCGAGCGGGGTCGAAAGAGCGTTACTTCCTCACCAGGCAGACATCCATCAGTAAGCCGAAGCAGACTCTTCGGCTCTCGTTAGCAGCATCCTCAGCGTCGTTGTTCGAAACGTTTGCTGCGATCAATGATGGATTGATCATAGGGCAGCTGGGCTACTGCACAGGGCGCAACCCCCCTGTCCCGAAACCATGCTAAGGCCAGCCAATCGCATTACACCATTTACAGGTCTACCTGAACCGAGGCTTCGACGAACATGAAGTTGACATCATTTGTTCCCTCTTAATTCTGAAAAGTGAAGTTTCAGGGTGTCACTCTAATACTGTGGATTAGAAATACGGTCTGGGTTGTAACATCCGGAGAGGAGAACTACGTTGGAGCGGGGGTGGTAAACTGATACGGCCGAGGCAGTGTTCATGTTGCCTGCTAACCCTTGGTAAGTGATGGCTTGAACAATGTCGAGAAGCTCTGGGTATTTGCATGCACTACACATAGGGTGAAAACAGTGAGACCTGCAAATTCTGGTGGAGAGTGTGGAGAGGTCGACTATCAACATCGTCCAAGACTTACACCGAGGCCTAGTCCAGCAGCAGCAAGTGAGGGCTTGATCCAGAGTCGACGCCTTTAGCATTTTCGAGTCATTAGGAGGGAATTTGAAAAGGGGCATTAGAGTATATTAAAGGGAAACGCTTCCTACAATACTAATAAAACATACTCCACTGTCAAGGACACCACCATTCGACACAGCCACTCTCCAGCCCTTCCAGCAACTCAAAGTCGAGTCCAACCTGGCGCATAGCCACCACAATGAGATCAAACTCCTTCAACCACCTGCCATCCCAATCGTTCAGCTTCTGAATAAAAGGAACAGATTTCTGCTCGACTAGTGGATCCGCAAACCAGACTTCGGCATGTCCAGTCTTCTTGAGTTCCCTAGCCAGCTGAAGGCCTGGGGAGTAGCTCAAAGTGCTCTGCCCTTTTTTGAAGCCCATGCCTACCACGAGAACCCTTGATCGTCTCCCATCGCTTTTAGCGTTCTGCTTCAGGTAACCTGCGTATCTTTTCGCGATGGAGGAAGGTCTGTTGTCCATGGTCTCCGCAGCGCGCCGCAAGAGGGGCATCTCGCATCCTGAAAGAAGGTACCACGGGTTGACGGGAATACAATGGCCACCAACGCCAAGTCCTGGCTTGTAGTCCATGTAGCCAAATGGCTTGGAGGCCGCTGCGCTGCAAACTTCATAGGGATCAACTCCAAGGCTGCTGCATGCATCCGCCATCTCATTGGCATAAGCGATGTTGATCATGCGCTGGCAATTCTCGTAGAGTTTGGTAAACTCGGCTACTTCGGGGCGCGATACGGGCACCAGGCTTTCGAAGATTGGATCGTAGAGGCGGGTGATCGCCGCTAGCGAGCCAGGGCAGACATCGTCCAGTCCGGAGATGACCTTGGGAATAAGTCGCGCGGGGGGTTCCGTCCGGCCAGGATCCACTCTCTGTGAAGGGAGGAAAGGTGTTAGTGCGAGGGATCCACGTGTTATCTCCGAGACCGTCTGAGTCTACTTACCTCTGGGGACATTCCAGCGAAGCAGCCGCGGGCCTTTGCAAGTGGGCCGAGGAGTTCTCTTGTCATGCCAACGGCAACAGAGCTCTCGATAACAACGGTAGCACCAGCTTGAGCATATTGGAAAGTTGTCTCAAGAGCAGACTTGAGGTACGAAACGTCGATAGTCTTGTCGGCCAGCAGAAGAGTTGGAACCGATATGAGGTAGTGTGTCGCGTTGGCTAGGCGCTCATGCGAAGTGGTAAACTCCACGTGGGGATTTGAAGCAAACTCTGCATCAGCCTCCAGGGATTGTACACGGCTTTCCGAAAGATCGAAGCCGAGGACGTCCCAGTGTCGTGAGAAGTTGCTGACGAGGTGTGTGCCGACATAGCCAACGCCGATGACAGCAACGAGGGGTCGTGTCTCGGGGCTGATGAGATTCTGGAATTTGGCAACAGGTGAAGAAGCGTCGAAGGGGTCTTTCTGCTTGGACTCTTTCGTTGGGGTTTCTGGCGGAGTGATCGGCAGGATTTCAATGGTGAAATTGGTGTCTTTGGGCCCATGTGTCACTGGTACACGCTGGCCACATGGCGGTGTCTCAGGTCTCAAGACATGTGCCATTTGTAAAGAATGTATGAAAACCACGTAAAGCTCGTAATGTGTAATGAGATCTTGAGACAACTCTGTCGATGTCGTTTAAGACCAGGGTTCCAATCCACCCTTTTATGATATCGATACAACCTATCGTCCTCAAAGACTCACGACTACCCCAACAACTGCTATGGAATCCGTCTCCAAGCCACATTTTGAATGCAAGAGGCTCAATATTGGAAGAAGATTTCTCATCTGGAGTCCAGACCCCATTCTCACCGGCGGCTTCGCCGTCTTTGTCGAGCCAAGAAGAAAGCGGACGCTCTCTTCGAGGCAGATGCCCGGAAAGGGACCGGACAAGATCGATCAGATATTCATCTCGATGTGCACGCTTGCGGATTTGTAAAAGTTACTTGAAGGGCTCGGACTGACCCCGGGACCGAGACTAGAGTCTGGTGTTCGCGTATATTGTGGACCAAGGGGTGCCGTTGTACCGCTAGTCGAAAGGTGAATATCCACACGAACCTGATAACAGGCACAGTACGAGTGGCTTATAACCCAAGGCCCGGCCTACAGTCGCCTCAAGCCCCTCCCGTCAGTGACAGCGCACCACCACGACGAACCCGCACGCGCTGCTTCGCAGAAATAGACTTTAGTACTCTACGCTTGGCCATGCCTTCTGGGTAAGTATATTTCCGAGTCGAAAACCAATGGTCTTGGCGGGTAAGGCGGATGGCTGGCGGGAAAAAATGCCACATCCGGCGCTTGACCTCGTCCATGGTCATGCTAGGGCTGCGGGTTGGTTGACACGAATTCCGCACCCGATCCGACTGTCGAGACTGAGAATGCAAAGTATAGCCTCGACTAATTAGAAATTGTGCTTGACTGAAGAACCGGAGCAAAAGATAATCAAGAGCCCTCTTCGGTCGATATAATTAAATTGAGGCTTATGGTGATAAACGGTTGGCAGCCATGTACGTATAAGTACTATTAGTAGTTATAAGGAAGGTGAAAAGCCTGACTCCAGTCCGCCGAAGTCGCTAAAGTTAGGACCTGAGATACCTGGGGACCGGAGCCTAGGGGGAGGGGCGGCGGGGATGCGGGCATTCGTATTGGTGGAGAGCCTATGAAGATGGGTCCATGTCTATGCTCCCTCCCGTGTCAAGCACTCAGACGAGCGGCAACTTACATGTATGGATTGATTGATGGAAGGCCTCAAAATGCCTGATCTTCTGAATGTTGTTTGCGAACGAGGAAAGTGGTCTGATTTACCTGCAGCCCTGCGCCATGCACATTCCAGTCGACGGTGCCATGTGTGTCTCTCGTGCAGGCTTTGCAACGTGCTTCCCACGCTTCAGAGGCTAAGACATCATGACTCGCCACGAATGCTACCAGGGGATGCACAGGCACACTGTCCAGTTGTGGTTAGACGACACTTTGAAGTCTCTGTTTGCGGGCAAGGTACATGCCCAAGCTACGACGAAGTTGCCGCTTGGGGACGACCCACTGATGAACACGCGTAACGCACGAGCCTATTTGGAATGTGATTGTCCTGAGAACCTATCAAGTTATCAAACTACTGGGTGTGCAACAGGGCGGCACTTGCACTCGGGAGCAACATGCAGCTGTCAACTACCCGCCCTGTCAACGAGAACCAAGTTCTAGACCAGCCCAAGGACGAAAGCGAACTCTATGGAGACTTCTCTATCCATTTGGATACACTCTCGTTCGTGTCAATCCAGCCAAGCCAACCGAATTGAGTCAACCGAACTGAGTGAACCAAATCGAGTCACCCGAATTGAGCGAGGGTTCGGCGCCACCCCCCCGAACCAGGAAGCTCGTATGTAGACGGGAATTCCAGAGGCTCTTCGTTCTACTTCCGCTTTTGAGAACATGAACTTTCAGAGAAAATTTCGTTCTTGGAGGCGATGGAGCATTCGGCCAAGGTCCGCTGTTCTTCTGGGTGCAGTAGACGAACTCTTGGCAGCATGGCGCCTCGTCGTAAAGACAGGCTGATACCCATTGCCACCATTAGCTAGCAGTTAGGACTCAAGTAAACGTGTATTGAGCACCTCTCATTCTGTCTTCTCTTCCTTTCCTGCATTGGTAATGGCACAATCTTCCACGATGGACGATGCGGCTTTCAGGCCACAGAACTACAGCCGCCCCTTTTCCCGACAAGCGGCTGAGGAGCCCACGCGTCCTCCCCTAGCAGTGCTGCAGCTTGCGCCATCCAAGAAGCACGCTGGAAGGTCAGAGTCTCTTCCTCAGTCGGCCTCTGCTCCTATACTTACTCAGGTATGCTTTTCCTGGCCCTCTTTGAGATGCATGGGACTAAGACCGTCAACAGGCACAATGTCAAAGCAGTCGGGCAAAATCGACACCTCTTCGTCCCGAAACAGCTTCCTCTTCAGGCTTGAAGTCATCATACCCTAGCTTTCGTTCTTTCTGGAGCCACGGAAGGCCGTCCACATCGTCATCGAACGATTCGACACAAAGCCGCGCCTCGGTCAAATCCTTTCGATCAACTTCATCACATTCGCCCCTGTACATGTTCAAGAATGCCATGAAGTCCGGGAAGCAACTGCCGTTTGAGCAGCCTTCTCTCACGGATGAGCAATTCGAGACGTTCGCGAAGCTCACAACGGACCAACAACTTCTCCGCAAGCCGGGGACATGGAGAAAGGTTGTTGGTCGCTTCGTGTACTTCACACTCATACTTTGCTTCATATACTTCTTTCTGGTTGGCAAGCCCCTATGGGACGGCGCAATCGTCTGGTTCTGGCGCTTCTACCACGGCGAGCTTGCCAACCACTCGATATGGGGAATGTTCGCCTTCATTATTGCTGGTACGCATAGGAACATTCTTCCACAGCTGCTGTGTACTTTCGACAGGGGAATACCAGGCTCGGATCCAGAGAAGCCGAGGGATGCGTCAGAATGCTGCATCGTCATCCCATGCTACAAGGCCGCGGAGACGCTACGCGCCACGATCCCGGCGTGCCTGAAGATCTTCCGCCCAGAGCAGGTCTTTATCATCGCCAACGGCAACTCGCCCACGCCGCTAGACCACACAGCAGACGTCTGCGCAGAGTTCGGCGTCCGCCATTTCTGGGTCCCTGTTGGTAGCAAAATTACCGCCGAGTTTGTTGGTGTCGCTGTGGCCAGAGAATACAAGTATGTCATGCTCATCGACGACGATGTCCTTCTTCCAGAGAACCTCCCTTTGCCGACGCATCATTTTGATGATTGCGACGCGAAAAACAGGGTGGCTTGTGTTGGATACACCATCAAAAGCGTCGGATCTAATTCGTCGCGGGGGACTCTCATGCAGCAGGCACAAGACTTCGAGTACAAAGTCTCGGGGCTTGCAAAGGTGCTGCAGACGCATTATGGAAGTGTCGTCTTCCCGCACGGAGCCATTGCCCTTTGGCGGCGGGACGTGCTTGAGAAGATCTTCCACGCCCATCCAGGATATCACATTTCAGAGGATTGGTACCTCGGTCACACAGCTAGAGCCGCTGGTTACCGTATGGTCATGAACTCGCAGATCTTCGTCGAAACCGAGACGCCGCCTAGTCTATTCCCGCCTATTTTCCGACGCAAAGGCGACGGCGGGTCGAGGGGTGGTTATGGCGAGATGAGCATTTACAAACAGCGGTTCTACCGATGGAACTTCTTCTTCCTGTTCCGCATATACAACAACTTTCTGTATATTCTGTTGAGTTGGAGGCTGGGGTGGCGCGAGATTATCACCAAGATTTACGTCTTTGGCGAGTGCTACGACTCGTTGATCCGCCTGATCGCCCCCGTGGTCTTGCCGATTGCTCTCGTCGCGAGCTGGAAGCTGACGCTCACTGTGACCGCCGCACTCATGGTTGTCAACTGGGGTATCATCTTGTTCTTCAATCTTATTCATCTGGGGCTGTTGCGCAGAGGTCGACCGGACAACGAACAGGTCCCGTGGATTGCATTCTTCCCGTACATTTGGCTCAAATTCGCCATGGTTTGGGTCAATGTGGCGAGCGTCTACTGGAGCATCTACGAGTACGCCTTCTTCTTCACGCAGCAGCATCTCATGGTGACAGAGAACGTCTTGGCATGGCAAGTCATCCGCGAGAGCAATCGCGGTACAGTGCAAGTGTTGGCGGCAGCGGAACCGTCTGTTCTAAAAGCCTAGTCGATAGGAAGCAATCACTTTTAAATAATACTGGTCTCACCTAGCATGCCATCTGTATCTCGTCTGCTTCCTGACCCCAAAACCGACAGTTTCACTTGTAGCCCTTCGTTATCTTCTAGATTGCTTAATTACCTCGACTGACTATCGCAATATCGCGCGTAGCGCCTCCATTATCATTCATATAGCTGCCTTCGACCTGAAATCTTCAGCTTATTAACATATCCTACAGTTATTACCCGCACCCCCTGTACTATTGTAACTCATTGCGGATACTAAAGTCACTATCACAGCCCCAAGCTACGTGGGATGATGTGACACGTTACCATGTAGCGCCCATCTCAAATACCAATTCCCATGCGGAGATGCATGCACACAGCCACACACTTCCTTGCCTTTGCGCCGTCATTGGTAGACACTGCCATTTTAAGCGCCGACGCGCTTATCCCGCAAGTTGCCGGAATGGGTGTAGTAGCACCAAGACAGCGTAGGGCTGCAGATTCGTCATGTTGCCTGGCCTTTGCCGTGGTCGCGTCAGGCTTACGAATAGTCTTGACCCTCTGGTCGTGCTACGCCACCATGGCCCGTAATAGTTTATAGTTTCCAAGTACTCGACACACTGGCTGCTCGAACACCCCGGCTTATGTTTTGCGAGAGGGTGGGTCTTTGACGCCTCTCACCCCCAACCATTCATCCCACAAATGAATCCGCACTTGTGCTGCCGCATAGGATGCGCTTGAGCATGTAATGCAAGCTTGATCACCTCGTGGACAACCAACAACGGCATCGAGCATCGGCAGAAGCCCTTCCTGTTCGGGCCCCCGATTGGGAAGCCCCACTTTGGCCCGTGCAGTGGCCCCTCCCCGTCCCGGTATCTATATTTAGCCCAACATTGAATGTCGGTCGAGGACGGAGGACCGGTAAACAGGATGTGGGGGGAGAGCACGGTGAGTACAAACTACCTCCGTAGGTCATGTATGGATGATAGAAGATGCTCGCAGTGGTGTGGACCGCCTTCATAACGCTACCGACAACCTCTTATCTGGCGGTGAACCTTAGCCGATCCGAATTCGGTCTGCAGAAACCCCTTGACGCCTAGCAATGCGTGTCAAAATCCCTTCCCAAAACCATCTCATTTCTGTGTTTGCCTGCCATCGCCTCGTCCGTGGGTATATACAATGCCTGTCGCGGCTTTCACGGGGATCCGGATGGACCAGTTGGCGCAGCATATGTGCCAAAGCCGCCGTGCTCGGCAGCACCATTGTCTGTGCTCATCGTGCCGTTGAGCAGAGGACATAACCTTGAAAACGAGCAGTTAGCAAAACAGTCTTGTGATAGATGCGGATGGTCATGATGGGACGAGAGGTGAAGCGTCCGATTTCACTGGAAAAAGCGACTCTTGGTGGGCCTGTCGTCACCGTGCTCGAGCGCCAGTTGGGCTTTGTACGATTCAAGCTCTGCGCGCTCTCGCTCGGCAACTTGTCTCTTGGTTTCTGGCTTTGCGGCTTTGGGGGCTTTTGGTGGTTTTGGTGATTTGGGGGGCTTCGGCTGCCGGGGAGTCGGAGCCTTGCTCGGTCCCTGGGCTGCTCTCTTGGCCTGTTTGCGGTCTCTCTCTTTCTGTAGCTTCTCGGCACGCTTTTCTGCCTCGGGGCGCTGCCTTCTTGCCTCAAGACGTCTTTTTCGCTCCTCGACGGCTTCGCGCTCCTCAGCTTTCTTGAGATCGGCGGCCAGCTTTTTCTGCTGCTTTGCCGCAGTAAAGATCGAGGCACATAGCACTGTGATCTTTTTCTTCTTCCCATTCAAGGCGTGCTCGGGCGGGATGGACCACCAGTCAAAGGGCTCTCTGGGGGAAGGGATAACGATGGGGGGAGGTGCAGGCATACTTCTTGTTTGTCTTGATGTGGCCAACTTGCCCACAATTGGCACACTTGCGGGTGGTGCCGGTCGGGACCTTATCGACCGATGCTCCTCCTCCGGTGGCGCCTGGAGAGCCGGCAGGTCCGTTTGCATTCTTGTTGTGGAGTAGCTCTTTCTGTTGCTCTCGGGCCTTGCGGCGGGCTTGATTCTTCTCGAGGCGGTCGAGTTCCTGTCGAATTCTGCAGAATCACAATTAGAGGGTGGCGCACGACTGCAGAGGGCTCTGGACTTACCTAAGTTTGCTAGTACGGTCTGCGTCGGCATTGCCCGTAGGCTTGGAACTGTAGATACTGCACACAGATACGCGTAAGCCGGTGCTCTATACTCGAGTCCAACTGGGTCTACATTCACTCCAACGGAGCCAGGCCCATGAGGACGCCTCCTGCGGATGAACTGCTTGCAGAGATACTTGGCTTTGTGCCAGCTGCGATCGGATATACGCAACTTGCGCCATATCCGTGGGGGTTGCGCTGTGACAGTTTCATAACGAACGAGTTTGGCAACGTACTCTTGAAGTTCCATGTCTCGCTCATCCCTTCGTCTCGTGTACTGAGATGCGACAACTGGGTCATAGACAATTTCGGTGCGCGTTTCTTCGGTGCCATCAGGCAACTCGATGACTCGGGTAATTCGCAACGCTTTCTTGGTTTGGTTCGGGTCGTATCCGCTCAGCTGGCTGACGCCTTCGTCAAATTGCGCCGGAGTAGCAGCCGCGTTCGCATTGAATCGGTCGTCCTCGTCGGTCGTCTGCTGGATATCGGCGTCGTCGTGTTCCTGGCCGTCGGACAGTGTGCGCTTCTGCTCTCCCCAGATCTTCCGGATGCCTTCTTCGTACAAGGCCTGCTGCTTCTTCACATTGTAAGCATGGCCACCGTTGGCACGCTTTTCGCGCTCCATAGCATCGGCCGACGTAGCCATGGGTCCCTGGACGGCCTCAATGTAGCCACCCTTCATACTGGTCCGGATGAAACTGAAGCCCAGGCCATGGCCGGTTGGGTCGCCAGGGCCATGCAGGGCAAGCATGGCCTTCTGGGCGCATGCATCGAGGAATGCCTTGGTCGTTTTCCAGGGGGCCATTTTGTCGGCCAGCGTCTCCTCCTGCTTTTCTGCTGCCTTTTTAGCACCGCCTGCTTTGGGTGCCTTGCTTCCCTCGTCGTCGTCGTCCTCGTCTCCGTCGGCATCTACTCCCTGCCCGTCTTCTTCGAGATTGGCATTCCGAGGGTCGTAACCGGCATCGACAAGCTCTTTAATGCCCAACTGCATACTATCCAGTAGAGAGACATCCTCCGGTTTCACCATGGCTCGCGTTGTGCTTTCGTCAGGAAGGACATCACCTTTGCGAAGCGTCCAGTGACCCTTGGGGTGCGACTTGTCTTCCAACTTGTAGTACTGGAGGAATTCCTTGAGCTTCTGTCGATTCTGGGCGTCCGTCGAATCCGCGATATGCTTCGTCATCGCACTCAGATGGAAGTACCCGAATTTGCTGTGCCTAATCATCCTAAACGCCAACATTTTCATCCGATTCTTGGAGGCGTTCGTAACTCTGCGGCTGTGTGGGCCAGGTACCTCCACAGACGGGAACTGCTGGCCGACAACGTGCAAGTGGTCAATCTTGTGCATGTACCACTTGGACCCCTCGGCACCGGTCGAGCTGCGAACGATGAGGAAGTCGGTGTTCCTGGGCGCGTGTTTGAAGATGGGCGCTCGGTACATCTCGTTGTGCAAGGTCGGCACCGTCTCTCCCGCGTCAACCGTACCAAATGTGGAGAACGGCGAGCGATCCTCTGGTAGCAAGAATCTGTACTCTCCTAGTTCTTGTTTCGGTAGAGACTCGTCATCCTTGGTGTCCTTGCGGCGATGATAATTGATAATTTTGCTGCCCATCGCGAAGTTGTTGAGCACCCTTGGCCGTGGTTCACAGTACTCGAACAAGACGGCTGTGGAGTTGTCGTTCAGACTGAGATCCTTGGTGGATTGAAACACGTCGTGGGCCTTGCCGCGCATGTTCTTGCGCTTGTGAATGAGAGGCTTGTCGAACTTGATGGTGTGCCCTGCGAACTTCTTGTAGCGCAGGCGAGGGCGGTGATATTCGTCGGCTGTGCCAGGAAGCTTGACCTTGTAATATGGCCAGCTGAGCTTGTGGGCTGGCATTCCGTGCTCCACCGCAATGTTGCCGAGCGTGGCGCGCACCTTGTTCTGATGATTTTCCTTCAGCATGTCGTACGCCTCGTCATTTGACAAGTTGAACCTGGAAGTGATGTCGCGACCCATCTTGCCGTTAGCCATACGTTTCTTAGTGTCTGACTTGTCAAGGCGTTGTCGCTTAGCGTTGCGCTGACTCTCCGTAGTCTCGAGCAAGAGGTGAGGATCGGACATTTCAAGATGCACGCGCTTGGCTCCACGTCGTGTCGCATCCTGAAAATTGTCAAAGGAGGGAGCTGAGTGCCTTGGAATCGCTGGCAGTCCTGTTACGATCTTGCGCTTCTTGGGAGCGGGCTGCGCTGGTGCGTCCGTATCCATGAGAAACTCTGCATCCCATTCGTCGTCCTCCTGCTCCCCTGAGACGCGTTTCGAGGCCTGCGCGGCGGCCACTTCCTCGGCCGTTCGATACTCGGTGAACTTTTGTTCTACCTCGCCAATCTGCGCACCCCAATCCTCGCACGCCATTTCAATGTCGCGAAGTGTGAACCCCATGATCGGCTCCGAGTCGGACTCTTGATCCAAGTCGAATTGCACAATGTCCACTGCCTCTCCATCAAGCTCCTCGTTGCACCTGACAAGGTATGGGATATTATCCTCCTCCCTCGCCTTGGGCACGGTAGCCTGACCTCCCGGGACACGAAAGGCGACCGAGTCATCGGGAGCCAGCTCAAGCGTGAGCTTGCTGGTGACGAGGCGTTTTGGCTTCTTGGGTGGCTTCTTGCCCTTCCAGACGGCGGCTTTCGGTGGCAGAAGCTCGCTCCACGTTAAGATGTGACCTTTCTTGTATGCGGGCCAGGCGGCTTTGAGCAGGTCCTCCACACTCTCCACTGCCTCGGGGATCGTCAAGTCTTGATTGTCGCCGGCTCCAAAGGTCGGCTCCGGGTCAAAGTTGAGGTTCTGGAAATTCAAATTATGATCTGTTGCTTGCGTGTCCTCCCCAGCATCCTCGTCGTGAACCTGAGCGCCCGGCGAGGTGGCACCCAGCACAGGGTCGATCGGCGAGGAAGGGCCTTCGCCAAAGAGATCATCGGCATCGTTGCTCGTCCCTCCATCGTCTGTCAGTGCGGGGAGCTCAAAGGAAGCTCCGACAGGAGCCTCCTCCTCATCCGGCAAGTCGTCATCGCTAATGTCTTCAAAGTCCTCCGCATCGTCGGCCTTGTTGGTCTGGTCGAAAGGGTCGTCGTTGATGGCAAGGCCCTGGCCAGGCTCCTGCTCGGCGTTTGCGAGAATGCGCTTGATCTCCTGGTCGTCCGCCACGGCCTGGGCATCCCAGTCGGTCTCTTCAAACGAGGGTGAGCCAGCCATGATCGCGGCGATGCGAATGTGCGAGACGCGCACCGCGCGCTGACTGCAACGGGTCGCGTGATAGTCTTAAAGCGCTTATATCATGCTTTTCGATCGAGATGTAGGGTCGCGCCGCTTCCTCGACGTGCTCGCGCGCGTGGTAGGCGATGGGCGATCTGTGGTGATGATGTTTGATGGTCACTGGATCACGTTGAGGGATGAAGGTCCGGGAATGGGATAACTTTGGCTGAGTCAGCGGAAGCTGCCTTTCTGAAAGTGGGGCGCATTTCCGGGGGCCGGCTGTACGTACTTCATGCGACACCAGGCGTTCATGAGGAGGATGAATTGCCTTTTAGAATTTGCGGGCGAATGATCTTTGTTTATGTTTTTGTTTTGTTTTTTCGCTTTTTTTCTGATTTGAATGTTCCTAGAGTTACTTCCTACCTAAGTAGACAGAATCTTCCGTTAGTCGCCGCCCCAAGCTCGCGTCAACGTCACACGGACTTGTCCTTGTCCGCTAACTCGGCGTAATTGCAGTATCGACCGATGTAAGGGTCACTGAGATGCTCATATGGCAGTTGTAGTTCAGACGTCTGCGTTGTTTCGACAATTATAAAGCCCTTAAGTGCCAAGCTTGACGTGAACATGGTACTAAATAACTACGTTAGGTATTTAGCGTGATGCTTTTGGATAACCCCAGCTCAGGGGATTTCAAGTTCGCATAAGAACCATGATCATCTCGAGCGACATTACGCATCCCCTCAACTAGAATCCGTCTCATCTAATTCTGCATGTCGCATCACGCTCTCGCCCTAGCCGTACATTTTTACGATAATGTGGGACGAAGCAGCGAATGTGTTGATGAGATAGAATGTGCAGGGTGGCCAGAAGCACTCAGCTCGGGATGTCCTCCCGAAGCGGGTAAAGTCATGTCCTGCGAAGTTCCCAACACATCGCATCAGAGTCATTCGCGACTTTCTATGCGAATCAACCCGAGCATGTGGACCTCTCGATCAGGGAATCTCGCTCCTATTAAAGAGTCGCAAAGTCTTGCGCAGCTCTAGGCACCACCAGACATCAACATTCGCGCCTTTTCCCAATCGACCCTTCTCTTCCTCACCAATGGCCACATCTATGCTTGAAGATCAGCTCAAGGAGCAATACCTAGGCAAGACGCTACACGATGTACCAACGCCATCGGTGATTCTCGACCTAGCGAAACTAGAGGTCAATTGTCAACGCATGCTGGACGCTGTTGATCGGCTCTCCCTTTCATGGCGTCCCCATATCAAAACGCACAAGGTACGGAGGCACATCGATGCACTTAAACAAAAGGCGACTAATGTCCATAGACTACTCAGCTCACAAGGCTGCAAGTTGGCGACGATGCCAGCACGCCTGTCAAGTTGGTCGTTTCTACAGTACTTGAAGCCGAAAACAGCGTACCGCTCCTGAAAGGGTACCAGGGCAAGGGCCGCAAGGTGAACGTATGCGATAGTGAAACCCTGTCCAAAAAGGCGTGCACTGACTTCGTAGGTACTTCTTGGAGTCCCTTTATTCCCATCGGGTGTCGACCGCCTTTCCAGTATCTCGAGCCAGCTTGGACCGGAAGGCCTCGCGCTTATGATTGATCATCCAGAGCAGCTCTCACTGGTAGAGGTCATTCGCGAAAGGTCGGGCCACCAGCCCCTTTGCTTCATGAAAGTTGACGCAGGGTACCACCGCGCTGGTGTGATCCCCAGTACGCCAGAGTGCGAATTCCTCGTCGACGCTATCGTCTCAAGCGCTGATCGGGGCCACTGCGTCTTCCATGGCATATATGCCCATGCTGGGCAATCTTATGATTGTCGCGAAGATTGGCAGGCTTTGGACTTCCTTACTGCGGAGTTCAAAGCCTTGGAAGCTGTAGCCGCTGTTGTCAGGAAGAGACGGCCATCTCAGCCTCTGACGCTCTCTGTTGGCGCGACACCTCAGTCGACCAGCTTTCAGCATCCTGACATAAAATCTGACAGCCCGTCCGACCCTCGGGCTGGGCTAGTCTCTGAATATATGCAGCGACTCACGTCGCAAGGCTTACGGCTCGAAGTCCACGCAGGCGTGTATCCGACGCTGGACTTGCAGCAACTCGCCACCCACGCTCGCGACACAACACTTCTATCGTCTTCCAACATTGCCATCTCGGTCCTGTTTGAGGTCTCATCACTTTATCCTCGCCGCGGGCCCAAAGGGACTACCGAGGCAATGATCAACGGTGGGTGCCTGGCGCTTGGGCGCGAACCTTGCGCGGATATGGGCCCGGAAAAGGGGAAACATTACAACGGCTTTGGCATTGTTACGCCTTGGCGTACGGGCAACCCTGAGCCTGGGCAAGCGTTCCCAGCTGTACATGGCGGGTGGCAGGTGGGTAAGGTTAGCCAAGAGCATGGGATCTTACGATGGAAAGGCCCCCCAGAGGAGGAAATTGAGTTGAAGTACGGGCAAAGGGTGAGGATTTGGCCAAACCACTCATGTGTGGCGGGCGCATGTTATGATAAGTACTTTATTGTGGATAGTCGGCTTAAAGGGAGGGAAGATGAGATTATCGATGTGTGGCCGAGATGGAGGGGTTGGTAGGTAGTCAGATGCGTGAGGACTGGAGCTTGAGTCCTCTAATAAGGTCTCATGAACGGAAATATCTGTCATTTGCAGTTCTTTGTCTTGAAGCAATTTTCTATGCTCAAGGAGGTGGCAATCTTAGGGGATGCTACTCTGTGGTAGACGCTGCCACGCTACCTGGTAGGTAGCACTCGCCTTTTTTCTAGTATCGATTCATTCTGTGCTCCCCTAAATATACTCTTGCATGTTTTTGTCTAGTGACATGCTCAGATACTGGTGCTGTGTCCTTTGTATTCAATCAGGTATAGATGAAGCAAAGAATTTGAGGTAGGTAATCCGAAACTCAAGTCGCTGAGGTCACAATGCTCAAGATGGATTTGAACCTGCTACTCGGCGAATCGTAGAGATTCCTAATTAGATAGAGATAGAGAAAGAGAAAATAATGTATAAACGAACGTCAGTTTCAGAGTATGTCGTTGTAATTAGATCGAATAAATGGTTCACAGTTGTGAGATCAGTAGATCTTGTTAGCTACAGGGTAGGCATGGAATCGGGCATCTGGGAACTCGGACCCTCGGCCGACCAATTTAGACAGTTTTCGTCCACACACTTAAATATCAAATCAGTGGCATCGTCTTTATCACATCTCAAATCACCCAAACTGAGCGAGAATATCTAGAAGCGGGAGTCTCATTACCTTTTCGTTGCGGGAGGCCTCGCTCAAGCCACCAGTCGAATCGGCTTACGACCAACGTCACCAGGATCCACGGACCACGCGTCAGGTCAGAGGACGCATGTCAGGCCTGGCTAAGACAACAGCATTTGACACGGAGGACAATTGATTCGCCGCCGCATAACCACGTCCTCTTGTATGCCTCAGTCATGCGCTTCAGCACGTTTCTCACCCTGGCGGTGAGTGCGACAGCAGCTGCCGCCACGCCTTTCCTCAAAGCTACCGAGTTCCTCAACCCGAAGCCCCCGAATTTGATGGCAGACAATGTCCCTGAGCCGAAGTACTTTCGTAAGTCATTGGTTCGCTATTGCCCCGAGAAAGTGGCTATGCTGATCATGAAGGCGAAGCGAGCTTGAACGGCCACTGTGACTACCGTTTCTACAAAGCGGACATTGACGAGGCAGAGCATCAAGAAGGACTGAGATTACTAGTCCAAACGTATCTCCATGTTTGCAATGAGCTCAAGATCCAGACATGGCTCATGCACGGGTCATTGTTAGGGTGGTGGTGGGGAAAGAAGGTTCGCCCATTGACGACCACTAGACATGTTGGATTGCTGACGGAATAGATCATGCCTTGGGACTTGGACGTTGATGTCCAAGTCACAGAATCAGATATGTACTACCTCGCGGCGTATTACAACCGTACGGAGTTCTACTATGTCCAGCGTGGAACAGGCCAAGGACGAACATATCTCCTCGATGTCAACCCCCATCACGTATATAGGGGACGTGATGATAAGCTCAACGTTATTGACGCGCGCTGGATCGACACCACCAATGGACTGTACATTGACATCACTGCCGCTCGATATGACCTGGACCACGAGCAAGGCGAGGGCATGCTGTACGATAAGCATAACCATGAGTATCGAGTATGTTGTCTCAGCTTTGGAGCATCTGGGTTGCCGCTAATCGAACAGGATACCTACATTTTTCCGCTACTGGAAACCACATTTGAAGGTGTCACAGCAAAGATTCCCTACAAATACAAAGACATGCTGATATCCGAGTATACCGTAGAGGGCTTGACGGACAAGGAGTACCACGGTCATGTCTTTGATGAAGAGGAAATGAAATGGGTTAAGGCGGGTATGTGAGCCTGTCGCAGAGTACCATGTATTTTTGTAAAACGGTTTGTACTACGTTCAGCACTTGGGTTAGCGAGGAGTTTTGGGGCTATGTGAGATTATATCGTCGTATGTAGGGCTGATATAGAAAACCAATCAAAGGGCAAGGCCAGCAGAAATTATTTATCGCCACACGCTACCTAGATACCCACGGAGCATTTGACATGGGCGAAATATTTGGCCATTCTTGGAGGCCATTCTGTTGATGCGAGGCGGCCACATGGGTGATGCCCCGCGGACCTCTAAACGCGTCACAAGGCGCGTTTGCTGATGGCTTTGCTCACATTGACACCACCACAACCACAATCATTGATATGTGCTATGGATCCATGAAAAAGTCCCATTGATACAATGGCTACTGGTGAGTCGCAAGCACTTGGTGTTTCTGTCGCGCGACAGCGGTAACACGTGTAAACAGGCCGTGAAGCGCGCGCAGAGCGCTTAAACGATCGCCTCCGAGGTGCAGGGTCGGTTCCGCTCTCCCAAAGCCCGCTAAGCAGACTTCTTACCTGTTCACAGACGCGTCAATATCGAGGACGAATCATTCAATCTTGACCTGGGCGATTTTGCCATCCCGCTGCCACCGACGGAAGCTGCGCTCGCACCACCACAACCCGAACCAACACCGCCAGCTCCCGCGCCAGCACAGCCGACGTGGGAAGAGTCGCCCAGTGAGCGCAGAAGGACCGAAAGCCCGCCATCGCATCTCGTAGCGCAAGATGACAGAGCAAGACCGGCGAGGTCGAGAGACCCTTACAACTTGCCCGACACGTCGGGGGAATCAATATCGCAGGCAAATGGTGACTCAACTGTAGTCGATGCGCCCTCGGAGCTGCCAGAGCCACAAAGCGCCGAACTACATGAGTCCGAGTTACGAGCACGCAGCGTCTCCTATGCCCATAACGTTGCAAGTCCCACAAATGAGAGCGACCTATTGGCGTTGGCTAGCAGTGCCCTTGCTACAAACGAGAGGCTGCGAGAAGCCCTGAGGAGCGATGATGGCCTGCCGGAGCCATCGTCCCCCCTGGTGGCTAGGGAGAAGAGAAGCAACATCAGAAAGACCTTGAGGCAAAGCCGCAGTAAGTCGCCGGCTAGCCTTGACGAGTCTGCGAGAGAAGACCACGCGGAAACGGACAGGGTCCAAGAGCAACGTGGCTCGCCTGCTGTGGTGGAAAATCCGGATGGACAGGCAGACGAAGTGACAGATCCCGCAGCAGATCTTCTGAACTTGGAACCAGCGCGATCAGATCCCAGTGTCCCGCCTTCGGAACCCAATATCGCGTCCGAGGCCGCGGCAGAAGCAAGCCCCGAGCCCCATCCTGAAGCAGAAGAGGAGGTGGTAGAAGAACTTCATACCGCACAGGCCCCCGGAGCCACTGGTCGCAAAAGGTCACGCCCAAGTCCGCCACCTCGAAGATTAACACAAAGTCCAGCAGTGGACGAGCAAGAGGACGTTGAAGTCGAGCTGGAGCTTATTGCACCAGCACGAAAAAGAGGACGTACCAAAACAAGCCCAGCCGTGCAATCACAAGGCGTCAAAGCCAAGTCCAAGCCTGATTCGCGCGCAGCTAAGAAGGCCAAGCCAAAGACGAAGCCTAAAGCTCGGAGACGACAAGACAGCCAAGCAGACGACGGCAACCAAATTGGCATTGAACTCACAATACAGCGCTTGGTCAACCACAAGCCACGCGACGGCGACGACGGACAGCCAGATCCTCTCCACCTGGATATTCCCCACGCCAATCGCTCTGATATAAGCCGCATCGAAGTGTTTGCAAATGTCTGCAGCGATACAATTGCGAAAGCTATAGAAAAGTTCCATCGCGGTATCCAGCGCACATCTGACCCCAAGCAGAAGAAGGAGTTTCGGATCAAGATCCGTGCGTTGGAAGCGTACTCTAGAAGTCTCAAGGTGGACTTCATGAACCAAATCACCCAGGTGAATCATCAGTATTCGTTACAGAAGAGGGTACGAGACGCACAGAAGGAGAGACTCGGGTTGCGAGAAGAGATTATCAGACTCAGGAAAGAAAGGGAGCAAGTAGCTCTACGGATGGACGCGGTGAGGATCAAGCACGAAGACGACTCGAAGGAGGCTACGGTGAGTGATACATTTGCTTGGACTGCCGAGCTCTACTGATCGCAATAGTACCTACTCCATACCTCCAGCACAATGCGAGATATCGACGCTGCAGTCGCTGCAGGCGAAATGGCACCGGAGCTACCGACTAAAGCAAAGAGGGAGGCCGAGCTAGCAAATCTGGAGCTGGTCATCGCGCAGGTCGCAGACCAGGCCTGTACGTCGAGTGCAGGAGGAGGCATGCTCTCTCAGATCAAGGAGTTCAACGCCTTGCTCGAAAGGGCAGCCGGGGTTCTCGAGTCGAGATGAGCTTGTCCACTTGTAGACAACGAAGTAATGCGGCAATTTGACAATGAGCAACCATCAAAGTTTATTTGTTCCCTGGCTCTGCTGTGGATTGTATTATTGGATCTTGGCGTTGCTGAAATCCATCTCTGGATGCTGCGCCTGGAACTTCTTCAGAATGTCCGCCTTCTTCTGCTCGTCACTTGTAGGCAAACCCTGCTCCTTTTGTCGCTGATCAAACATCATCTTCTCGACCATGCCCCTCGTCTCGCCATCCAGATCGCCCAGTTTCGAGTTCTCCGGTTGAATCTTGGAGACGTCGATAGTCGGCGCATCCTTGACCACATGTGCCCACCACTCCATCTTGTTCAACTTGTCGAGGTGGATCTCGACCGTCTTGGTGTTGTCCGGGTTCGCGGTCAGGAACCAGGTTGATTCCGACACGTTGATGTCGTGGGGTGTCTCGCCCTTGATGACGGGTTCGTGGCCCTTGAGACCAGCAGAGATGAAGTTGCGCTTGAATTCAATCGCCAAGTCGCGTGCCTTCATGTTGCCGGGAACAGTAAAGGTGACTTCGAGCATGTGAATCTGCTGGGACCATTTGTAGGGGAGGGCTGCCTGCTCTTCGTTCTCCTTGGCGCGGGCAGCTGCCTCTTCGGCGGGTGAGGGATCTATATATTGTCAGTAAAAGAAACTTAGCTCAATCATACATGACTCACCCTTGTCGGCCATATTGAAGCTTTGTTGGTGATGGTAGTGGGATGATGTTCGATGCTGCTTTGGAGGGGCAGCTCTCTGACGTGCTGCTGTCTCCAGATGGCCCGAGCTTTCTCCAAACAATCGAGCCAGCCTTCCCGCGTCCCTCGACTTCCGATCCGACAACCACAGAAGGCACGACGAAATATGCCGCGCGAGACGCAAGCCGAGGAGAACTTCACTCTTGACAGGTGTCCCGCCTGCGGGCGGATGCGCTATCTGAACCATGACATGGAATTTCGAGTCTCGACGATATGCTACCATGCCATTTGCACGGTGTGCATCCGCAACAACTTCCACCAGGGCCCCAGCAAATGTCCGATCATGTCCTGCGGGAAGACCCTCCGCACCAAAGACTTCAAGAAAGCGTGGTTTCAGGACTTGGGCATCCAGCGCGAAGTCGACATTCGGCGACGCGTCGCCACGGTCTTCAACAAGGTAGAGGAGGACTTCCAAGATCTCGACAGCTACAACGCGTATCTGGAGGATGTCGAGTGCTTGACGGACGACCTGGTCAATGGAGACGACGACAAGAAGAAGCTTGCCGAACTCAAGTTGCAGCAGTGGGAGGCCGAGCACCGCGCCGAGATCGAGAGGAACAGACGCTTGGCGAACGAGTCCGAAGCCACACGAAGAAAACGCATGGCCGCCGAGGAGGCCCTCGCACAGCAGCGCCGCGAGCTGGAAATACAAGAGGAAGCCGAGGAGAAGCTCAAGGAGCGCAAGTTCAGGGAGGAGATGCTGGACTCCTTACAGCAAGGCGAGCAGGGCAAGGCGAACGAGGCGGTCAACAAGATCCTGCTCAAGAAACGAGGACAGCACAAGAAGGATGTTGCCATGGAAGCTGCTGGCGCGCCCGCATTGTCGATACGCGGTCTGGTCGATAAGAAGAGAACAGCCGCGGTCGTCGACGAAGGCCCGTACGACCCATTCATGGGGCTGGATCTTTTACCTACGCGGGTGGACGTTTCAAAGGAGCGCTTGGCCCAGTACGACAACGATACCCTGAAAAAGGTCAAAATGGACGACGCTTGGAAGGCCGGAGGTTACAGTGCCGAGGAATACCTCTCCAGAGCGCTGTTCGAGGCATTCGCAGGCCTGGGTGTATTCGTTGACGAAGAAATGGGCGAGCGCGGCGTGTCGACGCAAGGAGCTGCGCAGGCCGCCGCTACGGGCGTCACGGGAGGGAAGATGGACATTGATTGAAACAAACTACGTTTGGTGCATAGCATGGCGTTGGGGTACTTTGACACAATAAAGAGACATGACATCTATTCATGAAGGATACTTCTATTTCCCAGCTTTCTACCAACGAGCAACCCCAGGAACCAACGTGAACGCCTCGCTGGAATGATGCGGCAAAGCAAAAGAGTGTAAAAATAATGAGAGCAGTGAAACGCTCACGAATCACTGCTGCCAGGGCGTTTGTTGAAGTGGACGAGGGAAGACCTGCTGGGTGGGTAGTTGATCCAGTCCGCCCCCCATAGGTTGCTGGTTGTGTTGCCAACCCTGCCCCGTATTGTGGTTCACGAAAGCACTTTGACGGAAAGGGTTCGTGCTGCCTGTCGGCTGAGGCGCGAGGGTGGTGGTCGAGGGTTGAGGTGCATTGGCATTCGTTGCCGGCTGCTGGCGGGCAAAAGGGTTGGTCCCCGTCAGCGTAGCTTGCAAAGGGGCGGTTTGCTGTGCCTGAAATGGAGAATTGTTGCCTGAGGTGTGAGGTGACTGCCCCTGGGACGGGCGGGCAAACGGATTCGTGGACTGGCGGTTTCCGGGGCTGTTGGAACCGGTAGGCGAAGCCAGCATCGACGCAGGAGGACTCTGGACCCCAGTGGGCTGCGTCATAAGCATAGACTGGCGGAAGGGGTTCGTCCCGGTGGGCATGGGTTGAAGACCGCCTGTCTGAGTGGGTTGCTGTTGAGGCTGAGGCTGGAAGCTGGCGACACCATCCTGGGGGATACTGCCCAGAGCACCCGGCTGGAAACCTTGCTGAGGCTGTGGCGTAAACCCGCCAAATCCCGCTCCTGTAAAGTTAGGCTGGAGGCCCTGCTGCTGGGGCTGTTGTTGATAGAAGCCTGTGGGTTGTTGTTGGATGGCCATCTGGGGCAACTGCTGCTGCGGGAAAGGGTTGTTGGACTGGAAGCCAGTCTGCTGCGGCATCTGCTGTGGCATGCTGTCGAATGCGCTTGGCTGGGCCTGTGCTTGTTGCTGCTGAACTTGCACAGGGACTGGTTGCTCTATTGAATCGAAGAAGTCGATGAGGTCGCCCTCTGGTGGCTTGCTCACAGCAGGCTGTGCCGCACTCTGCGTTCTGCTTGCTGATGATGATGCATTCGCCTTGGGAAAGGGGTTGTTCGCAGCCGGCTCCGGGAACTTGATATCATCCGCCTTCTTCGTTAGACTGGCGGTCCCGCCTCCGCCTCCGCCCCTGCCCTTAGCATCCTGCTCTGCGATAAATTGCCGCCTGTTGATCTCAAAGTCCGGGTCGTTCAGATATTCCTCAAGCTGTCTCGCCAAGTGCGTCGGTGCATGCTTCAGTTTCGGCACCTGGACACGTGTGTGGTGCTCATGCTGCCGCGCAACGCTCAAGTATGCGACCACGAGCTCCGTCTGCCGGGTGAACGTGCGGTAAATATCCATAGCCCGCTCCGCATCTGACTTGCTCATCTCGAAGAAGTGGCCTAGCACGCTAATGAGGCCCTGGTTGGCGACTTGGAAGAGGGCCAGAAGATCGAGGACCAGAAGGCGAAAGACGGTGATGGTAATTTCGTTTTCAGACTCATCGCTGAAGACCTCGCATTTCAGAAGCGCAGCAAGTTGGCGCTGGACTGTCTCGGTCTGTCTGAGAAGACCCTTATCCACCGAAAGACCCTCCAGCTTGGATTCGTTGACTCGGACCCAATCTATTTGCGTGTCGCGGTAGGCTTTGGCTCGTTCGGATAGGTATTGTGCGTAATGTCGGATGTTGCGTCCTTGCGTGACCGCTGCTCTTGTCAATAAAATGATTCTTGGTCGCCTTCGTCAAGCATTTACGAACCGTCTGCGAAGTTGCTGATTGCAAGCGCATTGCGGTGCTTGCTGAGATACGACAACGTCACATCGGGGGCTCCCTCGCGAATCATCAGATGCGTCGTGATCAGGCCCTTGAAGACGACCGTCCATGTCGAATCTCGCAGGCGATTCTGAAGCGCCCGAAAGACTTCCCCGACGCCCGCCTCTCCTGAATGTGTGGCTACGAGAATATGCTCAATGTACTTCGTCTTTGGCGGGGCGTTCTTCTCTGGTTAGTAACTGTCTGATAGCTTGGCTAGGTCCTGGGATGGCGCCTACTTTGATCTTGGTGGCGCCTTTGACGGACTTCTCGAACGAGTTGGACATGATGACGATGGGGCAGCTGGCCTGCGGCAGCGCGAGTGGACCAGAACAAGCGCGGACGCGGCGTGGGAAAGAAGGATTGGCTTTCGGCGGATGGGAGGAAATACGAATGCAGAAGCAAGTCTGGACTTGTCAGGCCCGAGCCCGACAGCAATGATGATGAGCGACAGGGATCGTGGGTGGTGGTTGGGCGAACTGGCACGATGAATGGGACCCGGGCAGCGCGGCAGTCCGCAGATAAGGAGGACTTGGCGTTTGGTGGGAGATTGCGTGTGGGGAAAGTACCTCAGCAACATGAATGCGCGTCACTTTCTTCTAGTGCGACGGAAAGAATGCAAGCTATGGGTGATATTTCGTGGCTTCGTTTGGCAAAGGGTACTCCGTAGAGTACACAACATACTAACAAGATTATGTCGCATAGGGTGTACGCGACACTTGTCGCGATATACGCCCTGCTTGCCGCATGACAAAGGCTACACTACACATATTTCCTGTATGACAACAGCATTACCCTAATCATCCCTCAGTAAGACCTTCCATTCTTATAAGAATCAGAGCTTTTTTCCAACGCGTCCGATGCAGTAACAAGGTCGGTGTGTCGGACGCCCATTTCATCCTACCGCTCGCACCATTCCAAGCAAACCACTGGAGCCCCGAGGGGGAGAGTTTGCAGGGTCCGGTGGGCGGCAGGGCATCATTTGGTTCACGCGGTTCTCATCATCTAAAAGCATTGTCAGCGGGATGGTCTCGTGAATGGCAAAGCCTTGCAAGAGGCGGGCAGGAATACTCACATTTTCTTGAATGGAAGGGATAGAGAGAGAAAAAAGAAGAAAACCTTTGGTGGGGCCGCGAAGCTGGAAGTTTTATGGTGGGTCGGTATTTCCTCGGCTCAGGCTGCTCTATGCGAAGCTTCACGCTTATTTCTTGAGAGCAAGCGAACCAAGCGGGTTCACAGAAAAGCGCGTCATGGGACTTCCGAGTTGTCGATGTGGCCTGGCGCTTCGTCGCTACGCCTGTCTAAGTTCAGCCCGGCACGTCGCTTCGCTGCAATGGCCGGCGAGAAGCTTCAGCAATTCCACCTCGAGGCGTAATGCAGGCGTTGCGCCGGAGAAGAAGGCTCAGTTAATGGACGCCTGGTCACAATGTAAGCGTTGTCTGAAACATTCAGGAGCTCACCAGACTGATGGACAGACCGAGAGCGAGTTCAACTGCCACTCGAGAACGGCGCCAACGGTCGATACGTGGGCTCAATAGGCAAGCGTCGCAAAATCAGCAAGCATCTTTCCTTTGCCGATCTGACGCTCCCCTCCGGCCAGGTGTACCAGCTGTGCGCAAAGCACGAGCACGACGCAGAGGCACACAACAAGTTCAAGAACGTCCTGGCGCATGCGCCCGTGCTAGTTACAGGCGACCTTGAACCCGCGAGCGAACCGGGCGCGAACCCGACTATCAACCTGCGAGACATTCAGACCTTGAACGATGCACCAAGCAACCTCGTTGTGACGCCGGAGACAGTCTTCCCGCCAGCAAAGAGGCACCTGCAGATGAAATTTCATCCGGAGATCCAGGCCAGACTACGATTTAGGTCGTGGCTCAAAGGGGTGTTGAACAATGAGCTTCTGAACAAGGGTTTCACCGAGGTCGAAACGCCGACGCTGTTCAAATCAACACCGGAAGGCGCTAGGGAGTTCTTGGTGCCAACGCGGCAAAAGGGTCTGGCATATGCGCTCACCCAGAGCCCACAGCAGTACAAGCAGATACTTGTCGCAAGCGGAATTGGACGATATATGCAATGGGCTCGTTGCTACCGCGACGAGGACTCGAGAGCCGACCGCCAGCCCGAATTCTCGCAGCTGGACATGGAGTGGGCTTTCGCAAAGGCAGAGCACGTGCAGAAGGATGTTGAGGATATTGTCCTGAAATCGATCAGACTTCTCCAGCCAGACAAAAGCTACCGAACTTTCCGTGATGGGGCACGGATACCAGTGTTGTCGAATTTGGAAACACAAGAGAATGGTGGACCGCCAGCGCACTCTTTTGCGAGGTTGACATTTGCCGAGGCCATTGAAATGTACGGTTCTGACAAGCCGGATCTACGTATACCTGGGCGGGTGAGTCCATTAATCGAAGGCCAGCGTGCTGAACTGACTAAACAGATCAACGCGATCCCGATCCCTGACTCTGCAAAGCACTTTGTCAGCATGATCACCCACCTTGAAGACCCCCTTGTAGAAGCCTTCAGCTTTTCTCTGAGCGAGGACCTCCCGCCATCTCAGGTTCAACGGCTAATTGTGGACTTCATGGACGGGCTTCCGAAAGAGTTTACAAAGAACCCACACGGAATGCCGCAGATTTTGATACATGATTCTAGCAAACCTCTGGGTGGTTTTTCCTCTATCGGCCACGACAACGAAAGCATCGTAAGTGCCGCGTCTAACGGGCAGGAGCTCAAAGACGGCGATATTGTCGTTCTCCAGGCCCGACCTGTCCAGAATGGCCAGTACACATCGTCTTCTACCAAAATTGGTGACCTCAGACGACTTCTTTGGTCACACCTCGTCGAGAACGAAGCCATGAGTCGGCCACCCCAGTTAGGCGAACCAGATTCGCTCAAGTTTGCGTGGATCACCGAGTTCCCAATGTTTCAACCTATCGAGTCTGACGAACCTTGGAAGGCCATCGACGCCCACGCTGGCATCGCAGCGTGCCATCACCCCTTCACAGCGCCTCTCGGCAAGGCCGATCTCGAGTGTCTCTTCACGGACCCATTGCAGTCCAAGAGCGCTGCCTATGATCTCGTTCTCAATGGAACAGAAGTAGGCGGGGGTAGCGAGCGTATACACATTGCGGCAATCCAGTCCTTTATCATGCGTGACATTCTCAGAATGTCGGACGAAAGAGTGGCAGACTTCAAGCATTTATTCGACGCCCTAGAGAGTGGCTGCCCGCCGCACGCTGGATTCGCGTTAGGCTTTGACCGGCTGTGTGCCCTGTTGACAGACACGAGTACGGTCAGAGATGTGATCGCCTTTCCCAAAGGCGGAAAGGGTGAAGACCCCTTTGTCAAAGCACCTGGAAAGGTGACCGAACAGCAGTTAAAGGAGTACGGCCTGAGATGGCGTGACTAATGTGTAAATGTATACTCTTGTATGTATATGTACAGTTCGTGTGTTAGCTGGAGGAATTAGAAGACTTTGCTGGCCTTGTGTCCTTCGCTGCCAAAATCTTCTTGATAACATGATGAGACACTCGTTCCATTAGACCCAATGGCTGACAACGTGAAGCGACCGCATCAAAGACCCCCAATGTTACATCCAGGATATTTTTGAAATGCTTGCCGAAGATTTGATGACATCGCCGTTGCGCATTCCCAGCTCCAGGGTAAGCTACGCAACAGTGACCAGCAGTGCGGATAGTCGCCGCGGGCAATTTGCGATATTGCGTACTGTGGTTGAACATTGCTGTCATCCCTATGTCTCAAGAATTTGGACCGGCGTGCACCCTATGTTTACACAGCATGTGATACTACTCGTCAAAGCCCACCACGTCGATTCATTATGATTCCCACACGATGCGCCCCGCCGAAAAAGCCGTGCGAGGCGTCGCCGCGTCACAGTCACAACAGCCTCCCCGCACGCGGGAAGCCGTGCAGTTCCCCGGCCTCTTCCCAACACGATTGCCGATACGACTTCACACAAAGCGGTCAAGAGCCGGCGGAGCTTCCTGTTCGTCCTCATGATGCGGCTTTCGGATGGATAAAGTGCCGGTGTGACGGGTGCCAAGTCCGTCAAAGGATGATTGGGGAGACGAGGTATACCCAGTCCACAAGCTTGACACGCCGTTGAGCTGGGGGTATAATTGGCGGCCAAACCACCAGCGCACTTCTGCGCCGCACGCGATTCCTTCTCCTTAACATCGCGCAAGCAAACCAACACGGGCATGATGAAGTCTATTCTGGCTTTCGCTGGCCTGATCAGTCTCGCAGGCGCAGCGACTTTCGAGTCGCCAGATGTCTACCCTTCACCTCAGGGTCGAGGCACCGGGGCGTGGTCATCGGCGTACGCATCCGCCGAAGCCATGGTCTCGCAGATGACGCTGGAGGAAAAGGTGAACATCACCATGGGTGTTGAATCACCCAACACTTGCGCAGGCATGACTGGTTCTGTCCCTCGTTTGCAGTATCCAGGTCTGTGCCTACACGACGCAGGGAACGGTGTTCGCGCGACCGACCTCGTTACGGCCTTCCCATCCGCTCTGCACGTGGGTGCCACCTGGGACCGGAACTTGACATGGCAGCGAGGCTGGTACATGGGCAAGGAGTTCAAAGCCAAGGGGGTCAATATCATTCTGGGCCCAAACGCCGGCCCATTAGGCCGTAGTCCGCTTGGCGGGAGGAACTGGGAAGGGTTCAGCGTCGACCCTTACCTGTCAGGCAAGCTCAATTATGAGACCATTGTCGCCCATCAGGAGGCGGGTGTCATGGCCAACATCAAGCACTTAGTCGGCAACGAGCAGGAGACCTACCGCCGACCGTACTTTGGCGTCGAGGCCGTGTCCTCCAATATTGACGACAAGACGATGCACGAGTTCTATCTCTGGCCCTTTGTCGACTCTGTCCACGCAGGCGTGGCATCGGTCATGTGCTCGTACCAGCGCGTCAACAGCACATACAGCTGTGAGAACAGCAAGGTGCTCAACGGACTGCTAAAGGAGGAGATGGACTTTCAGGGGTTCGTCATCTTGGACTGGAACGCGATCCACAATCTCAACAGTGCAAATGCTGGACTGGATATGGTGATGCCGCTGGGCGGCCACTTCGGGCAGAATCTCACGGATGCTGTGAACAACGGAACAGTTGGCGAAGAGAGACTCACTGATATGGCCACCAGAATTGTCGCCGCTTGGTATCTGGTAGGGCAGGAGGGCGATAACCTTCCTGCGCCTGGCATCGGCATGTCGAACTTGACGCTACCGCACGAGCAGGTCGAAGCTCGAGACCCTGCCAGCAAACCCAGCACATTGGAGACAGCCATTGCAGGCCACGTCCTTGTGAAGAACGAGAACGGCGCGCTGCCATTCCAAGAGCCCCCCAAGATGATCTCCGTCTTCGGGTACGACGCCACTGTCCCACCGACGAAGAATGTGGATAAGCTATTTGAGCTTGGATACACATCTTCACAGGAGATGGGCCCTGCCGAGCTAGGTACACAGCAGGTCTTTGACCAAGCTGCGAGAGGAGGTGCAATTACTACCGGAGGGCGGGCTGGTGCCAATGCGCCTCCATACATGCTTGATGTAGGTCGACAAACCTCTACCTCCACACCTTGCTGACCCCTTCCAGCCCCTGAGCGCCATCCAGTACAAGGCTCATGAGACGGATGCCTGGGTAAACTGGGACCTCTCGTCACCTCAGCCCCAGGTGAACGGTGCCTCCGATGTCTGCCTGGTCTTCATAAACGCCATCGCCACCGAGGGATGGGACCGCGCTGGCTTACACGACGATTTCTCAGATGGCATTGTGCTTTCGGTCGCCTCGCAATGCTCCAACACTATAGTCATAATTCACGCCGCAGGCACGAGGCTTGTCGATCAATGGATCGAGCATCCCAACGTCACAGCGACAGTCATTGCCCACTTGCCTGGCCAGGACAGCGGGCCTGCCTTGGTGAAGCTGCTCTACGGCGAGGTTGGGTTTTCCGGCAAGCTGCCCTACACAATCGCCAAGAACGAGAGCGACTATGGCGAGGTGCTGCACCCCTGCGGGCTGAAGTTCGAAGGCGACACTGATCCGCAGTGCGAGTTCAAAGAGGGCTCATACCTTGACTATCGCGCCTTTGACAAGCAGGGCATCGAGCCACGTTTCGAGTTTGGCTTTGGTTTGAGCTACACGACGTTCAGCTACTCGGATCTGAAAATCTCGGCCGTGGATATTTCATCGTCGACGGCTTGTAATGGAGACCACATGTGGGATACTGCTGCCGTGGTCACAGTCAACGTGGCCAATACGGGCGACCGTGAAGGACAAGAAGTCGTGCAGCTCTACCTCGCCATACCGAATTCGCCGCCTAAGCAGCTTCGTGGTTTTGAGAAAATTCGCTTGGAACCTGGCGAGCAGGCTACTGTTCGAATAGAGTTGGATAAGCGCGACTTTGCAGTGTGGGATGTCGTGAGCCAACAATGGGTCATACAGGAGGCCGAGTATGAGGTGTTTGTAGGAGCGAGTAGCAGGGATCTTCCATTGAGGGAGAAATTTGTAGTTGAGACCGGCGATATGACTGAGATGGAGATCTAGTCTGGGGACGGAACAAACCTTCGCGTCCTGTTCGCGCATTTGGCGATTGACACATGGTGAAAAGCCTGGTCCGCTTGTGCGGGCGATGTACCGGGTAGTCTGAATGCTTGTCACGATCGATAAGAATAATACCCCACTTTAAAGTTTATCACGACCGGACTTTTCCAAACCTCGTCCCTCCTGCCAACCAACTAATCCACCACCGCCAATTCCACCGAATCATCTGTACCATCCTCTCGACATTTGCCAGCAGTCGAGACTCAACAATCAGCCACAATGTCTTCCATGCGCAACGCCGTTCAACGGCGACCCCATCGCGAGCGTGCGCAGCCCCTCGAGCGACGTCGCCTCGGTCTCCTCGAAAAGCACAAGGTAGCACAAACGCTCGTCGTGTCCGAACGGCCAACTGACATTCCCTACAGGACTACTCCAAGCGTGCGAAAGACTACAACGAGAAGAAGAAGCAGCTCAAAAACCTCCGACAAAAGGCGTCCGAGCGCAACGAAGATGAATTCTACTTTGGCATGCTGTCGCGCCAGGGACCTGGACTACGGTTGAAAGAGGGCAAGAAATGGACGGGAAATGTCAAGGGCGACCGCGGCAACAAGACATTGGATCAGGAGACTGTCCGAAGCCTCAAGACCCAAGATCTGGCGTACGTGCGCACAATGCGGAACGTGGCCGCCAAGGAGGTGAAACGCCTAGAGGAGCAGCTTGTTCTCTCGCGAGGATATGGTCGATATGACGAAGACGACGAAAAAGAGGGCGCGGATGACGACGACGACAGCGAGTTTGACTTTGGCGCACCTCAGAAGAAGGCGCGCAAAATAGTCTTTTTCGACAACGAGGAGGAGATGGAAGAAGCAGTCGACCAGGCGGCTGAAGACGAAGATCTCGAATTGGGAGACGACGATGACAAGCCCAAAGAGGGGAAGAAGGCGGAAGAGGAAGCGCAAAGAGCCGATGCACTGTGGCGACTGAAACGGAGGTTGGCGAGCACGAAGAAGAAGCTCGAGATCCTGGAGCAGGCGGAGCAGGAACTTGATGAGACGCGGGCCAAAATGGCGAAGACCGCTACATCGGGCGGGACTACCAGGCGGGGGCAGAAACTCAAGGTGCGCGCCAGGAAGAGGTAGATGAGCACTTTTGGGGAAAGACGGTTGTGGCGGCTTGTTTGATCCTTTTGGCTGGATTGCCGTGTCCGATATAAGCCATAACATACCATGTTCTTCATCGTGATTCTATCCAAAACTTCGAGTGATATCGGCCAGGACGAAGGGAAACTCAGCATGAGATATGGGAAAGCGTGATCTAACACAAGTACCAAATGGTAGCATTACTTGGAGCCTACAGCAAGGCGTATTTGAAGTCGCGTGGTGAATATGCTAAATATCAAAGAGACAGGCCGACTACGAAGTTTGGAATTTCGAACGGATAGGCGAGCCTCATAAAATCGTAACAACGAGACTCCGCTGAAGTGTTGCAGCAACTCCTGACAACAATGGCCTTGGACTGACGGAACGACGCGTCCGTTGACGGATGCTGCGCGGTCTAGAATCACACCATCGTAACGACCGATGAAATCACGTAGTCACCAAGAGAGATCTGTCCGTTCCCAAAGTCATAATCATAGTCATTTCCATACCCATTATCCCTAGATCCAGCTAGTATTTACTCCCGACCAACCGATAACACGGTGTAAACATAAACTTCAAACACTTGAACAAAATCGTCAACACCCAAATAAACGCCTTGAAGAGCCCCTTGACGATCTTGAGTGGCGCCCTGATCACGAAAGGCAGCTTGTCGATGCCCTCCCTCACTTTGACCTTGTTCTTGCTCTCCTTGCGGACACTGTCGTCCTGACTCTCGAGGTCAATCTCAAACGCCTCCATCTGTGGCTTCTTGCTCCCAAATAAGGACTTCTTGTCCTTCTTATGCGCGGGCGGGGGTGCGCCGATCAGGGCTGCAGGCGGCGACAACGAGGGTGGGGGCTCAAAGGGCTCAATGGGCGCTGGCTGGTTCTTCTCGTCCGCGTTGGCGACGAGCATCAACGCTGTGATGGCGACGTCGACAACGTAGAAGGCCTCAATCTTGCTGGCCAAGCCCGTGTCCACCTCGATCCAGCCACCGCCGGTGCCATCTCTGGTCAGCTTGGCCAGGTGCTTGGGCGATTCGTGGTGCTCAAGTGTGTACTCGACCCTCGACCACGCAGGCGACCTCTCAATGGTGACGCAGAACGGCGTCGCCAGGGCTGGGTGGACGAGGAAGTAGCTGTCTGAATCGTCGTCCCACACCAACCGCCCGCATTCTCTCTCCGCCATCATCTGCGCCTGAGGATCATTGGCCTTTTCTAGCGCCATCTTTGTCGCCGGTGTGGGCATCAAGACGGCCACAAGCCCATCTTCTGGCCTGTGGCGACGAGTCTCCTCCTCCAAGGTTGTGGTCAGAGCTTCTTGCCAGTGTTTCCCATCAGTCATCCTAGAGGAGAGACTGCCCGGATCACTGCCCCCCGTGGCAGCGAGCGCGCCCAGAATCGACGGTGACGACGAAGACGCTGCCTCGGCCGCTGGGTCCTTGTACGGCTTAGTCGGATCGTGTCGCATCACCGTGACACGCGCAGAGGCTGATGTAGGATCGAGTCGGATGTTGTAGAAAGGTTGCGACGACGAAGACAGCGTGTAGACGGGTGCATCCTTCTCCTGGGTCAGCTTCATGCAGTACACTCGCCCCTCGGACGACGACGCCTGCCATCCGTTGGCGACTTTCCAGAAACTCCTGAGCTGCTCGGTCGAGCTGGTCTTTGGCACGACGGGTGGCTCGCTTGGCCGGGGTTGCGCCCAACGATGGGGAGCGGGCTCGCCACCCCGCGGCGAATGAGCGAGGTTGTGGACGCTGCCATCTTCGTCTGGATGCGGGTCGCGCCAGGACTGACGGCTGATGACGGCTCGGGGGATCTGGGTTGGACTTTTCGCCGTGGGCGCATAGTCTTGTTGACCAAGAGGCACATTGGGATTGTATGTTGGGAAGATGGAACGCAGTGGCTGGGCGTTTGTCGCATCACCTCCGTCGTCCAGGGGCAGCTTCGAGATCGAACTGCGCTGCTGGTGCTGAACTGGTTGTGGTAGCAGATTAGGTTCAGCCCTTTGGGTCAGAGCCCCATCGAATTGCAAAGGTGTCTCCTGCCGCCGGTGTTGTCGTGACGGCGACTGCCCTGGCTCTGGGATATGCTGTTGCGGTGTCTGAGCACGCACGCTCTGGGGAGTTGGCGCCCTGCGCTCTCGAGATCCAGATCGGCGGCCTGAGGGTGTCACATTGCGATGAACTGGTGGTGGTCGCGAGCTGTTGGGGCTAGGAAAGAGCGACAAACTGCCTGGTGCTGGTGAAGACATGATGGTGCTTGTAGTTGAATGGGTATCAATGTTGAGGCTATCGCTGCATGGTCGTGGTCGTCGTCTTCTTCGTGTTGGTCGTGGTCGTCCTTATGGCTGTCGTCGTGGTACCAGCCTCGAATGCAGCAGAAACGGAACCCAAATGAGTGTATCGGTCCATCAAGGGCAGACACACGGGAGATATAGCACCCATCTTGTTGAAAGCCATCCAAAGGCGCTTCCCGCTGCGATTTGGCGGGGAGGATGCCCACGATGGCCCAAAAATAGACCCATCTTCCCAGGGGTCTTAGGGGCGGGCCCAATCAATGGACGCATCACACTGCAGGTGTCGTTAAGCGCCCGACGCAGAGGCGCCGCCTTGTCGAATGAGGGAGCAACCCTCTCTTCGAGCGTGCAGTCGGGGCGCTTAATTAGTCGGGCGATCTTTTGGACGCTCAAGTGCCATGAGCCGGTGTTTTTGGTCGCGAACCTTTGTCAGCGACTAAGTATTCGGTTGCTGTTGGTCGCACCGTCACGTCGAAATGCCCGCCGCGGCCTAGAGGAACGCCATGCTGTCTTGCCTTGAGATAAGATATCTTCCTAGTTGTACAAGAGTCCCATATGGTACAGGTATATATAATATGAGTCCAAACGCCGTCCAATGCATCGCGGGTCTCCCTGCCCTCGTTCGTACATCATTTCTTCTCTCTGTCCCTGGCGGCCATGCCACCGACTCGCTCCACCTGTCGCTCCATCTCCTTTTGCCTCGATAGTCGCACGTCGTCAGGCAGTCCCCACCATTCTCTCATAAAGTCTTCTTGCGCCGCTGCCATCTTCTGCTTGCGCTCCCGTGCGCGTTGTCGCTCGAGGCGCATGTTGAACCATTCTTCTCGGGCAAGGTCGTGCTCTTCTTGGGTCGCGTGGCGGGTCATGCAGCCGTTCATGGCGCGATGCTCAGCTCGGCAGGCAAACGACACGGTGAATGTGCGGCCAAGGGCGCAGGCAGCGAAGGCTTGTTCAGTTAGCAGGTGTCACTGTAGAGCAGAGATGGGCTGAGGCCATTGCGATCATAGCAACGCCTCGGCGGGGTCCCTCACCCTTAATCTCGTCGTTGCAGTTCTTTCGTACGCGCGCATAGAAGATATCCCGTACCTGCGCTTCTTGCGAGGCCGACAGTGGTAGCGGGTTGCGCGAGGGAACACCGAGGTGCTCTGTGGGAGCGACTGGTTCGTCTGCGGCCATGGCGGCCATGCGCGAAGTACTTGTGTGTGATGTGAAAGCCGGAAGACGGTCCCCAACTACCGCATTGATGCCTGGTTCGGACGAAGCGTCGTGATGAAGCCGTGGCGGTACAAATCGTGACGAGCAGCATCGGAGCTTCCAGCTCGGATGGAATGAGTGAAGATCTGACCGCCTGCCGTTTATGGAGAGCACCTGGGCAGAACGCGCAGCGCTCCGAGTCCAAGTATTTCTGGAGACGCAGCTCATCACCATCATCATCACCATCACAAGTCCCTGGCATTTTGCATCCTGGTCGTACTTGACGCACTTTGGAAAATCTCCATGAGATGTTCAAAATTCATATGTTAAATCTGATTACGCTGATATAGACACAGAAGCTACCCGTGGCGACACACCCCCCCTGCCAATTCCCCGCTAAACTTGCCCAACCCAACATCACACCTTATGACCGTGCCTAATGCTGCTGGGCTGGCGGGGGCGAGGCCGGAGGAGGCGACGGCATCTCGTAATGCTGCCCGTGCTGTCCACCTTCCAGTTCGTTGGCAGGAGTGTAATTCTGAGGAGGAGACTGCTGCGGATACCCGGGTTGCTGCTGGCCTGAAGGCGGCGGGTATTGCTGGTACTGTCCATACGGCTGTTGTTGCTGGCCATGCAGCTCATGTGTCGGCGGCTGGTACGGTCCTTGCGGTTGTTGCGGTGGCGGGCTGACGGCCTGCGAACTCAAGGAGGGCTGATATGCCTGCTGGGCGTACTGTTCGTGTTGCGGCTGCATCCCAGGCTGAGGCTGATAGTATCCCGCGGGCTGTTGTTGAGGGTACTGGGCCTGCGGCTGGAGTGGCGACTGGACGATCTTCTCTGGCTGGCCCGCCGGGTGCATGTGCGGCTGGCTCTCCATCTGGTGCTCGTTGGTGGTGCCAGTGCTGAACAGGAACCGGCCCTCTTTGCGACCACGGAAGAACATGACCATGGTCCACGCAAAGGTCGCAATGAAAAGCAGCCACATGAGGGCGCCGAGGCCAGCGATGGCAGCCAGCATAGCCGCGCCACTCTTGAAGAGGAGGACGTTGTCGTCCCTCCTGGTGAGGCAGGTCTTGCTGTCCAGGAAGCTGCCGTTGTCGAAGCATCCATACGTCTGGACTCTCACGACGTACCGAGCACGCTCTGCGGCGACGGCGGCAAATGTTGCGAGCCACATGATCACCATGAAGCCTTCCAGGGCCAGGACGGCGATGATGTGGTAGGCCTTGTGCAGCGCAGGGAGCTTTTCGGTGAGGACGACGTAAGCAACGACGACCCAGGTGATGAGGGACTAATTAAGGTAAGTCTCCAGAGCCAAGCTCGCTCAGGGAGTGCACCTACAATCGCCAGCGCGAGGCCCTCTTCGTCAAGGTAGGCATCGTGCATGAGACGACCTGCCAGGGCGACAATGATCAGAGAGATGAGGATTTGGAAGCCACGAATGACAAGCATCCAGAGGGGCGTCTTGAGAACATGGGCATGCGCGCCATCCTCGGTGTGTTCATGCTCAGTCGACATCTTGTTCGCTACGGGTTATACATACGTGTGTACAGTGTCAAGGGCAGGCGGTTGCTGCGCTCACAAAGCTGGGCATCAAGAGCTCTTAATACAAAATCGAGCGACAGGGCCCGCATGCTGCTGGGGGGTCACAAGGCAGACTGGCCACCGTCCTGTGCGCCAGATTCGATGAGTGAATGGCTGATCCTGTTCAGCCGCACCGGCATTGGCGCACCTAATTAGTGTCCTGCGATGCCGGGCGTGCTCTGGCTCTCGCTCGGGACCTTGGGAGCTTACGAGGCACAATCACCGCACGGGAAAAGGCCCGCCAAGAGCTGCAGGGCTGGCGCAGATGGGCCCAGTCTGGGAGGACAATTATTAAGCTTTTAGGTTCCGCATGGTGATGGTGGTCTGGGTAGATGTCGCTCTACGTAATAGTATACTGTTGATTTCGAAACCGTCAGCCCTGTCCACTGTCACTTGTCCATGCTCAGCTCTGGCAAGATAAAACTCGTTCACCGTAATTACCTCTGTATTCGGCAGAAGATGCCGAATGAATCTTCAGCTCGAGAACGGAGAAGCAACCAGCAAGCCACCGCCAGCCCACGACGCAGCGTGCCGCCCAGGAGGACTGGACCCCCGATAGAACTGCGGAATCGGCCACCCCTGTAGGGCGGAATCGTGAAGCGAGTTTTCCCCAATCCTACCAATCGAGACTTGGCTCTGTCGATCAGCAAGCTTATTTTATGCAGAGGGTGCATGTTACGAATCGCCCTGTACAAGTATTAATTGCCGCTTGTGATTCTTCATTTCAGGTGTACGGAGATACAGACTGAATCCGCATTCGGCCGAATGCCTGTTTTCTTCATTATTATGGACCGTGCCTAGTTAGATCTTCTCGTTGGGCCCAGCGATGAGCACCTTGATGGCCTCGCCCTCCTTGACCTTCTTAAACGCCTCCTCCGCCTTTTCGAAAGCCACCGTTGCCGTGACCAGTTTCTTCACGTCCACCTTGCCCGTGGCGACCAGCTCGACGGCCAGCTGGTAGTCACCAGCACCGTAGCGGAAGGAGCCCTTGGCGGTGACCTCCTTGAGGCACAGGGCCATGATGGGAAAGTTGATGTCCGGCTTGCCCATGCCACCCTGGACGTAGGTGCCGCCCATGCGGACGGTGTGCAGCGAGGTCTGGATGGAAGGCTCCGCGCCCGAGGCGTCAATGACGGCGTCGACGCCGCGCGGGAGGCCGACGAGATCGAGGATGTTCTTGGCGTTCTCCTCGGGCGACACACGCTGGGACGAGTAGGTGTGCGTGGCGGCAAAGCCCTTGGCAAAGTCGAGCTTGGACTGGACAATGTCGACGCTGACAATCTTGGAGGCGCCGTAGGCCTTGGCCACGGCAGCGCACAGCAGGCCAACGGGGCCGGCGCCCATGACGACGACGGACTGGCCGGGTGTGATGGTCGCCTGTTTCACAATGTGGACGGCGACGGCGAGGGGCTCGATGAGGGCACCCTCTTGCAGGCTGACATTGTCGGGCAGCTTGTAGCAAAAGTCGGCGGGGGCGGACCAGATGCCGGTCAGGGTGCCGTCGTAGGGCGGCGTGGCAGCAAAGGCCATCTCCGGGCACAGGTTGTAGTGTCCCGCGCGGCAGTCGTGGCACCGCCTGCATGGGTAGCCGGGCTCAATGGCGACCCTGTCACCGACCTTGAGGCTGGACACGCCCTCGCCCGCTTCAATCACGGTACCGGACGACTCGTGGCCCAGGACCATGGGGTCCTTGACGAAAAAGTGCCCAATGGCGCCATGGAGGTAGTAGTGGATGTCGGAGCCGCAGATGCCGGTGTAGTTGACGGCGACGAGCACATCGTGTGGTGAGGAGAGGGTGGGCTTGGGACGTTCGGAAAAGGTCACCTCGTTGGGCTTGTTGAGAATGAAGGAGAGGTTCTGCCGACGTCAACATGTTTTCTCTGCGAGTGAATGAGAGCGCTTACGCTGAGATCATCCTTCTTGGGAGCCGCCATTGTAACTAACTGGCTTAAGTTGAGGCTGGTGAGTTGGGAGACTGAGGGGCTGCCGTCGCGGGGTTTGGCTGGTTCGTTGTCTGTCTCAGCGAGCAGTGTATGACGCAGAGGAGAAGATGGCAATGAGGAAGCAGGAGAGAAGAGAGATTCGCGAGAAATGGATTAGAAGAAAATGAGAGGGTTTTGAGCGCGCAAGACTGAATTATCGACCCGACAAACTTCTCCCGCGCCTCTTACATGCGACCTGCCCCGCGATGTTCTCTCGACCGGTGGTGGGATTCAAACGTCACAATGAGAGAAGTGGGGATGCGCTCTAGCAAGTGATACCTGTTCGCCCCCCAGGCTCAGCGGGTCTCTCACGTACCTGCGATGCTTGGGCTTGGGCATTTAACTACGGTCATAAAGAGGCGCTCGGGGTCCATCAAGCCAGCCCTTTTGCTGGAATAGCGCGTGCCATTTAGCCAGCTCTTTAACCGGTCCAATCATGCCGCTGGAATTGGCGGTCGGCTGGACCCGTCGCGTGTGCTGGCGACGCTACAATTGGGGCGCGTTGAATGTGGGCGCAAGACGCTTCTGAGGTCTGGAGCTGAAGGGTCACGAGAAGGAGGGATTCTCCAAAATCATCCATCCGTTGGGCTTTCGGGCTCGGAGCGGTAATAGTTAGCAAATGTTCTCTCTAGGTTAAGTAGTAAAGCTTCTGCTCCCATCTTGCGCGTGGTCAAGCTGGGCGGCCGCCGTCCAGGAACAGTCAGCTAGCTACCCGGTAGTCGCTCTCTGCCGCGTTGGATCGTGGAGCTGCATTTCGGCTGCTTGACCGTCGAGGACGAACAGTGTCAAAAGCGCAACAGCTTTCACGAAACACAGATATCTTCAAGATACCCGATACCGATATCTTGAGGTGCGGGGTCGCTTCTTCGCATGCATGCAGTCAACTCTCAAACGCGTCGCAGACGAACCACGCACTGGTGCGACAACCTCGTGATCACGTCCGGCCCTCCATCCATCCACGATCCGTCCAGCTCGGGGTTGGAGATACCCGACTTGGATTTTACACACCAACGTCGGCCGCCGCCCTTGAAAAGTGGGTCGATGCGACGGGCAAACGGCCGACCGGCTGGCTAGCTGGCTGGTTCATGGCTAGGATGAATTTGATGGTCTCAATCTGACGAGGCCTCGTGCACCAGCGTCCGCTTCTGCCGTCGACAAGCCAAGCGTGCCAACTTGCCCCCTTCACTGCAAGTTCGTTGCACCCCAACTGCACTCAGAATGGTATCACCACCGCCGAAGCGCGACATGAAGGTCCTGTCCCTGGGGCTGCCACGGACAGGATCGACGTCTATGGCCGAGGCGCTCACAATCCTTGGCTACAAGGACGTCCATCACACCTCAAAGTACATCAACCGCCTCAACGACTGGGTCCTGCTCTCCGCCGCGGCCGACGCCACGTTCCCGTGCCTGCCAACCTACACCGGCAAGCCGTGGACGCGCGAGGACTGGGACCAGCTTTATGGGAGCCACGAGGCCTGCACCGACGCCGCAAGCATGTTCGGCCCGGAGCTGATAGCGGCCTATCCGGACGCCAAGGTCATCCTAGTGCATAGGGACTTTGACAAGTGGCACAAGAGCGTCTTTGGGAGTCTTGTGCCGACCGTGTGGGGACCCATGTCCAACTTTTCTCTTAAATACATTGAGCCGCTCGTCGGATTCCACGGGGGCACTGCGACTCGCAAAGTCATTCTGGGCCTCTTTGACAGCAGGACGCCAGAGGAGGCAGAGCAGAGGTCACGCGAGGCGTATGATCGGCATGCGAGGAGGATACGCGAGGCGGTGCCCAAGGAGATGCTGTTGGAATACCGGATGGGACAGGGCTGGGGACCGCTGTGCGAGTTCCTTGGGAAAGACGTGCCTGATCAGGACTTTCCGTGGTTGAATGAGGCGGCCATGCTGGGGAAGATTGCAATGGACATCACCATTACGAACGCGACCAAGGCTTTGGTGATCATGCTGCCGTGGATGGTCGCTGCGGGTGCTGTTGCTGCTGGGACGTGGTACTGGCTGAGATGAGGCGTGGGACACAGATTCACAACACAAAGGTTACGTGTGCATTCCTATGGTATCCCAATCGGATGGCCTATAGGCTCCGCCAGCGTCGTTGGGAGCACCGAGCTCAGATCACACAAGGAGGCCTATGATGTAAGATGCTGATGAAGTTGTCCATCGCTCCATGGCTCCTCCTGGGCAAGGGAATATCGCGCAGAAGCGCCGGCTCTAGACTTGATAGCACTGGGGCAATTGACTCCCATGCTGGAGAAGTTGGGTACGCTAAATTTTATGGTTATTTGCACCCCTCGAGGCCCAGCTTGCTACGTATGACAAATCGTCTACTCTGGAACAATGGAAGAAACGCGCCTTGCAAGATCAAACAGGACCCTGGATAAGCTCCGGGTACGGAGGTAGAGAAACTGATCACCCAGCCAGTTTGTATCGACAGGCTGCCATTAGCCTCGAAGCTTAGCAGTCTGTTCAGCGAACCAAAACGTCATTGCCCCACGTGGAGCACTGCCAGTGCAGTGCATTGCCTGCTTCTTCCCCGCCAAAGTGCCAATGACGCAGCGGCGGCGTCCACATATCCACGACGCAATCACCACCATCTTCACGCATCTCGGGGTAAACCAGCCGTGATTGAAAAGCTTGATGGTCGACGACCGCACACAGCCCGCATATTGCAGTGGCGGACCTGGGGACACAAGGTACCCACTATGACGAGGCATGAGGTAGCTACGTAGTACTAGGGCACTACCACCTGGTCCTGTACGTTAGAGGACCCTGATCTCTTGGCTATATAGTCTTCCCACTTGCCGGAAGTCTTAGCCTTTGGAACATCATCTTCACACCATCTTTGATTTTCCCATCTTGCAAACCATAACTCCCAAGAAAAACACATCTCCAAGAAATCAACCCAAGACAACACACCATGTCGTCCCTCATCAACAAGGCCAAGGACGCCCTCAGCGGTCACAAGGAGCACAACAACACGACCACCACCTCCTCCGCCACTCACCACCACGAGAATGTGCCCGCCAACACCACCCACAACACCACAGGCAACCTGTACTCCACCACCAACACAGCCGCTGCCCCCACTGGCGACGCCCACAACCTCGTTGGCGGCTCCAACAACCCCATGGGCACCTATACCGAGCCAACCCACGATCCCCGCGGCGCAAACGCCCACTCGCACGTCACTGACGACGACGCCAGAGCCCGCAACCACAACGCCCTCGGCCGCGAGCCCATGCCCACAGAGACCACCAAGTCTGGCCCGGTCCACCACAACGAGGCGCTCAACAAGCTCGACCCGCGCGTCCACAAACACCAACACACTGCCACCACCGGTACGGGCGTCGCAAGCGGTCACCGGCCCTCCGACCCCAGGAATGCGGCCCATGTGCCTCCCAGCGTGTTGAAGGAGCATGTTGGCGAGCCTACAGTGGAGCACGACTACCCCGAAGACTCTACACACAAGAGGCATTCGGTCAGCCACCAGGAGCAGCATCTCATGAAGTAGAGGATTGTATGATAGTGGCCAAAGTTAATTGTAATGAGCAATGATGAATCCATATGAGAGATGCTTTGAGTGTGGTATGACGTGATATTCCCTATGGCAGAGACGTGTGGGCAAGAAACATTGTGTTCCCCCCATCAACACCAAGCATATTTAGGTCACATAAAGTCATCAGTATGCCCCTTTACGCTTCTCCCATCCCGGGGCAGGGCTAAGCTCGACTGTGCCGAACCCCGTCTCTGTGATCATGGAGACATCCCAGCCGAGTCCCTTGGGTTTCGCGCCTCCACGTTCCTGCGCCCAGATGGTGATGCCAATCGTGTTCTCCCCATGGTGGTTCAAGATCCCCTCATGGACGGGGAAACGGTATTGGGGCCCGATCAGAGGGACAAACTTGCCGTACTGGTACCCATTGACGTAGAGCTGCGCGCGGTAGACACCGTCCGACACATCATCGTCAAACTTGAAGGCCAGGGGCACGTCGTATCCCTCTGGAATATCGAGATCAAAGGTCGCCGTGTAATAGGTGATGCCAGGATCGCTCATTCCGTCCGTCGGCTTGCCCTCGTCCCACGCGCTCGTGGGCGCAGACGGCTGGTGGAAGCCCTGACGCTCCACGAACAGGCCGCCTTCATTCAGGGGTCCTCGAACTTTGTCGACGTACTGCTCGCCGCCGAGGTTGCCGGTCATCTTCCATGTAATGTCGCTGCCGTCGTGACCGGGGAAGTCGTAGGCCTGGATACCACGGGGATCCTTGAGCATGTCTTCGCCAACGACATAGTTGTCGTGCAGACCCATGTGGTCCATGACCAAGGTGAAGACGTGCTCGGAGCCGTCCTCGAGCGCGGGGAGATCCGCTGTGATAGTTCCGTTGATCACTTCAGCTTCGCCCAGATACGAGCCGAGGAATGTATCGTCCAGCCACAGAGAGGATCCAGATGCGGAGCCGCCCTGAGGCACAACCTCAAAGGTGGACTCCTTGCCGTTTGCGGTGAAGTGGCCCCTGAACAAAACAGATCCAGTGTGGAACCCATAGTCACCGGCCCGCAGGGAGACATGTGTCTTGATGGGGTATCGGTCGTTGGGCGACTCCTCAAGATCGGCGTCGACCCACGCGCTGTCATCATAGTCGCCGGAGATCTCTGGCAGAGAATCAATCTTCTTCCACTGCAAGTTACTGAGGCAGGGCAGCTTGATGTCGGGTGCCTCAAAATCGACGGTGGCCTTGACGACACCTAGGTTGCTCTGGGTGAACGGAAGACTTCGTCCGTTGAAGTTGAGAGCCTCCAGTTTGGCTGGGGCACCACCGATAATCTCGATGGGGGTGGTTGCATTCACGTCTCCCACGAGGTTCAAGGTCGCACCGTCGACTTGGGCAGTGCGCATCAGGTAGCCGGCTTTGACGATGACGTCCGAAGTGCCATAGTCAGAGCCAGCGCCGGTGGGAGGCACCCAGAAGTTGTAGGCTTCGTTGCGGTCTGCCTTAGTTAGCATGCACGTCCCGAGTAGTTCACAATCAGAAAGAAAAACGCACTAAGCATGTAGATGTAAAAGTCCGAATGGACACGCACGACCTTGCGGTCTTCGGGATCGTCCGAGATATCCCAGGAAATGATGGTGTAATCATCTTTAGCGCTCTGCACAGAGACATTCTCGCCCTCGTCGCCTTCGAGGATTCGGAAGTCATTGTCGTCGTTTGCAACGGCCAGCTCGTGGTGCTCATTGGGGCCACCATACACAACGAGGATTGTCTTGTCGTCATATTTCTTCCTGTAACACCGCTGAGCTTAGGTATCATTTTTACTTCATCTGTGGAACTCACCAGGTAAAGACCTCGGCAGAGGAATAAATGATATGCTTGTCACCCGCAGGATAGTCGGAGACGTGAATCTTGGAATCGCGCCGGTTCATCACAAGACTGTCACCCAACTGGGGGATCTCAATTTCGCCATAGTCGACCGTCTTGACGGTGAGACGATAGGGTACGGACTCTGTGTTCGCGTAGTCCGTGTGCCTCGCAATGTAGAACTTGGTCGAGTTGGTTGTCGCAGGGGTCACCGTGATAGCGTCGTTGTGCGTGAACTGCAGTGACGAGTTGAACCGGTCCGCCTCAAGGAAGGCGGGCGACACGTGGAAAAAGTTGGCTTGTAGCTTCACCTCGCTGTACTTCTCGCGCCACAGCTGACGTTCCTCTGTGATCTGTGCGCCGTAGTCGTAGGATGTGAAGCCCTGGTGGCCGCCCAGGTTACCCCAGTTGGTGCCGCCGTAAATCTGCCTTGGTCAATACTGCGCCAGACCTTATATCGAGCAAGCGGCTCACCATGTAGATGTTGAAGATTGTTGCGCCGACAGCGTAGTTATTCTTGTACAAGACGCGCTCAAACTCCATGTTGAGGAGCAGAGCACAGTTCGCAAACCCGGCTTGACCCCAGTGCTGGAAGCCACCTCCTTGAAACTATCAGAGACGGTGTCAGTCCCTCTAAGCACCATGGCGCACGACAGCTCACTTACCTCTGGAATTGTGTATGGAGTGTCGGGCGCAATCTCGTTGTTGATTGCCAGCCAATCCGTCGGCAGCCCATCTTCCGGCCAGCTTTGTGGGTTCTCGCAATCGAATCCCAGGGGGTATCCGTCGTGCCCGTAGATGTCGACGCTGGCTGGCGTGTGCGCCGTGATGTATCCGTACTGGTGGGCCTCGTTGTTGATGATGGGCACAGCAATGTCGGTGTCGCGGAATTGCCCTTCCACGCTGTTCCAGTAGTCGTACGAGGGCATGTCGTATCCATCTATGGCGTTCTGGTACTCATTCTCAATCTGCAGCAGGATCACGGGTCCGTCGTTGGTGATTTGGTTCTTGGCGATGATCTTGCTAATCTCCTTGATGTAATTGTCCGTGGCCCCGATAAACTCGTCCGTGTTGGTACGCAGCGCACCGGGAACACGACTCAGCCATCCTGGGAAGCCACCCCCCGAGACCTCAGCGTTGATGTAAGGACCCGGGCGCGCGAGCACGTAGAGACCTGCCTGCTTCGCCGCGTCGAAGAAGGGCTGGAGGTCGAAGACGCCCTCGGCTCTGAATTTACCAGGCTCACCTTCGAGGAGGAACCAATCGATGTAGATGGAGATGCAGTTGTAGCCGGAAGCCTTGATCTTCTGGAGCACATCAAGCCAAAGGCCGGGCACAGGGAGACGAAAAGGGTGGAATTCGCCGCTGAAGACCATCACTCGCTCGCCACGAACGAACAGACTGTGATCATCCCACGTGACAAGGTCTTGTTGGCGGTTGTACAGCGACTGTGTGTCCAGATTGACGGCGCGAGCCGTAGCCTCGGAGGCCAGGGTGAGACCTAAGACCAGGGCCTGAAGCTTGGAGAAGAGCATCGCGGCAGTCGATACTGAGCTCAGTGGCTTTCCAATGCACTTGTGGGAGCTTGTGCCTGCATGTGGCTTCGCCCACTCCCTTTATATGGTCAATACACCAATTTCCTCCGCCTTGCGTAGTAGCTCGGCCTTTGTTCCCCCACGAGCGAGGTTCATTGGTGATCCTACTGGCCCGGCAAAATGATCGAGGGGAGTCATTGTGCCTGAATGCCCGGATGACGCTGCCGTATCCGTACTGCGAGAGAAACAAGTTGGTCCTCGCATCAGGGTTCGCGAAGAGGAAAAGTGTCCAGCATGCACGCCAAGCTTTGTTGATCAGGGCGTGGGGAAGAGGGGAAGGAGGAGTTAGACTTCCCCAGATGAGCGGTATATAATATTCTGCCGGTTGGTGGGATCTTAAGAATATTGCTAATTACATCAACTGGGGTCGTCTGCGTCACGGCAGTCCCTCCGTCTCTCGATGATTCGATCCATCATCCCTGGCTGGCCCTGGGCAACGACGAATCAACCGCCCAACAATTAGCCATTTGCATATCCCGACGGCTCTCGCAGACTATAACCCGATACCCTATTAGTCAATCTTTGGAGAGCCCTGTACTGAGACGGGCTCATAAAGTGCCGGGTATGCCTAATCCATGCACTCCAACGTCCACACGCCCCCATTCAACGCAACCCAAGACTCAACACTCCTTGACCTCTCCATCTTCCATATCGTTCTCCATGAAGGATGGGGTCGATCCATCAACCCGATTCTTCAGGTCTGTGAAGCGCTCGATCGCTTCGCCAATCTGCTCCTTGAACTGATCGCGGTGCGCAAACATCTTGGCTCTCCAAATCTGAAAGGCAACGCGATCATCGGAGCCGATATTGGTGACCGTATTGTCTCGCAAGAGCGCATTGGCGGCCATCAATCCCCGAATCTCAATATCTCTGGCTTTGATAATGCCCTCGAGCTCAGTGGTTCGCACACAGAGCTTCGCCTTTTGCTGTTGATGCTCCTCCATGACCTTTGTGAACTGCGAGACCATCTGCTCGAGCATACTGTCTTGCGTGGTGGTCTTTGTTGGCGACACCGAGGGCGGGGGCGTGTGCGTCAGGGGACTCGAAGTCGGCCTGGAGGCAGGGGTCATCAGTCGCTTCGAGTCGTGGCCGTCGCCTTCAGCATCCAGCTGCCTCTTCAAGCCCTTGGTCAAGAGCCCAGCGATGTGCTCGGGCGGCCGATATGCTACTGTCGAACTTTGAGTGCATCCGTGATCGGTCTCATGAATGCCAATCCGCTTGAGCAGCTGGAGGAACTCGGCATGATTGCCCGTGCCGTTCCCACTTGGGAAGATATTGTACAACTCCCGGGCGTGGGCAATACCCGCGCGCTTGTTCGTGATACGCTTAAGTGAGGCTCGGTTGACGACGTATCTGCCGAAAGAAACAGGCCTTGGGAAGCTAAACTCTTCTTGGGGATGTTAGCCACTACTATGCTGTTTCAGGTACATGTGAAGGAGATGGTGCCAGACCTCTCGTAAGCTGGCGCATGACGGCCTCGATGACCGTGAACGAGGGAATGCTGCTCTCTGGGCTCTCGGCAAAGGGCTTGAGCGCCCGATCGGCGCGCCGAGCGAGCTCGACCCCAGCGCCATCGCGGAGATATGTGGCGATGAGCTTATCGAAACGGCCGCGCCACTTGTTATAGTTGACAAGAGAAATGTCGGGCACCGGGGCGCTCATGAGCGTCGCCATATTTGGCGCAGAAATATTCCGCGTTCCCTGATCAACGGGAGATGGATCAGCGGATGTAGCCCAAAGCGAGCTCATTGTCAAGGTTTGAGAGTGACAGGTTTCCTGAGCAAACAAGGTGCGCTCAAACTAGAGCGTGTTTCTAATGAGGAGAGGTAGGTTGTTTGAATAGTAGTGTTGGTTGTGGAAGAGAAAAAAAGGACCTGAACCATCTATTTCCGTGTTTGCTGCGGGTGAGATGAAGGTGAAGTGACATGAGGAGCATCGATCAGACGAACGAGAAGTCTCCAAACCAGCACATTATGCCGCAGCTCTAGCCAGGTGAGTGACGGCGACACATCACAGAAGAAAATTTTGCTCGTGTGATTTCTCTACCTCATATATGACAGACAGTGTCGTGAAAGGTACTTGAACTTCGTGTAAACTAAGGACTGGCCACTTGGATCATCCCTGGCCCTAGACTCCTCTTTCGCGCCCTCTCTCTCTAGGCTGCCCAATGCGAGTGCAGTTGCCGATAACATTCGTCTCGGGGTGCTCCCAGAAGCGCGTCTTGAACTCGACGGTCTCTTCGCAGGCGCTGGCGAAAGGCTGATGGTTGATGGCTCCAGTCGTTTTAGGTGACTCGATTAGGCCGACATCTTTCAGAAGCTCAAATCAAATTTCTTGTCAAATCAAATTTCTTGGCCTGCACTTATGTACCACTTGATCGCACGTGCTCAAGAGCTGCAGCACCGCAAACCGTTTCAAATTCCTCCAAGGACTCCTCCCATATACAATCGCTCAGTCCACGGCCATTTTCGCCATAGGTCAGAGGCGCAAGTCTAACGAGTTAGGGATCTGACCGATCACCCAAAAATCAAGGGCTCACTTACGGTGCAATTTTGCCGAGGGAGATGTAACACCCATGCGATTCGGGGCCTTTCACAGCCGCGGCATCAACATACGTGCGTGAAGCAACGTGGGCTGGACGCGCTGCGGCCGACTTGAGCATGGCAAATACAGCGCCTGAAAGCCCTCCCACGTTGCGGAATAACTGGGTTCCCTTTGTCAGCCCCGGCTCTACCATGTTGATGATAACATCGTGAGGCGAGGTGTTCTCCACGAGACGACTGAGAAAGAACTGCCCAACAAGTTTCGAGTCGTTGTAGCGTGTTTGAGGGTCCCAGGGTGTGAGGGTTGTATCGTCAAAGGAGCGCAAAAGGGGCCTTTTGTCTCTGTTGGGCAGCGTGCTGAAGTTTGCCATGCCCGAGTTGACAACGGTGATCCTAGGTGTCCACGATTGCCTCTTGTGAGCTTTCATAATGGGCACTAAGAGCACCTCCAACAGCGCAGTGCTCCAGTAATTCACTTGCATCACTCTTTCATGCCCCGTAGCGGGCACAACGCTGAACGTCACGTCAGCGAGCCCTGCGTTCAGAATGGCCATGTCGATGCGGGCCAGGCCGTGGCACTCCTGAGCGAAATCTTGGACAGACTGGTATGACTCCATTTCCAAAGACCATACATCAATATTGGCTTGCGTATTGGCTCTTTGTAGGTCTTGTGCCGCATGTTGACCGCGCTCGACGGAGCGAACACCCATGATCAGATGTGAGAGACCAAGGCTGAGGAGGTGTCTGCAGCACTCGAGGCCTAATCCGCTGTTGGCGCCGGTGACAACAGCACATTGACCTTGGAGATTCAATGTCGATGGCAGAGGCGGTATGGTGGCGCGAATTTGGTTCTTGTAGAAAGAAGATGCGAAACCAGAGGTGTCTGGTGGCATGTCCCTGGACATTGCGGTGGTAGATGATGTGTGTGGTTGAGAGGAGTGCATGGTGTTGGAAGGTTGGCGCTTGTTCATAGATCTGAATGTTTCAAATGAAAGCGCCAGCATGACAAGTTGAAGTCGGGAATCAGGTCAATCTTAAGTACTGGTAGCTTTAGTTGTCCTCTCTTCTTCTCTCTGTTGTCCAACAGTTTCTGTTTGACGGGTCACTGCGATTGCCAAGACATTTGCATTGTCTCCTTTCAGTATGGCTGAGACAAGCCTTGCTGGAGGTTCTGGTCATGGGTTTGGGTAAGCTTCCTCTGCAATTGCACAGCATTACAAATGCGAGTCGTTGATGATGTAGAAAAGTGCCACGATCAAAGACTGGACTATGGGGTAGGCGAAAGGCAGCTAAGTAGACGATCTGCGCTAGGCCAGGAGTGGGAAATGCATGAGTCTTGGCAAGGGGTCTCGATTCCCGAAGCTGACGACGGCACCTTCCTTCTTTCGAGCCCCAACTCCAACAAGTTCCCATCTCAAGGCGAGCCTGAGACTCGACCTTTGGTCGATGTCTAGCCGGAATCTTATCCTTCATCACCTAGAAAGTGTAGAGCGTGGACTTCACTACAATCATGCCCGCATCTGTGCAGACTCGCCTCCAGTTCATTACCACAACCGCAGAAAATAATTCGCCCAGTCTACGTCCGCGTCAGAAACGCCAAGTCCGGAGTCACGCGGCGCGCAGTAGGGCGGGTCGACCTCAAGTCCATCAGCGACCTTTATCATCATGGCTCCATCAGCAGTGCGATGGGCCAGCAAGCGGCGCAATTGGAGACCATGAAGCACTCCCGCCACTGCTCGAGCCCGAACCCGCTCACCTACCCGTCGACTATAGCCTGCTACAGCTGCCGTCTCACGTGGAGCCTCGAGTCCTCCATGATGCTTTGCCATGTATGTGTGCTGACCTGGGCTGGTGGTCACTAGTCGTCTAATTGTGCGATAGTCTTCCGAATGGCGCAGGAAAGAATCTACCCGAAAGACGTATGCTATATACTGGTCGAACTTGACGCAACATGGCTTGCCCACATGATTTCCGACCCTGTCTACTTCAACGCCGTGGCGTTTGCGACCCAGGGTTATTTTGAGGTGGTTTCGCATGGCCACCTAACAGCCAAGCCTCTCCTTTATCTGACCCGGACCCTGCAACTCCTACGACAAAGACTCGACAGCCCCGATAACCCAGGGGTTAACGCGAATTCGACGATGATGACCATCGTGCTCCTGGCTTTGGTGTCGGAGGAAATCGAGCCTGGCGAGAACATCGCCAATCATCTGGCGGGGTTGGAGAAGCTCGTTGGTCTTCGCGGTGGCCTTTCGCGAGTTCGCTCACAGGGTGAGGAGCTATGGACCAAAGTTTGCAGGATGGACATCGTCGTTGCCATTAGGTTTGACACGAAGCCAAGATTCTTCCGAGACACCATGTCCTGGTCATCCTATCTTCTTAAGAATCAATTGAAAGAGAGAAGACCAGACGCCAACGCTGAAGAGTTAGCGCAGTACATCTCTGCCAAGAATACAGATTTGGGTAACGTGTGGCTGGACTGTAAAATCTTCTGCGATCTGGCCAACCTGGCTCATCAATCCGGGAATTTGATGCGCTCGGAAGACTTTGCAGAGATCATGCTGTCCATTCTCTACCGCCTCCTTCATCATTCTCGCATGGCGGACGTCGTGCAGGAGACTCTTCGTCTTGGCATGCTGGCATACATCACGTCCATATACCTTGGCGAGACCAGCATTGGCATCGACCAGAGGCGACATCTCATGCATCTTTTCACTTCCTCGCTTACAAAGCTCGAAGTGAACGTGGAAACGATACCCGCACCACTTGGCTTTTGGTTGCTGTTCATTTGGCACACCTTGACTTCCCCGCCAGATGCTGCTGCGCATCTCGACGCCTGGCTTGCTCGCCTCGCTGAGCAGCTTGACGTCGACGACTGGGAGGAGGCTCGTACCCTCCTCAAGGCGTCCCTGTGGATCAACGTCCTTCATGACCATATGGGAAAGCGTGTGTTTGATACTCTGCGGTCGCGAATAGGCAGAAGCAGGGCCTCTACATCCTCAGCACATGACATAGCATGAGAAGTGCTACGCCAATGTCGCAAAGATATCGAAGTCTGTCGCCACAATTATTGTGCCTATAAATGAGGCTGCTGGGCACACAAAGTTGACCGGCTCCCTGCCACCTCTTCAGCTTTTCGCGACACCCCGCAAGCCCATGGCATGGCGCCACAAAGCACTCGCCCAAGGCCAGGCAGCCAGGCGGCCAAGGCCACGTGGCAGCTAACTCTCTGCCGGCGCCGCCAAGACTTCTCTTGAAGCTTAACCGGTGTCGCCATTCAGCCTCGATCGAACGAACAAGGCGGTTACCTTGCGTTGATTGCCTTTTTCCATGTGGCATACGTTTGATAAGCTGCACATACTGCGTGGGTGTACCCAACTCTGCTCCGTGAGTGAACAAAAGGCGCCATCACATTAATGAGTGTTTGGCAATATGCAGCCAGGCCCCGCGGCATGCGACAATTTCTCGCATCTGGGGAGCACATCACAAGGGAGTTCCCGCCCGTCAAGACTCGTACTGGAGTCTCCTGCAGCCATATCATTGGCCAGAAGCCGAAGCCCGACCATCCTCCAGCGGCCCTGTCAGACGCCATTATGCGCTGGGCACTTGTCCGCTCACCGCCTGGCCCCAAGATGCTACGTCAGAGGCTCAGAGCCCGCGTTCCGAAAGTCTATCAGTAGCCATCGACTTCCTGCCGCGGCCAATGGGAATTTGCGAATCTGCCATCGCAAATGCCGCTCCCCATGTCTTCCCGACAATTCCAAATCCCAAATGGCGGCATGCAAGGCAGCGAGAAAGCCGACCAGTGTCAGTCAGGTTGGGGTTGACTCTTGCTTCAACAGGGCCCAGTTATAACAGACTGGTCGGCTCATCCTCAGCTCGACCTCAGCTCATGCCTCTCTTATTTTGTTTGAGGCCGATGGAACCCCTACGCAGTTCGATTTGCTTGACCATCTAGCCAAAGTAGCGCCTGACGTGGAGTCGAGCACCTCTGTGCTAACACGCTGCCGAACGACATCATCACGATTCATTCGCCCCTCACCTGACAGATCCTCACTTGCCCGATGGCGGTCACTCACAGCTCGCCCGAACCATCGGGATCAGCAGGGCCGGAATCTCCGGCGACGCCCTCGCCCGCCGAACCAACGACATCAGCGGCACAAACATCAGCATCTGCCCCGGAAACCACAGCCGCTTTGGAGCCCGAAGCCCCCTTGGAAGCCGACGTACAACCTGGCGGCGACGACGACAACGATTCGGCCATAGACGCTGGAAGTGTCCTGTCGACCGACACGCTGACGCCCAGCATTCTCGAGTACCGTCAGCTGCATGGCCGGACCTACCCCAATGCCAAGACCGGTGACTACTGGGGTCCCAATGACGAGCGCCAGAGTGAGGGACTCGACTTGATCCATAACGCCCTGACGTTGCTGTTGAACGACAGACTGTTCCTGGCACCGTTGCGGCAGGACGACCCCGGCCGCGTGCTGGACATTGGCACAGGAACGGGCATCTGGGCGCTCGACTTCGCCGACGAGTTCCCGTCGGCGGATGTCATTGGCACTGATTTGAGTCCCATGCAGCCCAGCTGGGTGCCGCCCAACTTGCGCTTCGAGGTCGACGATTGCCTGTTGGAGTGGACATGGCCGGAGAACCACTTTGACTTTGTCCATGCGCGGTGTATGTATGGATCGATACCCGACTGGACGGAGATGGACACCAAGATCCTGAGACACCTCAAGCCCGGGGGCTACTTTGAGCACGTCGAGATTGGCTGCCAAGGTCTGTCGGATCACATCGAGCTCGGGCCTGACCACGTCTTCGACACCTGGGCGCAGGTATTCTACGAGGCGGGCGAGAAGACGGGGCGCCCGTTCACCATTTGCCTGGATGGCGAAATGGCCAAGCACATGCGGGCCGCTGGGTTTGTCGACATTCAGGAGACGAAGTTGAAGCTTCCCATCAACAGCTGGGCTAAGGACCCCAAGCTGAAGAAGGCGGGCACGTACTTCCACTATGCTCTGGAGCGGGACATGGAGGGCTTCTCCATGTTTGTCTGCACGCAGGTCCTAGGCTGGTCCAAGGAGGAGGTCCACGTGATGGTGGCCAGGATGCGGCAGGCCATCCGAACCAAGTCCCTCTGTCCGTATATTACAGTGTAAGTTGTTTCGCGTCTTGGGATAGGTCTTTGCCAAGCTGACACGGGCAGGAATGTTGTTGTTGGTCGCAAGCCATAGGGAGAGCCGTCGGCGAGCCCAGTGGGGAATGATCAGGTGGGCGATTGCAATGGCTGCGTGGTCAGCTCTTGGAGTCGCAAGTCGTGCTTGGCATCTCAAGGTTATGTCGATAAGATTTACGGGATTTTCTTGTGTTGGTTGGCCACTTGGGTAGAGGGAGTCGGCCAAGGAGAGGAGCCAGGGCCCAGGACTCGGGTACCCCGCTGCTTGGTCGCGCAAACGTGACTGGATTCACGCAAGGTCAGCCTCTCACTGCTGCAAGCGTGAGATTCCTCCCGCTGAGCTCCTCTTCGCGGCTTACATGTGCGTCACACTTGGAATAAAAGCATTGCCCATCCAGTTCTGTCGCACCGTACGTACCGTGTAGAGACATCTCGTGTCAGAGCGCGACGGTCACCACGAAACAAAAGCAAGCAACCGCAATGGCGGACAGCGCACCACCAGTCGCTGCCAAGGAGCGTCGCGAGCCCGCCGCGACCGTGGCCAAGAAGGCGGCGCTGGTTGCGAAGCTCATCCAGACTAGCAAGCACCTGATTGCCTTTACGGGCGCCGGGGTGTCTACATCCGCTGGTTCGTGCCGGGGCATCTGTGTGGCCGTGCGCCAATGATTGAACTGACAGCGTGACTGCCTATTAGGCATCCCTGACTTTCGAGGCCCAGATGGCAACTGGACACTGCGCGCCCAGGGCAAGCCGCGCACCAAGGCCGCGGACACGCTCAAGGCCATCCCCACGGCGTCGCACATGGCGCTCGTCGAGTTGCAGAACCACGGGTTTCTCAAATACCTCATCAGCCAGAATTGCGACGGACTACACCGGCGCAGTGGGATTCTGCCTGTGGGTGTACCCTGTGCCGTGATGATTCGATGTTGATACCGGTTTGCAGGAACGCATCTCGGAGCTCCATGGGAACAGCAACCGCGAAACATGCAAAGGGTGCGGCAAAGAATACCTCCGCGATTTCAGAGCCGTCGCGTCCTACAAGCACTCGGATCACGACCATCGCACGGGCAGGAAGTGCGCCCTGTGCAATGGTGACCTACACGACAGCATCATCAACTTTGGGGAGGACCTTCCCGAGCCAGCCCTCTCGCTAGCCAAGGAACACGCCCGCGAAGCAGACCTCTGCCTGGTGATTGGGAGCTCCCTGACGGTGACGCCGGCCAACGAGATACCAGAGATGGTGGGCGGGCGTAGGAGCGGCAAGCTGGTGATATGCAACCTGCAGCAGACACCAATTGACAGTCTGTGCGAGGTGCGGGTCTTTTCAGAGGGCGACATGTTCATGCAGAGTGTCATGGAACAGCTGGGACTGACCATCCCTGGGTTCATCCTGAGGAGGCACTTGAGCGTCAAGGTCGAGAGGCAGGAGGAGGAGCGGTACCGGGTGACGGTGGGCGGCATCGACACGGACGGCACGCCCATGTCTTTTCTGCAGTCAGTTCGCCTCGAGGGCAGCCGGCGTGTCGCGAGGAGCGAGCCGTTTATGCTGCTATGGAGGGATCCGCTTCGGGATGGCGACGTGCTCCAGCTGGAATTGGAGTTTATGGGCCATTACAACGAGCCGAAGCTCAGAGTGGACCACGAGCATGGCGACGAGGATGAGACGATTTATGTGCTCGAGTTTGACCCACTGACGGGGGTTTGGGCTGCCAACAAGGAGATCTGAGACGGGACGCAGGGGTAGGGACCCTGTCGACATGGGGTTGTCTAAGATGGCTCCGTGTCTGAACTGTGTCACAGAAAAGGGCACTTTGAAAGAAATGGATTCATCAATTCATGGAATTCTTCATGCACAAGACAAGGTTAAGGTGAGTGAAAACAAGCTTCAACATAAGCATGCACATTCTTCATTAATATTAAGTAGAAGTGAAAAAGAGTCCACCGCTATTGGTATCAAGTTCCACAGCCAAACTCCTAACCAAGAGGCATTTAGCTCGAGATCTCAATGAGAGCAGGGCCGGCGGCGGTGGTGTCGTCGCTGACACCCTTGTTGCAGCCGGTCAGGACAGCGTAGGTCTGGCCAGCGAAGCCCTCGGGGATCTCGACGGTGAAGCCGCCATCGACAGCGGTGGCCTCGACAAAGGTGGGGCCGGTCACCGCGATGAAGGCAGCAAAGATCTTACCACCCTCGGGGGCGACGACGGTGTAGTCGGGGGTCTGGAGGGTGACGGTGCTGCCGGTCTTGATCTCGCCGTCGGCCTTGACAGCGAGGGCGGGGAAGGCCTTGACGGGCAGGGCGGGGTTGTCGCTGGGGCAGCTCTTGATGAAGGGCGAGGCCAGGGAGAAGACCTCGTTGTAGGTGAGAGGGGTGTCAAAGGGCTGGGCAAAGGGCGCCTGGTCGATGGCGTTGCGGATGTAGGCCGAGTGACGGGCCTCGACGGTGAGGATGGAGCCGGCGGCGGTCAGGTAGGTCTTGGACATGATATCCGCCGCGGCGCCGAGGTAGGCGGAGACACCGACGCCCTCGAGGATGGAGGCGGTGGCGAGGAAGGACTTGACATCGTTGTAGCCAAAGTCGTAGGTGCACTCCTGGACGGGGGTGGCACCGGCGGCGGTGAGGGCGGTGGTGAGGAAGTCGACGTGGTCCTTTTCGTCGTTGGCGACCTTTTTGATGTTTGTGAAGAAGGCCGAGTCGAAGCCGGCGTCAGCAAAGTCCTGCTCGCTGAACTGGTTGAGACCCTCGCGGTAGAAGGTGTTCTCGAGGTGCTCGAGGGTGAGGGCGTAGTTGAGGATTGTGGCATCGTCAATGGCGGCGGCGCGCTTGGTGACGGGCACGGCGGCGACGAGGGTGGTGGCAGCGAGGCCGAGGGCGACCTGGGAGACGAACATGATGATGATGTTGTTTTGGTTTGTTTGTGGATGAGATGGTTGGAAAGGAGAGGCAGATGGGAGATGTGGTTTGAGTTGTATTTAGAGATTGTAGTGAGTGAGCGGCTACGAGAGCTTATATGGACGACGAGACCATCCAAAGTAAACACTTTTGGGACGTTCCATACTATGACCAAGGCCTTGAGACTAAGACCATGCCAATTACCTCCTGTGTTAGTGACTGTAGGGTCCCCCGCCGTGCCGGTGTCGTCGCTGTCTCAAGGCGTGGCCCCGGAAGCCATGACATCCGGGAGACCGGCATGAGACAAGCGCGTCCAGAGAGACGCCAAGGCGCGGTACCTGCGTGGTGATCATGGGGCATCAATTTCATCCGGGCACCTTTTGCACGGCTAGGCCACTAGCCGAGTGGACACGCGCGTCATTGATGGCTTGTCGTGATTTCCCATCATGTTGATTCCTCATCGTCTTCTGGAGTGCGACGAGCTCGACTGGGAGAGCTGCAGTAACAGTGGCCTTTCTTCTATGTCCATCACGATCGATCTATTGCTGTGGGCGACGCAATCATTTCACGCGTCTGCGCTATGAAATGCCCTCAGGGCGCGCCAAGCAGACAGTGGCGACTCCAGAGTATAGACAGAATTGACCTCGGATGATGGATCATACAGAGCCGGATCATACAGAGCCGCAATGCGCATCTCCCACTTGTCCATGGCGATTGCGCCCGGAACAATCAGCAGCCGATTACTATCGCCCTCCCGGGCATGATCGACTGTCTAATTGACTGTCTGATTGACGGACGGCCACGGGCGCCCCATCGGCAAGTCACGACTCCGTCGCCTCGTGCGCTAGTGCGGGTGCCAACCCCAAGATATTGCCTCGTAGCCCCGGAGTCGATCGCTTCCGTCCCTTTGGGGTCCCTTTTTCCTTACACTAAACCCAGAATGTGGCTCTCCATGTGCCCACCGATCCTATTCGGTAATATGCAAGGTGCTGGCTGCTGTTGCGCCTGAACCGTCTCGGCCCAGATGGGGCCCGGCCGGCTGATGAGGGCGCTGATCCTAGACAGAACTTGGGGAGGCGTCTCACGCTTGGCGTGCGCCTTCAGGCACCGTCCCGTCCTCGCAGAGGCGCCATCACAACAACAAGAGGAAGAGATATTAGATTCCTTCCCCCTTTTCGTTTTGTTTATCAACCGTCAAGTCCGTCAATCGCTCATTGCCGTCCCGCTGCTGCTCTGCCCTTGTCCACCTCACAAAACTCGTCTTCCTAGCATCACCAGACTTCCAGTCTTCCAACTATTATACCACTTCCGCCTTCAAACACCACTCATTCACCATGAAGACCTCGTTCGCCATCGCAGCCCTGACTGGTATGTATACAAACCCATGCATTCTCCTTCAGGCTTTGGAACGCGAGCAGCAGACTGCTTCAGAGTGCTTCAGACTTGCGAGAGAAAGTTGAAACTCCAAGACGACCCTTGCTGACACACTGCCCAGCCATCGCCGGCGCCTCAGCCGCCAGCACCACCATCACCTGCAACGGTGCCTGCCCTTCGTCGACGCCCACCAACGACATGGTCACCCGCGAGCCCGTGCCCACCTTCAACTGCACCGCGCCCGCCCTGTCCATCATCTCCAGCGCCAAGACCGACAGCGGCATGGCCTCGGGCACCGGCGGCATGATGCCCACCCCCACCTCCGTCCCCGGCGGTGGTGTTCCCGGTGCCGCTGACAAGGTGGCCGGTGGCTTCGCCGGTGTCGCCGTCGCCGCCATGGTCGCCGCCTACGTCCTGTAAGGGGACTCTACTGCTGGTGGATGGACGACGTTTCAGTTCTAGACGAGTACAATGCTTTAATGTATAATCGAGCAGTCCAGAGGCAGACTCGTGTATATACCCCCAACTTGATTTTGTTGAACCTACTTGAGTCTTTTGTCGCAATTTCGTGCTTTCCAATGTGCCCTGCTGTATGTTCATTGCCATGATTTCCCATTTCCTCCATGTTCTTTTCGCTGTTAATGTGGTATGCCCTGTGATTGCGCTCTAAAGCTGCATCGTCTCGCGCGTCTTGTCTCGCCATCGTGGCGCTCATCGAGGTATGCTACGCAGACAAGCTTGGCTGTACACGAAATGAGATTCACCTCGAGCGCTTGGAATTCCTATCGACGCCGGGATTTACCTTGGCGCTCTCGCACTGCTGCTCTTTGATTGCGCGCAATGACCTAGAATTGCCGGAATGTTCCTTTGCTTGGCCAATACCGCAAGGCGCGACGGGACCTTGGCAGCCAAACAAGACGAGCAGCGCGTTCATCCCTCCTTGTAGCTCTTCGCTCGTCGACTGAGTTTCCAAGACGACGGCGTCTAGCTTTGGAAGCGAGATCCGTCACTGTGGCCATGACTGCTACCATGTGTGCTAGCTTCCACCAACGAGTGTGGTGTGGCTGCCTTCAAGGGCGATCTGCTATTGAAAAGAGACTTGGCCATGGGCTCGAGCTCAGCATGTCTCCCGGCCTGCCGGGCCCTCGAGTCGTGAACAGGTAGGCTTGGGAAATTGGACAACTCAAAGGCCTTGATGATACTGTACACGCCTTGGTCGTAGGACTGTGACTCCTCTGTCATGTCCACGCCAAACATCTGACGTCCAGGTTCTTAGTTGCCGCGACCTTTCTGTCGAGCAGCCAGAAAAGGGGATCTGTGTTGCAGCGTGTATGAAGCCCCGTAGGACCTGTTCGACTTGGGGCCAACATCGGCGACGAGAGTATATCCGCGCGATGTTCTTGACGAGATTGGTGATAGGGTCCCCTATTCTAAGGCAGCGCGCCGCTTTGCGGCGTAGTACTACTTTTGCCTGGTAGATCTCTCAACCATGGGCGCCTATTTCATTGCAATCATGCACAAGACGGTCAATTCTCTAGATATCCGACTGATTCGTGTGCTCTGGCTAGGTCAATTCTTGAGGCTCGCGTTGGGCGATGGTCGACGGGCGGTCGATGCTCACTCTTTTCATCCCGTGGCTCGCTCCCCTCCACCAGACCGACGAAGCGCGTGCGCAACGTTGGATCCTTTTATCGTTCCTGGTGTTTCTGTCCTGCTAGGCACGGGGCGTCTCATGGTGAGACTTGAATGAAATCAGGGAGAAGAGGAATCGGGTCCTGTCTGAATTTTGAAACGCAAGCCTCATCGATCCTGGAGCCTGGCACCTCATTTCGCAGGAGTGGGGCTAGTGGAGGCGCTAGCTGTCCTGATTGCCACATTCAGCCGTGTGCGACCGACCTGGGCCAATGAGAGACAAGCGGATGCTCTAGCGTTCCTCCAGTGTGGTGCACTAGAAACTGCAGTTCAACAGGCTGTATTCGGTAGGGCTGAAAGTCACAATAAATCTTTTGCAAGTAGATTAGAACAAATGCTTTGACTGAATCACCAGCCCAACTCCTCAAGCTCTACAGCCATTACCTTGGACTTGCAAAGACAATTAATTATCGACAATAAAAGGCCGCACCAAGATCACAATCTATTCGTACTTCCTCACCTACTTTCAAGGGACGTTGATCTTCTTCTAACCCATCTAGGGTAGGCAAAATGGCCCGCCGGATTGCCACCTGATCAAAAGCTAAAAACACACGTTAGCGTCGACTTTGAGACATACCTTTTCCCTTCTCATCGTCCACTTCTTTCAGGGCTCGCTCAAGAGCTGCTGGCAGTGGCGGCCTCTGCCTCGCGCGCCCTCTTGGCGTCCATTCCGGCCTTGACCTTACAAGCAGGGCAGAAATCATTGTTGATGGAGATGAGCACCTTGGGGTGAACCTCGCACTCGCGCTGGTGCGTGCGGCAGTAGGTTTGGTAGACACCATCCGTCATGCGGCAGTTGCCGGCGCGGCCAGGGCAGTGGTGCTTCTGATGCGGACCCATGGCGGCGACAGACTGATGAGACTAGTATTCGGGCTGTGGTTAGTTGATTTTGGTTCTGAGTCTGAAAGAAGTCTCTAGGTGGGAAGGCGACTGTCGCTGGGTTTTTTTTAAAGGTATGGGCGAGACAGGAGCCCATGAACAGTCAATGAACTACAGAAAATACAAGGTGAGTTTTCTCAGTGTGTTCGATTCACCTTTATACATCTAAATGCTGGTTTGCGCGCGACGATAGTGTTAGGCTGCGTTCGGCTGGCTTGACTTGGTACGTACATGTGCAGATGCGGGTGAACACCTCCAAGTCCAGGACCAGAGACGTTTCGCTCCATGTTAGAACAACGACTTTCGTAAAACACTGGCAACTCTTCTCAGCCTCTGCTCCGGTGAAGCTAATGCTTTGGTCAAGGTATTCGTGACTCGCCCCCATGATTTCCTTTGGTACATGTATCCTCAGCAATGTCAGCACGCCCGACTCGCGTATGGCGCGAGAACACTTCCTCCTGCGCTCATCACGACGCTTCATGCCGTCCAGGACAGAAACACTGACCGATACCAAGGGACAGCGAGACGATGTTTCTACCGAACAGCTATGGCAAGAGTTTCTCGACGAGTACCATAAAATAAGCATGTCGATCGTGTCTATAAATAGTATAAAGCTCGCATTCGCCCCACAGCTGTCGGCCCCCCTGCACTGCGTCTGACGCTCGACTCGACTCCTTTCATCCCGTGAAATTGGTCAGCCTCAATCGCCCCCTCGACGTAAACGTCGTCGACTCCCCCGTCGTGCCGCAGGACGGGAGAGAGTGGAACAAGAGAAGCAAAGACGGACAATGGCTCGAAAGGGGTCCGAAAAGAGACGAACTGGCTGCACCACCTGCAAGTTGGTTAAACCCTCTCTTCCTCATCCCCAGCGTCGCCCTTGCTAACCGTTCCTCGTGCAGAAAGCGGCGGGTCAAATGCGACGAGGCTCGCCCCGTCTGTACGCGATGCCGTTCCGTCCAACGCCAATGCAGCTATCTCGAGCCCCCCGTTGGCTCGTACACGTGGCTTCACCTCCTGCAAGCCCGGCCGTCCATCGCGGCGCCACCGCCAGCGGCTGTCACGCTGCCGCCCCAGCAGGCGCGCAGCCTCGACTACTTTCGTAACGTCGTGGCCCCCTCGCTCGGGGGTAGGCTGGACAGCACGTTCTGGACGACGCCCGTGATGCAGCTTGCGATGAGCGAGGCGGCGGCGATGCATGGCATGCTGGCCATCAGCATGCTCCACGAAGGCTTTGAGCCAAGCTGGAAGGAGGGCAGCAACGACGACCAAGCCGCCTTGATGCACTATAGCCATGCGTTGCGGCTCATCGCCACGGAACGAAATACCAGCGTCGTCCTCATTCTGTCGATCCTCTTCACCTGTATCGAGTTTCTTCGGGGAAACACAGAGGCTGCCATCACCCACTGTCGACATGGGATCATCCTCTCCAACGCCCCCGGGAGCCGGGACACGGCCGTGTCTGCTGTGCTCCGCCACCTGAGCGTCTTCCCTTATTTCTTCGCCAGCGGCGAATTCCCAGTCCCTGCGACAAACGCGCCAGCCGTCAGGGACGTGTCGACCGCGGCTCTTGCTATGGATGAGCTGGTGGGGCGGGCCATTAGGCTTGTGCGGTCGATGGACGGATATCGATTGGGACTGGAGGGAGCGACGATTCCTATTGACGTGTGGCATACGCAGCGAGCATTGCTGAGGGATCTTGCCAGTTGGAGGAAGGCATTTGAGGCGCTGACAGAACGCTCGAAGAAGCAGGAATCGGCTGGCTGTGCCTTGTTGCTCATGAGGTTCCTCGTCTGCTGGATCTGGACGAGCATCGCCCCATACAGGGAGGAAACAGCCAGCGACACGTTTCAAGATGAATTCGCCCAAATTGTCGAGTTGGCACGCCATGGTCCGCAAGACGAGCGGCAAGAGCGCAAGTTTACATTCGGTATGGGAGTGTCGCCGTTGCTGCACTTTGTGATCATCAAGTGTCGGCACCTGTCGATACGTCTCGCTGCGCTGGAGTCGGTTCGCACAATGGGCCGTAGGAGAGAGTCGCTGTGGGATTCGGTGACAATGTATGCGATTGGGAAATGTATCATCGAGCGGGAGCATGGCATAGTGGTCACGCAGGGGATGACAGCCCCAGGAGGAGAGAGACTTCCAGACGACGAAAGTAGAATACGGGACTCGTACCTGGAAGATGAGGTGTTGGAGGAGCGAGACAACCAGGGCAATGTCCTTCTCCGGCGGAAGATGTTCCTCTTCGTTCGCGATGGGGAGGCAATTTCTAGGACGTCTAGCTGGATATCGATCCCGTCTCCATAGTCAGAATTGGACATGGGGAAGACCTCGACAATCTGGATAACGGAGTGAAACACGTAATCATGGTGGCGGGTCCATTGCGAGCTTCGTTTCCTACGCTTTAGCATGAAAGTCGAGCTGAGGGTACTGAAGCCGGCGAGGCCAGTTTGGCAAAGTCAGCAGGGCCAGGGGGCACAATGGTGGGTCAAGTGCGAGGGCATGGCCACGATGCGTTGCGAAGCTGCTCTTGCGGACGACGGGCTTCCTGGATATAAAGAGTCCCATTGCTACTTGTTTTGCCTTCAATATTCAATCAAACACACTCCTTCGTCTTCTATCGTCACTACTTTTCTTTACGTGGATTGCTTTGCGCAACTCTCTCCTACTACTCGCTTCTCTATATACAGACGCTTGTTCCATCATGAAGCCCGAATTCCTCTCGGTGCTCAGCGCCCTCGCTACCCTCTCAGGCCAATCCATCGTTGCACCCGAAGCTGGTCTCGCCGGTCCCTCGTTCCCAGCGCCATCCGGTCTTCGTGACAGCAAGGCTCTGACATCGGCCATCATCGACTTTGGCACCTTGGTCGCCGACTCGCCCATTGTCCAGGCCAACGAGACAGCATGGGCCGTGGCCGTCTTCTCAACACACGACGACGAGCCTCTTTACGAGCGCTACTTTACCCCAGACTACGATGTCGGCGTTGCCGAGGTCAATCGCAGTTCTGTCTTCCGCATTGCCAGTGTGTCCAAGGTCTTCAGTGTCTGGACGTTCCTGGCGGAAGTTGGCGATGAGCGCTTCAACGATCCTATAACCAAGTATGTCCCTGAGCTGGTCACAACTAAGAACGACTCCGTGTCAGGGACTGTATATGATGACATTGATCATGTTCGTTGGCATGAGGTGACCCTCGGTCAGTTGGCGAGTCAATTGGCGGGCATTCCCCGTGACCGTAAGTAATTTGATTCGATCCCATCGTTGGACCTTCAACTAAACTTCATGCCAGCCGCTCAGGGGGACATGTCGACAGAGCTCACGCCGGAGCAGGCAACGGCGTTCGGCTTCCCGACGCTCCCTGATAGCGATATTCCGACCTGCGGTGTGGCCGGACTCCTGAGGACCTGCACCCGCAAAGGTAGGGCGGACCGTGAACAACAAGATTTTGCGAGCAACAACTGACGTTGACAGAAATAATCTCCCTTCTTCTCAAACAGCACCCCGTCTTCCCGACCGGCCACTCCCCCGCGTACAGCAACGTCGCCTACGCCCTGCTCGGTTTCGCGCAGGAAGCCATCACCGGCACACCCGTCAGCAACGCCATCACAACCAACATCCTCTCCGCCCTCAAAATGACGTCCAGTAGCTTCAAGACTGCGCCAACCTCTGGTGGCGTGATCCCTGGCGAGGCGTCGGCCGTGGGCTGGGACTGGGACTTGGGGACAATCGACCCGGCCGGTTCCATGTACTGCTCGACAGGCGACATGGTCAAAGCTGGACAGGCCATTCTGGGATCCAAGACGATGACACCCGCGCAGACGCGCCGCTGGCTGAAACCGATGAGCCAGACGGGTGTGTTGGGATCCGCCGTCGGGGCGCCCTGGGAGATTCGGCATCTCACTGTCGGCGGCCGTCTCTCACAGCTCTACACGAAGCAGGGCGACACGGGCGGCTACCGTGCAGCCTTTGTGCTCTCGCCCGAGCACGACCTGGGCGCGGTCATCTTCTCCGCCAGTCCGCTCGCGTCGAACTCAGCGGCCGTGCGAGAGACGCTGATGAACGCTGTCGGCAAGGCATTCCTCCCCATGGCTGAGGAGCAGACCCGGATCGAGGCGTGCGACAACTTTGCCGGGACGTATACGGACGAAGCGACCAATAGCTCCCTGACGATCAACGTCGATAACGTCACGACCGGCCTGCAAGTGTCCGGCTTCACCAGCCGTGGCGTCGAGATTATCGGTCCCCAGAGCCCCTTTATCCCGATCTACGGCGCGGGACAGTCAGCCCGTCTCTTCCCCTCCACCCTGCGGACTGTACGGAAGACGGAAGATGGAGCCGGAACGTACACCTCACGACTGGGGTTCCGGGCGAGCTTCTTTAACGTAACGGGGGGTGCGAACGACGTCCAAGATCCCGGGCTGATGCAGTGGACATCGCTTGGGGCGCCGGCGTATGGAGAGAGGACGCTGGATGACTGGGTGATGGAGATGGGGGAGAATGGGAAGGCGAGGGCGGTGGATGCGAGGATGATGAGGCTGAAGTTGGAGCGCGAGGGTGCTTGAAGCAAAGTCTGGAAGGGATTCGACTGTCTTAGTCTTTCCTCGTGAAATAGACTGTCCATTGTACAACAAGAGCCATGAGGGTAGCAATCAACGAGCTGGCTCCGATAGCTGTCTGCCAGTCACCGAAAACCACCCGGAAAACAAAACAAGAGCCCGTAACAACAGTGACGGCCAGCTGTATGAGCGCACTGTGTTTTATATCCTCCCATTCTTCAGTAACCTTATAGCCGTTGAAGGCAATAGGACCAATACTTGGGTTGTGCCATTGGAGGTTTTGCAGCATATTTCTAAGGAGAGTTAACAAACAAGCGGTACATGGCCTGCGCGAAAATGATCACAAACCGAGACGAATAGATCCCTGAAGAGCCAGCAAGTCCACTGAGCAAGCATTGCCCCGATGCAAGCGAGGGATTCCGAAATGCCAATGTAAGCATAGGCATAAGAGAGAGCCTTCGCAAGTGACGGTTTATCCTGCCATGTTCTTGGAAAACGCAGTCACAAAAGGCGAACTCTAGACTAGGACAGTCCGGAAAATGGCCCCAGTCTCCATTTGCTAAATGCTTTTCACAAATGTCCCAGGGATCCTGCTTATACCATTTCTCAATGGAATTACCGCGCCTTTCTAGCTCCTCACGAAGCCTCCGGCGCAGGTTTTCAGTGTCCAAGGGCTCGTATACCCCGACAAGTGAACTCGTACCGTTGTGCGTTTCAGTCCCGAGGAAGTAGAACTAGGCACAACGTCAGCGAGACAAGAGCACGATCTTCTTGTATAGCACACACTGTGACCTCTTCAACACGAGTGACTTGGCGGAAAGGTAGCCAAACCCTCGAACCCTCCCAGCAGCTCTTCATCTTCTCTAGGGTGTTGACATGGTCATCGTCGTCTCGGAGTTGTATCTGGTCAATTCTGCACTTCTCCCGAGATCCACTGACAAGAAAGACGCAAGGCGTATTACTAGCAATACGTGCGAAAAAATCTTGCGCGTACCTGTTCTTGACTACTCGGAGCTTGCTGTCGGCATCGCCCTGCGTCGTGGACATTTCCGACGGGGCATCTAATGCCGAGAGATCCCTTGCTGTACCAGATGCCACGGCTTGGGCTTCGAGACGACGTTCAGGATGGCCTCCGCTGATGTGGGCCTCTTCGTCGACACGCGCAGGACGCTGCCTCAAACGTGCTAGAGGGGAAAGACGAGAGATAGCTGGGGAAGGAGGTCGATCTTCTGGAGCGGCGTTGTCTCGGTCGCTCTCAGCATTGACTAGAGCGACCGGCCGACAATTAAACGGCGTACTGTCGACCCTCATCGCCATGGGGTATGTGACTAGTATGTGTTGCGAATTTCAAAGTTACTGGCAATGAGTGGGAAAGAAGACTGAGTAGAGGAGGCCAGCTTGACCAGGAGAAATTCGCACTCTTTATTGCATGTTCTCGCGCCATCAATTCGGTGACGTGTACTATGCACATTGACACTACATGTCGGGCACTGTCACAGCCTCACATGTGCCAATTCCCCCATTGGGACTCGGCAGAGTGCATGTCTGGTATGTGTGGTGCGCATGCCAGTGGCTGTGAGTGAGGCTGTACACGCCTTCGCGAATAGAGGGCCCAGGGGTAGGCCGCAATCACTTCCACTAAGCTAGATGTTGGCTTTTCCGCACGGCCTGGTTGGGCGCTGACCATCAGAGATTGTTTGATGATTGCCAAGCTTATTGTCACCTGCGGCCTGCCCAGAAGCCTCCTTACTTGGTCATTCACACGAGATCAGCCTTCTCTTGACCATTTGGCTCCCACATCGCCACTACTCGTCATGTCCAGGGACGACGCTCATGCCGACCATGATCATGGGAGCCATCCACGGGCATCCGGACTTTAGAGATACGTTCGAATATCGAGCTATGTCGACTGCCGCAGCTGGATCCTACATGTATACTCAACAGCCATCATTGCGGCCATTGGGGCCGGCGCTGCGCTCCCGCTGATGAACCTCGTCCTTGGCAGATTCGTCACAACATTCAATGACTTTGCCATTGGCGCCATGGCTCCTGACGATTACATGAAAGAGGTGTCGAGATACGCGTAAGTCACCTCCTGTCCTACATTGTCAAGTGTCCCGCCCTCTGACAGTCTTCACCAACAGTCTCTACTTTATCTACCTATTCATCGCCAGGTTCTTCCTCGTCTACATCCACACCGTGCTCTTGTCCCTCGTCGTCATCCGAGCCACTTCGGCATTGCGCATGGACTTCCTTCAGAGCTTCCTGCGTCAGGACATGACCTACTTCGACTCCAATTATGGCGGCTCCCCGTCAATCAAGGTCACCGCCAACGGCAATCTCGTCACCAACGGCATCTCCGAGCGGCTCTCCATCCTCGTCCAGAGCTGCTCGACATTTGTGGCGGCATTCGTCGTCGCGTTCGCCGTCCAGTGGAAGCTCACCCTCATCACCCTTGGCGTCGTCCCGACCATCGTCATCGTCACGGGCGTCTGCATGACAATCGAAGTCAAGAGCGAGAACGTCCTCATGTCCATCTGGTCCCAAGCCAGTCTGCTCGCTGAAGGTGTCTTCTCCAGCATCACCACCGTCCACGCCTTTTGGCTGCAGCCGACCATGGCACGGCGGTACGAAGGGTACCTCGCCGAACTGGAGTGCGTCGGCAAGAAGAAATCTCTGAGTTACGGCGTGCTTTTCGCGACACAATTCTTTTGCGTCTACGCGGGCTACGGCCTCGCCTTTTGGCAGGGCGTCAGGATGTTCGCTCGAGGCGAGATCAGCGATCCGGGCCAGGTCGTGACATACTGTATGCTTCCTCATCTTCTTCCACTCGTGTTAAATCGTTTCCCTAAGCTTACTCTTCTTCCTCTCAGGGTCATTCTCGCAATCGTTCTCGTCGCCACGTCCCTGACGCAGATCGCACCGCAAGTCATCACTATCACCAAAGCTGCCACTGCTGCCGACGAACTATTCCGCATCATCGATACAAGCTCCGCCATCGACCGTGTTGATAGCAGTGACGACGTTTCGAAATGATCCCCGCCCCGCGACCTCCCACTTGACGAGTAGCAATGGTCTATAGTAACGACTTGCTTGACGAGATGCACGACAGACACAGGTCCACAACTGTCAAGTGCCTCTTCCACAAGCATTGTCTTTGGGAGACTAAGCCCAGGTCCGGGTGCGCGCTTCCCCTTGGTCTAATGACCACATATGTGCACCTCACATGTAAGTCCAAGACTCAGCGAGGGCAGCATCCAGGGCTGGATGTCGGGATGGACTCGGAAGACGACACCCTCAGGCTCGATCATGCTATTTTGGTGATGAGAAATGGCCTGACGGAAACACATGATAGGACTCTTACGAAAGCATGAGCTATGCAGGATGCCTTTGACTGCTCTCCTTGGGTGTGTTCCTGACATATGACACGCTGCTTCTCCATCTACATGAGCCTGGGGCTCGTGAAAAAGGCAGAAGAGCTGTGCACCAGTTCCAGTGACCACCATCGGGTTGCTACATGTAGGAATTTAGAGGGTTGCGGGCGTCTTTGGCGATCCCAGTATCGACCACTCCAGACCAAGCCGATGCTGAATACTATTCAAGCCACCCTGCCAGTTCTGAAATTGTAAAAGATCGACGCTTCTGGCCTCTTTTGAGGTGGCTGGTACATCGTGCTCGACGGTGTAGTTGGCACTCGGTAGTGAACACGTACTTTCTATCTGTTTGCCAATCTCGAGAACGCAGCGCAAGAACACTCGTGTAAGCCTGATTGTTCAGTGCTCACAATTTGTAAGAACAGACAACATATAGATGCTAGGATCTTGTTAATCCGTCGCTCTTCTCAGCATCTGGTGCAGAACCTGCAAGACAAGATGGCGGAAACCTTTATGCCAAGTCACGGGAATATCGCCCAAGCAAGTCCTATCAGGCCACTTGCAAGGACCCCAGGAAAGAATTGCCCGACAATGACGGGGGGAGAAAAGGGCTGACCCGAAATAAGGGGCACGGCAGGCAGGCCAAACCCGAAAGTTCCGAGCCAATTGCCGCGCTCGCTGCCACACAGGGCTGGCGGCTGTACCCCTTTGGGCGCGTGGTGGTTTCTGTCGCTCCAGATTTAGAAAAGTACCGGATGTGGGCTGATCTGGACTATGTTTGAGCTACGTATGAAATAGATAGGTTTGGATGGCTTGCGTGGATGCATATGGACTAGAAAGATGAGATGCGGAGCGGGTGGGACAATTTACATAGAGAGAAATGAGTATAAGAATATCTTAGGGAGCTGCCAATTTGAACGAATATTCCATGCCTACTATACAGCATATACTCCTCACAACTTATCATTCGCGAGAGCCATCTACCGGACAATGGGTGACTCTCAACTTACCAGCGCCTCAAGTGGCGATGATAAGACCAAGGCTGTCCTTGACGCCCTGACTACGCTACCAAAATTTGACTACACTGCTTATGAGAACGGCATACAGGATCTCCTGGGCGTCGACTCGAATGGCTGGTCCAATGTTTGTTCTAGCGACCTATACGGAGAAACACCAACTCTCGCAGGTGTGTCAAACATCGTTCAACGCTTCAAGGTCCAGACCATTGCCTTGGGCGTGTCTCGCAACAGCCAGTATGGCTTCTCCAATACTGTTGTCATGGTAAGTCAAACATGTACCTTTTCTCTCTTCTCGTTCCGAACGCTGGCTTACCATCGCCCACCAGAACAGCTTCCAGGACCGTCTGAACACAACGTCTTCCTCCATAGTTGTCCCGGTGTACCGTATGCACCTGGAGAAGCACATGGCTGCCAATGGCGTCCCTCTCCCAATTGCGGATTTGGCTAAGGACGTAGGATTCTGCAGGGCTTTTATATCCAGGATCCTGACGCCCGAATTCATCAATGACGCACTTATTGCCCGATTCCTTGACCAGCCTGGGTATACCGAGGCCATCGCGTTCTTGTACGAGCGGCTGCGGCCCAGCTTGTTGCAGCAACCTGACACAGTCGCTTCCCGCGTCAGCCTGGCCGGATCGAACGTGCCGTTGTCGACAGTGGTTTTGAACAGCCTTCCCAACAATACCGTGTATTCACAGACGGTCATGGCGAGTCAGGACCTTTCCGCGGCTGGCAAGACGCAAGACTTCCTGTCGGCCTCGCTTCCCCTTGTCTGGTCAGACAACAAACTCCTCCAGGGACCACAGTTTCCCACCGTCGGAGTAGCCTGGGCTAACCTCTGGATGGCGAACACTTTTGCCACTGGGGTCATAGCCAACCTCATCAACTCTGACGTGAGTTACCAATACTTCCCCGGGCCGCCTGGCGGGGTTGGATCGACGTTTGCCATCTACGGTGACAAACTCTGGCAATGGATCAAATCGCAGGAGGCAAATGGGAACGGGGATGTCTTCCACGTCACGCAACCGGAGAATTTTAATTACCTGTCCCCATTTGGCTGCTTCGCCCCTGGCACAATGATCACGACGGAGGTCGGCGAGGTGGCCATTGAGGACCTGGAGCCCTCAACACTCGTGATGGCCAGGGCGCCGGGCCACTACGGCCGAAGTTCGTCTGAAAGAGTTGAGAACCCAACGGTGATAGCCCAGCCTGGGCGCCAGCATCTCGTAGTCCCCCTATACGGCTTCAATGGAGAGGAACCATTCGTCACCGACGGGCACATCTTCTTCACCACAACTGGCCCGAGAGCCATCAACCCAGCCACAGCTACTGCTGAAAACAGCTCTGCAAAGATCGGGCATTTGCGCGAGGGCGACGTGCTCCTGCGCCTCAACCATGATAGATCGGGATATGACAAGGTCAAGATCGCAACGATTACTCGGGATGGTGCCAAATGCAGTACCGTTCACGGCCTCCATCTCGCCAAGGGCAGTGACGGAGGACACAGGTACCACGCCAACGGCTACTGGGTGGGCGAGAACTACCCGCAGCTCACGATCAAAGGTCTTCTGAATAAATATCACACAATGACCCCGGCCGATCAGAGAACCTTTGTCAAGCACGTCGCCAAGCTCCCGCACTGTTTCCGCCAGGTCCTCGGACCAGCAGTATATGACACCGTGCAGCGAACCTTTGCGACCATCGGCATGCCGACGCATGCTAACTCGGCGTCCATCCAGAGGAGGCAGCGCAAAGAACCGACAAGCATCCTTGGTGCCGTCGAGGAAGCTGGACGCCATCACATATCCATCATGTCCGCCGTGGCGCATTATAGATTGGTGAACCACGACGAGTTGCGCAAGTCACGCACCAAGCTGGACACCACGACCCCTCGCTATGCCAGAACCATAGCTGATCTCAATGGCGACGTTGTTCTGCCCGAGGTGACAATGTGCCACGGCGCCGTGGTCGTACACGACCAGGGGTCTCTCTCTCTGGTGCGCAACGCCTCCATGTCCCACCTGGCTGTTCAATGGTCGAGCCCGATTCGAGGGCACCCTGGCATGTATCAGCATGGCGTCCTGCGCGCCGTATACCACGGCAAGGCAGCCCTCGGATACGTCGCAACTGGTCCTGCCGAGGCCAAGAGCCTCGGGGAGTTGGGGTCGATTACTCCCGTCATGGCTGTATCGACTGCCAACACATACAACATCAATTTCGGGACAAAGATATTCGCCAGCTCGACAGAGGCCATTGCAGCCAAGTCAAGTGACCCTGATGGCTGGACTCCGTTCTGGAAGGTTGTCATTGGCCTGGTGCATGACCCTGTGTCGGGGGGATTCAAAATTGCGCTGTCGCTGCCAGACCTGGACCAACAATGGGTTAACATTCATGGCAAAACCGCTGCGGACACCCCCCCGTACCAAGTGATCCCACCCAAGCTCGACCAGAAGACCTATGTCATGAGCATCACCGTGCAGGTATGCCCCGGCCTGGAAGACAAGCCTGGTCTCTTGGACACGCTCAAGACCTGGAACCTCAAGGATGACCAGGGCAAACCCGTTCCGGCGGGCCCAGCCTTCAATCAGTTTTCCGTATATCTAAACCTCGAAACAAATGAGGTCCATGGCTATTCTTACGAGCTGTCACCCGGAGAGACATCCGGCACCTTCAAGAACGGCCCCATTCACGGCCTGACCACGCCAGGCTCGAGTACCGTCTCCCACATCCGAAAGACCGTCAACGACCTGGTTCAAAACGCCCCTTGCATGCCTGGCTCCTTTGGATCCGCAGACGTGAACGATTCTTCCGCCAACTTCCACGCCCCTGCACAACAAGCGGCGCAGATGCTGGCGACGAAGCTGTTCACCGCCAAAGACCTGTCCATTGGTGATCTGCAGACCACGCCAGCACCATCCGATACTGATCTAAACAAGTTTTCGCAGGTGTATATGCAGAACGCGGCCAACTACTGGCGTCGGAAGGAGGAGACTGACCTGTTTGGCAACGACCAGGCCGCCATGAAGACCGCTCTGCCCACGAGCGGGAGCCTCACCAACAACCTAAATTCGGAAGGGCAAAAATGGCTGGGCATCTACGATCGAGGGTTGATGCTACAGGCCCTGCAGCGTGACGCCAAGTACTCAGGCAACTTCACTGACGCGGAGGGGTCAAAAATGCAGTACTACTGGCAGGGCGGGCAGAAGGGCTGTCTCTCGAGCGGAGAGCAGTTCAACCGCATCTCGGAGATCTGCGGCCGCGAGGCGTTCCTGGCCCTAACGCCAGGCTTGAAGCCCTACATCGAGGACTCGCGGGACTGGGGGAACTTGTTTTTCAACTTTGTGTCCACTGACGAGCAGCTGAACCTCCAGGTGTTCGGGATGAGCCTCGATCCTGGGGCGAGTAACTTGACCAACAGGTACTGCATGATCCTGAACGCTCTGGACTTTCAGAACCGGGAATATGCCACCACGCTCTGGCGCCTGGTCAGGGACAAGCTGCTCTGTAGCGTGAGCAACGGCACCATCACGGGAGATCAGAAAGAGGTACGTTGGCGAAACCTTCTGAAGTGCTAGGCTATGCGTCACAGAGACTGATTCCATCAGACGCCCGAGTTCCTGCAATGTTTTGTGGCGCAGCTCATCCTCCAGGTCCAGACAGGGTCGAGCACCGAGCTGCTTGATCAGCTCAAGATCGACCTTGCCTCTCTTCAGAAACACTGGGGAACAAACGACGCCAATGAGATCGCGGCCAGACTCTTCAGCGCCGGGTATGAGCTGGGCCAGTGCTTTATCGAGGTGATGAAGGACATGTCAGACATCATCTCCCACCAGAGCAAGGCCAGCTTCTCCGAGGTGATGAGCCGGTGGGAGAACAAGGTGAGGCTCAAGTACCCAGATCAAGGGGACAGGCTGGTTGCGGGCCTGAGATTTGGAACTGCGTTCATCGGACTTGCGTGAGTTGCCCGTCTACAGACAGACAGGGAGCTATGGTTGGCTGACTTGCCTCTTCTTCAGGATCGACGCCTTGGGTCTCTATCAGAGCATCAAGTATCTCCAGGCGTGGGGAACCCTCACTGCGCCTGAAAAAGCCGAGGCGGTCATCGGTATGGTTCAGATGGTCGTGCGGACCGGGACAGACCTAGCCAAGATCATCCAAACGATGCGTGGTAAAGATCCGAACAGGTACGTGACACGTCCTCCAACCCTCGAGCCCCCGTGCTCGACCCTTGCGCTGCTCTGCATCAAGACCGCACCTTCTGACGCGTGAGGTACAGCTTCGACTTCAAGATCAACTGCGTCAAATGGAACAATACCACCGGCGAGGTTGGCGGGCACACTGTCATCGAAAGAATTGAGAACGCCGAGGGCGACATGCTGATCCAGCCGGCGCTGGATGATGAGAAGATTGGCGACATTAGTGCCGCGAATACCGGGAGCCGGGAGTGCCATTGAGAAGAGTCTCGCCAAGGTCGCCACAGGGGAGGAGGCGGTCGAGGGGATCACCAAGACTTTCCGGCTCTCGGAAGCGGTGGCCAGCATCATTGCCATTGCGGCCAACATTGCCGCGGCCGTCTGCATGGGGTATCAGATCAGAGATGACTTTAAGAAAGGGGAGGCGCCCGGTATCGAGGCCATGGTAGGTCATATCTCCGCCTGACGGGCAGGTTCTGGCTTTGCGCAGCGGCAGCGCACTTGAATAAGAGTCGACATGCTAACGTGCTTCTGCAAAGGATATTATAACCGAGGTCGTGACTTGTTTGCAAGTCTTGTCCGGTATCGCCGAGCTGGGAGCCATGGTTTTGGGTATCGAATGCATCGCCATTCCCGTCGTGGGCGTCCTCATTGCCGTCGTTGGCATCATCCTGATGTTATGCGAGTATGTTCCGGCCTCGCTACGGCCAGCACGGCCACGCTCGAGTACAGTGGCTAACAAGACTCATAGAATGTTCGTCCCCCGTAAACCGCCTCCAGATCCCGTCAAGGGATACATCAACGACAACAAACTGGGCTTTCTGCAGCCGATCCCATCTCCACCCGCCGTGGCTCTGACCTACAAGCTCACAGGGCAATCCGGAGGCACGACTGTACCCGAGGGGCAGAAGTGCACCATTACCCTCTCAGTGACAAACCCGGCCAACTTGAACATAAAGTTCCGCTCGCTCGCCTTGCGCTTGCCCGTCGGCAGTGACGGAGACGAGCTATTCGTCGCCCCGAGCGGGAAAGACGAGAAGACGGGCAAGTCGCCCATCTACGACGTCGTCACGTATGATCTCGACGGGAAGCCCGATGGGTGGTCCGTTCAGGGCGCACCGGTCGCGAACAACACTGACGGCTCAATGATGGCCAAAATCATATCGACAAACAACACGGACGGAAGTTCGATTCCTGCGGGGGGGTTGACGCTCCATGTCACGGGTACCGTGAACAAGACGGCTGGCAAGGTTACGTTCCGGTTGCTCGAGGGAGCCGTGTCGCGCCCTGGCGTTCAAGATATCCCGGCGGGTGACTATTACACCTTTTTGTATCTGACCAAGGCGTAGGAGTCTCGGGTTGGTATGGAGGAGGCAACCGTGGTCAGCTATGTCGCTGCCACCGAATCCTTGTACAGCAGGACAAAAGTTCAGAATGATAGTTTGCCATTGAAGAGAGACTTGTACCAGGAAGGTCGCATGCGTAGGATGAGGGATTGGCCTCTCTAGAGCCCTTTACACTCCCTGTTGTAGAATCGTCTGAACACGATGTATCGCCTGGCGCATGTAGGAAGACGCTGGACGAACGGGTGAAGGCGCCCGCGATCGTGGAGCCACTGGATTCCTGGAATAGGCCAGGTCGTCAGCGGCCAGCCGTCGCTCTTCGCGCCGGGAAACTTGCGCAACGTGTCGTAGCCGAACGTGTCGATGGACGAGACGGTGGCAATGGCGTCGGCGACCTCTCTTTGCCAGAGGATCGTGTCAAAATTCACCGTTTCCTTGTCGTTCGTCGTATCGATCGATGGCTGTGATGTCGCTCTGAGCGCTGTGGCCAGGCCAGCGACAACGTTGTCAGAGGCCCAGATGTCGCATTGAGTCGTCGCTCAAGCGTTTTATACTGCACGGGTGGCCTACCCAACTCATCTCTGGTCTTCTTGACATCAGGATCCAATGGGTTTGTGTTCGAGATGTCGGGCGACTACCACAGAGAGGCTTTCTATCCTCGTTCATTGACCAGTAGGTTACTGTCGTCGCTACATGAATACATTGGAGGAGAAATTTGGAAGCAAGATTGGCGTCATTGGTCGTTAGAAAGCCATTCGTGGTGTTCGGAACTGGGAGATGGCGCGACTTGCGGGATGATTCAGGCTTTCGTTATCGGCGAAGGGAGCGTGATGGGGGATGTTTTTCATTTGGGATGCCACGCGCGTCGACATGGTAAGGTACGCCTGCCCAGGTCTGTGTACAGGGTAAGCCAGCTCACGGTGCTGCTTTGGTGTCCTTGCCCTGGTCCCTGACTCCTGACTCCCGAGTCCCGACTCAAGTTCTGACTCCCGACCCATCTCAACGTGACGACAATATCATCCGAACTTCAAAGACTCCTTTAATCGACGCACGCGCACTCGCAAGACACAATGTGAATGCTGCCCGCTGGTGCCTCCCTACCGTCCAAGATGGCGTTGACCGTGGTCTTCACGAACCTGGAACTATTGACGTTGAACTTGCTAGATCCTTCTGAGCAACACACTGCACTAGACTACTCGTTGCCAGATGAACCATCGCCGAGGTCACGCCCGTCACCTTCTCGAGTGGGAGCCAATGAATCGGCTCCCTTGCATACCTAGCGATGGCATCATGTTTCGCTCAAAATGAAGAAGATGACGTTGAAGGCGTTTACCCCCGAACCTTCCGTTCACGTCGCCTTCCTTCAGCACCCAGGGCCTCATCGCGAAGCTGGTGAGCCGATCCCCCCATCCCACCAACCATTGGTCAATGTATGCTGGATGCAGGATGTCTATCAATTACACAGGTGATTGATCACAACTGTGGAAAGAGTCTCGCACATTGTGAAGGAAATTTCAACTCATGGCCGACCATGTGTTGAGATCACGGGGCAGATTACGTCAAAATGGGGTGATGAGCCCATCGCAGGTGCCTTCGTCAACATGATAAAAGACATGGCCACAGAGGTGCGATTCGGTCACGAGCACAGATACGGGACTTGTTGCCAACCTCGAAGATAGGATTAATGTCCCCCATCCTGCTGTCCAAGCTCTGGTCCTATTTTCCTCTACGCACATCAGTCATATGCAGAACCGTAGGACGAAAACATGTCCCCTATCGTGCAATGAGAAGATATCGCCCAAATACTGCGCTGCCAGACCGCAAGGACCGGGAAGTGGTTGAGCTTCTCCAAGCTAACGTTCAGGACTTTCCTTCCATTGAGGCGGCCGGTGAGACACTTGCGCGATGTTTTGACAGCTTTGGCAGCTCCAAGATCCTACTTATCGGGGATGCCTCCCATGGCACTTCAGAGTTCTATGTGGCTCGGGCAGAGCTCACAAAGCACATGATTGAGAAGCACGGCTTCAACATTGTCGCAACAGAATCAGACTGGCCAGATGCCGAAGCCGTGGACCGCTACGTTCGGCATCGACCCCGACCTGATGTCTCACCCACAAAAGAGGCTGACGCGGAAACGCAGCCAGGAATGGACGATCCAGAACAGCCCGCCTTCTTGCGCTTTCCTACCTGGATGTGGCGTAACCTAGAAGTGCACGATTTTGTCGAGTGGCTCCGAAAGTTCAATAAGGGGTTGGACTTGCACGAAACCGTCGGCTTCTACGGCCTGGATCTATACTCTCTTGGTACGTCCATGCAGGCCGTGATTCGGTATCTCGACAACGTGGATAAGGACATGGCAAATGTTGCCCGTGAACGATACGCTAGTCTCATGAGCTGGGCCGAGCACCCTCATCAGTACGGTCTAGAGACGCTTGTTTCGGGGTTTCAAGGATACGAGAAAGACGTTGTCGATGTCCTCAGGCGTTTACTGCGCAAGCGCCTTGATTATTCCGCTGCCCATTGGGATGGCGTCGAATTCCACAGCGGAGAGCAGAATGCAAGGCTTGTCAGGGGTGAGTTCTGCGCGCGTCCCATCTATTAACATAGAAGTGCGAACAAGGCCAACCATCCTCTAGATGCCGAGTACTACTACAAGACCTTGTACTACGCTCGAGACGAGTCATGGAATCTGCGCGACTCGCACATGTTTGAGACCTTGGTCCGCATCCTCAAGCATCGGGGTCCAGGCTCCAAGGCCATCGTGTGGGCCCACAACAGCCATGTTGGTGACGCTCGGGCAACCAGCATGGGCTGGGGGCGGGAGGAGCACAACATCGGCCAGCTGTGCAAGGAGGCCTTTGGCGAAGAGGAGGCTCTGAACATCGGTTGCAGCGGCAACACTGGCACCGTCGCGGCTGCGAAACACTGGGACTCTGACATGTGCGTCATGCGTGTCAACCCTGGTATCAGCAACAGCTACGAGCAGATCATGCATGCCACTGGGCTGAAGAACTTTGCGATCGACCTTCGCGAGGGGCATTGCAACAAAGAATTGAGAGATGCACTGGCTAAAAAGAGACTGGAGAGGTTCATCGGCGTTGTATATCGTCCAGAAACCGAAAGACAGTCGCACTACTCATCTGCAGTGCTGCCGCAGCAGTTTGACGGTCTGATGTGGTTCGATGAGACAACGGCGGTCAAGGCCATGGAAACTCACCAACCGGAGAACCCACCGGAATACGATGAGACCTGGCCGTTTGGGCTTTGAGGGTCTCGCGTGTCGCATTCCGAGGCATCATAGGGACCAATGCAAGTTGGGGTAGCCAGCCGACTTTCTTCCTTTCTCTATTCAGGAACATTGGTCTTGTGGAGTCGGTGAGCGAGGGTCAAATTGTTTTCTCTTTTTGCGTCTTTGTCGTTCACCGCACCTTGCAAAAAAACTCAGAATGTCATAAGGTTCAACCGCCCTGAGCATGGGGCCCGGTCTGCGTCGACTGCCTTGTCTGCTTCGAGGAGGGCAGTCCTGTTTTAGTTTTGACAACAAAGAATGTGCCCTGGCGAAACACTTTGACATGGACCATCGACGGATGTAGCTGACGCTTCTATTGTGTTTGCATTCTCCTGCCCCTGGCTATATCCGGTGGCCCTATGTTCTCCAACAAACGATAGTTAGATCTCAGATCAAACCACGGGGGCCTTGGGTATCGATGCTGCGCTCAGCTACCATAGCATCCATAGACACAATTTGGAGAATTCGGCCTCCTCAAACGGGGCATCCTTGAGTTCTGGCCTCAACGTCGCTCGCAGAGTTGCTGCCTTTTCTTTGCACGTAGCCGATTCAGCCTGCATATCCCTGTCTTTGTAGACTTCAGCGAGCTTGTACAGGGCTCGAGCTCGCTGGCCGTCTCCCTCTGCAAAGGTCTCGGTCATATTGACTACTTCTTCGAGGAGTTGTCTGCATGGTGAGTTAGCATCTATGTGTGCTTCTTACAGTGAACCAACCACTCACATCGCCGAGTTCTCATGACCCTCCTTCAGTAGCATACATGCGACATCGTACTGCGAGTCGCAAGTCTTGAGTTTGTTTCCGAGCAGCTTTCGACGAAAAGATAGAGCCTTTGATGCCAGTCTCAAGGCATCCGTCGGTTGCCCCTGTGCAAGGCGAATACGGGATAGCAAGACCATGTCGCCTGAAAAACGCGGATTTCCAGTGCTGAGGAAGGTTTCATCAGTAAAATCTTTCAGAGAAGGGCACCTTGACAGCATCTCCTCCGCTTCTTCGGGGCGACCCATTCGAAGAAGGAGACTCGACATATTGCTGTAAGAGTTACCGATCCTGTCGCTGTTGGCCTTGAGCCTGAGACGAATTGCTTCCTGGTGTGCCGCAAAGGCGAGCTCCAGTTCGCCCATTTCAGTATATGCAAGAGCGACATTGTTCTGGCTATAGGCAACAAAAGGGTCTTCGGGCCCGAGGATTGCCTTGCGTATCTCCAGAGCATGCATGAAGGGATTCAAGGCCTGGGCAGGCTGTGCCAGATCCAAGAGGATCAGGCCGCTTAGATCGATGGCGCTTGCATAATAGAGGCCCGTACTGACTTGGAATGTCGAAATTGCTTGCTCAACCATTGTTCTAGCGATGTTGTACATTTCACTCTCGTACAGGTACCTGTGTAGACACGCATCAGTGACAGGATATGACAGTGATTGAAGCAGACTCACCAACTGCATCGCAGAAGAAGATCAGCGTACTTCTGTCGATCTCCTGAGTAATTTCCCCTAGAATTGACGAGATGGACAAGACGGTTCACATGTGGGAGACACTTCTCACATTGAGTCCAAGCTGCGATTTGATGACCAATGTCGGTGCTCGAGTGGTCTGGGAATCCCCAGCAGAGCATGTGGACTACAGCATCAAAGTACCTGATGCTCTCCGACTCGCTCAGGCGCTTCTGGGCCGCCGACTGAACCAGACGGTGAATCGAAAGTACTCCTGACTCGCCTGTCCGGTTGACGAGGGCGGCTCGGAGGAGATCTTCTGATGCATCGCCGAGGCTGAGAATAAGACATCAGCGAAAAGGTTCGAAGCCCCGGAAGGGATAGTTGTTTTCCTTACTCCATTTCGTCAGACAGGAAGGAGAACTCATCTGCAATGCCCTGGGACCCTCGCAGCAAAACTTCCTCAGAGATGCCATCTGGGTCAAAGAATGACAGCAAGTTCAGGAGTTGAATAGAGATGCTGGTTAACTTTGTGAAGGAGACATCCCACACCGTACTTAGTGTATGCTCGTAATCACTGCCAGGCGCTTTTCGGGCATCGATCTTCTCTGAATGACGGTCGTAAAGCGGTAAGAACTCTTTCAGGGACATCCTTCTTTGCCTAATGAATCCGCCGACCTGTGCCAGAGCCAAAGGCAGTCCGCCAAAGATCTTGTTGATTGCCAACGCGTTTTTTTCGTCGTCGGGCGAGGTGGTGTCCAGGTCAAGTGCCTTCAAAAGCAATTTGCTACCATCCTGGTCATCTAGCGCATTGACTTGCACATATTGCGTCAGTAGAGAGGTAGCCACGGTAAAGTCTCGAGTTGTCAGAAGGACCGATCCGTGGCTGGTGCCTGGCCACGCTGTCTTCAGAGCAGGGAGGTCGTCCGCGTTGTCGAATATGATAAGGTAGGTAGACTCTGCAGCTGTCAGGCGACGGGTGCAACACTTGATACTTGCGCGTCTCGGGTTACAAACCTGTTGTCGCCAGCCAGCTTTTCACCTTATATATGGACACGGCGGCGTCTTTGACTTCCTCGACACTGCCCACCAGGCCGAGTCCTTCTGCTATCGTACGAAAGCTCTGCGCAATCGAAATGGCGTTATCAGCTGCAACCCATAGGATAATGTCAAACTTATCCATATTTTGATACGCGTATTGGACCGCAATCTGCGTTTTGCCGACACCGCCCAGACCAAATAGTGCTATTGATTTGAGCATAGATGCTGTGGTTTCCGGCACCAAGGCCTCGCCAACCGCGTTCAAGATATCGTGGCGGCCGCTAAACTTGGTATTCGCGGCGAAAGGTATGTTGTTGTACCAGATTCGCTCAGGCTTATTTGAAGGTTTCACTTTCATCGCATTCGAGAGTTGCAATACTTCCTTGTACTGGGTTTCATCCTTGCGCATTCGCGCCATGTCGGCCTCGCTCTCCACGCTTGAGGACATGCGCTTGATGCGCATGTTTGTCCGCGAAAAGTCGTCCCGAAAGGTTTGCCATGCGTTCTTTCTGAGGACCAAGTTGGGATTGCTGCGGAGAAAGTGAATAGCCCTAGCATAGAAGCAGATGATCTCGCAATACACGTCCAACAAGGCCTGTTGGAGTGGGCGGTTCAGCGGCACGGTCTGTTCGTAAACCTGGAGCCTTGGAAGAGTCAGACTTAGCTCCTCCAGCATGTCTAGAACGTCTTTGAGTGTCTCCGCGGCGGAGGAGGCATGTGAAAGGATCATGCGTATGCTGCCCCAGACAGCCGCTGTCAACGCGGTATTGGCGCCGAAACACAAGGCCAGTACCGCTGAAAAGTCGTCGACAAATTTCAGCCTCGGTGCAATTTTTTGAAGAGAAATTACTCCAGCGTGCGTGTTGGGTACGGCGCCGTGGAAGGAGGAGAAGGAGTCGATCAGTTCCTCGAGTGTGTGGACTTTCTGGATTGCTTGATAATCGTCGGCTGCCTGTAATTCTTCTCGATATTTTTCCAAGGCTTGAAGCCATAGTGGGCTTGGCGACCGGCTGAGTCTACTGATATCAGCAACTCTCTCCTTCGTGGCTCCAAGTTTTCAGCCGGGACTCACTTTTCGACCATCACGGCTCTCTCCCGTGCAGCCGCGCGGCTTCGTCTTTGAATAGAAGAGGTTGATAGGAGGAAGCAAATGCTGTGAAACTCTGGAAAGCGGCCGAGCGGGGAAACCTGCACATTCTACATCTCTCTGTGGCTCTTGCCACACTGAAATGTGAGACTGCAAGTTGATGTTGGTGACCTGAACAAGTCGGGGGAAGGTGCGAGTGGAACCCACACCTACTAAACTCAGCGAATGAAGTCACCCTGTAAGGCTGTAATTGTGAGGCAAGCCTGCAGCTGCCAGCAAGCCACGGGCGCCTATGTACATTGTAGCTCCCGCTCAGACGGGAGGGCGCACGGGCCGAAAGGGACATGGACATCCTGGAGCCCAGACCCGGGGGACTGGTCAGGTCACAGGTTGCAGGTCACAGCCTCCAGTCCATGTCAGAGCCGCCTCACCTCAGGCAACTCGGTGACCCTACTGGCGGAACAGAGATATCTCTGAATGATCCAGTTGGCAGTACGGACTACGGAGTACAAGGCCCCTTTCCCTCCCAGCTTACGTGCCATGATCCGTCTTTACCGCCCTACTCAGGCTACCATACATAATGGCCAGCTCGAGCGATGCGTCTTTCGGTACAGTGTCCTCAATTCAAAGGATCTCCGCCAAATAACTGATTTCCAATGGTCAGAAATGTCCTTATCAGAATCGAGAAGCACGACTATCCGCGTTGAATCTACTCAAGATCCTACTTTCGCCGATCTTCCTTGGTATCGCTGGTGGCTTTTCCAACAGACCCGAAGCCAGCCACAGCGTCTGTTTCTGTCTCTTCCGAATATGCGGTGCGACAAGGAAGCGGAATTGGACACATACTTCCTTCCCTTGTGGAACAAGGTCAAAGAGCTTCTTTTGGTACCGGAGCCGAAGACCATCGACGGCATTACGGACACACTTGTCCAACACGGCATTCTGTCCATCAAGGACAATTATGAGGCCTATCAGTCAGCCAAGGAACTTGTCTTCTCAATTCTGGGCTGGCAGACAATGCTCTACAAGCCCCAAGCTACATCTTGTACCACCGGAGATTTCAACATTCTCGATGAGACGGACAAGTATCAGGGCGAAGCGCGGCTGCGGCTCAGCCAGTCCTCTATCTCGGGCAAATATGACCTTCCCAGCTTTCTCCTTGGGTTTGGCATGATGCTCCCGCCGCCACAATACTGTGCCTTTGACGACGCGGATGACAGGCAACTGTTTAACGTTACGAAGCAAATCATCACTAAAGAACTTAACGCACACATATTGACCAAGATCTGCGGCATCAAACTTCGGTGGGTCGACTCGATCTCCTGCCATCTGGAACTGGACAGACATTCCGGCACTCTCTTTCTCTATCGATATCCCTCTTTCTGTGTTTCGAATCTTCAATTACAGAGCCCAACGGCCCAAGGTGGAAGCGCTATTCACCGATGCGGGTTGACTCTACCAGGATCACTACCCTGGGCGACTGAGAATGATGTTACGGAGCTGCTTCGGGAGATTCTACTCTCCTATCGCTTGCTCTTTGGTCAGAGCCGGCGATCGAGAAGTCTGTTCCGAAAGCTGCAGCCGTTTGCACGCATACCTCCTGAAGGGCATGACTCTTTCCTGTCCCTGATATGCGGCAAGAAGAGTCTCAACTGTCCCATTGCTCTGGTTGAGCGAGAAGAGTACGACGTGGCTGGCGACTTTCCGCACCTTCGCAGCAGAATCGTCCGACTGGCCAGCTACGCTTCAAACAAGAAGCCTCGCTCCATTCGACAGCTATGGCGAGATAAGCGCGATTCGACCACTTGGCTCGCGTTCTGGAGCGTCCTCATTATTGGTTCAGTGAGCATTGTATTGGGATTGATTCAGACTGTGTTCCAGATTATGCAATACGCTCTTGCCCTTCACCAGGGGAGGTCCTGAGTGTACTAGTACTTAGAATTCAGCCCAACTTGTAGAAATGAAATGTAGACCTCGTGTATCCTAGCTCAGACCTTCCGCTGCGCCCAGCTCTCAATGATGCCTTCGACTGTTGGTTCGTACTCCTTCAATGAGACGGTATCCTCTGCCAGGAACGTGTTTGCATGGACGAAGACAAGGGGCGGGGGCTTATTTGCAAGCACTGTCTCCCGCCAGTCGACATATTCCCCGTTCACCCTCGACAGGTTCTCATAGTACGCCCGACAGCCTTTTGAGTCAGCTGTGCATCTGAACATGTGCAGATGCAGGAGCATCTTTCCTAAGGCTTGCTTCCCATGCGTGCGAATCTTGGAACGGTCTACCTGAACCGTCAGACTCTTCTTTGGCTTGTTGTGGGTGATGACGATGACGCCGCCGCCGTCCTGTAGCAAGCACTTCAACATAGCAAAGTGTGCCTATTTGAGAGTTAGCACGTATGTCTTCATCTACATTGGGTAAGACTTACACGACTGTGGGCTTGGCCCCATTTCTGCGGCAGATGTTAGCAAAGCAGAAATCTTGACCAGGACATGGTGTACTCACGCCGCTATCAACGTTGAAGTTGGAAAGTCCTCGCAAACCATCAGTACCTAACTGCTGGTACAGATTGTAGGTCACTACAAAACTCATGTCAGTCATCCATATTATCCGCACTCAGGACACGCTCACGGTCTTCAGCGCGGATCTCGGAGTCATCATTGAAGCCAAACATCTCAAGAAGCTCCAGGTCGTCCATCAAATAGGCACCCACGAGTTCCGCCCTGCATTCATCAACAGTGGTTGCCAAGTCACCAAATTCGCCAGTCCACGTTTGACCTGGCTTGTACCACGACGTAATGGGTTTTCCAGTGATTGGGTTCATGGGCGGATTTTCGACATCGAAATTGAAACTTCCGTCCACCCCTTCCACCATCATCTTCCCTGTACCATGGCCGAGCAGCTCGTGGAGTACGACCCACCAGTAATACGCTGGGTACTTATGCTTCTTGAATTGTTCGGCCTCGGAAGCGTCAATGAAGGGATACTGCTGGGCTTGGCTTTCGGTGACCATTCGATTCGCGATAATCACATTCTTGAATCCATCCTCCTGCCGAATATCGTTGTACTGTGATGGGTTTTTAGTCACGAAGCCAGTCAACAATGTCTGCATGTACACCAACGTTTGGTAGGTTGATTCCTGGGAATATGATGCTCGAGCAGTACGCAAGCGCTATGTATCGTAAGCAATGCACAACACAATACTCATCCAGCACTAACAGTGAATGCTGGAGAAGTCTGGCGGCTCGAATAGATTCTTCTCAAACGGCCCTTTACCATCATTCTCTGGTGTGGCCCAGGGCAGCCGGCGGATGAAGGTCGACGAGCTCTCCACTAGCTTGGACAAGAGTCTGGTTTCTTCGTCGTCTGCGATAGCCACAAGACCTTCGAATTCTGCTCGGATGCCATGCGGATCGCGATATGGCTCGACGAACCCAAAGATGTTCTCCACCCTGGGCGCCTTGTCATTTACCCAAAGCCGTTGGGAGTCGCGGTACGTGTCCAGGCTGCCGCTTTGGAAGCTTTCAACATACGCATTGAGGAATTGTGTTTGTAGATCGTTCGCCGCGTATTTTGACGCTTTCTTTAGCTCATCACACACTCGCTCAAGTTCGGTTGAGTGATCTCCACCGACGAGTCTCACGGACCCTTTACCGTCGGGAAGGGGGAATCGAGCAATCTCTCCGTCATGAACGGAAGCGAGGAGGACTTCCAATCCAGCGCCATCCGCCTTTCTTTGAAGTCTGGTGTTCTCCGGAAACACGGAATTTTGTTCGAGGATCTTTGACACTGGAGTGATGTCTGACTCGCTGATTAGGCCCCCGGGATAATAGCTGCTCTGCGCCGTCTCACTTGGGTAACCGAGGCTGAAAGGTGGTCTGGCTTCTATTTGCTCGGATATCTCCTCATATAAGCTTGTCAACACGGGAGATCTGGTAGCTAGTGCCTCGAGGACGGTGCGTTCTACCCCGGGGACGAACTTTTGGTCACCGGAACCCTGTGAGAGTCAACGCTGCGTGTGACTATGCGCTTTCAAATCTGAGCGCCCAGACGTACATAGAAGTTCCCCACGTTGGAGAGAAAAGTAGCAGCGTACGTCAGCAGGCGTCGGATGTCCTCGCTGCTGACGTCTGGCCCTATCAGTGAACCCCAGGCTCCAGAGCAGGTGCGATGTAGCTCGAGTATGAAGTCGAAGATGGCGGGCGATTCGGGAGAAACCTGTCGGAGGATGATTCTTGTCCCGAACCAGGCAGCACTAGAATTGATGTTGAGCACCTTGGTGTATTCCAGGCTACCGCTCGCTTGCTTACCGAGCCATGTGATGCGCATATCGTTTTTCGCGATCTGTCAGGTGATGGAACTGGGACGCGATGTCCAGCCTAAAGACTTGGACCTCGCTGACAGCCATTTCGAGCGGTGTTTTTGGTGATTGACAATATTGCCAGATGTTGATCTACTATCCCACCGTAGCATTGGCAGTTGATCTACTATCCCACCGTAGCATTGGCAGTTGATCCTTGTGTCGGCTACTGGCACTGGGAGATGCGTGATGTTCAAGGCAGCTGAAGCTTCCCCGCCCGAACGTCTGATAACATCTGCAGACTGCACGTCTACTTGGTACGTACACGTCCCCTGTCTGTATCGGATACGTCTTCAGACCGAAACGCGCTGCAATTCATTATGCATTAGATATCCATTGCTCTACCGAAGATGCGAGGTATAATTATAGACAAAGAGAAGTATCAAAGGGCGGTCGTTCCACCAATATGACAAGGCTCTGAATAAATGCCAAACGCTCAATGCAACCTCTCCTTAACGTGAACCATGGCCGCCAACCCTGCGCAGCACTTGGTGCTCATCTCATGCGTGCACCACGGGCACTTGACCGTCATGGACACGGTGCCCGCAAACCTCACATCATCACCCAGGGCAACCACACCGTCCGGGTTGGCCATGGCCTCGTACAGCTTGCTCGGCATATCATGAAAGTACTTGCATTCGCAGCACTCGACAAACATCTTGGCAATCGGGTCTCGCGGTATCGGCAGAGGCTGGGGTGCCACAGTGTGCGAGGTCTTGAGAGGCGCCTGCGCAGATGGCGCGGCTTTCCTGGCCGCTTCAAGATATGTCGCGGGCCAAGGGACCACCACAGACGTCTCGTCGCGCGCCATGAGTAGCTCTCTGAGAGGAGGCGATTTCGACGCCGGATCTTGGTCCCGGGCAACGGCTGTGTTGATACGCGCCGGTTCCTGATGTTCATCCCCAGCGCGGCGTGGCTTCTGGCTCCTGCACGCGTTCGAGTCGGGGAAAGCGGCCATCACCTTGAGCGCGGCGGCCTGGATAGGATCGAGTTCCAGCGGTGACGGCTGGTTCGATTGGCGACTCTCGTCGAGGGAGAACGCTGGGGATGGCAGCACCGGGAATTGGCGCCCCTTCTTTCGATCCTCTCCAAAGCTAGGGAACATGCCTCGCTCAGACTGCGGTCTAGATGTGTCTGGTGTACCATGCTCGCCCGGGGAACGGAACCCATCCGAGGCCGAGTCCTCAGAAGAGTGGTAGGGGGGCGTCGGCGGTGCTATCGCGCAGCTTGTCCTCCAGTCTTGGATGGCCGGCATATGGCCATTCTTTCCAAATGTTCCTCCTCTCAGTCGATTGTACTTGTCGGCGGGGAGGACGCGCTCGTCAGTGTTCCGCAAGGTTCGCGTGGTAGGCGAGCGCGATCGACTGCCGGGACGGTCAGCGGCGGCAGCTGGCATGACCGGTGGTGAGAGCGCTGTATGGGCACTAAACGCAGCACGAGCCGCTTCCTTAAACGTCTTTCTTTGCTGGTGATTTGCTGACAGGCTCTCTGTGCTCGGGTTCACCGAGTCGTATGGGATGCTGGGCGGATCAGACGTGGTCCACCGCTTTGGCCGCTCTTCTACCTCCGTCGACGGTTTCGCTACAGGCAGCGTCTGGGACGACACCAGTGCCACTGGGCTCTCCAAGTCTCCTGCGTTCACTATTGACTTTCGCTTGGAGCTGCGTCTCGGGGGCGCAGGAGGTGACTCTGGAACCGTCATAAAAGAGCGCTCAGAGGCTGAGCCGGTGCCGCCCTCGTCAAAGATTGGGTGGCGAGCCGGATCTACCGTGAGCATATCCATCTTTTCATCGTCAACCTGACCGTGGATCCTCTGCACGACGGTCGGGCTGTTGATATTAGGTGTCGATTTGCTGCTAGGAAGTCGGACGGCATTCGAGGAGACGTCTGGCGTCGATGAACTTGTCATGACGGGGGCTGAGATTTGTGGTCTCTTTGCCGCTGGCAGCTTGGCAAGCTTCTGGCCGCCGTTGGGCGAAGGCTCCCGGGACCTTGACCTCAAGCCCACGCGGGCCTTCCACTTTCGCATCATACCGTCGTCTTGGGAAATGAGGGCTTGGTGTCCGGTCGTGTGAATCGCAATGGGCGGGTACGCTCGCGTCTCCTTTGGCTCGCTCCTGGGCACCAGGAACCTCAGTGGGCTCTCTGAGCGCTTTCTATTCTTTTGCGCCGTCTTCCTGGCTTCGGCTGCTTGATCCTCCAAGATCTTTTGGTGCGCAGCCAGGCGGTGTTGCTCGAGCTTGATCCCGCCAATGAAGCCGTCGCGGTTGTCTGTGTCGACGGAAGCTCGTCGTACCTCAAAGGGAGCCCTGAAAAGCGAGGAGAAGGAGCTGGACCGACCGCGAGGCTTCGCGCTGCTGTCCAGTGCCGCGGGCAAATTTGGGGTAGATAAACCCACGACACTGTTAGGGCGCTCGCTCGTGGCTGCTTGTTGACGTGGTCGGGGTCGAGGGATGGGAGATGTTTGAGACATACATGCGCCTGTCTGGGTTTGCCCAGCCTTCTCTACAAGCGGCGTCGAGGGAGAAGGCGGTGCCTTGCAGAGCTTGCGCCTTTGGGCTCTGTTCGTCTCTCTTTCTGCGAGCTCCCTTTCCTTTTTCTCTTTTTTTCTTCGACCGTACGCCTCCCAGCTGGGCGATTGGCACAGTTCGTTGCGGTCATCCACCACGACGTCCTCTACTGTGCTGAAAGCCACGCGCTTGGGACTTCCATGAGCCGACGCAAGCCTTTTTTCCTGGCTCTCATCGGAGCTCATGCGCGTGGGGATAGTCGCAAACATCTGTGCGGGATTAAAGGTCGAAGTTCCAGTATCAATGGGTGGCAGCTGCAGGGAGACTGGAGTCCCGTGAGACTCGGGAGACACTTGGCGGCGCTCAATGTGCGTGCGGCGATCGCGCTAGAAAGAAATAGGTCAACGAATGTCATGGCCGAAGAGGGATGACTCTTACCATGCACTCCTGTTCCAGCTCGAGCATGCGCTGCAGACTGTTGGACCGGTTTGGCCTCGCGGGGCTCCGAGTCGCGGTTGCGGCCATCGTGAAGTCCACTTCAGGTGCCCTTTTTTCCTGGTCGTGCGTGGCGGCGTGGTCATGAACGAGAGTGTGAAATATTGGGCTTGGGCGGTTTCGGAAGCGAGTCGACGCATACAATGACCCGATTCACTGTCAGCTGAATGAGTGCAATGCGGCGAGAAAAACTTGGCGGCGACGAGCAAAAGTAAAGTGAAGGGAAGATGATGGCCTAGTAGCTCAGGTAGTAGGCGGGGGTTTGGTGGATGCGGCCACGGAGTGAGTTATACCAACCATTTTCAAAGCGCGAGAGGAAGAGAAGAGAAGGGTTGAGCTATAATAGATGCAAGTAAGTACGTATTGATAGACTGTATCACAATACGAGGTCCAGTCCTTTGGTTTGAAGTTGAACGAGAGAGCGCAGCAGCTCACTGCTGCTTGCGGGGGGCGGGATTCGTATTCACGGTCTTGGCGCGACAACATCCTGAATTTCTCAGTCCAAGACGCACGCACGCAGCCTGCACATCAGCTCAATGCAACACTCTGCTCCTCCCGGGCTTCAGCCTCGCGTTCTTCGTAATTAGTAGCATTGCTATGAAAAGGATGAGCTCTGCTGTTGGGCTATGCGTGAATTTCCCTCCCCCCAATTACCACCTTCATATGCTTGTCTTGTAAGTGTATCGTCGTGTTATCGCCCTGATTAGAGCCTAGGCCCTGGGCGCTCCCGATCGTCTAGCCGCATCCGGGACCTTGGGGTGTCATCGCGCTGTCTGATTGGCGAGCTCGACACCACCATAAATAGATTGTGACGGGGGCGTCAATGGCTGCCAGCTGGGTTCTCAGAGAAGTGATCGAGTGGTAAGGACTTGAGAGCCGTCCTTATTTCAATAATAACCTCTCTTAAAATCCTGGGCTAGCGATCATTGTCAACAGCCCTGACTGTGCATCACATACCTGTGATCGCTCTTGAAGAAGACAACTGACCAAGCCTGGTGGCTCACGGGGCGAGACGACATATTTTGCGTTCGACACGTCAGCCCCCGTGTACACGATTGTATTGCCACCAAGAGCACGCGTGGATCAGGCCACGGCTTGATCACACTGGCGTTCCAGAATCTCAGACGTGGCCACAAGGGACAAGAAATGTTCGAACGTTCTTGCTTGAAATCCAATGAACAGATACTCGTAAGCGACATTTTATGGTACTCCGACGCCATATGTTTGAACAGATCACTCCCAACTCCCTCGACAGACTTTTTTCTATGCCTTCTGCAACTCAAGATGGAACGAGCGAAGGATGCTGTCCGTGTCATCAATGGCAAGGGGTCGGATATCGGCCATTTGCTTGATCTTGGCGGTCCTGTTGCACTCATGTTAGCCACATACATCCAAGAAACGGCAAGGAACGGATAACATACACTTCCTTAACCTGTTCGTCAGTCATGGAGAGGCCAAGCTGATCAGCTCTCGAGCGAACAGCATTCCAGCCGGTGCTGAAAAAAACGTTAGTCAAAATCGAATGTGAGACAGTTGTTGGTATAACTTACATGCGGCTGTTGATGGACACGTAGCGGGAAAGACCGAAGATTTCGGGGTCGAGAATCTCGTAGGTCTAGTTTACGGTCAGTCTTCGGGTTCCGATTGCTCTGTTGTCTTGGCTCCATGTTCTTACCGAAGGGTTGGCCAGGATAGCCTTGGCGTGGATACCAGCCTTGTGGGTGAAAGCACAGAAGCCCCTGGGAGTTTGTCAGCCTCATTCATTCGCGGATTTCAGCAGAGAGCGTTTTACGTGATGGGGTTGTTGAACGGAATGTTGATTTGGACCGCGTCGGCAACCAGAGTCTCAAGGGCCTTGAGCTCCTTCAGGTTGTACTTGGACTTGGTATACTCGGGGGCGGTGACAACCATTCTGGCCATGAAGGCACCTGGTGGGGTCAGTGACAGTTCAATTGGGGCTTGGTTTCCATGATAAAATACCCAGAGGTGTGATGCCGTTGCGCTCGCCTAGGGGAACAGTGTTAGCTCTATCCGGAATTTACAACGAAATGGAGGAGCATACCAATGCCGAGGACGGAGGTGTCCACATGGGTGGCGCCAGCTTCGAGAGCGCTGTGGGCATTTGCGACCGAGCACCCAGTATCGTCGTGGAACTAATCAATAATTAGTATCGTGCCAGAGGCCAATTGGGTTCCTGGGACGCACGTGGCACTCAATGTCACAGCCGACGACACCTGTACAATGAATCAGTCTGCCGAACGCTTGTGTAAAGCCTGCTGTTGTTCACTTACCGCGAAGTGTCCTTACGAGATCGTATACCATACGAGGGGTAGCTAAGCACAGGGGTCAGTACAGATCCAAATGCCGAGCGGCCGCCGTGGTATCACGGCTAGCTAAAATGCGTGGACGCAAGACATACCGCCGCCACTGCTGATTGTTAGCAACTTGTCACCACACCACTTGAGGACCAAACTAACACAGTGTCGGCAATACCAACGCGGTGCACACCAGCGCCATCAACGGCCTTGTAGAGCGCAAGAATGTCGACGAGATCGGAACGGAAGGAATCCTCCGAGGAGAATCGGACCTCAACATTTTGCCTGTCGTGTCAAGTTAGTCAGCCTTGGTGCCGAATCTGAATCTGCAAAGCGTTTACGGACCCCTTCAGGTACTCGATCACCTCGAGTGCAGTCTTCTGGATCATCGCCATGCTCTTGCCGTGGCTGTACTCGCGCAAGAAGCTGGAAGTTCCGATAACAAGATCCACACCGTCGACTCCGGCCTCGACCTAAATTCAACCGTGTGAGCCTTCGCCCGGAAAGCAGCCTCGTGGATGCGGAATGAACTCACGGCCTTCTTGGCGTCATCCATGTGGCAACGAACGTCTGTTTGGCGTTAGTTGTGAACCGAGTACATGCATTGGGTGGTCAAACGTGTGAGAATCTTGGCCTGTGACATTGTTAGCACACTATCTTACGAATCAGGCCATTCTCCTACTTGCCTTGAGACCCAGGTTGGCAATGGTCTTGCAGTCTTGGAACGATTGTTCCGAGCTGCAAGGGTTCGTGAGCTCGATCATATCGACGCCGAACGAATCAAGAGCCTTGGCGCTATTGCAATCGTCAGCACCACAACTAAATTCTGCAACTCTTGGGCGCACTCCGAGAGTGACCCCGGGCGCACGTACATCTTGATCTTGGTCTCGGTATCGAAGAAGCTGTTGGCGAACTGCTCTCCCTCACGGAGGGTACTCTCGATGATCTTGTACCTGCCGACGTTCGATAGGTAGTCCTGCACAGACTGGTAAGGCGAGGACTTGGGCTGGCCCTGGACAGGGTGAGAGCCATTCGAGGTCGTGGGCCCGTGGGCAGCCACGCCGTTGGATTCTCCGTTCTCGCACATTGCGTCGTTGATCTCGCGTGTTGTTGTGTGGTATTGGTGGTGATCGATCGAGGGTCGAGGTCCTGATGCGCAATCTCTGTTGGCAAAGGAAATTGGCGGTGGCACGAAGACGGAAGATGAGGCCAGATGGGTTTTGATGGCGAGAGGTCAAATTTCCAAATTTTCTGAGTGTCCTTGGTCAATTGGGAGTGAGTCGGACTGCGGGGGGTTAAAGTTGGTGTAGTGGAGGGGCAGCAACGAACAAGTCACCCCGATAGCGGCGACATTCTGTGACGCGCATTGGGTCTTTGCATCGAGCCAGGCTCTTCGGGTGGGGCAACGCATGGCCATTGGGAATGAATGGAACTGGAACCGTCATGCGTGGGGACTCCAGTCGTTGCGCTCCGAGGCAAAGAGTGAGTCAAATGTCAAATGCAAGTCCGATGTGTGTGTAGATGTGCCGACTGGTCCCCGTGCATTCGATCATGACCAGGAACAAGTCAAGTTGGGGGCTAGGTTAGGTCAGGGACGTAAGTAATCAGGTCCTAATTATCGATATTGACTGGCTGGCCAAAACGACGAGGTCCAGTCTTTTGTTGCTTAGGTATTAATTAGCACTCAATCGACGTCAGACACATCGAACTGCCGGGTCGCGCATATTGACACCCAACTACCCTGGAGTCACTCATCGCAAGCCATTTAATTATAATGAACATTATCTATGGGGTATCATCTCTTGTCTAGCCGTTCATTTCGAGGCCCGCGAGCTTCTCTGCCCCTGCCCAGTACTACTGGCCCTTCGCATATGCGCGTCTACCTGACTCCTGGTCGGTCGCAAGTGCGTCCAAATCTCTGGTTGCTCACTGAAGTCTCGCAGCCCATTCACCATATCTAACTCGTCAGTTGCCCTGCACAGAGCCCGTGCCCTTAATCGCCTGAACCAGGCCCGGATGCGTGCCCAGAATTCATTTGGGATTTTGAGTCGCACGGCAACCCACTTATCATCTGGGGCGTGGTCCGGGAACAGTGTCTCGTCAGGCTTAGTCTGGTCACCTGCCTCAAGGAGCTGCTCATTCAGCCACGTGTTGTACTTGGTCTGCTGGGGAGGGAGCGTCGTGTCCAGAAATTCGAGTGTAGCCGCAATTGTCAAGTAGAATGCGCGCTCTGGATTGACCATGGACTTCATGAAGAACGACATCCAGTTTGGGTAGAGGACGGAGAAGTCACTCATGGACAAGTGCGTCGACCCAACAATGGTCAGCATCCAGCACAGCTGTCTTGCATCACGCGCTTCACCGCAGATGCCCACAATGCGGTCAAAGTTACTCTTCCAGTGGATGAAGGCCTCTGAGGATAGGGAGATGATGGGCTTGGACACTTTCTCCTCCGGTGCATCACCAACTACAGGGGTGCCATTACCCCATGCATCAAGTGCCACGCCCTGACCTATCCAGCTCAGCTGGTCCTCGCGGCATGCCTGGAACGTTGTCGCTCCGCCAAAGGAGTGGCCCATGATGGTGACACCATCGAGGAACATGCTGTCTTTCCAATCGTCCCAGTCGACGCCTTTTAAGCCGAGCGAGCTTGACCCGATGTTGCCCTTTTTGCGTAGGTTGATTCTGGCAATTTCTTCGCCGCCGCCTTGGTTGAGCAGCTCAAGAACGTGGAACGCTTCTTTGATTTCCTCTAACCGCAAGGCAACTTGAGCCGTTCGGAGTTTATGGTCAACACCCTTGGGATTATGTGGCGATGTATCTTGCGCGTTGTCCTTGGGGAGAATGTAGTCCACGACGTAGTATGGGTTGAGCTCCTGTTTCTTTCTCCTTTTCACACGTTTATTCCCATGTTCCTTGTCGTCGTCATTGTTCGCGACGATCCGCGCAGTTGAGGACTCAATCTCATTTGCTTCAATGTTGCCCGGCAGGCTGACGTATGTCCTGGCTGCGCTGCCATCTCTGTGCTCCAGCGCCACCACAACAAAGCCAAAGCTAGCAAGTTCGCCGCAGATGGCACTGTAGCACAGCCGTGAGCCACCCAGACCATGGCTAAAGATGATCACAGGGAACTTGGGGTTCGTCTCTGTTCGACTCTCCTCTTCACGCGCAGCTTGCCCGCCAGGCCCCGAATCATTCTTCATATCTTCGGGCCAGTGTTGCGCTAGCTTCGCGTTGCGGAACGCGGGCAGCTTTGTGAACAGTGTTGTCGAAGCCAAGTAGCCCGTCACCGGCGGCCACGGTAGGTTCATCATCTTGGCATATCCCTTTGACGTCGCAAACCGGGGACGCGGCATCCAGTCGATGCGATGCAACTCTTCTTTGCCATCCGACGTCTTGAAGTCTTCGCGAATCTCGGCCGGATAGTAGATGGCCATGAGCACAGTGTCCAGTCGCAAGACAGGCTTGCCCCCGCGCTTCAAGCCAGAGACCGGACGTGGTTCCCGCGCCGGAACCTCGATATCCATATATCCCACATTATATGGGCCGGTGTATCGTGGGAGACGATGCAAGAGCCGATCGCGCAGCGTCTTCGGTGGGACGACACCCGATTTGCGAGGAAGCCTCGTATCAGCTTTTGGAGGTTGGGCTGATGGCTCCATGATCTGGAACTTTGCTGTACATGGACAAGGAGAAGGCGGGAACTTCAGTATTCATATTGATTATGGTCTTTATCCGAAGTGACACTCGGATTGCCGGCAAGTGGGTGGTTCAGTACATGTTGTCATTGGGGAGCTTCTGCCCCGAAGTCAGTGATCGAGCGATTCAATCTTCAGGGGGGTGACGTCACTGATAGAATAGGGAATTGTTGTTCTTGGCAACCCGGCAACAGCGAAGCTGATGAGAGAACTAACAGACCATACTGGAAAAGCTACCTATCTGTGATGTGCCAGTCTTCATTACAGCACACAGACGCGTGGGCTGATGGCTTGGCTTACCAGCTTTGAGCATCATTCCAAACATTGTTGCCAGCCCAGGCTCAGGCGCATGAAATACAAAGTTGGTGGATATCAATGAAGCCAGTGGTCAGGTACATCACATCGACTTATTGACTGACGTCGAGTCAATAGCGTCCAAGCTCGACGTCAGTCAATAACGTCAATTGATCGTAAGTGTACTTGTAGATAGTATCATAGTACTCCGTCCCTGGTAGAGATTTCGCGTCTTGCTCGAGGCGCCACGTGCCACACGTGCGGGTAGCGCAGAAAATAGCTGACATAATCTCCTCATGACTCACGGAACCACATTGCCCCGAGCCACACCCTTGAATGCTTCACGTGACCCTGCATTTCGCCTCCCACACAATTCCCACCCGAATTCAGAAAAACCTATCCTGCCTAGCCCGCCCCTCTCGACTTCGCAGCTCTCAACCACACCGATCATCACGACAACACAAATCCATCAATATGGGTAAAGTTCACGGTTCTCTTGCCCGTGCCGGTATGTCTCGACTCTCGACTGCGTCGCCGCACAATTTGCTGATGAAATGCAGGCAAGGTCAAGTCTCAGACTCCCAAGGTACGACCGACAGCGCGACGACGACGATGACGACGACATCGACGAGAGATGATGGGAATGCAGTGCTGATACGCTGGAACAGGTTGAGCCCCAGGAGAAGCCCAAGGTCCCCAAGGGCCGTGCTCTCAAGCGCCTCAAGTACACCCGCCGTTTCGTTAACGTCACCCTGACTGGCGGCAAGAGAAAGGTACACACAACCCGCGTTGTCGCGCATTGGAGGCCATACTCACACTATCCAGATGAACCCCAACCCCGGCTCCTAAGCGCGATACACGATAAAGCGAATGGACGAAATGTAAAAATCGGGAAGGGGATTTTATTGGCAAATCTTGGCAACGACGGCCGCAATGTCTGTGATGAAAGCAGGCCTATGCGGAAAGCGGAGGGCGGTTCTACATCAAAGGATCATGCTCGACGATGCGACGGAGGTTTAACTCGGCGTCATGGTGTCCCTTTGTCAAATGAATACAACATGCATCAACGCAATACGGTCTTGGGCATCCACGTTGAGGCTGGGTGCTGTGAGCGTAGGACTCTGCACGACCAGCACTGCTTTGGGACTGCCGCCCCGTTCGTCTGGTGACCAAATATCTGCTGTAACCTCATGTTGTCGTCCACTACCCTATGCGGCACCCGACAGACGTCACGTGATTGCCCGTACTTGTCCATCCTCACGTAAATTACTACCACTACGTAAGGTAGCATCCCGCCTTTGCGCTTCTACCGCACCACATTCAAGCACAACGCTTCCATCATGGCCGACCAAGAAATGGAAATCGACTCGCAAGAGTCTGGCCTTGCGGCCCCTCACAACGAAGCCGAAATGCAAACCCATGCAAAAGCCACAGCTGTCCGCTCCATCGAAGGCTGGATCATCGTCGTGACGAACGTGCACGAAGAAGCAGACGAGGAGACGCTGCAAGATACTTTTGGCGAGTTTGGCGAAATCAAGAACCTGCACCTCAATTTGGACCGGAGAAGCGGTTACGTCAAGGTATGCGGAGCGTGCACGCCGTGGAACGGCTGGTGGCTAACCGTCTTCAGGGCTATGCGTTGATCGAATTCGCGACGCTGGAAGAAGCTCGTGCCGCCATTGACGGAGCACACAACACCAAGATGCTGGACCAGACGATTGCCGTGGATTTCGCGTTTGTGCGTCCGCCGCCAAACCAGGGCAAGGGGGGCCGCGGAGGACGAGGCGCTGGCGGCGCGCGACGAGGACGAAGCAGGAGTCGCAGCCCGGATGCCAGAGATCGCGAGCCGGACGCAGCGTGAAGAGCCGGGACTACAAATCTATTCCCAGACATCAAGTGCCCTGTTGATAGGGAGTCGACGTCCTCTGTACTCGAGAGGTCGTCGACGTATGTAACAGCTTACACCTGGTATGTTGAAGCACTTCCCGCATTGCGCTATCGCTAACAATTTAAACTAGAACTACAATATCAGCACCCGTGACGAGGGAAATCTCCTCCTACAATCCTGACACTCCCTAGAATGTCCACGTTAAAGACTCTTTCACTTGGAAGCTTGCAGAGCGCCTAGAAAAGTCAGCACCGCAGACCGTGTCCGCTCGAACAGGGCTCTTACCGAATGTCAGCGCTCGAAGCACCGATCAGAATCTCGAATCTCCCTTGCTCGCCAATCCATCCGGGAATCGCCGTGTCATAGTACCCCACTGCGTGCTTGTCCAAGGTAATGTGGATGTGCCTCGTCTCGTCTGCCTCCAAGAAGATTTTTTCAAAGGCGACAAGCTCCTTCTCCGGACGAGGTAACCTACTCTTCTCGTCGTGCACGTACACCTGCACGATCTCGGCGCCGGCTCGGTCGCCCACGTTTGAAATGGCCAGAGTGATGCGAATGTTCTCGTCCGCCGACAAGACACGAGACGAGAGCTCAGGGCGACCATACTCAAACGTCGTGTATGAAAGGCCGTGTCCAAAGGGGAAGAGCGGCTTGATGCCAATCCGGTCGTAATGACGATAGCCGATGTACAGTCCTTCGCCATACAGCACCTTGCCGTTCTCACCTGGCCAGTTGTGCCGTGCAGGGGTGTGCTCAATGCGCTGAGGAAAAGTCGCCGGCAGCTTCCCGCTGGGGCTGACGAGACCAAAGAGCACGTCCGCCAGAGCGTTTCCGGCTTCCTGGCCCTGATACCAGCCCTGGATGATGGCGGGAACGCTATCGACCCAAGGCATGTGAACAGGGCTTCCTGACTGGTTCACCACCACGGTCCTCGGGTTGGCTTCGACGACGGCTCGTATGAGCTTGTCTTGGCTGCCGTCAACGGGCAGGTCCATTGTCTGGCGATCATAGCCTTCCGACTCCCACTCAGCATCGACGCCAACCACGACGACCGCTGCATCAGCCGCGCGGGCTGCCTCGACGGCGTTGTGGACATAATCCACCTTGTCCTCCTGCTTGAAGCCGATGCGACAGCCACCGTACTTGTGCGTCATGTTGAACTTGTCCTGCTTCCACAGGGGCCGCAACTCGTTCGTCATTTCGACCTTGAGCTCCACGGCTCGGTTGCCCTCCATGTCCAGCTCGACGAGGTAGTCCGCGGACCCATCGAACATGGCTTCGCCTTCTTCGGTCCAGTTCCACAGGTCAAGAACCATTCTGCCATCGACGTACAGCTTTCCGGGACCCACGCTCATGAAGCTGATGGTGTGTTTCCCGGAGACTGAAGGCGTGAGATACGTCTTGGCTATAGCGGACCACTCTGGCCCAACATGCTCGAGCGGAGCCGAGTCCCAAAGGAAGAGATCTGTGTTTGTGCGTCTCTGGGTGACAACAGGATCACCCTCGAAAGCGTCGCCGGCGTACCAGTCGATATCCACGCCCGGTTCCCCGGACTGGGATGTGCAGTACTCGGATGCCACGGGCAGCCACTTGAAGATGTGACACCCTTGAGCGAATGCGACTTCCTGCTGGGACACTCGACGGATGCTATCGAGCGGGATCGTGTTGTAGTAAGGGTTCAGACTTGCGCTGCCGCCTCCCCCAGCAATGGCACGGTTCGCATTGGGTCCGATGACTGCAACTCTGGTGCTCCGGGCACACAACGGAAGCAGACCGCCTTCATTCTTCAGAAGCGTTAGTCCTTCGTGCCCCGCTGAGCGAATGAGCTGTCTGGTCGCTTCTCGGTTGTCTTCTCTTTCTGGCTGCTCAGGCGACATGTCGCCGCCCTTTAGGCGTTCCACCAGTGTGAGAGCATTTTCTGCCGCAGCGTCAATGTCGCCTTGGCTGATACGGCCCTCCTTTGCCGCTTCGACGAGCTTTGCCAAGCGCCACTTGGTGGAGTGTGGGAACTCAATATCACAGCCGGCCTGTACCGACTCAACAACGGAGTTTGTGCCGCCCCAATCGGACACGACGGTGCTGGCGGATTAGTGTTGTGATGAAAAGGGTGGGAGAGACTGTACCCATCATAACTCCACTCACCACGCAAGACGTCCTTGAGCGTGTGTGGGTGCATATCGGCATGGATGCCATTGATCTTGTTGTACGACGACATGACAGCCCAGGGGTTGGCTTCTCGTATGGCGATCTCGAATGGACGCAGGTACAGCTCGCGCAGGGGCCTCTCTGTGATGATGGAATCGATGGTGTTGCGCTCTGTCTCCTGCTCATTTCCCACAAAGTCTGCGTTGGTCAGTGACGGATGACGGTGACCACGGATCACGGCCACTTACGCTTGATGGCTGCGGCCACTCCTTGGTCCTGCAAGCCTTTGACATACTGGGCCGCCAGCTTGCCGGTGAGAAGAGGATCCTCGGAGAAGGACTCAAAGTTCCTGCCTCCCAAGGGATGACGATGCATGCAAATGGTCGGCCCTAGCAGCATGTCTGCCGACCTGGCCCTCGTTTCGTGGGCAAGATGCTGGCCCACCTTGTAGAGGAGATCCTTGTTCCAAGTCGCCGCGAGGGATATCCCACAGGGGAAGAGTGCAGCCTTGGTGCCACCCACAAAGATGCCGCCTCTCGCACCATTGGGCCCGTCGGATGTCTTGATGGCGGGGATGCCTTTCTCGGGAATGGCAGTAGTCCTCCAGAAGTCCGCGGCCGTTAGGAGGGATACCTTTTCCTCCAAGCTCAGATGCTCGAGCTTCTCCTTGGCCTTGATTCGAGCATGTTGCAAACTTGGTTTCCCCTGTTGGGGGCTCCAGGGCGGAGTGCAGTCCGTTTTAGGCGTCGTGTTTGCGCTGGTTGGTTCCGTCTCCATGATTTCCATTCAGTATCCTATACTGATACGCTCATTCGGGATTTGATGCGGATAGCGTCCAGGAACTTGGTTTGACTTGTTTTCGCGAAAGAGGTGTCGATGTTCCGCGTATTCACAGCGTTCTTCTCTTCAGCAGGTTTAGACTGGTCACCACACCAGTGGCACGAAATATGATCTCGCGAAAAACAGATGGAACAAAAGGCATGGTAGGACTTGCACAATATATATACTACCAACGCGTGCAAGTATCCCGCTTGATTTCTGTCGGTCGAGCGGTCCGTATGGGCTATCCGGAGGAACGAGGCGGGGCTCCGAGCTAATAAGCCAGCCTGCAGCTTTCGCCATGCCAATCTTCGGTACTGGGTAATAAGCTTCCGCAACAAGGGTGAAATAGATTGCACGTCGGTGCATTCTTGTGCCGATAGCTGGACCAGGCGCGTCCCAGGTCCTCGTCGGCCTGCCTGGGTGTCTCTCCCCTGACACCAGGGTCTGACTCTGACATATGGGTAGGCGACTTGCATCTTGTGATCATACCTACCACACAGAGGCTTCTGGATGCTGCAAACGACGGGCTGGGGGAGCCGGCCCGCGCACCCGTCGCTTCTAGAATCTAGACCACCAGCGTCAACCGAGGAAGTGCACGTCGATACCGGCACGTTGGGTCGTTGCCGAAACCTACCTCGTGCCACACAGCAAGAGTTTGAGGGCTGGAAATGAAAATGCACCCTTGGTGAACTTCTTGTCTATATACTCGACTTTGTGCCTTGCTGCACCCACGAGCTGGCCCAGCTCATGTCACAGACTGTTCGCGACACGAAGAACCGCGAGAGGCGTTGTACTACGACACGGCGGAGCAATGGGCTTGTTACGCGTGCCTGTCTCCGCAGGATATGGACCTGCGAGATTCACGCCATTGCTTCAAGCTTATTGAGTACTCCAACAAGAGCCTGACCCTGACGCCATGAACTGCTTGAGCCCCTCAATGACATGTGCGGGGCATCCCGTGCTTCCTCGGAGGACAAGGCTCACATGTTAACTGTGCTGTTCCGTTCAGTTACTCCTACATCTGACAGCTCAACCGCTGTCTACAGAAAACATGAACCTACCGCCCCGCCCGTCCCGCTCTCTGGCTGGCAAAGTCGCCATCGTCACTGGCGCAGGGTCATCACCCACGGGCCTCGGCAACGGACGCGCCATCTCGATCCTGCTGGCCGAGGACCAATGCTCCGTCGTCTGCGTCGACCTGTCTCTCGAGTCTGCACAGACAACGGTTGAACTTTGTCTCGGCGAAGGAAAGGGAGGGCGCGCAGTCGCCGTGCAGGCTGATGTGACCAAAGAAGACGACTGCCGACGGATCGTGGAAACGGCCATGTCCGAGCTTGGTCGGGTGGACATTCTGATCAACAATGTTGGGATCCTTGGTCCCGCGGGCAGTGCCGTCGAAGTCGAGCGGGAAGAGTGGGCGCGAGGCCTCGATATCAACGTCACGAGCATGATGCTCATGTCGAAGCACACCATTCCGAAGATGCTCCTCAACGCGCCAACGTCTCCGTCGGAGCTTTCGATCCGCGGCTCCATTGTCAACATGGCATCTGTCGCCGGTCTGCTCGGCGGAACACCGTCGCTCCTGTATCCTGTCAGCAAAGGCGCTGTCGTCCAGCTGACGCGTGCAATGGCCTCGCATCACGGCAAGGATGGGATCAGAGTAAACACTGTCTGCCCTGGCATGATATACACGCCCATGGTGAGCGACGGCGGGATGAGCGAGGAGACGAGGCAGAGGAGGCGCGAGAGGAGTCTTCTGCAAACAGAGGGCAGCGCCTGGGATGCTGCGGGTGCGGTGCGATACCTAGCTGGAGGTGAGGCGAGGTGGGTTACGGGAACGGTATTGACCGTCGATGCTGGCGCGACATGCACGACCAAGTTTTGATGCTATAGCCAGGCTCCCGAGGTTGAAGTAACCCACCAAGTGCGCACTGGTTGTCTTGATCGGTACGCATGCAGGGCATTGGCGGCGTGGTGTGGTTAAAGGTGCATTGGTGGCGCATGCTCGCTCAGCGCTGTCAACAGTACAAGCTCACCTTGTTGTGAGGGACAACTTACCAGGTGAGACCCGGTCGGATCCATGGTCATGTTACATCGAGGGCCATCTTGTTTCGTTTTGCGACTGTGAGGAACGTGGGAGTGAGCAGTTGATCAAGGCGTGATGAGACAATTGTGGGGTAAAGAGGCTTGCCCTCTGCAGCTTGAGCTTCATCAAGTGACCAACAAGTGAAGCCTCTGTAACATTAGACGGCTGATCACCAATGCTCTCAATTGAATCCGGTAGTCATTATCTGCACACAAGCGAACAATGGAAAGGCACTTGTAGAGTCGTAAATCGTAAGAAGAGGCTGTGCAGGTGCGCTGACCTGTCGATCATCATCTCCCTCGGGACCCTCGGTCAGCATGATAACAATAGCCTGCAATCCCCCTGAGAATCCTCTTGCTTGCGACCTGCCAGATCGCGACCCTTGTCTTGCTTCTCCAACTGGGAGAGCTCCAGTCCCCAATTCTGCCGTTCCAAGGTGGCAAGCTCACCAAGTGCAGTAGGTTTTATAAGGTACCGGGTACTTTTTAAGGTACTAGTGGATGTGCAACGTAACGTCCCGGCCAAGAGCCTATCTGCCGGCGTTATCGTTCGTGCTCTGTATCGTGTATCTTGAATCTTCCCTCGACCCGACACGACTGAGCAGAACGGTCATGTTCCCCTCTAGAGCCCTCTCAACTGGTTGGAGGCCATCGCGCCCGCGTGCGTGCAAACCCAAAGTGGTGTTACGCCATAGCTTCTCTTCCTCCTCCTCCTCCTGCATTGACCAACCGTCCGTCCATCAACAAACTGCGGTTACATGGCGCGCGCGCGCGCCGGTGCTACCCTCCCCGCGGATCCCTGCATCGTCACGATCGTCATCTCCAGTTGGCAGTCGCCTTCTCCGCACTCACTGGCCTGTCGAAACTCGAGACCCGAATGTTTCTGCTGATCTCCCGCCCTCTCCAGCCTGGGCAGGCCCGCCCTTAAAAGAAATCGCCCTCGCCCTCGTCCTCCGGTGACACCACGCCAGTCCCACTCCTCTTTTTGCCATTGTCTCTGGCAGTATTCAAGTTGGACAAGATGCTCTCTTCTGTTCTCAAAGCGGCCGCTCTGGCCTTGGCCGTCACCCCAGCCTCTGCCATCTGGCCCATCCCCAAGACCATCTCGACGGGCAACTCGACCCTGTTCATCGACCAAACGGTCGCCGTGACCTACAATGGCAAGCCAGTACGAAAATTCCACCCCGACTCCCACTTCCTGTATCAAGTAGCTAAAGACTCTATCTACGCGCAGCTGACCTATGCCGTTGGCTACACGCCTCCGCCCGGCCCCAACTTTAAGAGCTCCGACATTGTCCAGGGCGGCGTGGAGCGTGCCTTTTCGGCCATCTTCCAGGACGGACTGGTGCCATGGATGCTGAGGGAGCGCGGCTCCGACTTTGAGCCCAAGCAGAGAGACGACACCAAGCGCATCGCCAAGCTCACCATCACCCAGACCGAGGAGGACGACGAGAGCACATTCAAGCCCGTCGCAGGCAGCCTTGACGAGTCCTACTCACTCAAGGTCGGTCTGGATGGCGAGGCGACACTCAAGGCGGCATCGTCCACCGGTGTTCTGCGCGGCCTGGAAACCTTCTCGCAGCTCTTCTACAAGCACTCGTCCGGCTTGACATTTTACACGCAGCACGCACCCTACGATATCGAGGATGAGCCACTCTACCCCCATCGTGGCATTCTGATGGACGTCTCCCGCCATTGGTTTCCCCTCGAGGATATCAAGCGCCAGATTGACGGTCTCGCGATGAACAAGATGAACGTTTTGCACTTGCACATTACAGACACTCAGTCCTGGCCCCTAGAGGTGCCTTCGTTGCCCAAGCTGACCGAGAAGGGCGCCTACGCCCCCCACCTCACCTTCTCGCCAGCCGATATCCAGGACCTCTACGAGTACGGCGTACACCGTGGCGTCCAGGTCATCATGGAGATCGATATGCCCGGACACGTGGGCATCGACCAAGCCTACCCAGGCCTTACCGTGGCGTTCAACAAGCAGCCCTACCAGTGGTACTGCGCGCAGCCTCCCTGCGGTTCGTTCAAGTTGAACAACACAGACGTCGAGGACTTCCTCGACACCCTCCTCGACGATATCCTCGCGCGCATCTCGCCCTACACTGCCTACTTCCACACCGGTGGTGACGAGTACAAGGCCAACAACTCGCTCATCGACCCCGCCCTCGAAACCAACGACGTGCAGATACTCCAGCCCATGCTCCAGCGCTTTTTGACCCACGTGCACGACAAGGTCGTCGAGCACGGCCTGACCCCGTTTGTCTGGGAGGAGATGGTCCTCGAGTGGAACGCCACCGTCCCCGAGGGCGCCGTCATCCAGTCCTGGCTCGGCGAGGGGGCCGTCAAGGAGCTCGCCGAGAACGGGCACAAGGTCGTCGACTCGAGCTACAACTTTTACTACCTCGACTGCGGTCGCGGGCAGTGGCTCGACTTCCCCAACGGCAAGAGCTGGCAGACATTCTACCCCTTCACCGACTGGTGCCAGCCCACCAAGTCGTGGCGCCTCATCTACTCGCACGATCCCCGCGACGGCGTGGCGGACGAGGCCAAGAAGAACGTCATTGGCGGCGAGTGCCCCGTCTGGGCCGAGACGATCGACCCGGCCACCCTGGACGGCCTCGTCTGGCCGCGCGCCGGTGTCGCGGGCGAGGTCTGGTGGAGCGGTAACGTCGACGCGCAGGGCAACAACCGCACGCATTACGAGGTCAGGCCGCGCCTGAGCGAGCAGCGCGAGAGGATGTTGACGAGGGGTGTCAAGGGGAGCGTCATCACCCAGCAGTGGTGCGACATGAACAAGCCTGAGGACTGTGGCCACATGGAGCAGTAGAATGTGCTAGAGCAGTTTACTCAAAAGAAATGTGTCCAGATTATCGTGTCTGTTTCAACCTTGGAGCGCGGCTCGTGACGTGACGTGTGGAGCGTGGCGCAGCCCAATGAGCCACAGGCAGATGAGGCTCGTTTGGTGATTTATCTCCACGAGTTGGTCTTTAGACATATCAGGGTTGGTTTTATAAAATCATGAGCATTTTGGTCTTGCCATGGTCGCGAGGCGAGAATTGACCTTGCTGATGCCAGTGGCAGCCTATTCCAGGACATGCATTTCACGCACTTAGTCTAGGCTCAAGACTGGAATGTAAATCAACCGACCATTAGTAACCGCTGTTTTCACAAACGCTATAAAGAATAAATTCATGCCAAAAAGTCAGTACTGTGATAACATAATTACAGCTGCATACGTCTCTCATCACAGTGGCTCTTGTTTTGACACCAAGGCTGACATCTTTCACTGGGGCATTTTATGTGAAGTTGTTGGCTTAGGGTAGCCCATGCCTGCCCAGACTCGGGCTGACAGACGGCCAATACGTGGACAAATGATGGAAGACATGTCAAAGTCATGTGCTGAAAAGCACTTCCCATCTTCACAAATCACGTGAGATCCAAGAGCCTGTCATTTCTCGTCTGTGAAGCAGAGGCCGTTCCGTGCTGACGAAAGCGCCCTGCTGGCTGCCCTGCCCCTCTCAAGTCTTGACGCGTACCTTAAGCGCCTTGTGCTTCACCAAGCATCCAACGGTGCACGACTGGAGAGTCCAAATGGATTAAGAGCGTTGGAGGAAAATGCCGTGCAACGGGCTCAATCACATCAGAGACCAACAGCTACTCATCGCCAAGTGCTGCAGTGGAGTTGGAGTTTCTGCAGTATATAACGCGAGCCACACTCACATCTTGGCCCATCAAAAACAACATCGACGAGACTCAAGACTCAACGACTCAAAACTCGACTACAAACGTTGAACATAAGACCGCCACACTTCTACACAACGATGCCTCCCACTTCACAGAACCCTCGGAAGCCCGGCGTCGCCGTCCTGATCACCCATCCCTCACTGCCCGACACGGTGCTCCTGGGCCTGCGCAAAGGCTCCCACGGCGCGAACTCGTGGGGCTTGCCTGGCGGTCACGTCGACCCGGGCGAGACACACGCCACGACCGCTGTGCGCGAAGTTCTCGAGGAGACAGGTCTCGAGATTGCCGTGTCGGACGACGAGGTGGCGCACACGCAGGACGACTTTGAAAAGGAGGGCAAGTACTATGACACGTACTTTCTACGCGGCACAGTGACCGACACAACGGCCTCGCCAGAGGTGAGCACCCTTACCTTTCGAGCTGCGGTGAATCATCAAGGAGGCCAAGAAGCTAATGAGGCTGGTTACGTAGATCAAGGAGCCCAACAAGTGTGCCGAATGGCGCTGGTTTGCCTGGGAGGAGCTGCGCCAGATGAGGGAGATGAGCGGGCCGGACGAGTATCTGTTCCGCCCCATGTGGCAGCTGGTTGGCCTGAACCCTGAATTGCAGTCTCTCTTGAAATAGCATGGTCTCTGAAAGTCTTGGACTGAGATTATGGAGTCGGACTTGGTTGCTACTTCAGAAGCTAAGGTAGTCCAGGGGCGGTGACGGCAGGGGACTAGGGGTGGGACGGCTTTCGAGGTTGCGTAACTGCATGTACTAGAAATGCGTACTAGACCTTGTTGATTGAAGTGCAGCCCTTTACAAATCAATCGATCTAGTTGAAAGTTCAAGTTGTTACTCGCGACGTTGCAGTTGTCATGGCGCCGCATTTGGACCGTCCTCCACCCCAAACGACCAGACTCCTCGTACAAGAACCCATCCTCATCAAACAGTCTCAAATCGACCGTTGTACCGCGCACCAGAATCACAGACTATCGGATCAAAAGCCGTGTCTGATCTGCAAGTCGCCTTTTGGAGATGGCCTGTCAGGGCCCTGGGGGGGCCGCTCATGCACTCCACAGAGGGCCATCCCTTGCATGCGCAAACGCATCGCGGCGAACCTCATGCGGCAGACAACATTACGAAACCGCCTTGCACTATTGACCTGTGATCGGCGGTGATCCAATCAAAATATTGACTGGACCGGCGAACCGTGTTGGCAGTCCATAGGCAACCCGCCTTGCGTAGAGTTGCCGGGTCATCCCCAAACACTCGGTATCAGCTGTCTCGGGACCCTACGGCGCCCAGACAACCTTACTTTTGGCAAACCGCACTTCCAGGGACTGTCAATTTGCCTCCCTCACGCATCATAGTAGAACTCGCCCTTGTGGAGGGCTAGAGCCTCCGCAGCTGGTCCCTCGCCTCCAGACTCATCTCAGCAGTCTCAGGCAAGGCGTCAGCTCAGGGGCATGTCCAACGCGGATGCAGGACGCCCGTGATAGCGTCGAGTCGGACATGTCTCTGCCAGACAGACAGCGAAGACACGATGCCTATATAGAAGGCATCGCATCTTCTTCGTTCCAGCCTTTCCCTCTCCTCATCAGCAACATCTTCACACTCACTCAGTCACTCTTTAGACACCTCCAGTCCTCGCTGACTGCCATTCCCTACAAACTAATACCCTAATAATAACCTCCCCCTCCTACCACCCAACGGCAATATGTCAGACATTGTCGCCCAGCTTGAGGTCCTCTCTCGTGAGAGTGGCTGCCTCATTGACCTGTCGGCCATCCTCGACCTCAGCGTCTGCCCCAAGATCGACATCCGCACAGAAAAGGGCCACATGGTCGAGCAGAAGGACGACTACATCTGCGTCACTCCCACCAAGCCCACCAAGCCCACCAAGCCCACCAAGCCCACCAAGCCCACCAAGCCCACCAAGCCCACCAAGCCCACCAAGCCCACCAAGCCCACCAAGCCCGAGCACAATGGCGGCAACAACGGCGAATGCCACGAGTGCAGCGAGGGCGGCCACAACGGCGGCAACAAGGGTGGCAAGAAGGACGGCAGCCAGGGCCTGCTCGACATCGATGTTGGCGGCAAGAAGGACGACAAGCAGGCTCTCATCGACGTCGACGCCTTGACCCACAGCAAGCGCCACTACACGCACCCTCACGGCGGCGACCGTCTCCTTGACGTCGATGTCGGCGGCAAGAAGGACAAGCACCAGGCCACCATTGACGTTGATGTCGCCACCCACGACAAGCGCTGTGACAACGACGGCCACTGCTACCCCAGTGGCCATGGTGGCCACGGCTACGGCCACGGTCACGGCAAGGGCAATAGCAACGGCAACGATGGTCTCCTCGACGTTGATGTCGGTGGCAAGAAGGACGACAAGAATGCTCTGATCGACGTCGACGCCTTGACCAACAACGGCCGCAAGGGCGGTAAGAGCCAGGGTCTGCTCGACATTGATGTCGGCGGCAAGAAGGACGACAAGGAGGCTCTCATTGACGTCGACGCCTTGACTCACAGCAAGCGCTGCGACACCTGCGATGAAAACAACGGTGGTGGCAACGGCGGCAACCACGGCGGCAACCACGGAGGTAACAAGGGCGGCAACAAGGGTGGAAACCAGGGTCTCCTCGATCTTGATGTCGGCGGCGAGAAGGATGACAACCAAGCTCTCATTGACGCTGACATCCTCACCAACAACGGCAAGAAGAACAACGGCGGCAACAAGGGCAACAAGGGCAACAAGGGCAACAAGGGCAACAAGGGCAACAATGGCGGTCTCCTCGGTGGACTTCTCGACGTCAACGTCGGCGGCGAGAAGGGTGACGGCAACTCTCTCATCAACGCCGACGTCCTCACCAACGACGGCGGCAAGGGCAATGGCGGTCTCCTCGGTGGACTTCTCGACCTTAACGTCGGCGGCGAGAAGGGTGACGGAAACTCTCTCATCAACGCCGATGTTCTCACCACCAAGGTCAAGCGTTGCGACAGCGGCCACTGTTACGAGGTCCGCAAGGACGAGGTCTGCCGCAAGAACCACGTTGCTCTCGACCTCGAGCTCCTGGTTGTCCTGGAACTCCTCACCGAGAAGGAGCTCGAGGACTACCTCAAGAAGTGCGGCGAGATGGAGGAGGACGACACTCTCAACATGGACGAGAACGATGTCATGATTGACCCCCTCCTCTCTCTCGGCGTCGGTGAAGATGACTCCCTGCTCAACCTCGACGTCGGCGGCGAGGACGGTCTCCTGAACCTTGATTTGCTAGGCAAGGATGGTCTTCTCAACCTCAACCTCCGCCGCCGTGGCTACTCTGGCAATGACCGTCTCCTTGATGTCGATGTTGGCGGCAAGAAGGACAAGGACCAAGCTGACATTGATGTTGACGTCTTGACCCACGAGAAGCGCCAGCTCCTCGGCAAAGGCGGCCTCCTGGATCTCCAAGTCGGTGGCTACGCTGATGAGGACAAGTCCACCATCGATCTCGATCTCCTGACCAAGCCTCGCCCCAGCAACGGCAACGGCAACGGCAACAACAACCACCACGGAGGCCAGAAGCCCGGCCACTCCCAAGGCAGTTACCTCTCGCACTACCAGCCCATGTGCGGCAAGGCGATCAAGCCCAAGCCTGGCCGTGACCACACTGACTCCTGCCACGCTCGCGACGTCAACCACTGCCTGGCAATCTGCCACTCGCGATCTGCTCTGCTGACCCTTGAGGCCAACGTTGCCGACACTATCCTGATTTGCGCTGCCATCCAGTTCGACGACCACAAGAGCGACAGCGAGGACAACTGCCACTTCTTCAGCGCGCCTGAGCACCAGCCCTGCGAGGAGGATGAGATGGAAGACAAGGATGATTGCTACACATTTGTGCGCAACTAAACAATTGTCTTCCTTGCTTCGATGGTTGATTGCATCCTCTCCAACGCCCTTGGATCAAGGCGCGATGGAGTGAGCATGGCGCAGGATATTGTACATGGGGATGAGCATATGGATATATGAAGGATGGATGTACTTTTTTTCTTCTTTTCTTTCTTTCTTTTCTCTTCTCTACATTTTTGACACCTAGTTGATTTAGATTCGGGCTTTAATCGACACGTTCATTACTTGACATTTGTTTTCTCCGGTGACACGTAACTTCATAACTGCGATACTCGCATACTCCCCCATTGACTGCAATGACGACAGCCCACTTGGAGCTCGACTTGCAGCTCGACCTCAAGCCAAGTCAACAAACAAGTCCGCGGTCGAGGTCTCACCATGCCATGTCTACTCTTTCCGAGCACCGCCGGCCGCGTCTGCTACCTCACAACCGCAAGCTGCGACACCTGACTTCTCTGTCCCTGCGCAATCTCACCTTTACGCATGCGCATACCTCGACGACGGACGACGATGCCCTACCGACGCCGCGACTCGACACGCTCGCCGAGGTGGCGCATACCGTGCAACACTCGCGCAGCTCCGAAAACTTGAGAGCCTCGTCGGACAAGGCCAGTAAGAAGGCCAAACGACCAGCGCGGCCCAGGCGGACAAGCTTGAACCTCGGATCGGGACCCTCGCAAAGGCAAAAGACGCTGGAGGAAGCTGTCAATGCCGTCGTTGGCGATGTTTTCTTCACACTGCACGTCCCGGGCGACGACGAGCCAGTCTACATAAGCGAGACGCGTACGCGGTCAGCCAATTTTAACTTTAATGGCTTCGATCTCTCCCATGTATCCAAGACGTCGTCTCGTACACCAATCATCTCGATACATCTCTACGCGCGGAGGCCCAAGTCGCAGGAGTGGCTGTTCCTCCTCGCGCAGCAGGTCGACCTTCGGCAGCTCAATTTTATCGGCACCCTGCTCGATAGACGGTTCCCGCCCAATGCCCTCGTCTTCCACCTCCAAGACGGCATCTACTCGCTCGACTTCCCCAATCGAATCTCCGAGCCCGTCAACAAGGCACCCAAGGTCAACACGGCGAGCTACAACGTCCTGATGAAGCTGAGCAATCTGGAAGCCAGTATTGAGGACGCCATACGGACGCAACGAAAGATCGCCGGGCAGATTAATGATATCTTGGAAGCCAGGCCGAAAGACGAAAGTGGAGTGGCCGAAGAGGGCGTCAAATTGGCAAGCAAATATATCTCGACGCAGACACGAGCGAACGCGTCGGCGAGGAAACGACGAGACGACCTCAGGGACTCGCTTCGAAGGCGGCGCGATGCTATACAGGAAGGCAGGAGGATCCAGCAGGACGCAGAAGCGGACATGTCATCGTCGCGCTCGAAATTGGAACTGAACCTCGACCTGGTCCGCGAGACCGAGGTGAAGATTCACGGCCAGAGGAGGAGGATATGCGCTGATCTCGCGTCTATTCTCCCTATACAACCGATCCCGGACGCACCACCGTTGAGCTTCTCCATATGTGGCATACCAGTGCCGAACTCTGTGTACAACGCGGCTACCGCGCGCAGCATCAACGAAGACGTTCTCTCGGCTGGCCTAGGGCTCGTCACGATGCTGACACGCCATTTGCAGTTCTACCTCGGGCACTCCCTGCCATACCCGCTCTTCCCCTATGGCTCGCGCTCACATACCGTCGACAATATCAGCACCTCAATAGCTTCCTCCCGGGAATTTCCTCTCTATCTGCCGCGCGGAGGATCTGCGACTGGGCAGTGGCGGTTCGAGTACGGCTGGTTTCTTCTCAATAAGGATATTGAAGCCCTGTGCGAGAGCCAGGGGCTGCGGGTCGTCGACATTCGGCATTCGCTGCCAAACCTCAAGTATCTACTCTACGTCATGTGCGGAGGAGGCGAGGAGGTGCCGGAGAGGAAAAGGGGCGGTGTGCGTGGATTATGGGCGGCCCGGATGGGTTTGCACCTTGGTACCGACGACCAGGAGAGCGGACGACCGCAAAGACGCGGCAGCTTTGAGAGCGTGGACGAACAGCCAAAGCTCAGAGAGAACGGGCATAAGAGCCTGCCATTTGAAGGCGAGCGGTTTACACTGCGGACAAAGGGCCTGCGAGAGAATGTATCATCATCGTAGTCTTCTACGTATGTTACAGTAGCGTCAATTTAATTTTCTGTCTTTGCAAACTTGACGCTCTTCCTCCGCTCGCGTTCGCCCCCTCTTCCAGGGGAGCTGCTCAGGATACTCGCACCAGCACTGAGGACCTCCCTGGCCATGCCCACGGCTTTGCTCTGCAGCACCTCTGACGGACCTGGACCCTTGGGCGTACTCGTACCGCTGACACTGCCAACGGCTCTTGAAACTTCATCCGCCCGCGAGATGAACGACTCGCTCCGGTATCGCCCGGGAAGACAAGCATGTCCGCAGCCATCGAGCGGACAGCAACCGGACGAGAACTGATCTTTGTGCCATAGCGTTAAGCAAGACGCGTGGCCGCCGTGGGCGCAGATAGGACAGTACCACCAACCCGAGAGGGAGTCGTCCTTCCCTTCTTCCTCAGCACTGGGCATGAACGATGAGGGCTCCGGCTCGCGGTGCTGGCAGACTGCACAAGGTGCCATGACGCTCTTGCAGCGGTCGCAGAACCAAACGGAGGACTTGGCATCCGCAGGGTCAATTTCCCTAGGCCGCTTGCACGATGAGCAGAGGTAGGAGACCTTGACGTCGCGCTGTGCGGTGGCAAAGATGGTTGGGTAGTCCTCGCCCCAATCCGGGAGACCCATCCAACCCTTGAGGGCCAGATTGCGAAGTTGCGCAGCTTCGGTGAAGAGCGACATGGACGTCAGTCTGTTGTGGTGTTGCCTCAAAATCGCAGTCGCCTGCGCTAGGGGGATCGTGTCCTCCGCCACCAGTGGCCGTAAGAGAAGTATGATGGCCGCCGGCGTCAGGGGCGACGTCTTGGACTCGAATGCCAGCGTCCTGGTAATGATGGTTTCCGGATCGAGGGGCGGGCCGCTCGACGCAGACGTGGACGATATCAACGGGTGGGGGTAAGGAGGGTCGTCGTCCCACGGCAAGAAATCCGGCTCAATGATGTGAGGCGTGGCATCAATTGTCGGCTGCCTCGGCTTTGCAGGACTGGGTGGTTTGGGCGATTTGGGGGGTGACATTCGAGGCGTGTCGGAAACGGACCCGCGGGACACGGGCTCGTCTGCAGGGTCTGTCGTTTGAGATATCATAAAGACATCCTCAGGAGAGTCGGCCATATGTCTCCTGAACCTTTCGGGAGACGAATCTGAACCATTGGACATGGTCTCGCCGCGTATCCGACTTTGGTATTCACTCATGACACTGTCCTCTTGCGGAAGCCCTCCCTTTCGCCCAAGTGAGCCATCCTCCTGTGGAAGCGGAAAGACATCGTAACTATCGGAGGAGTCATTTCTGGATAACGTGCTTCTTCTTCGTTGTGTTGAAACGGTGCCCCAACTGCTGTCATTTGAATGCGGCACATCAATCGCCTCCACCAGAGCATCCATGTCGTAGAAATCATAGCCCTCGGTGCTTGACTTTTGCGTCTCTTCGCTGGTCTCGCTCGTGATGGATATCGGCGTCGACTCCAACCGCTTGCGCTGCGGTGGCTCGTATCCTGACGGACCATGAAGATTGGGTCCAATACTAAAGGACGATGGCTCCTCAATTGGCGTAAGCATCTTCCCGGCTTTGTATGCGTGGTCCGAGTATTCGACACCTCGGTCCGCAGGGCGGGCCAACGGAGTGGGCACGTTACTTGTGCTGCCCATATCTGTGACATGTGTTCGTCCTGGAAACCGGTCCTGCAAAGAAGATCGCCGCGACGCATCGCCATCGTGAAACTTGGACGATTTCATCTTTTGCGAAAGCGCAATTCTCGTCTCAAAGTGGTACTGCGCCCTCCTGCGCAACAGCAGCGACATGCCAAAGGCCATGATGCGCCATGTCTGGGCGAGTCGGAAAAGACTCACGGCCTCGGCAGCCCGCGCGTAAATCTCTATGATACGCATGACACGGTCGCACAAGTCCTTCCCACCCTGCTGGTATGGCAGCTCCTTTCCCAGTGTTTCCAAGTAGACACTTGATAAGTACTGGTAAACGCCCACGCTCTTGGCCGCCGGGACATGGCCAAATGCCATGGCCTGCTGCATTTTGAAAAGGCCCGTAACTGCCACGGAATCTTCCAGGCCGAGAGGGTTCGGTGATGTCCCCAGTTCTTCCACGGCATGCGGCGGCGTCGAGCTCAGACCAGGCCTACGGCCACTCCCGCGCCGTCGGTGCATTCGTCTCTTTGGGGCCAAGAAGCTGCCCACGACGTCCTCCTCTGAATCACTCCTACTGACACTCATCGGCGTCTGGGGGCTTGAAGCGAAGCTTCTGTTTGCATCCCTCACGCGGGTGACGCTGGCTCGAGCCCTGGGTTGCTGTGGCCTCTCATCCAGGAACATGAGCACGTCGCCTCTCGAGCTGATGTCCATTGCGCTTGTACTTTGTCGATCCACCGCCCGAGGCGCAAAACCAACATCGCACTGATTAAATGTTCCATCTGCCCCGACGGTCCACAGCATATCCTGATCTCGCCAGAGAAGCCCGCTTGGCGACGACTCGAACCGTTCAATCTCCTTGTACGGCATCGTCGGCCGTGCGAGATCAAAAATATGGACTGCTGACGTGCCGTACCGTTTCGAGCTGGAGTCGTCGTAACTGACAGCTACTTGGGCCACTCGCCTTCCTCCAGCCGACGCACTCCAAAGACCTGGCCTCCATGCCACCACCGCAGCCGGCGCAGGCGTCTGCACTGTCCACTTTGGCTTTTGTCTCCGGTCCGCGCTTGTCCCCATGTCCCACACATGCAGCTTGCGATCTGAGCCAGCGCTGATCAGATGCAGCCCATCTGGATGCCACGATATATCCGTGCACGCCTTCTCGTGAGCATTGATCCTCATCAGAGGCCTGCTGGGCTGTCGAACATCCCACTTCAGAATGGTACCGCTCTCCATGCCGACGGCAATTTCGAACCCAACCCTGGGCGACCAGGCCACCTGATTGATCGGGTCGATACAGCGCAGGCCCGACCACCGTTGCCGAAAAGTGATATAGCCGCGCCTCGTCTGGATCGGCTTCTCGGTGTCAAAGATGCGCGCCACTCCATCCTTCCCCCCGGACAGCAGCCACGCAGGCGCATGGGGACTAAAGCTCAACGTATCGATCTGGCGCGAGTCTTCCTGCACATGGACCGTGTCGTGCGGCGCGTCGCTGCCTATTCGATGAGCGTCGTAGGCAAAAATGCGGCCATTGGCGCAGGCTGTGAATATGAGGTTGCTTTGCGACCACTTGACGTCTTTGATATTCAATTGGTCGGCAATGGAGCTTCCCCTGGGTCCGCCCGTGGCCGTCTTTGCGATCGAAGCACGAATGTCCACGCCCTCGCTGAACGACAAGGGCCGCTCCTCATCGAGGCTGATGGTCTTGAGGATGTGTGCGCCGCCCAATGCGACGGTTCGCCCATCCTGGGACACGTCGAGACAGGACACCGGGACGCCGGCATCGTAAACAGAGTCTTGCGCTTTCGGGGGACGAAAGGTCGTGGGAACTGAGGTCGGAGCCAGCGTATGTTCGACGTTCTCGTGGCCGCTGGGCGAGTTGGACGACGAGGTTCCCGCCTCGGGGATGGTTCGGCCGAGAAGTTTGCGCATTATCTTGGAATCGCGACTGTACATGTCTAAGCAATGGTTCGCCGCTTGATGCGGCTCGCGCGCCTTGGTCAGGGCGGCATTGGTGTTCGTAGGGGCGGATTGTTCCTGCAAAGGGTGAGTTGAGGTCGGAAGTAGGTGGGGAGCCGCGACGGACTTTGGCGATGCGAACACGCGACAAGATGCCGCCGGGTAGGCAGGCTAGACTAGTGGACATGGCCAGGTCACATGCAAACGGGCAGAGCAAAACCAGATATATTGAATCGCTATCTCAAGGCAAAACGCTGTCCCATGCATATTCATTCCCATTCCTTTCAGATGCACAATACTCAGAGCTCCAGCTTGGGTAGCTCAAACCTCCATTGTCTTGGTTGCACAGGCAATCCTATCCAGAACTGATAGAACCGGTGCATCTCGCTTCTGAGAATGTCCCAGCTTCTTTTGTTAGCTAATGTGGAAGAGTTCAAGTACTGGGGAGACTCACAATGTCCTGGGGAGGGCCATCCAACTCCTCAAAACCAATTGGACCGCCGCAACAAATAGTTCGACTTCATGCATGATCTGCTCCTTGATGGTCGCATTCTTTCGCAACTTTTTCCTCGGCTTGAACACTGGCTCAGGCTCATCTTCCTCCGGCATGCCCTCCGGCTCAACAGTGACAGGGGTGACGTCTTCTTTATCGGCAATCATTTGCCTGAATTTGCCGATTGAATTCAAAGACTCTCCCAGCCGGGCATGCGTGTTGAACAGGGCGACCAGCTCGGTTCTCTTCAGGTGTGGGATGTCTTCCGAGTTGTTGTCAAACTCAAACAGCACCTTGAGCGCAGTACCGTACCCGGCAGTCTGCACCTTGCCCCAGAGACGACACTTATCGCATCCCACGCAGTCCATCAGCCTACTGACATTGCGGAACCGGTTTCGGAAGTCCTCCTTCAATGAGGGCCCTTCGCCATTAACGAACATGAGGCCCTCATCAAAGACCTGCGACGAGGTTGAGGCCGCTCGCGACGTAACCTCGAGCACCTTGGCTCTCGTAGCTGCATCTTCTGTTGGGTCGCCCGTGCAGAATGTGTAGTCCGATGACTGCAGATACGGTCCCAACTTGGCAACGGCCCGGCTCACCAAGGCGTAGTTAAAGTAGAGATTGCTGATGCGATCGGGGTAAGCGTGCAGACGGCTCTTGTAGCATGACAGATTCGGCTGCCACTCGCCAGTGCTCTGGTTCAGGAAGTCCCAGCAAAGGTGCGCGCTGATGCTTGCGTGCATTCCAGAGACAACCCGGTAGAAGACCCTCTTCTCCAGACATTCGTCGTCGACTGCAACACCAGCGGTCGGTTCATTCGGGTGCTCCAAGCGCTGCTGCTGCCACGACGCATCCAACACCCGACGGAAATCTTGCTCAGCGACACCGTATGTTGCGCTGGAGCCCACATCTGCTGAATGAGGGAATGAGCTCCTCTGGAAGCAGTTCTCGCGATAGATTGCGTCCCAGATCTGCTTCGCGCCCTCACCACCGTATCCGGTGAATCGCTCTGGGTTCGCCAGCAGTGACAGATAGTCACCCTTGGAAGCCGTGCTTTCGTCTTCTGGGACGCAGTAGTCCCTGTCATCGCACTCGTCGTCATATTCTATCACACAACTCTCCCCGACGTTGTCGCCCAGCTCTCCCTGGAGCGGCCTCGCCTGCTTCTGCGCCTTCTTCCCAGGATGCTTGGCTAGGGGGCCTTCCAATTTACCCAGCTCGCTTGATCGCCACGCCAGAGGAATGTCCTCTTCATTGTCTAGCGTCTCGACTGCGCATCCAATGTTGGCGCACATGCCGCCTTCGTCGTCCCAGAACGGACATTTCTTGTTGAAGAGGTTCAGTCGGTAGTGCGAAAAGAAGTCGGTTGTCTGGACGAGGTCGTCTAGGGCCGGTTTTAAGTTGGCGTTAAGGCGATCGAGAGTTGCATAAGAAGCACACGCATCGTCAACGATGCTTTTGCTGGACTAGTCTGCGTGAGTTAAACCTTCTGATCATAGGTGCGACACACATACTGGGCAAGTGATGTCTTCGCATGCCGCCAGTGGTGCCCATAAAGCAAAGACAGAGAGATAGAAGAGCCTGGTGGCAGGCTTCATGATGGCGGTTTCCCGTGTGTTTGGCCAAGTCGTAACTTTGCCGCAAATTCGAAAAACGTGAAGTGAATGGAATAGTGTAGAGAAGAATTTCAGAGTGCAAAAGGCCACGTAGATGGTGGATTGATAATAGAGACGCACTGGCAGGATGCGAAACGGAGTTCGGAGTCGGAAGAGGATGGTGGAGCGTGGCAGCCGCGATTCAAGACCGAATTAGGCAAGGTGGCCTCATGAGGGTCTGTCGATCGCTGCTGGCTTGTCGAACCACATGAATGACCGGAATGCAAGTTACGTGGAGGGACGATGTGTTACATTCTGATGGATTATGGATTGGATACGTAGTCCAACAACAGCAGTCCAAACCATACCGTTACGTGCCGACAGAATCACACCTGAAGATTGAAAAAGAGTGGGTCAATTGATGCCTTGGCGTAACTCTTCAAGACTTGAAGACATTCCAGTCTGTGTGATAGTTGCCCGAGACTATCGAATACTCGATTGCCGCCCATCACCAACAAGTCCGCGACGCGTGAGCATCCCAGTATAGAATCCATACATCTTGAGTCCCGGCCACATGCGAATAGCAGAACAGAGTCCAGTCCACTGGGGGCACGTGGCCCTCTTGGCGGACACTTCTCGTGACGTCGTATGTGGACGTTCCAGCCATGCTTCATTCACCTCGCGCAAGCGTAGTTCGTAGAGCCCCCGCTGGACGCCTGCTCTTCATTGTGGCGGTTGGTAGTTCAGAGGACGCCTGGATCGTTAGCTTGTCAACTTCGGATAGCATAGCCGCGGCAACCTACTTGAACAGCAGAATGTGAGGCTCCGGCTCATGCACTTCGTAGTGCTCCCATCCTAAGCTCTGTGTGATGCCCAGTGCGCGCCATTCGTCCTCCCACAACAGCTTGAGTGTGCCATGGCCGGGGTCGTGGTAGTCTTTCGGGATGGCCTTGAGCATCGCCTTGGGCAGCTGCACGTGCCTGTACTCGTACTGCGAGTCTGAGTACCGGGTCGAGTAATGGATGGAGTCGATGTATTCATCGAGGCGCGCACGTTCCGAGTCGGAAAGTGGACGAGGCGACTTGTTGCGACGGGAAGTATCAATATCCATGGCTGTTTGTGTGTCCTTTGTTTGCCCTCTGCCTGGCTGTTTCAATCGGTGGGAGCGGTGCTCAGAGTCGGTCTGCGCTTGGGAAGTGCGCTGGACAGCGCGCAAAAAAGGCGTGCGGAGGTTTCGCGAATGTTGTTTACACCGGCTCCATCAACCGCGGGGCACGAGGGGAAAACCGAGTACGTGGTGGACCGACCGCCTTGGTGGTGAGGCCGTTTCGAAACACGCAGCAGAACTATAATTCCGGGTAGTGAAAACGCAGGGCCTTTGTCTTGTTCGTTGGGAAAGTCGAAGCCGTAACGGTAAAGAGAAGAGCAAGGAGCAACCGCCGGAACGAGGGCTTTGGAGGTGATTCGGTGAAGGACGCGAGACTGGCCGGCGACCGGCAAAAAAGAAGTTGGCGCTCCCCCAGGGTTGGGGTCCACTTCACTGCTGCCGCGGCGGCGGCGGAACGCTCATTGCCTGATGGGGCACTTTGTTGACTGTCCTGGCCTGGCCGCCTGATCTTCAGAGCAGTACTCCGTACTGCTAGCTGCACGTCCTATAGGGCGCTACACTTGATAATTGACTAGGGAAAAGCGCTGCAATTAGCTTTCTAATTAAACTAAGGTACCTGAAGTACTGCGCTTAATTGTTGGCCGTGTTGACCGTATTGGCTGTAGTTGGGTTAAGGTTGGGCTAACGATTGAACGTAGTAAATTACTGGTACCCAAGGTACCTATATATCTGTGGCATACCTTACTAGTATACATTCGACTTCCGAACCTGCCACGGTATTTGAGTGTACAGAATGCTCAAATGTAAATGATTACCAGAGAAGCGCAGCACGGCGTCTCGCCCCGGAATCCTCCGTAGTCGGTACGGCGGACGAGGACGCTACTTGAGTAGTGGTATCCGTAGTGGTATCCGTAGTGGTATCCGTAGCAGTATCCGTAGCAGTAGTATCCGTAGTGGTCTCGGACTGAGAGGCAGAGGTGGTGACAGGCTCAAAGACGTCGATGTAGTCTTTACCACCGTAAATCTGCTCCTTATTGCCGCTGCAAGGCTTATCACACTTTGTCTAGTCTCTGGACGACTCTCCACCAACAAACGGGCTGCACCAGCACTGATTCCCGTCCTTAACACCGGCGAAGAGGACGGTGCCGTTCACGGATGCCTTCCAGCATAAGTCCTCGCAGCTTTCGATATCCAGAGACGAGTCGCCCCCGTCCTCGCTCACCATGCGCTCGAGAACGGAATACTCGGGGCCATCATCCGGGTAGCAGCCTCTAGCCGCCTAGGACATAGGAGAAGGCACGTGTGTGCTGACCTCGGAAGTGGTGGTGGTAGTAGTGGGATCCACCGTCGTGGTGGTGACGCCCGGAGGGGGACCGCGGTCGCTGGGTGGACACGCAGTAGGATAGGGGAAAGCGCCACGGTTCACAGTCGAGACTGAGCGACGGATTCCATTTTTTGAACTATTCTGGAGAGATGTTGAATATCTTTCTAACCTCCTCATAGGAGCTGCTGTCGTCTGTATTGTTCCACCAGTCGATATAAGTATCAATAGTCTCAGGATCCGACGAGAAAATAGGCTGAGGGGAGGCAGCGCAGAGGCGAGGACCCCAGAGCAGCGACGCCAGGAATACCGAACGGTAGGCGGCGTTTGAGGTTGGCTTCATGGTGATTGTCTTTTCCCTCTGCTCTTGCGTGTCCTAGGTGAGTTGGAGACGGAGAGGAGATATACGCACATGAAGTCAAATGTAGGGATTGGATTGGGGCTATATGTGCAAATTAATCAAAAGATCCCAGGTCTGTTGGCCAATCTGCTCCGGAATTGCTTGGCATCCCATCACCTGCTTGGTTGAGCCAACATGCGCGCGTCGCGTCTTTAACGACCGATTCAGAGCATCTTGTTCAGACTTGTCAAAGGATCCTCACTCACAACACAGGGTGCGGCCGCACTTCAGCCGCCCGAATTTCCAATCTCCTTCATGTCTTTCGCCAGTCTGCCCTACGAGCTCCGCTCACACATTTGGAGCTTGGCGGTAGAGCCACGCCGCATCCACGGGGTCCGCATGGAGGTAAGCGATGGCAAATTCAGAGCGAAATAACGGCGACGAGGCATGTATATCCTTTACGAGACCTCATCGACACCACCCCCGGTAGTTATGTAGGTTTGCCGCGAGGCCCGACGATATGCTCCTTATTAGCGATGTTTTACCGTAGGTACAGAGGCGCGTTAGACTTAGGTTAATTTCGAAGTCGATATCTTCTGTGTCACGAGTCTCTACTGTATCGCAGATATCGTCTCGCACCGCTCTGACATATAGCGGCTGTAGATCCGCACTAATGATAACTATGACTAGAGCGAGTCGGTGAACCATTTTGGGGTCCTGAATGTCCTCGACGACTTCATTAGCCTGAGGGAAATCAAGATCATACTGGAGCCCGGGGACCTCAGGTGGGGGACATCGATTCTGGGCCACAACCTTGAACGTTGTCCAAACATTACTTTCGTCGACGAACACTCTGGTCTCGCGCTGACGGGCCCTCAGCTGAGGCTTGCGGAGGAATGGAGAATACGATTGTCGTTCGATATCGCAGGCTACCCGCCTGACCCCGACAGACTTTCAGAAGAGATCGCCCATGCTCGCCTGGGCTTCTGGCGTATGAGCATGGCAGAGATGTACGAGATAGGTTGAAAGCATATTTCGAGGTTGCGTAGGTACATGGTAAGAAGAGCCATTGCTTTACTTGACGAGCACGGCCTGGAGGGCGTTGAGTTCGACTGGGAGTATTCAGGTTCAAGTGCTTTCCTCCGCGCTTTGATACGGCGTCACTCAGAGCAGGCCCCGACGTCTTGTTTGCCTCATCGGTCGAATCCTGGCTCCGCAGCTTTCCGTCTTCCCCCGGACAGCCCGACATGCTTGACCACGTTCCCCACTTTCACCTTGACACTCGACACGTCGATATCCCATGTCCTCACCTCGGCATACTTCTTCGTCTTGAGCACTTTGAGAGACCGCAAACTCGTCTCCTCCATCGGCAGACCAAAGCACCAGGCCACGCTGACGTGGAAGGCTGTACCGACCGCCTCGTCCTCGCTGGCCTGGTAGAGCAATGGCTGCTTGAACATGGAGACGACAGAGTTGCACACTTTGAGCAGAGCCATGAGCTCTGGGTTGGGCGCTGCCATATCGTTGGTTGAGGCGTTGTGTGAGGAGACCCGCAAGATGAGAAATGTCCTGTCCGAGTCCGGAGACTTGTACCAGGCCAAACCTCGGGGCACGACGTTGAAAGGGTTGACGCCGCGTTCGGACAGCGAGTCCGTGATCCTCGTTAAAAAGGCGTCCTTGTCACTGGTCTGCAGAGAGACAGGCCGCGACAGCGAGATGTGCAGCGGCAAAGGTGCGCCCAGCTCGCTTGTTATGAATTTGTGCAACTGCACCTCGCCATTGAGCTCCTTTTCCACATCCAGTAGTAGGCTATGCAGGACATCATGCTGTGAAGGTGTAGGAACCCCTTGTTTGTCAGCCTTAGATGCTTAATCCAGGTTTCATGGACTCACACTCGACGTATACGTGCGAGGGCCAGTTCCCGGGAACGTGTGGTGTCAGCCTCTTGCGGCCCTGGTGTAGACTTGGGTCGTCCGTCACGCTGTGCCGCACATTGGACGCGTACAAGTCATGAAAGGTTGCCGGCAAGGCTGGCATAGCTGGAGGTGGGTGTGTTGTCCCCTTTGTGGCGCTCGGGAGCGCATCGTCCTGGCCATCTCGGGCCCGCCGCCGTTTCTTCGGTGGCCCGTCGCTCTCTTCGGAGGTAGAGGTAGAGTAGTCGACTAGAGCCATTCTTGTTGTCAACGCGTAGATCCACGTGAATGACCGTTGTGTAGGCCTTTACCGAGGTCTGTCAGACTGAAGAATCGCAATCAATTGGGATAAGTCATCCTTCGTCTCTCTATGGCCGGGGACCTCTGTGTCGCGAATTGCTGGGTTTTCTTCTCGCGACGTTCCACGCCCTGGCGGCGAATCGTTTACTGCCGCGGGATGAGAGGTGGTAATGGTGATTGAAACGGCAGGCTTCGCGGCGTTGCGTGCCAACTTGGATGCGAAAAGTGTGCTTTTTATGTCAGCTGGGATCGACGATCCGCGGACGACGACGGTGGTCGTACTCAGGAGGCAGCCTGCTTCATGACTTTCGTGTTCCCAGCAATTGGGCGTTAGAGTGAATAGATCCAACGTGGTTGACAAAAATCAAGCTCTCGGTGACGGACCGAAGATGGCAAAACTCGAAGGACGATGTCAATCAGTTGGTAGAGCAACTGTTTGTCTCGAGCCGGTCCTGTAGGACTAGCGCCTGAGAGGCTTGCTCACTATTGCCATGGTGAACGCCTTTCAGCGTTCGCCCAGGGCGCATTAGATAGTCTCGGTAGGCCATTAAAGCGCTCGATAAATCTGCATCCCATTTAAGGCATTTTATGAGCGAAAGTCTACAAGTATGAGCATGCTGCGATCATTGAAGATGAAGGTGTTGTGTAGACCACCGATGACGTCGTTGTGGCTCGCTTCACGATAAGCGATAACGCCTGTGATATCGAGCCTTCGTGTCTCAATTCAGACCAAACGCATTCGATCCGAGTGCTTGAGAAATTGGTTCTTTGCCAGACATACTGCTTCCCTTCACCATGAACTTCTTCCTTTACTAGACTGCGTTCCCCGCGCCACAAGGCCTCACGTGTATACACAGACGGCAATGCCTAACAACAAACCCCACAGTCTGGATGGATGGTGGCTTATACACGACAGGACGCGCATGTCTCGGCAAATCCAGCTGGTTGGTCCAAAGCTGAAGCACGGGAAGACTGGGCTTGGTGCTTGGCTCTTCACTGGCAGCTGTCACTGAGGAGGCTGCGCCATGCATCCAGCCGTACCTTAGTTAGGGAGGCGGAGCGCAGGATGTGGTTGGTGCCCGACGGCCAGTTGGAAATGCCCCAACTCCCCTTGCATTGATAATAAATAAGGGAGGGTAATAATCTTTCGCCGGTCAACAGGACATTACGGTTCTTTCATGCTCTCAGCTTGCTTGTCAGTAGTTCGACAAGAAATCTCTCCCTTTATTTAGTGTCTGCCAGGACTCCTCCTACCAAGCATCTCCGATTGCGTCATTGCTTTAAAGCTGACAATGTCAAATCATCACCAGCAAGGCGATGAGCAAAACGACCAGACAGACAGTCGGAAACTACCCACCGTGAGTACTACTAGCACTACTCAACCTATACCAGATCACTCGATTCCTTCACCTTGCCCTGATCGGTCCCTGCGTTATGAGCCGCTTCTGGAATAATGGCCCCATCCCTTCCCGATGATCCGCGCTTGTTGCGTCACCCATCATGGTCCCGGCGGTCCAAGACTCGAACCATGTCCCCTACTACGGAGTAAACCACGCAACACCTGACGTAGCCTCGTCGTTCCCACACATTCCAACCGTCCATATTAATTACTTCCGTCCAGCTAAATTGCTTGTTGCGCTCTTTACAATTCAATCATCTTGGTGAATATCTTTAACAATGTCTCAGACCGCAAGGCCCGCCAAGGGCGCCACCACGACCACAACAGAGTCTCTTCTAGACACCCCAATCACTCCGCCGCTCCAAGCGCGAAAGACTCGCGATCATGCGAGTCGCGATGCACTACTGGACCCCTTCTCAGACCCTCGGCAGCGTCCTCGCTCGTCAAGCGCCGTGGGCCATCCCACACCCGCTCATTCCGCACCCCGTCGCAGCGCCAGCAATGCGCACTCGAGGCACAGGTCCACGAACAGCCGCGATGCCAAGCCGCTCGAGTACATGAAGTCGCACAATCGCAGCGCGAACAAGACGCACAGGCGAGGAGCGAGCCTGACCGACCCGATCGATGCGCTCGACACGATCGGGGGAGGATACCACCATGATGGACCGTACGAGGCGACGCTGGCCTCGAGGAACAGGAACCCAAAGTACGCGCCCCTCAACGCGGTCCGGGACTCCAACAACGAGGCGCTGCGCGCGACGCCGAGGGAGTTCATCGAGGACTCGCTGCGACTGCACGTGCCGCTGCAGGGCGTGGCGACCATCCCGGCGGGTATGACGCACGGCGATCAGGTCATGAACTATAAGGAGGGCGCCGATCTGATGCGGGAGGAAGACGCTGAAGGTGGTGCGTACAAGCGCTGGGACGGCGTCAAATATCACCCGGATGATCTCAAGGGCAAGGGCGAGCCGAGCTACACGTACGAGCGAGATCAGGTGCAGAAGGGCAAGGGACTGCTAGAGCCCGAAGGGATCGAGTTGCGTCCGCAATACCGGATGAGGAGCCACAGCAGTGGTGCCCATGGCGGCGCATCTACCGGACGCGAGGGCGGCGACATTGGGAGGAGCAATACGACCGGCAAGAAGCGGCTCAGCGATGGTTTGAAGCGGCGGTTTGGCATGAAGAAAGACGTGCCAGCCGGGGAGGTGCATTGAATTATTGTCATGTTTTCACTTTTGCACATAGGATAGGACAGGCGTTCTCATGGGTATAGAAATGTATATGCAATCTACAAATACGCCAAACCTGTCCATGCCAAGACGCCCCTGAGCTCGTCTCGCGTCTCACTCACGCCGTCGTAGCCTCCCTTGGTGACAACCTCGCTTCTCTTGCCGCTGCCGAGATCGCTCCACCTTGCGAGGACGCTGGCGTCCACTACTGCGGCACTTCGACCGGCTTGCGAATCCACGCCCACGTTGGTCTTGCCCTGGGCATGTCGATACGCCTTGCTGTTGAGGCCCACAGTGCTGGGCAACGTACTGAGGAGCTGGTTTGTGAGAGACAGGAGACGCCGATGAGGTGTCTCAGCTAGAGGAACCATCGTAGCAATCTGACCAGACGGCGAAGTCATGAGGAGGATATGCGGCGGTAGATCCGCGGACGGTATAGAGGGCGAACTATGAGTCGCAGTGTATGGGAGGAGCATCGAGTTTGTGGGCGTGTTGGGCGTCACTGAAAAGGTCGCCTTGTGCAAGAGCAAGTTGCCTTGCAAACTCTTGGGATCTGGGGTTGTTAGTATGTACGTTACCGAGTCAGGGGTTCATAGTGTGTAAGACTTACGCTCCGGGTTGAACTCCAACACATGCAGGTCCCCATCGGCATCAACCGCTATAATGCTCAAGTCGTCTCCTTGCGGCAGGAAATCTGCGACCAGAATCGGCACACGACTTCCGCTTTTGCCAAGGACTTTGAATGTATATGGCTCCTCGGTGTAACCGGCAAACCAGACGCCCTTGAACGCATCGGCCAGCAGACAGAGTCCTGTCCGCGGCAAGCTCTTGGCACTGGCAACATGGCAATTCATATCCAGGAACGCCACCGGCAGCAGGGAGCCATCCTCCTTGAGACCACGGACCATGCACTTCTGTCCTTGCGCAATCAGCATCAAGCCTTGCGTACCAATCTCGCTGAGGGCAGTCACGCCGCCACGAGGTATATCCTCTTTCGCGATGGGCTTCAGGCGACGATTCGTCTCGGGGCGTCCAGGCTCTGGGATGACAGACACAATGTCCAACACTTGAACTCGTCCTTTGGTCGGCAGGTCCTCGCCCTTTGACAATGACGACCCCACGGCAATGAGCATCTTTCTCTCGCGAGTATCCTCTGAGACCTCGAGGTGTAAGGCCTTCATTGCCTCAATTGTCTCACACTCCTCCAGGTCGTAGTTATTGATGCACGTCCATGTCGTAGGATTGATGAGCTTGACAACACCGCGTGCCACTGTCGGTGCAAACGTGACTGTCTCTCTAGCCCACTCCTTGTGGTAGTCGTCATCGCGGGGGAGCTCAAAGGGCTCGTGGATCAGACAGCCTGCTACATACGATTCGGAAGGACGGTGATAGGCAAGGTGGCGAACCTCGACGTCCAGGGGTATCTTCTTCACGGAGACTCCCAGCTGAGCAAAATCAGTCTTGGACGGAAGCTCCGTCACGCGCGCGACGCCCGAGGAATCGGCATAGATGAAACCGCGCTCGCAGCCCTCGGTATGGAAAGGGCTCATGCCTCGCACGCCCTGGCCTTGCAGGCCAATGACGTGGGGGATGCTTTTGCTGGACTTGATCAAGAAACTCGGTGAGGGCCCAGGGAGAAAGACTGTGCTGTATCCGTGGACGTTGGCGCAGGTCCGCAACGGCACGAAACGAGCCGCTTGAGAGGTATCCTCATCGTCGGCCGCTATCTTGGGGGGCACGCGGGCGAAGACAGGGTTCGACGATTTTTTGAAGTGCAATGTGGCTGCGAGGGATGTCTCTGATGGCGATTGGTGGCGGAACGGTTCGTAGATGGTCAGGTCGTCGGAAGAGTGGCGAGCGATCAGATATGGTTTTCGGGATACGCGATCACCGAGATCAGCAACAACGATCTCCGAGAAGGATTCGCGTGGCATGCCTCTCCGGACTGTCCAGTCCGCCGAGAGGACCGGCGGGATGTAAGTCAAGCCGGCAGTGGTGTACACGGGGTTGGTGAGATCCGGGAGCGCGTAAACATGTAATGCCCCAGCAGCGCTGAGTAGAAACATCATCACCTTCTCCGAACCTTTCTCCGCCGACTCCTGGAAGATACTTGTCCTGTCGGTGTACAGGCACCCCGATGCCCACTTTGTCGACGCTAGCGTTCCCTCTGGTTTCTCCATCTCCTCCATCTCGTTGTTCTTGTCCATGGATGCCACCCAAGCACTTCCATCATCGCGAATCAACAGCAAGTAAGGATCAGCGATGCTCGCGCTGAGAACCCTGGGTTCCGCCCCAGTCTCTTCATCCAGCATTGGCAGGATTTGTGTGAGCCCCAGATTCCCATCGTAGCTTCTCACCTCCGACTTGAGCACCTGAATGATCCTGCTCCTCTTCCCCATCACACCCGCCTCCACGGTGAAACCAGCTGCCGGTTCGAACTCTGTGTCTTTGATGCTTTCAAAGCCTGCTGCCGTCAAGGCGTACACGTCTGAAGTCTCATATCCGTCCAGATCAACCTTGGCAACAATCATGAACCTATCGTATCGTGCCGTGGTGTCCGCGGCGGCAGCGGCCGCATTGACGGGGTTCTTATCGACTGGCTTAGAAACACACATGGTCCAGAAACCGCGGGCCTCTGGAAAGTCGAAACGGCCAATGACCTTGGGTTGAATCTCTCGGTGGATGACAGCAATGGACCCAGCGCGGCCCTTGCCGACGGCACAGGCCAGCTCCAGATTCGACGAGACGCCTTTGGAGAGCGTCGCTTCTTCGCTGTCGGGCACAAAGGTAGGCTTTCCGCACGTAACATCCAATATCGGACCCAAGCTCAGCAAGCTGTCTGATATCCGGAATGTCAGTTCGCCAGATTTCGCATGTCCGTTCGCCTGAGGCTTCGCCGCGCTCGAGTCATTGCCGTAGAGATCGTCATCCTCTTCGTCGTCTTCCAAGTCGAGATCGTCCACGTCAACTTCCAAGTCTTCCACCAACCGTGGCTTCCTGCGCTTCTCCTGTGCATGTTTCCGTGTCCAACCCAGTACTATGCTGTCGTTGCCCTCGCTGCCCACAAACAGGCTGTTCTTGTGGAGCTTTGTCACTGTGGATGCAGCGAACTTGACAATGTCGCCGCCAGACTCTTTCGCGATTTTCTTGATGCTGATGCCAGATACCGTTCTTCCGTCAATCTTAAATGTCAAAAGCGCGAAGCGACCGTCATTCAGAATGATCAGGAGTTCCCCATGCTCGATCGACAGCACCTCAATGGAGCATCCCTCGAGCCGCAATCCCAGATCCGACTGGTCGGACATGTTGAAGTTTGTGACGTCCTTTGTCATGGGGTTCACAGCCACGCCATTTGGCTTCCCGCTCTGATCCACATGGATCAGCTCGTTCTCTCCGACCAGCAGCGCGCCTCCTATCGGCGGCGGTAATGCGATCACCTTCCACAGATCCCTCGGAAGATCTGTCACAGACAGAATCGTAGTCGAGGCTTTCTGCTGCAGGTCAAGGGTAAACACCTTGTACGTCAAGTAGTCCTTCAGTCCTAGCGCTGCTGAGGGCGGCTTGCTTCCCGAAAGAATACCAATGGTTGGCTCGCGGTATTCGTACAAGAAGGAGAGATGCACTGGATGCAGCAAGCTGGGATCTAGCAAAGGTAGACGCAGGACAAAAGATGGTGTATAAGCTGGGTCATCATTGGCACTATCTCCATTCGCAACTGCCTGCTTGTCTTCCTTCTTTTCGGGTCGGGGCCCATCGAGATCCTCGTCCCAGTCGTCCATCTCGAGGTCTTCGCTCGATTGTCGAAAGGGCAGGATGGCGAGATTTCGGGACCCAAACTTGAAGGCGGCGCAGCGACTGCCCGGGTCAGACGCAAGATAGTTCACGTAGTCGCCAAGGGGCAGCTCCCATGGCGCTGTGGAGAGATCGTCCTTTTCATAGTAGTGGAGGGACAGCGTTTCGAGGGTCTGCTGCTGGGGATCCCACTCGGTCAGCGCCAATTTTGCGGCCTTGTATGCGATCAGAAGCCCCTCGCCGCCCGAGCTCGACTTGCTCAGTTTGATCCTGGCCAGTCCGATGACGGTTCCAGCAAGTGGTATTTCAGCTACGAGCACGAGCTTGGTGCACTGTGAGCGATCGGTGCGTACAATGGACGCTTCCCCGCCGAGGAACGAGCTTTCGAGGCCATCATCGTCATTGACCCGAGGCTCATATCTGGGCTTGACGGAAGATTCTTCAGAGATGTCGGCTTCGGTGGGAATTTCTTTCGTCGTGAAGATCTGCAGGAGTGAACCCTTTGCGACAACAAGATTCTCCGCGGACGTCGACGTGAGAGAGAGCGCTAAAGAGTGCGAGACAGCCGATGGCACCACAAGCTCCGTGTAGGCCTGCATTGTAAGTGCGTGCCGTCAATGACGGTCGCTAACAAAGTGGCATTGGCTCGTGGATTGGAAGTTCGGTAGCTAGCATGGAGCTTCGACTAGATGTTGCGATGGGATTGATTGTTGTCTACGGACACAGGGCGGAACAACGCGACGCCGCGACTGTAGGCTCAGCTCACCATGGCGTGGGTCTAGCCAGCCGCGTTAGCCAATCAAAAGCGTTACGGGACTTACCTTCAATCGTTGCAAGGGGTGCACGGATGCGCCCCGCGCTAAGCCCGACTAGTCCAGGCGCGACATGGGCATTGCGTCAGAAGTCCGATCAAGATCCAGAGCTTGATCTTGCGTGCCGTAACTTGTACGTAGCTCCCTCCAGAGCGTGGCTGCTCGACCACAACAACAGCAGCATCCCCCTCCCTTGAACATCGCCACCAGTGGCATCAAGAGCATCGAATCCCACAAGATGGCTGACGCTGGGCTCCTTCAAACCAGTCTTATCTGGGTCGCTTATGCAGTTGCCGTCGCCCTCTGCCTCTTCGCTGCGACAATCACGACCTTCACATGGCAGACCCCCCGCGAACGCTCTGCCATCGTCAGTGTGGTGGCCATTATCAGCTTGACCTCCCTCCTCGCGACTGTCCTGCTCCTCCCGGTCGACATCGCACTCGTTTCGGCCACCTCGTCCGTCTCGCATGGCGCAAAGAAACACTGGGCGACGCCCGAGCGCGTCGACCACATCCTTCTGACGCTGAAGATTGTGTACTACTGCCTCTACACGTTCGACGCACTTCTGTGCCTTCTTGTAATTCCCTTTGCATACTTCTGGTATGAAGAGTACGACGAGATCGAGTTTGAGGAGGAGGGCCGCACGTGGACGAGCAGGCTTTGGTCCGCCGCCAAGTACACCCTCTTCTTCTTGGCCTTGGTGATCATCCTCTTCCTTCTCGGATTCTTTGTGCCGGCCGCTGGCGACAATGTGGATGGACACTGGGACTTGGACTACTACAAGAAGCTCATCTCACAGAATCATGGCGAGAAGGCTCTGACATTTGCGCTGGGCTTGCTCGTCACGCTCGGCACCTTCTTGTACGTGGTGTATACAGGTGCCGGACTCGCCCTTCTTCCAATCTCGTTCATCAAATCGGCGCCATCTATCTCGGCACCTCAACTTTCCGCGACGACGGCGTCTCAACTTGAACAAAACCGGGAGCGACAGCGCCAGATTGAGATGCGCAATGCTGGTCGCCAGGATGAAATGCCCCGCAAGGACCGCCGCGAGCTTGATGCCCTCGCTCGTGAGGAGCAGACCCTCGTGCGCAGGGAGCGACTAGCTGCCGAGGCGCAAGGCGAGGGACGCAGCAAGCTTTACCAGTTTTGGCTCAAGCTCTGTACTCTGTTCCGGCCGATCAAGATGCTTGGCGGCATTCTTCTGCTGGTGCTCTCTGTACTGATCTGGGTTTCTATGCTCATCACGGGTATCGACAAGGCGAAGAACTCGGTTTGCAAGCAAAAGTGTGGCTACATCCTGGGCAAGATTCACGTCTTCCAGCCCATCAACTGGATCTTCATCCAGTCAGCCAAGGTGTTCCCCATTGACTACGTTCTGATGGCGCTTTTGATCTTGCTTCTGTTTGGCAGTTCAATCACTGGCGTGGCCACAGTGGGTATTCGCTTCCTCTGGGTCAAGATCTTCCAGATTCGACGTGGTAGGACAGCCCCTCAGGCGTTGCTCATGGCTACGGTCATGTTGGCCCTGATGATCCTGGCCATCAACTACGCCGTTGCCATGCTGGTCGCGCCCCAGTACTCCATCTACGGCACGCAGACATTCTGCACCAACGAGCCCAGGCATCCTGGCGAACAACCAGACTGCTCGCGCAACTCGTCTCACATCCGCCCTTGCTCCGAGTCGTTGAAGTACGCCCACGCTAAAGATGTGTGCACTCCATCTGTCATGTCGACTTTCCTCAATCGCATTACCATCACGTGGCCCTTCTTTGGCGCCATTGATTTCTGGGCGCAGTTTGCTTTCCTCGCTGTCTTCCTGATTGTCCTTGTGACGGCAATTTTCAGCACGCCCAAGGTGAACATGGCCGAGCTTGATGAGGATGCGGAACAGGACGAGCAGGAGAGTCTGCTGGCCAGTACCGGACGACGCTTCGGCGCTACATGGCAGGATTTGACGGGCAAGTCGAGGTCGAGGGATAATGTGAGGATTGGCGAAGGATCTAATACGGTATAAGTAGGGGGTTACGCAGAACGCGGTGAATATCAGGACGGGGAAATTGAGGGCGGATTGCAACAGGATGGAAGGGAAATTGCAATTTTGCTGTTGTATTTTGACGCACTGCATCATTTTGCGAATAGTACAAGCGATCACAGTAATGAATGCTACGCGCCCAACGCGACTTTCTTCTCCCTCTTCTTCCGACTAAACTCCACGGCAACGTGATCTCGGTCATCGAAAGCGGCAGCAGGACCAATGTGCATGTCGCGCCAGCACCTCCGGCAGTATGGATCACCTCCGTCACTGCAGCCCTTGCAGAGCAAAGTGGCATCTTCGAGACAGACGGTGCACCAGGCATCGACGTCGTCGTCGTTGTACTTTGTCTTGGACACGAGTCGTTTGGGCTTTTTGGTGGGGATGGACGTGGGTACATCAGGCATGCCGATACTGTCTGTCCGCAGGGCCGAGAGTCGCGTGGTCAGATCGTCCAGTGAGGCTCCTGACGGCGAGACTGCAGCGCCTTCCCCTGAGGTTGGCACATCAGGCAGGGATATGGCTGGTGGTGGTTCGTCGATCTCCTGCACTGGCGAGGTTGGCGAGGGGGGTGAAGATGGAGGATGTTTGGCTTCTACCTCGAGCTCGTCCCTGAATCTGGCGATGAGTGAATCAGCCTCTTTTGTCATTTTTTCGCCATCTGAGTTGTCAGAGTCTCCGGCGTGGTCTTCCTCCTTGGAGTGTGGGTGCTTTGCGTCGTCTTGCGGTACAGCCCTCGAGAGCTCTTCCAATAGCTCGCGGACCTTGGCGTCAGAGGGCCCGGTTGCCGGTGAAATGTAAGACGCTTCCGGGTCGACGTCTTTCAGAAGGTCCTGGAGGGTCTGGTCGTCTGTGCCAAAGTCTATGTCGTCTTCTTCCGCCTCTATGCTCGGCTTGATACTTGACTGCTTCTCAGAGATGGATGGCGCCGGCTGCGCTGGGGAATCTGCCTTCTCTCGCAGCGACTTGAGTCGTGCAGCAAGCGCATCGTCTCTGTTCGGTTGAGTCTTCCGTTCGATGAGGTCAATTTCTGGTCTGAGAGATCAGTCTCCAGATGGATTTGCCTAGTTTACATGTAAATCGCACCGTTGAGAGGCGGTTGACTCGGGAGGGGCACTCGTCCCTCGCAGAGCCTGAAGGCGGTCTAGTAGTGATCTATCAACATCGTTTGGCATCGTACGCTGCGGTATCTGCGAAGATCTTGAAATATGTACAGCGGTGGCCCGATGTTGTTGATTCTATGAGATGGCCTTTGGATGATCTCAATGGTAAGAGCCTGAGAGTGAGATGCGCAAAGTGGGGTCAAGTCTTTGTCACCGCACGCGTCAGGCCAAGCACGACTTTCTTTCATCCTGCATTCAAACCATGGCCACATCTCTCACTCATGAGCTTGAGTTTACTGACATTTGATGTGCTTGCCTCTCGTCAACAACAGCGCGTCTCATCGAAATTGAAAGCGGCATTCACCGAAGCGCTCAACGCCCACGCCACAACCAAGTGAAACTTGGAAACCTCAGCCGGACATCCGTTGAAAGTCAATGTGGCGCCGCTCTTGAGAACAGCCTCTCAGGATGGCTTCAACTTCTTCAAGGCACACATCACGATCTATGGTCTCGTGACGGTTTAACTGGCTCAGTTGATCATTAGCTGGCGCCTTTGACTTCAGAAGAGGCATGCATGGCGCCGTCGCGATTGCTCACGAGTCCCTCAGACTGGGAAAGAACATTGGCAGACTTGCCGCGCAGCAATGCCTCAGCGTGTCCGGGGGAAGGCCATTTACCCGAGGGACCAAGAGGCTGCCTCAGTATGTCGCAGAAAGGACATGGAGCCGACCTCCCCATCTCCGCAAGACCCTGAGGAACCAAGACAGTCGAGAGAGCTCACCAATCTGGAATGTCGTCATTGTCAAGAGGGGTCAGTGCAAACTTCAGTCTACCAGGGACCTTGATAAAGCAACGGATCCCTTTCCTCACGCCAGGCTTGCGAGCCGGAGACTTTCACGATGCATTCAAGTCCATGTCGTTCCTGCCGGTACCGCAGGTGCGGCAGGCAGGCCACTCTCTGTCAAAGTCTGCCGCTAAAGCGATATACCTCTTCGCGGATAGGCCACGCGGCTAGGAAGGGCACGTGGCGGCAACCAGGAGCCAATATTTCTTGCCTGTATACGATCCTTTGTCTGATCGTAAGCTGGCGTGGCAGACTCTACCTTCAGCAGAGAGACTGAAGGCTCAACTCACGCCTGCAAGTAAACAATCCTACTCAGTCTCAGTCATCCTTTGATCTCGCCATGACTCTGAGTCTTTGATGCTTCAGTTAGGTCCTCAAGGTAAGGTATGCTAGCCTTGGGGAAGGTTTCGTCTACACCCCAGCAACTAGTTCAGGAGGAGCGCTGGCTTCGCCGGATATTTCAGTCGGTCACTGTCCGCGCCTGCCGTTCCGGGCATGAGAGTTCCAAAGCTTGAGCTGCTGTCCTCGTGAACTTGTTTACCCTTCTTGTTCTTCTTTGTACTTATAGAGCCGTCTGCCCGGTGTTGACACAAGCATCTCGCAAGCCACATCAGATACCATTTTATCACAGGCGCAAGTTATTATCAGCAATTCAACATACCAACACCATGTTTTCAACCCCAAGACACGATGCTCGAGCTGAGGAGCATGGTAGTGCAGGGTCAAACTCGACGGCGACCAAGATTGCGCACGTTGAAAACCTCTCTTCTTCCTCCAATGCTATGGAGAGCTCGGTGTCGTCTTACCCAGAGCTGAAATCGCCTCAGGCAACGGTCTCCAGTCGTGGGTCCAGCGGCACACGAATTCTCACAGAAGCAGAATGCTCGGAGCAATTGGGCTACTCCTTCTCGACGACAAAGAAGTGGCTCATTCTCACTGTCGCCTTTTGGGTTCAAATCTCCATGAACTTCAATGCCTCCGTCTACAACAATGCCACCTCTGGTATGCAGGCTGAATTTGGAGTCAAGGAAATCTACGCCAAGCTTGGATCGGCGCTCTTCCTTATCATGTACGCCTTTGGCTGCGAACTGTGGGCTCCATGGTCCGAGGAGCTTGGCCGCCATTGTGTCATGCAGGCCAGCATGGGTCTTGTCAACATCTGGCAACTGCCTGTTGCTCTGGCGCCGAACATGGCCTCCGTCATTGCTGGGCGTGTGCTGGGCGGTCTGTCTACAGCCGGCGGCTCTGTTACTCTCGGTATGGTTGCCGACATGTGGGATGCTGACTCTCAGCAATACGCTGTGGCCTACGTCGTCTTCTCCTCCGTCGCCGGGTCGATCATGGGACCTATCGTCGGCGGCTTCCTCGAGACACATTTCAATTGGAGATGGTGCATCTGGGCGCAGATCATTCTGGGATTGGCCGTTCAGTTGGCGCACTGGTTCACCCCCGAGACTCGGTCGACGGTCATCGTCAACAAGATTGCCAAGCAACGCCGCAAGGCCAACCCAGCGGACGATGTCTGGGGCCCCAGCGAGGACAAATCACTGAGAGACCGCTTTTCCTGGAAGCAGATCCGCGATGTCTGGATGCGCGGCTTCATTATGCTTTTCACAGACCCCATTGTGGCCTGCCTTTCGGCGCTATCAGGATTCGCGGATGCACTGATCTTCATGTGCATTCATTCGTTTGGCATTGTCTACGGCCACATCTGGGGCTTCAATGCTTGGCAAACCGGCCTCACGTTTGTTTCCATTCTCGTCTCCTATTTCTTCAGCTGGATGCTCTTCATCCCAAGCTTTGGGCGGAACAAGCGTCTGCGCACGGCTAAGCCGGATGATGAGCGTACGCAATTCGAATCTCGGTTGTGGCCCCTTCTCTGGCAAGGTCCTCTCCTCTGTCTCGGTCTGATCGGGTTCGCCCTGACCCTCCGGTCCGACATCCACTGGATCGCCAGCCTGGTTTTTGCTGTGCTGGTCGGCATGTCCAACTACGCCATCTATATGGCGACCATTGACTACATGATCTGTGCTTACGGACCGTACTCTGCCTCTGCCACCGGCGGGAACGGATGGGCTAGAGATATCCTGGCTGGTATCCTCGTCTTTGCTGCCAAGCCATTCTTCACCGACATTGGAAATGACGAGGTGAAGAGCTACATGTGGGCCGGTGTTATACTGTTCTTGCTGTCATTGCCTTTGGTGGGATTTGTCTTTGTCATTTACGTCAAGGGACCGGCGTTGAGGAAGAGGAGCACTTTTGCGCAGGGCCTAGAAGACTCGCGGCTAGCAATGGCGGGAGCGCCTGTTGGTCATGGTGTCGTGGCCTAGAGCGGCCATGATTGATGTCTGGCATTGCGAGGAGTTTGGGAGGTGTGGTTCCATGTGGCACGATTAGTCCCGTGGGAGAGGGCGTGCATAATTACTAGATAGCCTAGTCGTTTGAAATTGAATTCATGGAGTACTTTGATCATGGGACTAGATCGTGGCGTCAAGTGCTCTCACCGCATGCTTTGACTCGAGTAGCGATCTTGCCTGGCAACCTCGTGATCAGACAGGACGCGAAGCTCTCCGCCATGACAATGAGCCGGGAAATGCCATTTTGTACCAGAGAGCAGCGTTTGATGTCTCACTGTTACGAAAATGGCTGAGGAGAAAATGGTCCAGGCTGTACTCACAGGTGTTCGCTTTTGGCAAAGAGGTACCTCATGTTCAGACGGGCCTTTTGATCCGGAACAAGCACAGGGTGAGGTTAGATTCATTAGCTCGCACGTGGCCGTGTTGGTGAACTTAAGCCTATTTCCCCGGCCTAGGAACCTTGATAAACTTGGTCGAGCAGCGGTGAAGCCGCTGAGGTCCATCACTGCCGACGCATCCATATCTTCGCTGGGTTGGGCTTCAGCAGCTGGGACTGCACCCGAGACAGGACGGGCCGTTACGTGGTGTAGCCATGTCTGTGTGTACTTGGGTAATTATGTCGCCTTCATAACGGAAAAGGCAAGGGCCGAGCAAGGTTTTTGTGTTTTCCGGCCAATGTGTCGTGAAGTGGGAGGAGGTTGTTGGTGAGGCTCCCAGCGAGGCGCCCTTGTATTTGTGGGACTCGGGTGCGGGCTGCCAGTTGGAGTTAGGTGCCTCGGGAACACCACATGATGCACAGCCACTGTGGCCATCACCGCCGCCAGCGGGTGTTATTCATTAGGGGCAATCCGAGCAGCGTAACCTGGGCTGGCGGGCGAATTATTAACGTCACATGGCAGAGGGACACACATAGAGATTGAGAAGTAGCTAGGAAAGAGGAAATGATGAAAGATTGCAACAACTGAGGTGAGGTACTCGACAATCAGAGGACCAGCAGACGTCATGCAAGCAAAAGGGCGCAGATGGAAAACTTCGAGAACAAGGGTCCGCACGTTTAGACTCGGCAGGGCAGCGCTAATGTTCCAATCCTACCGGAGCAGTTCAGCTAGGGCAGATTGGGTAGCAAAGACTAAAAGACTGGGCACGTTCTCTTGAACTTGGGGCGAAGGCAGATCGCAAAAGTGCGATCGTGGACCCAGTATGACGATGGCAGGGGTGTCGGCCTCTCCAGACTCCAGTCGCCTGTGCCTTGTGATGATCTCAGATTCTCAGTGGGTTCCAGTCCCCTGTGGGCAAACAGCCTTCAAAGTTCAGCCGCACAGGCGCGGGTTGTCCACAAGTAGATATATAACTGCTGAGAAACATCCTTCTTCCGACACTCTTCGAGGCAAAGTCTGAATTGCAAATCATCTCAGTAGGAACTGTAGTCAACTACAAGAACCACCAAGCTGCCGACATCACATTCAACGTCACACTCCAGTCACTACAGAGCGCCAAGTGCGTCTATGCTCGCCAGCCAACACAAGTTTGAAGGTGGTGATCTCACGCGCATCCACATCCTTGCCACTGCAGCGCCCCAAATCACATCAGTTACACCAGTGACCACACCACAACACAGCGCATTCATCCGACGGCGTCATTGACACACCAATAAATCCAAGTACCTGTTCCGGAAATAAGAGGCCACCACTTCCCGCACCCCCGGACAAGTTTCTTAGCTTCCACCTAATTACCTACATCAACACTCAATAAGCTTAATTTCAAGCAAGGACTGGAGCGCCACGACCCTTTGTTGTTCCCTGACACAATTCATACGTCCAACGCCGCGCAGATTTCGATTCATCATGCGTTTCGACGTGGCCTTCATCGGCTCTCTCCTCCTGAACACCGTCGCGGCCAACGCCGTCGCCGACGTGCAGCAGTCGCACCATCAACCGCGGCACATTGTGCGCGTCGATGGCGAGGCTGCACCCCGCGCCGCTCCGCCCGAGGTAGAGTCTGACGACTCGTCTGACCTCTGGAAGCGTCGTGGCGGCGGCGGTGGAGGTGGCCGTGGAGGAGGCGGTGGCAGCCGTGGTGGCAGCGGTAGCAGTCGCGGCAGCGGCAGTGGAAGCTCTCGAGGAGGTTCGTCCCGCGGCAGTGGTGGCGGCGGCGGCAGCGGCAATAACAAAGGCTCATCTCGTACAGGTTCTAGCGGCACACGCGGCCAAGGCACAAACACCCAGAGGAGCTCCAACGTCGGAGGCTACTCGCGACTCGGCTCCGGCCCGCAGCCACGATTCGGCGGCGGTAAATACTACGGCGGCGGCTCGACAGTTCCCTATAGCTCAGGGGCAAAGACGCCCAGCGGTCTCGGGTCTCGAGGACCCTTGAGAGGCGGTGCTCTGGCGTTCCTCCCTGCTGCCGCCCTACTCCCCGTGGGCATCGGCCTCTGGATGTACGGGCCATACAACTACCACCACCACTACTACAACTCGACCAGCAAGCAAGATGAGGAAAGGCAGATCATTTGCCACTGTGAGGAGCGCATGGTCTGCATGTGCGACGACATTGATGATGAGGAGTTCTGGGACGATCTGATCGGCGACGGCGACTACGACAAGCTCAACAAGACTCTGGTGGATGTGCATGACGTGAACGGCACAACAACCATCACGGTCAACGGCACTCTGCCAAACGGCACGACCGTGCCCGGCGACGAAGACGAGTACGAAGAGTACCTGACGAACACTGGCATCAGCCTGGGACAGAGTCTTGGTATGTTGCCGGCGGCCGTGGCCGTCTTTGGCTTCGCGCTGTTCGCGTAACCGCCGTGCCTCTGGCATGGATTGTACATATTGTTTGGTGACTTTGCACATAAATAGATTCTAGTCAAGTCAGATACGATACAGGCTGGTGGATACCCCTCAATGCAGAATTGGATTAATGAACGACTACTCCGTACCATTGATATCCTGACGATGAGTGCTACGCGCAGAGATTGTGCACTGCTTATAATCATGATGGAGTTGCCACCTCGACTACGCACAGAATATTGGCCATTTTGAGGAAGAAGAAGCACCGCTTAGCACAGGAAAGATAATAGAGTTACTGCATTTTGTCCATTCAGCTATTACATGTACGGTATGCCGCCACGAGGCAGAGAGTCTGCAGCTATAGGGTAGGTAGCTGCAGTCCTCCTGCGGCGTCAGCCAGCCACCGGCTCCACGACACGCGCCGCCTCACGTCACGTTGCCGCCCAAGGCCAGGCAGCTCCGGACGGAGCTCAGCCTCCTCAGTCCGCGTCCTCCTCCATCACCACCCATCAGCTCCGTCAGGCCGTCCCATCGTCGCCTGCTCCCTTGGAATCGCGCGCAAATCCTCCGCATTGACGAGCATCAGCTCCAATTCTTGTCCATTCCGACGCAACAATGTGGAACGTACGTATCTCGTGCGACGCGCGCGAAACAGCGCAACAGCTAATGGCAACCAGATCTTCCGCTACCTGGGAGACATCTCCCACATCCTCTCCAAGCTCATCCTGATCCTCTCGATTCACCGCAACCGCTCGGCCGAGGGCGTCAGTCTCATCACGCAGCTCCTCTACGGCCTCGTCTTCTGCACGCGCTACCTCGACCTCTTTGACAGCAGCAAGCCCCATCCAGCATGGAATGTCGTCTTCAAGACCTTTTACATCATCTCGAGCTTCTACATCCTGGGCGTCATGCAGTGGATGTTCCCCCGCACGCGGGAGCGCGAGGTGGCATGGAAGCTGGGCGCCGTGGTGCTGGGAGGCTCGCTGGTGCTGAGTCCCTTTGCCATGCTCATCTTTGAGAAGAAGGAGTTCTGGGGCTTTGTGCACTGGCTCTGGGTCTTCTCCGAGATCCTCGAGTCCGTCTGCGTGCTGCCCCAGCTTCTGCTGCTGCGCCAGACCACCGTCCCTACCGTCATTGACTCCTTCTACCTCTTGACCCTGGGGTCGTACCGTGCCCTGTACTGCTTCAACTGGCTGTATCGCAAGCTCGACTCGACTGATCCTGGTCCGGACACAGTCTCTGTCATCTTCGGAATCATCCAGACCGCCCTGTACATTGACTTTGCCTGGGTATACTACACGCGCCAGCGTGTCAAGCTCAGGGGCGGCGGTGTGGTGGACGCTGATGACCTGCGCAACTCCTGGCTCCTGCGCCGCATCTTCGGACGGTTCGCACCGAGGCACAGCAACATGGATGACGAAGATGAGGAGAGTGGGCCCGCGCTGGGTGGCGGCCGCAACGGAAGCCGTCCGGCCTGGGGCTCCAGGGGCATTTCCGTGAGCGCCGACGACGGCGTCTTCGACACTGAGAGAGATGGCCAAGAGGAGGGTGTGACATCTGGACCCATTGACCCGGATGCCAGGATGAAGGACCCAGATGAGCTGGCTCGGGCCATGGATGATGATGACGAAGACGACACCGGTGCCTCTGGGTCGAGTAAACCGTACCGCGACGAGGCTGGCGTCGAGGCTAGCGGCGCGGGTGGCATCAGGAACGATGAATGGAGGGATTGATCACGGCAACGATAGAAGGAGACAGTTGAGTGTCTGTATTTGAATGAAATGTTGGTCCATGATGTCGAGCCCTCGCCAGGTTACAGGTATCCAAGACTGGTATATATAAGGTATACAAAAGCACAAAACGCCAGGTGGCTCACAGTCGTCCGACCGACCGGCCAGCCTCCGGCAGCATCCCGCTGCATGTGAAATTTCCCACCAAAACCCACGGAAACAAGTGATTCGCTCACACACACACACATGCGGTTCAACGCCTATGACCGCTGCACAAAACGCTTCTCAAACTCCTCAAACAGCTTGGGGGTGATCTCGTCGCTGCTCAACCCCTCCACCTCCACCAGAACGCCCTTTTTGGCATAATGCTCGAGCAATGGCTCACTGGTCTCTTGGAACTTCCTCAGTCGCTCACTGTACACCTCGTGCTTATCGTCCGGACGCTGGACGAGTGGTTCTCCGGTGACGTCGTCGTGCCCGGCCACCTTGGGCGCATGGAATGAGGTGTTGTAGACGCGACCGCTGGGCTCGTGTACCCACCGCCCCGCGATGCGGTCGAGTATGACGGAAAAGGGCGTGACGAGCGAGACAGCTAAGTTGATGGGCACAATCTGATCGAGCGTCGTGGCCTGGCCGGGTGTTCGAGGGTAGCCGTCCAGGATGAAGCTGGCGCTGGGATCCTCGCTGGGCGGTGCATACGCGGGCTCCTGTCCCAGGCCGTCGTCCGAGTGGATGGGGGACGCGCTCAGCGTCATGGGCGCACTGGAGTCCAGCCATCCCCTCGTCCGCAGCTCGTTGCTGATCAGGCGTAGCATGGTCGAGTCGTCGACCAGCCCGCCCGACTTGATGACGCCCTCCGCTTTGATGCCGAGGGCAGTCCGTCGCTTGACATTTGAACGGAGGACGTCGCCCGTGGAGATGGACTGGAGCTGGGGGAAGCGAGCGAGCAGGCGTTCCGTCTGTGTGCCCTTTCCAACACCCGGTGCCCCGATGAGGATGACGCGAGCGGCCCGTTTGAGGCGCATGTTGTGTGTATGTAGAAGGGGTGTCGGACTGGGCTGGCTGGTGGGTGATCGGCGGATTTCTTCGCTATTATGAATAATGGAACGGGCAAGTAGTGGGTACTTTAAAGGTATAAGGCAGTGTGTTAGTACAGAAAAAGGTAAGAGAGAGTCGGATGCGACGCCCAGTAGCACGGGAGCCGACGCAAGAGATGCCGAGGTGACGGTCAGGATGTCTTCATGATCGGCTCGAGGATGTTGGAGGCACGTAGGTACTTTAGCCTGTGAGCGTGGTCGTCGACGGCGGGCGGCAGACTGCAGACGTAAATGCGCTGATGTGCCCAGGGACCGGACCGGAATTGGGGGGCACGGGCCAGGGAAGCACGGCCCCTTGGCGGGGGACGCAAATGTGCGACAGTGGGGTTCCTATCGCTCGCATGTGGCTCGCGTCTGGGGAATTGTTGAATGTTGAGGGTTGCCGTCCTCAAGGCTCGCGCCTAAATGTACGTGGCAAAATCGTGAAAAACACAGATACATGGCGAGATTCGCGTCATAGCTGGAATTTACTGCATCGTCACGATGAACACGTGATGAGCGACTTGGAAGCGAGCATTCAAAATTTAGAGGCTACTGGGGCTAATCCATCCCAAAGCCGCCGAACCTGAGCAAGTCTTGTTAGCGTGGGAGCCCTTGAAGCACTGCATTGATAGGCCTGGGCGACATCACAATCAGCGGTGCTCGCAATTCCTAATCAATGACCGCAGCATCATGTGCCGCAGGCCTCGCCCATGAATACCGACTTGGTCCGAGGCTGTTATAGACAGATCACGTGAGCTCAACATTGCCCGGACCGGAGATACCGTGTCTCCGGGGCATTCCAGAACCCGCGGCTTCGCTGGAGCGCCCACCATTGGCGCAGCGGCTGCTGCCGCGCAAAGCCCGTCGAGACCCGATGCGTTGCTGACCCTGATCCGACTCGGACTGATGCGATCCCTTTACTTTCGAGTTTCGACATCCATCCCGTTCCACCTTAATCACCTTCTCCTCATCCATCATTCCACTTGTTTTCTGGACATTGCAATCTCTTTCCACATCACGCTTTCTCTGACACTTTAAGCAACGCTCGTGATGAGCGCTTCTGCCAGTGTCGCCCGCAGGGCCGCGCCCCTACTGGGCAACGGTCAGTTTTAAACTTTGCCTGCGCAAGACTTGAACTAACGCGCTCAAACAGCCCGCGCGTTTCCTCGCGGAGTTCCATCCTCACTGCTCGCCCGCCACATTGCCCGCCAGTCCCAAGTGCCCGCCCTGGCCATATTGATCCCATACCGAAGCCTCAACACCGAGCAACACCGCTCTGACAACAGCTCCGGCCCGCCACCCGGTTTCAACGCTGAGCAGGCTAAGAAACCGCTCCCTCAGACCAGCAACGCGGACGCAAAGAGCAAAGATGCGACCACTGCTCACTCGACGCCAGCACCTGCCGACCAGACTGCGGCGGAGGCCGACATTAGCAAACTCGAGGCGAAAAGGGCCGAGGTGCATGAGAAGGGCGACATGATCAAGAAGGAAAAGGAGGAACAGAAGCTCACGCTGTGGCAAAAAGTCAAGAAAGAGGCGCGGCATTACTGGGATGGCAGCAAGCTGTTGGCCACAGAGGTCAAGATCAGTTGGCGCCTGGCGTTGAAGATGGCAGCGGGCTACGAGTTGACGCGCAGGGAGAACAGACAGCTGCAGAGGACGGTGCAGGATCTCGGACGCCTTGTGCCCTTCTCCGTCTTCATCATCGTTCCCCTCGGCGAGGCTCTGCTACCCCTCGCGCTCAAGCTGTTCCCCAACATGCTGCCCAGCACGTTTGAGGGCCAGAAGACCAAGGATGCCAAGGCCAAGGTCTTGCGAACGACTCGCAAGGATGTTAGTTCCTTCTTGAGGCAGACGCTCAAGGAGACGGGCCTACCCCTGAGCCAAGCTACGGCGCAGAAGGAAGAGTTCTCCAACTTTTTCCGCAAGGTGCGTTCCACGGGCGAGGCGCCCACCACACAGGACGTCATCAAGGTGTGCAAGGTCTTCAGGGATGACCTGACCCTGGACAACCTGTCGCGTCCCCAGCTCGTGTCCATGTGCCGCTACATGAACCTGAACACGTTCGGCACCGACATGATGCTGCGTTACCAGATTCGCCATCGCATGCGCCAGATCAAGAGGGACGACAAGGCCATCAGCTACGAGGGTGTCGACAGTTTGACAGTGGGCGAGCTCCAGAATGCCTGCGCGGCACGTGGCATTCGCACACACAGCGTTTCGCCCGCGCGCATGCGCAACGACCTCCAGACCTGGCTCAACCTCCGTCTCCAGGAAGGTGTTCCTTCCACCCTTCTAGTCCTGAGCAACGCCTACATGTATGGCCAGCAGCAAGACGGCGAGGCCTCCACGCAGATTGAGGCGCTCGTGGGTGTGTTGTCCTCGATCCCCGAGGAGCTCTTCCACGAGATCGAGCTAGAGGTCCACCACGCCGAGGGTGCTGCCACCAACAAGCAGCGTCTCGAGGTTCTCAAGGAGCAGCAGGAGCTCATCGATGAGGAGAACCACCAGAACGAGGAGAACCAGGGCAGCGGCATGGCCACGCCCCGGGACACCGAGGATATTGACGAGAAGGAGGAGCGCCAGGCGTCCGCTGATGCCCAGGGCGTGGAGAAGGGCGTGGCCGATGAGATGCTCGACGCTGAGAAGGATCAGTCCAAGGCCGAGAAGGTCGAAAAGGCGTCGAGCGAGGAGCGCAAATGAGGCGCTGTGTCTTCACTCACTGTTTGTATAAATCTCATATGTATGAATGTACGGCATAGGACGGGATGGGCGGGGATGGTGTAGATGGCGAAAAGGGGCCCGCATTTTGAAGTGTCACGGGCACACAGGCATAGACTTTGCACCGCAAATAGAATTCTACTTTAATCCTTTTAATTTGTTCACGGGTGGTTTAGTGATGCTTCTAGCTAAACTACGTAAGAAACCAGCCCTTTTGGTCCTCGTCCCCTTGGTCGTGACACCAAAGACATTGACACGTGCCACGAGCATCCTTTCCGTCTTGCGCACTTCGGCCGATTCGAAGGAACCAGGACAAGGCGGCGACATGTTAGTAATGTCAACGCCAGGTCATAGCTTCGACACTCAACTAAATCAAGGCCGACTGGGCCAGCCTCCTTTCTTGCAGCTTGAATTAACGAGGTTACCTCTCTGGCGATGCGTGGCCCAGGTCTAATCTCAGTTAAGACCTGGCCCTTGAATCGCGGTTCTACTACGTAGTCAACATTGAATGGATCTGACACTACACGAGAACATGCTCAGCCATGCTCAGCCATGCTAATAAGACGGCACTGGCCCGTAGGCATGTCTCTGGTCACAAAATACATTGGCATGTACTATCAACCCAATAAATAGGTTGCCATGAATCCCTTGCTCATCCTCCCCGCAAATGCTTCAAGACTTGAAGAGTACGCCCGAAAAGGAGGGACTTTGTCCAATGTGTCTGGCGAGCAAGCGGCCTCGAGGCGCAACGATTATCTCCGTGACGGCGACCTAGAGTTTGTCTTTTTCGATTAACAGCACTGAGCTACAGAGTATTCAGTGCTCGCTCGCGTGGCACCGTGCCTTTCTCGGGGTGGACGGAAGAGCAGAACACCCCCTGTCGCTAACTGTGTGCTGCCGCCAGCGCCGCACGGCTGCAAGGGTGATACAACTGAGAGGTGAAGGCTGCCGGCTGTCGCAGGGAAATTAAACGACACTGTCGTCAGTGGCGCCGGAACCCGGGACTTTGAGGCTCATGGCCCGAAAGCGACCGCAACCAACAGTACAAATTCCGTACAACAGTACGAAACGAGGAGTGAAAGCAGGCTTCAATGTTGTTAGATGCATGCATTTTTGAGCATATCGTGCCGGCAGCCTGTCCCACTTGTACGTGCTCGTGGGAATCCGTCTCATGAATTGGAGAGTCTTGGTCGGAAGATGGATGTTGGTTCCATCGCAACTTTGCAAGAGTGTCCGTTGGTCTGTTGCTCTGGCGCCCAATGACGAGGCGACATATTACGGTTGCCTGGAGCTTTGCCCCAGACTATCACAGTCTAAGTCGCCCCTCCATTTTGTTTGTTCCGGGGTGTGGAGAGAGAGGGATGCGGAGTGACATCGTCGATTCGCTCCCCCATGCCCCATCCCCACAGCAGGAAGACACCACTGTGGGCAGTGTGCGAGATGCCCAGGCTGGTGCCAAGGGGGGCTTGTCCTCTTGCAGCCATTCGAGAAATCTAAACGTCTGCCTGGCCATTCCTGCCAGGATACTCCTCCTGGAGGCTCTGCTATGATTCGCCGCAGTGCCTACGTTATGCAAGCGTCTCCCAGGCTTGTGACCGATCTCTGGCCATCCGTGCTGGCTACAGGACATGAACACTGTGCCCGAGGGCGGCACCCTCCCGTCTGGCAGGATCAAGTCGCCGCACGCGGTCAGGATCGCCCTGTGGCTGCATGGCAAGGCACTGTCCGATTCGGAATACATTAAAGTACCTTGTCTGGAAACCCCCGTGTCCCATCGCAATTGTCCCTCTCCTCGTTCGTGATCACAGATTCCTGTTTGCCCATCCCACCGTCAACGGTCTGTTCTCACCTATCGAACCAGCGAACCAAGACATCGCCAGAAGGCACCTCTGCTACCTACACTACCTACTACATCCACACAAAGCTAGTAACAGCCCGACTGCCGTCCACGATTTCCAACTATGGACTCCACCATGATCTTTGCCCGCAACCTCGTTGCTCGCGCCGGTTCAGAAGCAGATAACGAAAACCCTACGAGTGTTCCCGGCGCCATTGTCGGCTACGTCATCGGAACCATTGGTGGCGTTGTGATGCTGAGTGTGATCACTGTCTGCGTGCTCAGGTCCATGCGTCGACGCCGCCAGGCGAAGCACCTCGCCGCGGAGAAGACTGCCAATGTATGAGCCCGATGAGAAATGGAGGCAGGCCGGATGAAATTTTCAGGTTAAGATTGGGAAATGGGGACCGCAAGCCGCTCGAGGATGCGGACTGCTTTATTACACTACGTCTCGGCCCTGGGGCAGCCAACCAGCCAGCCAGCCTTTGTGGGCGTGGACCACGCTATGGGGGAGGATTCAATACTTGCGACGGCTGATTAACAGATACCAATTTTTTTGACCAATTTCAAGTTCAATTACGTGAAGCGTCGGTTCATGTTGCAATGGTGTACTTGTGATGATTGTAAATCCTCATGCTGCTGCCTGCTAAGTGCTCCGATACCCCACTTACTGCTAGCGTCGCGCATCGCGAGATGGGCTGCTCACAGGTATTCGCCGTTTTGACCCCAAGATGGTGATTTCCATGGAGGCAGCAGAATTGCACATCAATGGCTTAAGCATTGAGCGAAAACATGGCGTAGTCGTAGTAAGGTAATTAGAACGTGAAGCTGGGCATTTGACTTTGACCCTAGATCGCATCTCGTTGACCTTAGTCATCAAATCCGGCGACGTCAGCCACGCCGCTAAGCCTCATCCAGCATCAGCCCCACGCCGCCATCGTCACCAGCATCCTGGCCAACCTCACCTCGAGCTGGAGCTCCGGCTGCAGCTTGTCCACGCCCCAGCGCAAAGCCCATCTTCTCCCGACAGTACACCGCCCGAGAAGGAAAAGCGATGGCCTCCAGCGAACAAGAAGGCGACTTCTCGAATGTCTCCTGGAGTGAACATATCCACGAACAAACACACAAGAACCCCACTACGCCAGACGCCGAAGACACTGGGCATACTCTCGATGGGCCGGGCACGACTGTCGAGCATGAACCGCACCCGCTGGGCGGAGAACGTCTAGAATGCACAGTCGACACGCCGATCAAGGAGAATGATGGGACAAAGGATGCCTTTGTGTCGTATCTCATCACCACCAGCGTACGCAACCCAACTCTCCGCCGCGCCACTCTCCCGCCTGCAGACAGCTAATCGTTGGACAGTCCACCTTTCCCTCCTTTGCGCGCGAGCATTTCTCCGTGCGACGCCGCTTCACCGACTTTGTCTTCCTCTACAAGACCCTCAACCGCGACTTCCCCGCCTGCGCCGTTCCGCCTCTCCCGGACAAGCAGCGCATGGAGTATGTCCGCGGGGACCGCTTCGGCACCGACTTCACCCTCCGTCGAGCACACTCTCTTCAGAGGTTCCTCGCCAGGCTGAGTCTGCATCCGTCGCTGCGTAGATCGCCGATGCTGCACTCGTTCCTGGAGAGCCCGGACTGGAACGCGACAATGAAGAGTCGGGGCGCACGGTCGAGCAGTGGCGATGCAGCCAGCGGCGCCGCCGGTGTGTTTGACAACTTTGCGGACACCTTCATCAATGCGTTCACAAAGGTGCACAAACCGGACAGGCGCTTCCTCGAGGTCAAGGAGAAGAGCGACAAGTTGGATGAGGACCTGAATCACATCGAAAAGGTCGTCGCCCGTGTCGCGCGGCGGGAGGCTGATCTCGAGACCGACTACCACGACCTGGCTGAGCAGTTCCAGAAGCTCATCACCCTTGAACCTGGCGTCGAGCCCGCCGTGCACGGTTTCGCGGCCAGCATCCAAGACTCGGCGGCGCATCTGCGCCGTCTCCACGACGTGACAGACCAGGATTACCTGGGGTCGCTGCGGGACATGCAGGCCTACAGCCTCAGCCTACGCAATCTCCTCAAGGCAAGAGAGCAGAAGCAATTAGACCACGAGCAGCTGATCGAGTACCTCAACAAGTCCACGACGGAGCGTGATTCCCTGCAAGGCCACGGCGGCCACTCGTACTCTGGTGGTTCCTCGGGGCCCGGGGGCTTCCTGCGGAACAAGATCGAGGACGTGCGAGGTGTAGACCACGAGCAGGCACGCCGCGAGCGCGCACGTAAATTGGAGATGCGCGTCGAGGAGCTGACTGCCGAAGTGGAGCGTGCCAGGGCGACCAGCAACCTCTTTGATGACGAGGTTGTCCGCGAAGTCGGCGACTTTGAACGAATCAAGCGGATTGAGTTCAAGGCCCAGCTTGGCGGGCTGGCGGATGCTCATGTTCAGTTCTATGGCGAGGTCGGCAGTCTGTGGGAGCAGTATGTCAAGGAAATGGAGAAACAAGGCGTCGAGGCTTGAGAGCAGAGCGGCGCGGTGGAATGAATGCGGGATAGGCACGGGCGTCGAGGCGTTTGCTGGTTTTTATCAAGTTAGGACAGTAGAATGAATGCCTGTAGGCAAGGCCCCTTTGTGGCCGATGAATTTATACACCAGACTCCCCCTATGAATGGATATATCTATTGTAATGCCCAGGGAAACAACGTCATGCATGCTGGACCCCCGACCCTCTTCTCTCTCATTCTTTTCTCACTCAAGAAACTCAAGTTTGGCGCCTCTTCCCTCTTGCCTCGTCGTCTGAGTCGTCCTCATCACTCTCGCCACCAAGGGCAAACTGGTCGCCACCTCGCTCTCCAGGCAGGCTGTGCGCGCTCTGCGAAGGCTCGCGATCCTCGTAACGATCAAACTCGCTGACCTCGTCTTCATCCTCGCTGCCGCCCGCGAATGCGTCGTACAATTCGCCACCGCGTCTCTTCTTGCGGCCCCCGGCGACACCGACGGGTTTCTCGCCCGCGGTGAGACCCTCGCTCTCCTCCTCGTCCAGCATCTCGAATTCGTAGTTGCTGCGCGAGTCGTTCTTGATGCGACGACGGCGCACGATAAAGAGCGCGATGCCGAGACCGATGCAGAAGGCGACAATGAGGCCCAGCGCACCGTAGATCCAGGGCTGCGCAGCCTTGGAAGCCCCCAGCGAGGGCAGCCAGGAGATCCACGTCTCAGACGACGGGGTAGCTTCACCGCTGGCCTCCTCTACCTGGCCGGTCATGCTGCCCTTGTCTTCCTGCGTAGGGTTCGGCTTGGCGGGCTTGGTAGGACGCACGGGGTGGTCTGTAGGTTGCGTGTCGTGCACAAAGGTCTCATCGGGACGAGGGGGTGCGGTGGCTGTAGACGGCTCGGCAGTCACAGTGGTGACGATGGTCTTGTCATGATCAGCGTCATCGTCGGGGTTGGGCATGGGCAGCAAAGTGGCTTTATCGGCGTCGATAGATTCGCCCCAGAGCTTCAAGTGCCAGTCAACAAATACACCCTGGTGCTTGTTGACCTTGTTGTCCTTGACAATAATGGTCCACTTTCCGACACCAGACTCGCCCCTTTAAAGTTGTTAGCCAAACTGCGTCGACACACTCGGTACAAGTCGCGCTTACCAGTGAGCAACGCTCATGAATGTCCAATTGTCGTAGCCAGCCTTCTCTTCATCACTCATACGGTCTGTGGCAATGTGGCTCACGACGCCTTCGGGGCTGATGAGATCGACACTGATATCACCGCGGCGCGTGTGCTCCACGTTCATCGTCACGGTCACGTGCTCCACGCGCTCCAGATTAGCCTCCTTGAGCATGTCGGTGGTCACCTCAAAGTGCACCGATAGACCCTCCTTGCCCTCGGGGATGGGCTTCTTGACGTGTTGCCAAGGGGAGAACCACCAGGCCTGGGGCTTGACCAGGTTCCAGTCCTTGGCCATCTCCACCATGGCCCAGGAGTCCACCTTGCCATAGCCAAAGATGTGGCTGAACTGCTTGCCGATGGCAGTCTCCTGCCACCCAGCGTTGTCGTCGGCTACGGTCGCGGCGCTGTGCAGGGCCAAGTACTGCAGATCCCGCCATGACAAGTCTGGCCGGATGGAGAGAACAAGAGCAAAGATGCCGGCAGCCAAAGGCGCCGCAGCAGACGTGCCACCGTGGCCATCGTAGCACTTGTCCACCCCGACATCAGTGGTATGGATAGAGTCGCCGGCGCCGCTGCTGTAGGTGACCACGAGGTTGGCTGAGCAGTGCTCCGAGTAGTAGGGGTGGTTGCCGGCGCGGTCCACAGCGCCCACGGTAATGCTGTAGATGGAGTTTGTGTACCCATCGAAATTGCAATTGTCGCCGTGGGCGGCGCCATTCCCGCTGGCAAAGACGTACACGGACCCCTTGCCCCCACGACCTTCTTGGACACCCTGCAGCATGGCTCTCTTGATGAGGATGTCAGGCGCCTCCATGTGCCTGCCGTCGTCGGGAGGACCCCACGAGCACGAGTAGATGTCGTTGTCCTGGTACTTGTAGATCATAGCCTCGGCCTCGTCAGCGTTGGTGAGCTCACCGCTCAAGATACGAATGCCGGCAATGTTGGCGTCGTATGCAACGCCCACGCCGCAGACGTCGTTTCGCGCCGCTGCCACTTCACCCGCGCACCGCGTGCCATGTCTATCATCAGAGAGCTCGGGCTTCGGTTCGGGGTCGTGGTCATTGTAGTCCCAGGAGCCTGCGGCAAAATAATTCGCCTTGAGGTCGTTGCTGTACATGTCGAGCCCATCATCTATGATGGCCACCGTCACGTTATTGCCAGTGATACCCTGGCTCCAGACGTCTGTGACGTTGACGTCGTGTCCCGGCTGCACTGTATTGTAAAGATGCCATTGCTCGGTGAAGATGGGGTCGGAGATGTCGAGATCGCGCATGACCTCGGTTTGCCGTTGGACCGCCCAGTCGACCGGTTGCTGTGGGCTCGCTGCCGCCATGGACCAGCCCGCAGGGACAAGCTGCCTGGGTGGAATGCGTTTCTCCAAATGCCCCGACCGAGGTGTCTGTTTTTGGGAAAGAAGCACACCATCAACGATATCGGCCTCGCCATCGATGGCATCGCGCTTTCTCCTTTTCCGCGCCTTGATCTCCGTGTCGACAAGGTCGGTATCGGTTTTCGCCGCGCGGAAGACGTGGTGGTCTGCCAACTGGAGCTCGCCCTGGTGCTCCAGGCCCAGGCGTGCCGCGACCTGTGCGGGCTCAGCGTCGCGTGCGAGATGAAGGACATAGTAATCGTTGTTGGCGTGGTCTCTTTTGACGCGGGTAGCTTGCGACAGCGCCGCCAAACTTGCGACGGCCAACAGGGAGAGCTTCATGGTAGGGGTGGAAGGGCGGAAAGGCAGCGCAGGTACGGTCGGCGGTATCTAATACATAGGAGGTGTATCTATTGGGACGTCAGTGACAACTTGGAAGAGAAATGGTCCGTCAGCGCCGAATGGAAGCGTGGCTGCAAGATACGGTTCGGCGAGTGCCTGGACTGGCTCCTTGCGCCGCTGCGCGGTGCAGCACTGCCTGGCGTTTGACTGTGGGCACGTACCTGATGAGGAAATGGAAATGCAATGTCGCGTAGTTGAGGCTGCGGAAACAACAGGACAAACAGATTGGGGATGAATGAAGTCAAAGGGGATGCGATAGAAGCACCAGGGAGACACGATTCGAAGATGATGTCGTCGTGGCTGTTTCATTGATAGCAGGTACTTAATACACCATGGAAAAACGCACAAGGAAAGTGTACCCGCTAACATGGACCCTGCCGCACGGACGCACGGGGTCCAGCCCCTGGTTTTCAGCGGCAGTTCAGCGGATGGTATCGGCTGCCACATCCAGTCCTCCACTGAGCCACGGAGCGCCAGTCTATAAAACCCAGTCCAGTCTGCTCCTTCCGTGAATCTTTCACGCAAGCTGACGTCTGTCACATTGTCGAACATGCTCCTTCGAGGCATGCTGATGCCATGAGAATGTCGAGCGCTCTACTGTCATTTTCTCGACAGCCGAGGCGGCCTACATGCCTCGCGACCTTTAGGCTTTTCGGACTCTATTCAGCTGGACATCAATAGCTCACCGTCAATAGCACCCGAAAAGCTCGAACCAACAAAGATTATCGAATTTGCTACCAATAGGACGCCATGCCGACCCCAAACGCCGTCTATCTGCACGTGCACATCAAGTCCCTCAGCTCGTCTCCTTGTGAATCTCTATGCTGGGTGGCGCCCCCGTCAAGGCCTTGCACTGCGCGTAGATCACGAACTGTCCCGACACGAGCGCACAGGTCATGACCACCCTGGGCCCCAGCCCGCTGAGCAGCAGACGCTTGGGACCAAACTCCTTGGCCAGCTGGAACATGCGGCTCGTCGCGCCCTGGCCGGGGTCGCCAGCGCCCTTGTTCATGGCCGACAGCAAGGTATCGGCGGGGTGGGAGAGGACAGCGGCAGCCGCACCGGCCACGATGCCAGATGTCAGCTCCACACCGGTGGACTCGAGCTGGGTCATCTTGGCCTTGCGCTCAGAGCCCATGGCGCGATAGATGACCTCGTTGACGGCCTCGTGGACGGAGAACTGGCCGACCGCGTAGGGAACTTGCTTGAACAGCAGAGGCACGAAGCCAGAGTAGAAGCCCCTGAAGCCCTCCTCCCTGGCCATGCGTGCGAAGCCCGGTATCAAGCCAGTGGCGTATCCCCTCTGCGAGACCAGTCGGATTCTCGTGGCCTCCAATGGACACAGGGCAATGTCTGCAAAGAACTCGGCTGTGGCGCTCGCCCCGAGGTAGATGGCGGTTCGCTTGCTGACGGCCTTGTCAGGGCCACCGACTGCCTCAATGTACTTCTTCTTGAAAAACTCGTAGCCCATGAACTTGCCACCTCCCTGGACGAGGTAGCCGACGGCCGTTGGGCCGAAGCCTGTGAGCAAGGCGGAGGCACCCTCCTTGGCGACGATGCTGCGGCCGGCACGGATCATGTTGTAGCCCTTGAGGGAGTCATCGACCTGGATGCGCGTCTTGACGACGTCAATTGGCGTGGCACCCTTGGGATGGTCAGCGCTCTCCGACAAGCAAAGGCTGTGTTCTCATGGTACTTACCCCATGTGTCGACGTCGCGGCGAGCGCACCAGCCGAGAAGAACTTGACATAGTCGCTGGCTGTAAAGGTAGGAAGCTCCGTCTGTTTCGACATGGTGCCGCTGAAGTATCCTCTGCTCTATCCTGCTCTATCCAATGCCACGGTCTAGTTGAAGAATTGTATCTATGTAAGTTAATCTCGAAAAAGGTCTAGAAATGTAAAGACATTCGAATTATCCCGACGAGTATTTATCCAGCGTGCCGGTGACGCGATCCGTCCCTGGTTCTCGTGCAGCGAGGCTCGCTCTCGGCGGCGGAATTGGCTGCCGGGGCAGAGGAATGACGTATGTCGTTTCCGTGTCTGCCGGTTGCAGACTCCACCTTAACAGCCAACCTCGATATGTGACCAGCGCCAAGCGAACACATTACGCTGAATTTACCTTAATGAATTAACTCATTACCCTCGGGCCTCATGTTGACACTAAGTCACTATCACCATTCAACTTGCATTATCAATTTGCCCGTTATTCCACAAGACCGCGGGCCTGTCGGACACCTGTGCAATAGGCTGATAAGACACGTTGCACTCCTCTGGACTCGACTGGCTGAGTAATATCTTCCGATGTAGATTAAAGTGAAGCTACCTCTCGGAGATCAATGGTCTTTAAACGGGTCCAAGCCGGCCACTGGCCTCAATATGATCTGTCCAAGAAGAAGAGCAAAGGCCAGTATGACACTCCAGCCCAAAGCCAGCCAGGATAGGAAATCTTCCGCGTGATGTAAGCATGTGTGTGTTTCGTCACGTGCTTCGTGAGCCACTCGCTGATGGAAAACACAATGAGAGCGGCTAGGACGAAGGCGTACGAGGGTTTCCGGTCGATGATGGTATCGAAGGCTCGAAATAAGACGTACAAGAGGGAGTAGCAGGCCCAGTGGCCTACGAAATGAAAATCCGAAGGCCTTAGGGGATTATCCGGTGAAAAGTGAAGAGCAGGACACTTTGCCGCGAGCGTGAAGATGCTCAAATAAAGCGGCCAGGTGATGATGGGGATTGGGGCGACTGCCGCTCCGCTCACGACGTCGCTGACGGAGAATAAGGCAATGAAGAAGTGAAACAACAACTTCACCTTGGAAACGCCCACCAAGAGGCTTGCAGGGTCGAACTCCTTATTGCCAGACATCCGGTCAAAATGGGGGAGGGAAGGGTAGGCGAGGAGAGGGGAGATCGTCCAGAGCGCCAAGCAGATCTGGCTTATGCTGCAGAGGACGACGGAGCAGGCAGCATTCTGTGCCGAGAAAAGATACTCTGGACTTGTCGAGTTTGTGATCTCTGATGCCATGTTGTGTCTGAAGACGATGCGGTCAACTTGAAAATGGGATTATTTGGGTGATGCCGGCATTGGTGTGTCGAGATTGAAAGGTGGAAAGAGCGCCGTATGAAACTCGGATTCCGTGACTTGTAAAAAGCTTATAAAGTGTGGTGTTATTGTGGTTCTCCTCTGGTAAAACTTAAGCCAGATGTGTCACCTTGCCTGGCCCGAGCAGTCTCTCAAGGTACAACAAGCTCCTAGTCCGTCACAAGACAAAGTAAAACGAGGCTCAAGGACCACCAGTGAAGCCTGAGCGCCTATTTCAGACGACTACGTGGTCTTATGGCCAAATTCGCCCAAAGATACAACATGTTTGCCAATATGCAAATCACCACAGGATGCTCCAGAGCTGGGGCTGCTCGCGTTGGTTTCGTCACAGCTATCCTGGGCTACCTACCACTCCCGTCTCATCGAGTCCTTCAAAAAAGTGTAGATATAACAAACTTGGGCCATAACCCGGGTTTGAAGCGAAACTAGCACTCTTTGTGGTCCATACGTCCGGGCAGGAGGAACATGGTAACATAATAGCAGCGAGAGCCTCTCGCCGCTAGATAATAAGATCACAGCGCCTGTTATTAAGCCACGAGAGTAGCTACTTGTTATTTGCGAAGCTACTTATTATACCCAATGTGCTCGGTAATTTTTATGTGTGTGACTGGTGATATGCGTGTCCTCGCTCTTCCCTCTTCACCGCAATCATATATCACGACCGAAGATAAACAGCGTTATTTCATTCTCAATCTCAGCGACTGTCTTCGTCATCGGCCTGAGGGGCCTAAGACGTGGTGATTGACTGTTTCCGTCATCGTCGTCCACGAGTCGCTCGAGCAGTTGCCTCTTTGATACGCAGCTTGAGCACGGAAAGCGAACTGACGAAGTCGAGATGGGAGGCTTTAGTAGTAAATGTGCCATGGGATCGGCCTTGGACCGGCACGCCATACCGCCACTGAACCGGAGATCGTCCCATCTGAATCACCATGCGGATCGAGGTAAAGCTTTATCCGTTGCCACAGAACCGCGACCAAGCAAGCGACGATGAAAGCGATCCCGAACCATGCAAACTCGCCAGTGGGGAGTAGGTTGATGAGTTGCCCGCTCATCGCACTCAAGGGGCCTTGAACCTATTCCAAGGTGACAACGCTGCTGTTTTCAGGCCAGCGATTTTGGATTTATATGACGTCTTCCCTAATCTAGAAGGGAAGCCGCGCTCATAAACCGTGTGCCTTCCTACGGTACAAGGCAGCGTTCGCGTTCAAAGGCTGTCGTGCAAGAATATTACCTCTATGCTCGGCTCAATCGGGGAGTTCTGGCGCCGTAGCCCTCGCGATGACACGGCCAGTCGTTGTTGTGTTGTTGATGACTGAGGATTGTGCTGTTGATGAAGGCTGTGTTTTCGATAATTGAAAGTCAAGGTATGTTGTTGATGATTGAAGGTTGAAGGAAGAGAGATCAGCAATGTCACCCTGGGCCCGGCCCGGCCCGCTGTACATGAATGGGTCATTCCTCAGGTCCCATTTTAACTTCCACTGGCAGGCTTCTGAAGTCTGAATCAGCACAACCTTGAACCATCAATAACACAATAACGCGTGCCCGTTTGTCACGAGGTCTGGGGCACTCCGATTGCCCGATCGAGCCCGGCACATAGGTACGTATATGTTCAATAGGTTGTAGCCCTCAAACCAGACGAGATGGCAGCCCTTGAACACAAACGTCTCCCTTTGTCACTCGTAGGAAGGAACTTTTAGTAGGTAAGTAGCAATTGCATGAAGTCGATTGGGTACGTACTGCAGGGATTAAACGTCGGTGTTGCTGAACGAGGTACAGTCAGTCTATCATCGAATACATGGCGTCCACAAGCCATCCAAGCGCGTCTACTGCCTCTTCTCCTGCGACTTCCTCTTCACACAGATCTTGACATTCAGAGGGGGCACTGTCGCCTCTGCCAGCCACTGGTTCTCCGGTCGCTTGCCTTCATAGCTGTCCGGGAATTTAAGATGGTAGTGCCGCAAGACGTACGACAGAATCATCTTCAGTTCAAAGTCGATCAGGAACCGCCCGGGACAGGCATGCTTGCCGTGCCCAAAGGGGACAAAGTCGGGACTGGTGGTCACAAAGGTCTGCACAGGCGTCTTCTTCTCTTCACCCGAGCCCTGTTCGACGGGGGCGGCCTCGTCGCGCATGCGCGAGAAGCGGAAGGGGTCGTAGGTCCTGGGGTCGGCGCCGTAGCCCTCACCGCACAACTGTCGCGAGAAGCCGAGGTACGAGAGCACGTTGCCCTTGGGGAGCTCATGCCCATCCTCCGTTTTCAACCCGTCCACCATGACCTTGCGAAACATGGCGCGGTAGCCAAACGGGTTCAGACGGAGAGTCTCCCGTGACACGGAATCGGCGAGCTTCATCTTGCTGACCAGGGTCTTGGTCCAGCGCGGCCGGCCTGCTTCGTCAAACGAGTCTGCCGTGGCGAGGATTTGCTCTGACTCGTTGATGAGCCTGGCGATTGTGTTGTGCTTGGGGTCCGAGCCGAGAACGTTGAGGAGGAGGTTTGTGACTTGCATGGAAGTGTTGTGCACGGCGCCAAAGTTGAGGGCCGTGATGCGGCGCACAATCAGTTTGACGTCGTCGACCTCCTCGGGTCGTTCCTTGAGGGCATAGCGAGCCATCATGAGCACATGGTCTTCTTCCTGCGAGGTCTGCGTGACGCCAGTCTCGGCCTCCTTGCGCGCCGTTGCCACACGATCTTTCCATAGTGGGATCAGCCAGCCGCTGACGCGTCGTGTCAAGACTCTGTTCGGGATCGAGGCCAATGTGCCCACGATCGGTCGCAGAGGCGCGGGCATCCCGCAAAGGGCGCCCGCCACGGTGATGAGAAGGTCGTTCTGCTGGAGCAGAGTCTTCAAGTAATCTGGGTTGCGACACAGGGGCAAGCCCACAGTGAACCGACTGTTGGCCTGCGCAATGGCCCGGGCGATGACGAGTCGGAGGTCAATCTCCTTCCAGTTGTGCTCATCCATGCCAAAATGGGCATCAAAGGCCACGCCGAGCTCATTGTCCAATGCCGCACAGATTGTCTCAATCATCCGGTTGATATCCGTCTTGACGAGCAGACCCTGCCAAGGGTCAAGGATGGGCTTCTCATCTCCAAGGCTGTAGGTTGCCTGATCCATCTCTGCGAAGCCATGCGTATTACTGAATTGGTTCTCCGGCTGCGACAGGAGCCATCGCAGGCGCGACGGAGGCACGATGATCTCCTTCCTCACCCCGACACCGGGTATCACCACAGGCTGCCCATGCTTGAGGTACTGTTCATATGCCTCGACGAACAGTGACTCGCAGTCAATGTAGTACGCGAGACGCGTCCGCAGGCTGAAACGACGGGCGCCGGGGGGCTCGCGAATGAGTGGGATGGTGGGAGGGTAAGGAACAGCTGTGAGGCGGTGCAGCAGAACGACGACGAGGATGGAGCTCGCGAAGGTGAGTGGCACGAGGAGCACGAGTGGCAGGCCCAACACCTGCTCGACAAGCGGAATCACAGCCATCTTGGTTGACTCTGGATGTTTCTAGACGTGGGTGTGAAAGAGGGCATCATCCTTCTGCTAATATATATAAGTCATTTCCATTGCCGTTCGACAAGTCAGCACTAGTCATCTCAGCGACCCCTTGGACGGTCAGACGGCTGTTAGACGCCACCAACACCGTGCATGTAATTGGTGCGCGGCGCGCATCCTTCGATTAAAAAAACACAGTCAGCTACATTATCACGCAGCCGGGTTAACCGCTCAATTTGCGACGAGACTGGCCAAGTACAAGCTGGGACTGGAGAACCGCCAAGTAAGCCTACAATTGGAGGGATTCTTGGTGAATTTCGTTGGAATAGGGAACATAATAGTTACCTGAGGCACGTGTAGGATCAAGAAGTACCGTATCCGCTAGTCTGTCTTAGCTGGTCAATATCCCTGTCAGGTATGGTGCCAATCTGAACACAGATTATTATTAGGCTGTGAGGATTACAAGCCTAAGCGTTGCACAGGGCTACAAGAAAAGTCGCACTTTTGCATAGAATAATAAAGCTGGACCACAGATAGCTACGGTACTTGGATTTTTGTCGAGAGGATGTGCCTGCGGAGATAATGCATGCAGGGTAGCCTGATGCGGGGCTTGTGGACCCTTATCCCCCATGTTGGCCCCGCCTCTCGTCAAACATCATGACAACGATCATCCAGCCCTCAGTCACATCCCTGGCAAAAGGTACTCCAAGCGGCCTCCCGACATGGCGTCCAAGGCGGCACTTATAGTGGTCGATTTCCAGAACGATTTCACTCCCCCCCACGGCGCCCTCGCCGTGCCTCATGGTACGGACGTTACCGACCCCATCAACACCCTCCTCACGTACCCCTTCGCACTCAAAGTAGCCACGCGGGACTTTCATCCCAAGACGCACATCTCCTTTGCAGCGAACCACAAGGACTGCCAGCCGTTCTCCTCCTCAATCAAGGTCAAGAACCCCAACAATGAGACGCAGGCTTACGAGGCGACGCTGTGGCCCGTCCACTGCGTACAGGGGACCTGGGGCGTCGAGCTCGTCGATGGTCTGAACAAGGACAGCTTGGATACAGTGGTGGACAAAGGCAAAGACGAGAGGATAGAAATGTACTCGGCGTTTCACGACCCCTTCCGCATCGAAGTCTCGGCCCTCGAGTCCCTCCTCAAGGACAAGGGCGTGACGGCCGTCTACGTAGTAGGCCTCGCCGCAGACTTCTGTGTCAAGGCCACGGCGGAACACGCGTTGGAGGCTGGCTTTGAGACGTATGTGGTCGAGGAGGGCACCAAACCCGTCATGCCCGAGAAGTGGGCCGACGTGAGGCAGAGCATGATCGACAAGGGCGTCAGGATGGTGAGTATGCACGATGAGGAGGTCCGGCGCGTGATGCAATGAGTGCGAGAATTAAAACAAGATAATGCGCTTTCTGCCTAATGCAATGTGTATATACTGTAGATCAGAAGGGTCTAAATGTGGTTCCCGCATCAGCGCTTCCTCTGCTGCGCAGCAGCACTCGTCATGGCCAGCGACACTGGGGTCTGGGCTGCCGGTGCTGGTGTTGTGCTCCTGGACGGCGCGGCGCTGCGGTTGTGCGCCATGTGCGCCTTCACTAGATGTCCAGCCGCAAGGGCACTGCACAGCGAGAGCTCTCCGGCGAGTGTCGCAGCACCGATAATACGGGCGAGGCGGCGCGAGTTATCACCAGGGCTGGTGGGGTGCGAGCCACGGACACCAAGCATGTCGAGCATAGCCGATTGAGGTTCGAGAATGGTGCCGCCGCCCAGGGTGCCCACCTCGATGGAAGGCATGGATACCGCAATCTGGAGAGATCCACGCAGACTGCACATGTTAGCTAAGGAATTCGTCCACGGTAGAATGGGGAACACTCACTTCCTCATGGTGGTAATACAGTTGGCACTCTCAACGACCTGAGCAGGGTCTTGGCCGGTGGCGAGGAAGATGGCCGCGACAATGTTGGCGGCGTGGGCGTTGAAACCACCCACCGAACCAGCCATGGCCGAACCGATCAGGTTCTTGGAGATGTTCAGTTCCACGAGCGCGTCGACATCACTCTTCAAGACAGATTTGACAACCTCGCCGGGGATGATGGCCTCGGCAACGATGCTCTTACCACGTCCATCAACCCAGTTGATGGCAGCGGGCTTCTTGTCCGTGCAGAAGTTACCAGAGACAGAGATGATGGCCATGTCCTCAAAGCCACCCTCGGTAGCCATAACACTCAGGGCGTGCTCGACACCCTTGGAGATCATGTTCATACCCATGGCGTCGCCGGTCGTGGTCTTGAAACGGATGTACAGGTTGGTGCCGGCCAGTGCTGTCTTCATCGTCTGCAGACGAGCGAAGCGACTGGTCGAGTTGAAGGCCTCCTTCATCATGTTCTGGCCCGCTTCCGAGTCCAACCATAGCTTGGCGGCACCAGCGCGTTCCAGGGTCTCGAAGCCGACGCAGGGACCGCGAGTCATACCGTCAGCAGTCAGCACAGTCACGGCACCGCCGCCAGAGTTGATAGCTTTGCAGCCGCGGCTTGTACTGGCAACAAGGACACCCTCGGTCGTAGCCATGGGGATGAAGTAGCTCTGACCGTCGATGACCAGGGGACCGGCAACACCGACAGGCAAGGGCATGTAACCGATAACGTTCTCGCAGCAGGCGCCAAAGACGCGCTCCCAGTTGTAGTTCTCGTACGGCAGCTTGGAGCGTTCGAGCGAGCTGGTCACCTCCCGCGTAGCCTTGGTTCGCGAGATAATGGCCCGGCGGATCTTGACAGCGCGCTCATGATCCTGGAGCGTCTTCTCCAGAGCGTACCCAGGAATCTTGCCGCGCATTGACATGCTGACAACCTCCTCATCGGTCATCTCGCTGCTGCGCTTCTCGGCCAACATGACATCGAGCTCTTCGTTGGTTCGCAGGATCCCCGAGTCAATGACGGGGGCTTTCTTCCTCCGAACCAGCGTACCGTCCGATTCGTCCTCGGTGATGGCGGGCGTTGCGGGGCGAGTCTGCTGAGGAGTCGGGGGCACGTACTCGCCGAGAGGCAGAGTAGCTGAGCCAGTATCGTTGAAGCGCTCCGCATTGGCAAGCTCGGCGCGATCGACGCTCCGCTCGGGCTCCTTGATACCAGTCTTGGCGACGTTGAAGAGGTACCCATTGAGGCCGACGCTCAGGGCGAGCGCGATCACGATCCACTTGGACAGCACGGGGTCCTCGAGGCTCTTGAGCAGGCTCCCCACCATGCGACCACCGACGCCATAATCATTGAGCTGACCAAAGGTATCGGGCCCGGCGCCACTGCCCCCAATGCCGGTGGACAGGGCATAGTGTACCGAGGGGAACTCAAGCTCGTACTTGATAGGTGTCAGGATGGTAACGAGCGTAGGGATGTTGCGTGATTTGGCCGAGGCGAGGATGCTTTCGAGCCCATTGGCAGCGACTTTGAAGGGGTCGACGGGGGGGCTCGAGACCACGCCGCCGAGACCACCGGCCCACGAACGAATGCTCGACAGCGAACCGGGGTTGCGGAAGGGGATTGTGCACAAGTTGACCACGTTGATGCCAATGAAGAATGTGACCATGAGCACCTTGAATTTGGGCACACTGCTGCTCTTCATCTTGCGACCAAACAGCGATGTCTCCTGAGGCTCCTTGTCGTCGTTGCTCCTGGCGACATTCTCGGCAGTGCGGCGGCTAAGACCATCATCCTCGAGGGCCATGCGCATCTCGACGTGACGCTTGATGCGGTTGATCTCGAGCTTGATGCTCAGAATAGCCGTGTAGAATGTGAAGAGCAGAATGCAGTCAAAGAAGAGGATCCAAGCGGCGAGGAAGCAGAACTGCTGCAGACCGCCCTGGACGCCTGAAGCGGCGCCGATGACGAGGATGACAATTTCGATGGCGTAGTCGCGGATGATCTCGTAGCCCTTGTCCTTCACGGCGGCCTGGATGGCATACTGGATCAGACCCTGGGTGGAGGGCTCTGCGACCTTCTTGCCCCGCGTCTTCTCCTTCTTGGACTCCTGCAACTGAGCCTTGCGATGTTCAATAGCATGCGAAAGCACAGCCTTGGTAAGGACAATGTTCTTTTCGAAGCCAATGGTCACCACCAGGAAGGGCAGACCCTCGGACAGCAGAATGACACTGATGGGGACGCCGAGCCGGGTCGTCACCGCCAAGCCAAACAGGAAGGCAAAAACGGACGAGAAGAGCGTGTTCATCCCCAACCAGAAATTAGAACCCATGCGGCGCATGGAGACAAAGAGCGACACAAAGGTCAGGTGCATAGACAGGTAGCCCAGGACCATGATGAAGATGTCCAACGTCTCGGCGTTCTTGAGCAGGTCCAGGAACTCGCCCCAGGCATTCTTGGCCCATTGAACAACGGTGTTGCGCGTGGTGACCTTGGCCGCCTTCATGATCCACATCTTCTTCTCGCGGCCATGGCCGGTCTCCGTCTCCTCAGCATCCGCATTAGGGATCTCCTGAGCGACGGACACAAACTCGGGAGCTTCCGAGAAGGGGAGCGCATACGCAAGAATACTGTCCTGGGTGTAGGTCGTAAATGGGTTTTCGGTGGAGGGCAGAGGCGTGATGGACAGGTTCTTGTTGGTCGGGATGGCGTGCGAGAGCGGCGCAGTGCTGGGCGACTCGTTGGAAAGGGTGTCCGGGAAAACGAGGGTGAGCAGGGCAAGGTGGTCAGCGTCGTAGGAGTAGTTGCCCTCGGCATTCTGCCACCTCCACTGGGTATCGGGTCCAGCACGCAGACTGCGGCTGCCTTCGGTCAGGGACGTCCAGTCGGCCTTGCCCACGCTTGTAGTGCCGTCGAAGAGGCTGTCCTGGATCAGACCGACGTAGGAAGTGCTGGCGAGGATGGTCACAAGCACCACCAGGTGGATGGGGTGCGAGCAGGCGAGACGGGCGAGGAATTGGAGACCAGGGGTCATCTTCTTGCCCAGCCATGTGGGTTTGGCGGCGGTTTGCGAGAGCGTGGGCTCACCGCGAAACCGCGTCGGCAGGAGTGACGACGCTATCATGGTGGCGTCGAGGGGTTCGGAAAATGTAACTCGGCGAGTGGACTTTGGTCTAGGACATGGGAGATGGGTCGCGGTAGTCGAGGCAATGCCACTATCGGTAGTCGCCGAACCTAATACACGATCGTGTGAGTACATGTTGACAAACTTGTGCTGGGACTGTCTTGGAGGGGCTCAAGTAGTTTTCGTGATCTCTGTCTCGCCAATGCCTGCCACTAGACAGAGCCATGTTCCAGATTCACACAACGCTCCCAGACACTGGCAAACCAATCCCTTGGAAGAGTACTTACAGCTTGATCCCGACTGGCCACGAGTGGGCGGGAGCAGAGCACAGAAGGAGGGCGGGCCCAAGCTCAAACAAACAATATGAAGGCGGCTGCGATTCAAGTCACGCCAGGCAGTCCCTCGCGTCCTCGGACAGATGATGGAACAAAGTAAAGAGAGTAGGAGTGCGAAGGAGTGGAGGAGAGAGGGGCCAGGGCACAAGTAGAGGGCCGTCAGCCAGGTCCAGTCGGTACCTTTGCTTGCCTGTGCTTGTGAATTCAATGGATGGATGAGTTCAAGGGCCCAGGCATCACAATTAGGGGAATTATTGGATAATGGGGGGTACCGAAGGCGGATCGACCGAACTGGCTTAGTGGCTGGTGTGCCCGACCCTGGCATTAGGCGGTGAGCGAAAATTCAGGGCTTATCGGGGGCGCGACGACGCCTATCGAGGCCGCTGTGCAGTGCCGATCGCTTATCGATTCGCTAGTCCGCTTTCCCCTTTCCTCTCCTCTCATGGCAGAAAAAAACCAGAATCGATGGAGTTGAGGAAATTGGATCTGCGATGGCTTGCTGGGTGCTTGGTATTAGTGCCGCCTGCTCTCCTTTTTAATTAGGTAGCAACCGACCAGTTTATGGCTGTCACAGTATCCCCAGAACAGCACAGCCCTCCAGGATCAGGCCATTTTCTGCTCGCCGCCATCGTCGTCAGCGAGGCTTTGCCCTCAATCCCGCCGCAGGTCATCGGACCAGCCATGTGTGCCAATCCATGACGAGCACTCACCCTTCTGTCGACTCGGCGAATTTTGACTCCGCGTGTCGGGCTCTATCCAAGTACATGTAATCAAGTCGCTGATGTCACCCATGAATCAGCCTCTCGCGTTCCTCCTCCGCGGATTGATTTTGTTAGTGCACAGCAAACCCGGATTTGAATGCGAAAGGTGTCGAGTTGCCTTGGTATTAGCGCGGGATTTCCGACCTATGGCTAGCAAACAGGGCAGGAATTACGGAGTACCGGGAATAGTAGTACTATTCTCATTCAGGGGGTGTCTTTGCTTTGCTGGGCAACGCCGAATAAGCACAGTCACCGCTTGGTCCTCGTACGAACACTGCGCCTTGCTGCTGCGATTACATGTAGTACGTATCCTCGTGCACTATCTGTACCACGTACGCATCCGCCCGAACTCGCATCAGCCCCCACGGCCGACAAACTACCTTGCCGGTCGGAGCACGGGGTGTGGCCCAGTGTTTTTCGGCCGGCTGCCATGCAAAGCGCCGAAGTGGTCCGCCTGAAACGCGCCGAAGCGTATGTGCTCATGGGCTCACGTTGACAGCAGTTCTTGTATAATTGTCCATGCTCCCTTGGATTGACGCGGAGCCCATGTGTTGTATGAGCAGCCGCTTAACGACCCTGAAAGGCCTCTAGATTCGCGCCCTTCTCGGGTGCTAAGCATCTAACGCTCGATACGTGGATGTACTACGGGTACATGACACAAGCAATCTGCAGTTCGGTGCTAACAGTGGCTCAGCGAGTCACTCCCAATTAGAAGCGAGCAATTCACAAGCGACAGTTTCGGAATGCTCTGTTGGCGTCTATCTGGCTGTAAATATTATCGCTATGATTACTCAGTATTGAGGATGCTCTGTCTGCGCCACCGCGGCACCATATTCGTTCTAGAATCATGAGAATCTGAGCTTTTATTCCAAGTTGTTCCAATCCAGCATATATGCGTGACGGAGAGAGTCTATGAATGGTGAGGTCACACTTCATGGTGGGGAGGCTGTGGTTAGCAAGCAGACCGGACCTCTGGATGCATCCCCATGGCGGGGAGAAAAGTCGGGGACAGGACATGGACAAAGTTCAGCATGGGAGACATCCTTGCCGAAACAGGCAATCTCGGATTAGCAATAAGCTATTATCGATAGACTTATCGTCCATATCCCAAAAAATCTTGACTCATGTGCAGCTGCAAGAAGCGCCTGCGTGTAAGTCGGATTCGGCGCCTATAGTTCGTAGGGGACCCCACAGTTGGGTTTAGAAGCCCTGTATCTATTCCGTTGTACAGTCATAATATAAGACTATGGCATGATTCACGTCGCGTAGGCACCGTGTGCTGACAAGAGCTTTCAAAATAGAATTGCCGATGCAAATGCGTCGTGCTCGTCAGGTAACCATCTCGTAGTGGCCTTGACGTGCTGGTGATTTATTGACGTTGGAGTACCTCCGTACATCACGATCACATGTCGGAGGTTGATCTAATCCAAAACGAGCGTCCGAGTTGACAGTCGAATCTGTAACAAAGATGTTAAGTTGGAGTCTTTCCTTTTTTCCACTATCACTACCTCTGGCATATTTCCAATTCCTGAACCTCAGTTATATACTAGTATGCCCATGCAGTAATGAGCCTGTAACCAGACCGTACCGGACAGCATCGGTGCATCCATGGCTCCGATTTGCTGCAGGCAGCTGCAAGATACTATCTGCCTGCACCTGCACCTACACCATGCATCGTAATCCGGAGCACTGCGCCTCCAGTCGTCCACCACCAGATTGTTAGTGGCCATGGACAAACAGGCTTCCGGCCACCGCAGCGGCTGTGTTGCCTTGCACTTGTGTCACCTCGCACATCTGACCTGAGCCTATGCTTCCCCTCCTAAATCCATTTCCTTCATCGTCTCATCTTCCACCGATACTCCGCCCGGAAAACGGTCAGCGCAACCTTTTATATCGAATTCGCGTCCCGCCCTCGAAGCGCTTGCCGACGACTGGAGCCGCCTGACCGCATCATGGCGCCGTCTGGCGATAAGCCTGCCATCGAAGACGATTGGCAACAGGTCGACGATGCTGGGTCCGTGCACTCCTTGCCGCTCACCGACGACGCGGCGAGCGACAGCGACCTCGTCGACCTTGGGGAGCAGTCTGCTTCCGTTGAAACACTGAAGAAGAAAGTCTCGGGGCTACCGGGACCAACCAGCCAGCCACCTGGCAGCAATATAATCGGAGCCCTAGACGTCGACGGACGTCCTTATCCAGCATTCACATCAAGCCAGTCTGCGCCCCGTCGGATGACGTTGAGACCTGCGGAAGCGCACGACGGTGCCGACCCCAGCAACAAACCTGCTGAGGAGGATGGTGAAGAAGAAGAAGAAGAAGATGATGATGATGAAGAACCCGATCACGTTCTCAACTTCGCACCCAAGCTTGCCAACCTGCGCTGTCGGCTCAACGACGTGACGCGCGACACTGAGGCAAACATGACGAATCGAATCGATTTCCAGACGCCGCTGATTCGCAACATCTACCAGTCGCTATGTGCAATCCGGGAGCAGATGAATGTACTTGGTCCCGTGGTACACGATTGCGCCTGCTTTTATCGCATGCACCATGGCGACATGGACTCGGACGACCTGCCCTTGCATGGCGATCTTCCCTCCTGGACGGGCCAGTTGCATGACTTTCTACTCACCTTTCAAAGCCAAGCTGATGCGGTGGTCAGTGGGCGGTCCCAGATCTTCGAGATGCTGAGTGCTCTGGAGCAGCCCGACGAACAATTGACCATGCTCCGACAGACAATGGATGACTTCTTACCATTAATCGAGGCGTGAGTAGAGGTCTCAACACCTTCAATACACTTGATATTGACTATTGCAGCGATTTTGACGCGTTCAAAACAAAGTACATGGGTTTCGACAAGCCTGAACCCAGGACGAACCGAGTCGTCTCCCGTGACGACAGCCAGACCGTCGCTGCTCTGCGCACAGCCTTCTATCGGCTGCACGACGAGGTGCGGCAAACACTCGACCTCATAGTAGAGATCCACACGAGCAAGGGCAATTCGGCCATTGCGACCTCGGCGCCATTGGTCATCAGCTCCCTGTCTAACGTGCGGGATGCCATCATGAACATTGTCACCAACAACCCCTCGGAGTGGATGGAGTCGGATCTCAACACGTCTCGCAGGATTCTGTCGTACCCTGCCTTCATCTCGCTGTCGCCAGAAATGCTATCTGACGTGACAGACCAGCTCAAGCAAGTACGACAGCAGCTCGACGTGACGAATGACCCAGACATGGGACAGAGCTTTTCGCGCGATGTTCTCCACGCGCACCAGGTCGTGCTTCTAACCGAGGGGGGGCAACTCGAGGAGCTGCAGTCGACTGCCAACTTTTTGGAATCTTTGTTAGTACCGGGCGGCGGGTCTTGTTGAGCTTGGATCATCCGGATTTGTTTGGGGGCTTGTTGATCATGAAGTGGGCGCAGCCAGAGTTGTCGCACCAGTACGGTGTTAGGGATTTGACATGATGATATTTATGATGCGACATGAGGAGAAGAAGTCGCATACTTTGCCATTCTTGGACCAGCTGCAAAAAGCACATCACTTCGAATTGTCGTGATCCGTATAAATATGTGCGTACTGTCCCAGACACTGAGACACGGTCCTTGCTGCTGAAACCTGGAGCGTCGGAGCTGCAGAGGTGCGGGAGTTGGGGACCCCACGATCCGAAACTCACGACGAGGGTGTTACCGGGCCTCTGTCGATCCGCTGGACTCCCAGACTTGAGGCTGTGGCTTTCTTTGCTTGTTGCTGCTAAATATGGCCCAGGAAACGTGTCGCCAACCAGTCCATATTTGGAGACTCAGTGTTTGCGCTGCCTCATAAACGTTAGAAAAGCTTGGCTAGTCGCCAGGGCCCAGCGAAAACGCCCCATTCGCAGGCAATGCCCAGAGATATATAAAAGAACGAGATCTGGCCTCCCAAGACTTTTTTTCGTTCCAGAGGGCATCCTTTCTCATCCCTGTTTTATTCCCCATTCTCTTCGGTCAAGCCTGGTGCTTGTATACATTTCCTTGTTTTCCATCTCGCTTCTTCTGCCTTGACGCTCTGGCTTGACGCCGACGCCTTTTCGTATTGTTCGACCTCATATATATAATTCAAACCAAGACAATATTCATCAGCACATCGTTACCATGCACTACACAGCTCTTTCCGTCGCAGTCCTGCTGCTCGACGCAACGGCCTTTGCCGCGCCTCACAAACCCATCCGTCCACTGTCCCGTCGCCAAGCCAACCCCCTCGACGGTCTGCTAGGTGGTGCCGCAGGTGGTGGTCTTGGAAACCTCCTGGGAGGCGGTGCCGGCGGAGCTGGCAATGGTGGTCAGGCCGGGGGCCTGGGAAACTTGCTTGGCGGAGCCGGAGGCGGAGGTGGCCTTGACCTGGGTGGTCTGCTCGGGGGCGGAGCAGCAGCAGGAGGGAATGGTGGCGCTGGCCTGGGAGGGCTTCTCGGGGGAGGAGCCGCAGCAGGAGGTAACGGTGGCGGAGGTCTGGGAGGGCTTCTTGGAGCAGGCAACAAGGGCGCTGGAGGAGACGGTGCAGGCGCTGGAGCTGGAGATGGCAACGCGGGAGAAAACCAGGGCGGGAAAGGCGATGGCGCTGGAGCCGGAGCCGGAGCCGGAGCTGGTAACAACAACAACGGAGGCGACGGCGCTGGAGCCGGAGCTGGAGATGGCAACAACGACAACAACAACAACGGAGGCGATGGTGCCGGCGCCGGGGAAGGCAATGGCAACAACAATGGCGGTGTCGGCAACGGCGCCGGCGCAGGAGGTGACGCCCAGGACGAAGGCCCCATCATCATCGACCCCAACACTGGCGACAAAGTTGACTTCCCCGCTGGTCCTGGCGATGGCGGCAATGTCCTCGATGGCATCCAGCCTCCCCCCGCTGGCGGCAACGGAACTGCCCCCGCAACGCCTGCTGAAGGCAAAAAGAAGGTCGTCGACACCCCTGCCGGTGGGAAAGGCATGATGCAGATGCCTGGGAATGCTACGGACCCTGGCCAAGCTATGGCACCCCCCGCTGAAGGCAAGAAGGACGCTGGCAAAGGCAAGGAGGAGGTCGCGCAACCGCCCGAAGCTGGTGCCGGGATGGGAGATGAGGTCGTCCAAGACCCTGCCGCTGGCGACGGAGCCGAGAAAGTCAAGGAGAAGGAAGACGGTCCCACGAGCGGGATGGAGCAGCTCGTCCCTCACGCTCGCGATATGGTCGCTCGCTTCATGCGCAGGGCCTTTTGGGCGTGAAGCGCGACGATGAGACATGAGACTCATACAGTCACCACATGAACCCAGCAAGAGCAGTGCTCTGCTGCAGCACAAACGGATATGAACCATAGAGCAGGCTTACTTACGAAATGATACACTATGACACTCACGCGTCCTCATGCTCCAATCCTGCCTCCTTGGCCTTCTTGTCCGCCAGCGCACAGAGCGTTTCCCACTCTTGCTTGGAGACCTTGCTGACACTCATCCTGGCGAGCTTGAGCATCTGCATGTTCGCCAATGGCCCGTCGTCCTTGCCGAGGTCTCGTAGTTCCGGGAGGGCGATGGGGACCGCAAACTTGCGGCGGAACTCGACGTGCACGAGACTCCATTTCGGGTTCTCCTTGGTCGACTTGGGGTCGTAGTACGGCGTGCCTGGTCGGCGGGCGCTGACTGTTGTCTCGAGTCAGTAAAACAGGTTTTGTTTAGAAAGCAGATGCCCATGTTTCGCGTACTGTCTTCGGATGCCTCCCGCACAATCTCCATTGTACCCACAATGCCTGGTACCTTGCAGTTGGAATGGTAGAAGAAGGCCATGTCTCCTGCGTTCATGGCTCGCAGATTCTTGCGCGCTTCCGAGTGTCAGCTGTCTTGTGATGCAGGGCATTGCGCAGCGGACGACAAACCTGCATAGTTCCTGATGCCATCCCAGCCCTCGGGCTTATCACAGGCCCTCAGGTCATCGATGGAAAACCGCACGTCGTGCCCATTCTCCATGCGCGTCTCGGGTTCGGCCTTCATCAACCAGTACCATTGCCCCTCGTGGCGCTCAACATCCGGATTCTCCCTGGGAATGGTTTCAGGATCTGGATTGGGCGTCACATCTCTCGAACTACTGGCGGCTGTGTGTGTTTGTGAAGGGCCCTTGGACTTGGGCTTGACATGGTCAGCATCGGGGAGCGCCGTCCCTTTTGGTCCCTTGGCTTTCTTTGTCGTTTTCGCTGCTGATTTCACAGGTGAACTTGGTCCCTCTGAATCGGACTCTGCGTACTGAGCCTTGGCCCCTGGTGCTGCTGCTGCCTGGCGCGTTGAGCGTCGCTTGATGACAGACTCAGCGCTGGCGTCATCGGCTGCTGCGCGCTTGCGAGGTGGCATGGTGTCTGATAGTTTTGTAGAAAAGGATAGATTGGTTCCGGGGGAGAGTAATTAGAGCCTCTGGTTGACAAATATCAATCACATGGGACATGACATGGACAGGTCCAGAATGGAAACGCGCTTGAGCGCGACGTGAGGATTCAGCAAGATTCACCGGGCTACCCTACATCATTTCAAGTATCCCGGTAGTTACGAATTATAAGCACATTATGTGTTCACAAGCAATAAATTTTCTTGTCAAGAGTCAATTGTGTAAATGCGTGGAATTTAGTGACAAATATTCAGTCCTGGATCATTCACCTCCATCCTCAACAACCGGAGTCTGCTACCTGCTTTGCTCCTTCATCCACTCCCACATCTTATTGTAAAGCTTCCTGGCGCCGAGATGCGCCGCTGGATAATGTGGGTGGGCAGTATCCGGCAGATCAACCCAGACCTGCTCATGCCCCTGCTCGATAGACCAATGCCACAGGATCCTACAATGCTGTGGCAATGAGGCGCACAGGTACGTTTTGTGTGCCTCGACTGGGAAGCGCAAGTACCCCTCGAGAATAGGTACCGCGTGGATGTGCGACGGGATGATGGCCTCGTCGTAGAATGGGGGCTGTTGAGTTAGATTGGGTTCAAAGAAGTATTATATGGACCGAACTTACCAGTCGAACCAACGTGCCTCCACCCTTTTCATACGCCTCGAGCGTATTCGCTTCCGCGGCCCAGTAGTCGTCCCCGCCGTCCTGGACAGGTTCGACAACTCCCCTGGCAGCCTGCTTCCTGGTGTTCCAGGAAGCAGAGCCAGGGACCGCCTGGACCTGTGAGTCGGCGGTTTTCTTGTCTGTCTTTCTGCGTCGAACCATTGTCTGTGATATGGAAATGTGGAATGAAGAGTTGCTCGTGAGAAGAACAAACGTTTGAGAGGGGACTGCTTTTATACAAGCTGTCCAAACCGTTATTTGGCTTCAGAGTTAGTTATCTTAGACTTTGTGAGCCGGCGTCTGTTCATCAAAGAGTGTGACCCCTGAAAATAGATTTACCTATGGGTTTGCCTTCATGGTTCAAGGCCTAACCTGCGTTGACTCGGAGTGTATTCTGAATCTTCGTCTAGTCGCTCTGCGAAGCAACCACATTCCGAGTATACTTTTTTTTTATTTAAAGAAAAAATAACGAGAAATCCAATAGGACTGATACCTACTAGTGCCAGCGAACTGCTCAAGGGTTGAAGCTCACACTTCCAAGCTATTCGAGTTGTCCATGCTGTCATTATCCGCGAGGCGGCCTGCCAAGCCATGTGAATTGCCTATGTACATGTATGTGTCTATGTAATGAATCTAGTATGCTATTGGTCCAATTGTCCAGCGAAGGCCGTCTCGTCCCTGGACTGTTTTAGAAAAGGGATCAGAGCTGTCCCCCCTGTGCCTGTCAACTCTTGCGTCGTCTTTTGCGTCGACGACGAGCTTGCAAGATTCCTCCTCGCCCCATTGCTGGTAGACTGTCTCGAAGGGAGCACAATGTACCTCGTCACAATCTGGATATGCTTGTTTCTGAACTCTGCCAGAGCCTCCGTTGCTGCCGTGTAGGCTGCGCGAAGGCGATGCTGCCCAGGGGTCGAAGGGGGCAACAGCGCCAACTCGCGAATGCTGCCCATTCGAGACACGTGCACGAGAAATCGAGCATGAGGCCCAGGCATGTACTCTCGGACCTCGGCGTGGAAGCTCTTTTCGACTGGCGCCGTTGAGCTGTCGCCATTGCCCTTGTGGTCGACGCCAAGGACAACGTCAAAGAATTGGATCATGGACGATTGCCCATTGCTGCCGCCGCGAAGTTGGCGCCACTCTCCTTCCCCGTTTCCCTCGTCGTAGAAGACCCCTTTCGGTAGCCCGGCAGCAGCCATGTTCTTGCTGCCAGCGAGAAAGGGCCGGATCTTGTGGTAGAAAGTCATGGGATCGCAGCGCTCGTACATTCTGTCCAGCAGTATGCCGACCCCTCGGATGCAATCCCGCAGCTGCTCCAGCGCTGTTGTAATCGTCTCATAGTCGCGGGTCCTGATAGCGCCAATGGCTTCTGTCATGGTGTTGATGATCTCGGCACCCCTCGCCTCCATGGCGACGCTGATCAGGAGGAACCATGACTCGGACTCGGTGCCTGTGAACGAGCAGAGCGTACGGAGGCTGGTCAGATCGGTGAAATCGTCGCTGGTGCTCGCGAAGTTCCACAAGTTGGCGGCAGAATAGGAGAGCACGGGCGGGAGCTCGAGATGTTCTGATACTTGGAGGAAGGGAATTGTGATTTGCGGAGGGAGGATCTGGTGGAAAGTTAGTATGTGTTGATGGTTCCGACTTCTGCTATACTCACTTGCTCGGGCTGATCACCGCCCCAGACGTAGGCATGTGTCATGAAAGCGAGGATAACGTATGCCCGACGCCATTCTGATAGTGACCGTAAGCGATCAGTGGGTAGAACAGGCAAGTCTTGAACAGCCCTCCGTATGCTGCCCCTCTCAATGTGTTGCGGCAGGTGTTGAGCTATTATTTCCCACGGCTGATAGCAGTTATCTGAGAGGACTTCGCAAGGGCTATGGGCGGGCAAGAAAGCGTTCCGAGTAACTGAAAACTTGTTGAGGTCTATAAAGGGGTTGGCCTCGGCTGGGATGGCATGTGGTGACATGATGAAATGTAGTGATTAGGTTTGGATAGGTATTGATCAGAAGCTCAAAGAGAATGAGTATAATAAACAGAAAGAAGGACAGCACCTAGTGATTAAAACCTCTAGTTTGTTGAACACGATCGATCCCATGTTGGTGTTGTCCTGGCTGCTTCAGTCTATCCGCTCCGAGGATCCGCATCCGTCGGAACGACCCGTTGTACGTACTCCACTAGCGGATAGCCACGGGAATCGGATGGAAGAGTAAAATGTACAGAGTCTATCGCGATGTATAATATATATGTCAATTTCATTGAAGCGATGCGCAGAATGATATCACATGAGCACAACGAGACGCAGGCGACGCTGCCAATCAAGAGTCGTAGTAGTATCCGTCAAGGGAGGTATCACGGAACCATGCGGGTCGGTTTGGTGACACCTAGCTAGATAGACGGAACCGAAACGCGGATAGACGGATGTAGCGCGGCAGCAAAATTAGCAAGTCCACCAACTTAGTGAGCCCCTCACCAACTCACGAACGATAAAGTGGTGACGAAGTCCCCATCCCATACTATTCCTCAATCCATCCATCCCCTTCTGCATCCGTCTTACTCAACTCACAGCCACCATGTCCCTCGATCAATTTGTCGACAGGCTTCGCAATGGCGAGCCTGCCAAGTTCCCCTCCACAGCTAACACCCTCGCCTGGGCACAGAGCCTAGACGAGCAGGACAAGCTCAGCCATCTGCGGGACGAGTTCATCATCCCCACCAAAGCTTCACTGAAGAAGAAGTCACTTGATGGCCGGATACCTGGTAAGTCCCTCTTCCCAGAGCGGAGCGACCACGAAGCTGATCCCACATAGGCCAACCAGCCCAGAATGGCGTCACCAACGGCGCCTCGCATGAGGGAGACGAGCAGGGCATCTACTTTGTCGGCAACTCACTAGGTGCTCAGCCCAAAGCGGTCAGACAATACGTCGACGCTCAGCTCGAGACATGGGCATCCATCGGTGTCGCGGGCCACTTCCAGGACATGGAAGAGTCACCCCTTCCGAAATGGCAGGATCTTGCCGAAGACTGCGCGAAGAAGTCGGCTGACATTGTCGGCTCATCGCCCGAGGAAATTGTCATTATGAACACATTGACCGCAAACCTGCACATGATGATGGCGAGCTTTTACAAGCCCACGGAGAAGAGGCACAAGATTATCCTCGAGTGGCGGCCCTTCCCCAGCGACTACTACGCCATCGAGAGTCAGATCACATGGCACGGCTTGGATCCTGAGAAGAGCATGGTCAAGATTGAGCCAGACGACAGCTACCTCATCCCCACCGAGAGGGTCCTGTCCGTCATCGACGAGCACTCTGAAGAGACTGCTCTCCTGCTGTTGCCCGGCATTCAGTACTTCTCTGGCCAGTTCTTCGACATGCCCCGCATCACAGCCCACGCCAAAGCGAAGGGAATCACTGTGGGCTGGGATCTGGCCCACGCTGCGGGTAACGTCGAGCTCAAACTTCACGACTGGGACATTGACTTTGCGTGCTGGTGCACGTACAAGTACATCAACGCGGGGCCCGGCAGCATCGCAGGTGCTTTTGTGCACGAGCGTCATGGCAAGGTGGAGTGGCCTCAGGGCGAGTCTGGCAAACCCTCGTACCGCCCTCGTCTGACAGGATGGTACGGTGGCGACAAGAGTGTCCGCTTCAAGATGGACAACAACTACGTACCCATCGTGGGCGCGGGCGGCTTCCAGGTGTCAAACCCCTCTGCCATTGATCTGGCGTCGCTGTCCGGCGCTCTGAGCGTCTTCAACAAGACCTGCATGCGGGACCTGCGTAGCAAGGCCCTCGTCCTGACGGCCTATGCTGAGTATCTGCTGGATCAGATGACGGCAGAATTTGGAGGCAGCACGCCGGCGTTCCGTGTTCTGACCCCCCGCGATCCTCTGCAACGTGGTACCCAGCTCAGTGTGATGCTGGCAAGCGAGCAGCTACACGACGCCGTCAGTGCGGCGCTGGAGGCGAACGGCGTCATGTGCGACAAGAGGAAGCCCAACGTGATCCGCGTGGCGCCCGTGCCGCTCTACTCGAGGTTTGAGGATGTCTGGCGCTTCATGGAGATTCTAAAGGGGGCGCTGGCCAAGCTGAATGCCTGAGCAAATGGGAGTTTGATAACTTACGACCACAACGAGACATGAGACACGGTCAACGGATTCGCGTTGGAATGTACACATAAGCACTCAATGAGAGGAGTAATGTCATACTATACGAGTACAAGGTGGAATGGTCCGATTCTCAAGGTGACTGGAAGTGAAGTTGGTATACCGTATGACAGCCAGCAGCATGAAGGTCGGGAGGTCGGAGTGAAGGCCATAGCGTGGCCTAATCACGCACAGTATCCGCATGAACTCTGACACTGTAGCCCTACAAGTCCGGATCCCTCCGACAGTGGACAATGGTTTCTTCCGTCCAGCCGCTCAATTTCCAGTCTCTCATCCGTCCGCAACATGGACGTACCGGCCCAGGGCATCATCCGCAGTCGCATAGCCAATGCGTGCGATGGATGCAAGGCCCGAAAGGTCAAGTGTGACGGCAAAACACCATGCTCTTACTGCATCCGTCGGCAGAGGCCGTCTACCTGCAAGTACAGCCATCCTAGGAGGACGCGGCAGAGGCACGCAGCAGACGCAGCGCGTACGCCTACTAGCACGGCGAGCCCACGGGCATCAAGGTCGTCGCCCCCGTCTACGGCAGCGGCGGTGCGTTCGACAAGAGCTACCTCGCTTGACGACGACGGCCACAGCGTGGTAGCTGGCCATGGGACGCGTCACATCGGAAGTGCGGCAAGGCGGTCGTCCGTGATGGAGGAAGACGACACGGAAGTGCCACTCGAAGCACGGCTGCTCTGTGATGCGCAGGGGAAACTCATCTTCATCGGGGACTGTGCCCCCTTGTCATTTTTCCAATCCGTACGGCAGCTCGTGACGAGTAGGGTCGGGCAGAACGCCTTTGCCCCCGAGACCAGCCGCTACTCTGTCCTCGAGAATGCGCCGGCGGCACCTGTGGCGTCCCATGAGCCATCACCGCCAGCGCTGTGCCAGGAAGGGATCAGACTCGCAGTGCAGGACTACGTCCTCATTACCACGGGTCTTGTTGACCTGTTTGATGAGAAGCTGGAGAGCGACGTTGCTTTCTGGGCGAGTCATCAGCGGGCAGAGAATCTCACCACCACGATCCACTACCTTGTCCTGGCCATTGGGCTGCTCAAAACCGACGAGGCAACCTCGAGAACCTACTTTGAATACGGGAAGGCGCAGGCCTTCAACAGTCTGAACGGGAGCATGGGCGTCGGCACGGTACACGCCTTCATCCTTGTGACAGTGTACATGCTGTGCTCGTGCCAGATCAACAACGCGTTTCTGGTCTTTGGTATCGCCAGCCGTGCAGCCTACTCGGTCGGCGTGCATCGCACAGAGGTCAACGCGCGTTTCGGTCCCGAGATCCACCGGCAGCGCGACAGGACATGGAAGAGCATGAGGATTGTCGATCTGTTCCTGAGTGTCTCCATGGGTCGCCCCCCCGCCACATCTGACGTGGACTGCACGGTTCCATACCGGGCGACGGACCTGGAAGGCAACGAGGTTTTTGACCTGCTCAACGCATCCGTGCAAATAATGCTGATTACCGAGGGCATCGTGACAGAGATCTACTCACGGAAAAAGATCTCGTTGCAGCTGACAGAGGGTATCTCGAAGCAACTGCGGGAGTGGTCCGAACGGTGGCTTCATCCCCTGAAAGACGTCTTGTCTCTACCCGGTGACCACACAAAGGCCCAGATCAGTGGCGCCTGTCAGGTTCTGGCGTCGTACTACTACGCCGTCATGTTGGTGTCGCGACCCTTCCTCATGTACGAGCTCTTTCGCAGACTAGGCGACGAGCCCAATGCGGCGCGCTATCCTGCCATGTCCAACGGCAAGTCGAAGCTCGCAGACGCTTGTATCGAAGCAGCGAGCATGATGGTCGACCCAATCGCGGAGCTGATCGAGCAGAGGGTGTTGCATAGACGCATGCCTCTACTGGTGTAAGAGACAGGCGACCAAACTTTGCGGGCTGTTCTTGGCTGACAAATGTTCTCAGGTCCTGGTTATTTGCATCTTCCCTCGTCCTGGGCGTCGGACTCTTGGGGAACTTTGGCCGCATCCTGGAAAAGTACACGCGCATATCCATCCAAGCCCTCGACCACTTCGCCCAATCCGACACGCACGCCACACAATACTCATTGATCGCCCAGTCTCTGCTCAACACGGCCCTCGAACACCTGGAAAAGAGGGAGCTGCAGGAGCGCCTACGTCGCACGGAGAGTTCCAGCCAGCTCTTTGGCCTCATCCCGCAGGAGAACCGAGCGCGCGGCTCCGCGGCTTCGCCAGCAACGCAAGCCAACAGCACGGCAGCGAGTCCAGCAGTGTCCGCGTCGCAGAGGCGCCACTCTCTGTTCGACAGATCACTATTCAACCCGCAGTCTACCGTGCCGTCGCCGAGGGGCGGCGGGGACTTGGACCCTTCGTCTTTCTTTGGGTCAGGGGATGTATTCGGTGGGTTGGACGCCAACTTTTGGAGTAACCAAGGTAACGAGGACCCGAGCTCAGCATTGAACCTGTTCCCGTTGCTAGAGGGCGGCGGAGGCATCGATTTGGCTCATTACTTGTAGGGGGGCAATGTTGTAGATATCAAAATCTCACGACTACTCAACAGCCTTCCATTTCTCCTGCAGCATTCCCACGTGCATTGTCCTTGACGACTGGTCACCCATTATCCCCATGGCCTGCTGTCGCAACTGCTCTGCATGCAGCAAATCTCGATTGGCGAAGCCATAGCCTACTCCCGCCGCACCGTACGTATAGTTTGAACCATACAGCGTCTCGTTGCCCAAACCCATGTTCAGGTAGAAACTGCTCTGTGCATTGAGCGACTGCTGCTGGAAGAGGCCCATCCGGGACTGGAACACCATCATGCGCATCTGTGGGACTGTCTCCAAGTAGATCCCTCGACGATGTATTGAGAATTCGAGTAGAGGCTTGAGATCGGGTGGAGACGAGTCGGAGGCTGTCTTGTCGAACAAGGTTCGCATACGACGGCTGTACATCTCGCACACGGCTGGGTTGGGCAGCAGTCTGTCCTCAAGCTCCATCGCCGCAACCATGGAAGGGTACTTGCTCGCAAACTCGTGGTAGCACTCGCGACAGATGGTGCAGTCTAGCCACCCATACCAGTGACCATTTGCATAGTCTTCGTCCACCTTGCAAGGCGGGATCCGCGCCCACACTTTAGCGTAATTTTCAAGCGAGGTGGCGTCGTGGTTGTAGTACATCTGAAGAAATCTTTGTACCATGGCCGCCGCCCGGGGACTGTTGGGATTCAAGGTGCACAGTAAAGTGTCGTCTGGGCTAATAGACTGCTTCGGGATGAGCAGATAATCAATGCCCAGAGTTTCTGCCAGCCCTGTGTAGCATGCTGCGCAAACCTGGAAGTTATCAGGGTCGGAGGGCAACGTCCACCACTTGCCGCCCCTGATCCCCTTTGCCTCGCACGGAGGGGTCTTGGACAATTTGTCCATGGCGGCCCAGAAAATGGAGTAATCCTTCTCGTCATGTGATTTGAGCATCGGCATACTGACATTCATATTGGAAAATGAGCAGCGCACCAAGTTGCCTGCCAGTTCCATCAGCTCCTCAGCATGCCGCCACTTGTCATCTTCGCCCGTGAGCAGGATATGGTCAGCCCAGCATGCAGCGCAAACCATCAAGCCCTCGTGTCCGGTCTTGGGGACGAACCAGTGCTTGTTGTAAGTGCTCATTGCTTTCGCTCCTGGGCACGGGTTGAAAGACATTCTGCCTTTGGCCTCGGCGACAAACTGGTCCCACGTGAGGTCTTTGCCAAGCTTCTTCCATAACCGCAAGATATAGGGGATCGCCAGGTCGCAAGCCCAAGTGTTTTCGGGTTTGTGGAGGTCCTCTGGAAGGGCAAAGAAATGGCCACTCGATTCTTGAAATGCCATGTGGTCCTCATAACACGCCTCACACACCACAAAACTGGGTATATCGTCTCTTCGAGACTTGTACCACTTCATACCTTGGCCTCCAGAGACACCGTTCGTTCCTTTGCAGTCTTGAATCGTAGCTCTTCTTCGCATCCACTCAGCGGCCCGCCTCAGTGAGCCCGTGGTCAGTGCCTCGGGAAAGAGATGATCCTTCATGCGTGGCCTGCTGAACCTACAGATCCGTGGCTCGCCGACGTCAAAGAACCGAGATTCCATGGTGGGCGCGAAAATGCTCGATTCGATGTGGTCAACATAGCAGCACGAGCAGATAACGAAATCCGGCGCGCCTGGGTGCCAATAGTACGTTCCAGGTATGGCTAAATTGCTATCAAGGCACACTTTGAACGGCGGTGGGCTCGTTGAGTCATGGTGGGATTCGCTATGCGCAGCGCTTTGCCCCGATGTCCTATTTAGAAGCGATTGCTGGATAGTCATGTAGATTTTCGGCTCTGCTTCTGTAGGATGAGCAGTCGGTGGTGAGCTGCTATTCGGGTGTACTGGTTCGTTGTTCGTGGCCTGATCCTCTCCGACTATGGGCGGCCGATAGGCACTCTCATTGGGGATCTCCCGCTCGGAATCACAACTAGCAAAGACAGCCCCTGGCTCATAACCAGCTGCAAGCGTCTTATCCGGAATTTCTGTGATACTGGTAGACATTGGTGATTGCGAAAGAGAAGCTTCTGGCGGAGCGTTCTCGGGAGGCAGTGAGCTTGTAGATTTGGCCGGACCAGCCACTGTCCGTTCTTCTAGAGGCAACCCAACTGAGCCGCCCGCCCGTCGCTTGTCGAGTCCCTCGGGGGAGTTATTAGTCGCCTCCGCAGCTCCGCGCTCTGGTGTGCTATCATGGTGGTAGACTTGGAACGAAAGATCTGTGAGTGTTGCCGAAAGCTGGTATATGTCGTCGGTCTGGGCTTTGGTGCCCGGAGTCTCGCCCTTGCTGTAGCCGGTATGATCCTGGCTCTGCAACACCTCTGGCTCATTTCGATGTGTTGTGTGAACAGCAGGTGATGCTGGCAGTTCATGCTGCTCGTGATGGACGGACGCAGGCTGCGTTTCTGGGCTCACGTCTGATGTCGAAATTGACGGTGTACTCAGGTAACTCCCGCCAGAATAGTAATTTGCCTGCACCGGTAATAACGGGCTGACCGGTGAGTCATGTCTTTCTTTGGGTGGCAGTGGTGGTGGCTGGTAGGAGTCGCGACGCTCGCGTGACGATGGCGAAGGCGAGGACCAAGATTGGGAGTTTGGCCTTGGTGGCAGTGGCGGGCTAAACTGGGCGTCAGATGACGGAGAAGGTCGAGGTGGCAGAGGCGGCCGTATTTCAGCACGAGGTGATAAGAGCCCATCGCCATGCAAAGGTAGTCGCCCTGGAGGCGGCGGATAGTGAAAGGAGGCTGCTGGTGATTGAGCGGGGGCTACATTGTTGTGCGCGGTCTGGGGAGGCCGTGGGCTTCGAGGAGGTAACGGAGGTGGTCCTGTGCCGCGATGAGACATTTTCCGCGCTCGTCCTTCCAGTTTCAAGCCCTCGAGTACAAGATGCTGAGTCGATGAGACAAGCTCAAGTCGGTATGTATTGGGAGGCGTGGTGGGCAAATGCGGTCAGAGTCCGGTGCCCGAAGGATGATCGGATTCGTGCAGGCTCCATGGTGAGGCTGAATCTGTAGACGGGGCAAAGGATCCTCGAGGGATCAGCGCTCCCAATGGGGACAGCAACAGGAAAATTGCTGGACTTTGAGCTGAAGGAGTTGGAACTTGGAGATGGCCTGCCTCGAAGAGCATGAAAGACTGAGGTTGAATTGTCAGAAGAAACTGGAACGTGAAGAAACGACTCTAGGTAGTTCAGATTCAGATGAGAGAAAGAGCAATCAGTAACTTTTAGTGCTGTAGCCTGTACCCCACGCAGCAACCATGCACTGTCATTTGGATGCAACACGTTAATATCCCTCCCTACCTTACAATATCGTTGTCAAATGATGGTCTTCACTTAGAGCAGTATTCAATTCAGATGTTTCGTTGTTCCCATTATTACTAGTAGTATTACCAACACTGCTCAAAATCAAATCGAATGGTTTGTTTGCGCTCCCTTGAACCCCTCCCCGACGTTCCAGCCTCCATACGTACACAGACAATGGCTCCCCCAAGCGAATACCGTGAGTCGTCCGCGACCAGTTCACAGCGATAGCCCCGTAGCAGTGATTCCCAGGATTGGGATGAACGACCAGTGCATCATTTCGTTGTAACCGATGAGTCTGCGGCTCACGAATCCATCCACAAAGGGAATCGCAATGACGATCCCCATGGCTTTGGCCATCAAGCTCTCGTCCTTCTGGGCCCATATTAGGAAGAGAAGGAGGCTGACAGATATGTTGCGTATGCCCCAAATGCTCATGAGTGCCGAGTTGAGCTTCTTGGCCGTGGGCTCTGTGTGAACAGGGAACCCCAAACTCCTGAGATGGCCGTCTGGGCGAAACGTCGCGCTGAGACCAAACCCCATGAGAACTGTGCTCAAAGCGGCGGTCGCGTTGAAAATGTAAGGGTGGTTCATGGTGTCGGTGGTTGTTGTGAGTGGTAGCGTCAGTTGAAGTGGTGTATGTAAACGGAGTTGAGAGTGAGAAGCCGATGATGACAGCGAAATGTTAGACGGAGCACGCCACGAGCTTTATATACTTATCTGAATTGAATGTAATAAGATCTGATATATAATGGGCGGTAAGATGGATAATCGGTGCCGAAAGGATGGTATTAGCGATGACAAATGAATGCCTTTGGGCTGAACGTTCGCATTCACCCATGTCGCGAACAGTACGGTATAGCCTCTAATTATGTCCGGTACCTCCGCATCGTGCATAGTGCTTACTTATGCTGTAATTAACACCGCGATACAAGCAAGCAGGCCCGGGGTATCGCAGTCTCATAGCTCATGATTGTGATCGCTGGATCCCAATGACACTTTCCTTGTTAAGTCCAGGAAAGCGAATTTGTCAAGATTCCACGGCTTTCACGCATCTTCCATCTCCTCATCGTCGCGTGGCCACTCGACCTCAAACACTGGCTCGTCGTCCTCATTCTCAAGGAAAGCGAAAGCGACTATGCTATTCGTCTTCAACCCGGCCTTCATAGCTGTCGTCGTGCCTTCATCTCCAATCTTCAGCTGCTTCCATCCGCTGTCGGGATTGGAGGGCGAGCTCAGTACGCCATAGGCCATCTTGGGCTTCGAGGCTTCGTCCGGCACCATGGTGGTCTTTGGGGGGTCTAGTGATGAAGTGAGGCCTCCCGGATACCGCTCACGGAGCATTTCTCGAAGTTCTTGGCTCACAGCGGCCATGGATGTTGACGGATCGACGAAGAGGTAGAGTGTGTGGATGCCATGCTTGAAGCGGACGGAAAATGTGGTCTCATCAATCGTATCCTGAGATTGTTAGCCATGAGATACACCTGCCAGCAGCTCATACTGACTGCCATGATTCCCAAGTTGATGTATTCAAGGGTCGAGGTGAGGATCGCTGATGTGAAAGAAGACCTCGCGTCGTCACGTGTTGCCGCGTGAGTCGTCGTACTGTGCGATGTGTACAGTCACTGTCTCTCACGCACAGTACGAATTAAGCCTGCACGTTCCGACATCTTTCGACCACCGTCACCGCCAGCATTGAACCTCGACACTGATTCCTTCGGAGCTTTTGCGCCGACTCCTTTGCCTCCCGGATACCCTGCGGACCATACGCCACGATGGCTGTCCTACCTGACCCGAAAACGATGCTGTCTCAAGAGGCGATCGCAACCTTCCAGCAAGACCCCCATCCGCGATTATCCCTCCAAGCGCCTCTCCGCATAGCCTTGGGGTCTACGACTGCCGGTTTCTTCGGTCTCGCCCTGGGAGCGACACAGGGTGGCAAGACGGCGCACCTCCGGTTCCGTGCTGAACACGCGCACAAGATGCCCGATTCGACGACAGGCTGGTATCTCTACCACAAGTCCAAGAACTATCATGCGGCCATTGGAGGCGGCATGGAGGGATTGAAGATGGGAACCAAATTGGCCCTCTGGAGCGGCATGGCCCTATCGCTGGAAACCACCGTCGACCGCTGTCGTGGAGCGAGCGACATGTTTTCAACAATTATTGCATCATTATCTGTCGCTGGCGCTTTCTCTCTCTGGCGTAAGTTGGAGCATCATTGACTTCTACCCGCAGATCATGAGCTAATAATGCCTGCCTGCAGACCGGTTCCCCATTACAACGGCTGCTCGGAACGCTAAATCTGGACTTCTATTTGGCATCGCCTACGGCGGCGCGCAAGATTTCCTCAATCTCATTCAAGGCAGACCAGTCGGGTACATTGAGTTCATCCGAGGCCGAGGACGGAGTCGAAAAGAGTACGCTGCCGAGCAGCGTGAAGCCACCGCAGCGCCTTGAAAGTTGCCTTTCTTGTGTTCCCCCTTTGATACCCAGACCAACACAGGCCAGTCCGTTTTACCATGTATTTTCATGTAGTCTGATGCATGAATTGTTCAGTGCCCAATCGTCCGATGAACCGGGACCCTGCTACTGCGAAACGATGCCAGTCTGACGCGCCAACGGCCCTGAAGCGACGATCTTCACGCAGCAGCATCAGTGCCTCTTGTCTCAGTCAGTGTCTCTTCGAAGCACTTTGGACATGTGTGTCGTCTGCCAAATCGGATCTTTGTCGACGCATTCAAGTTGGAAACCTTGGCGTTCCCAGAAACGGACTGAGCCTGGCAGAAACGGATGCGTGTGCAAATACAACCGTCTAATGCCAGCTTGCCGAGCCTCGCGCTGAAGTGCTGCGAAGATCTTTGTGGCCAGTCCTGCTCGCCTCCACTTGGGATCGACGTATAGCTTGACCACCTCGACGACTCGCTCGCTACCGAAATCCAGCTGGGGAAATCGATTGTCGTACGCGACATAGCCAACGGTAGCTATGATCTGTCCATTGCTCTTAGCAATAAGAAAGCCTCCCTCACGATCTTCGAGGTAGTCCTCCTGGAATTTGGCCAGCTCGGCTTGGACTTTGGGGATGTGTAAGCTTGCCGGGACCCGCGAAAACATGGTGTTTCGGGCCGCGAGCACGAAATCCACGATGGCAGGGATTTCCTGTGGCATTGCAGAGCGAATGACTGGTTTGGTCTCCATGGCGCCCTCCGTTTTCGAATGTTCGCAGGCGCCCTGCTCAGTGCTTCCGCTTGAGCGAAAAGCTATTGTTTCTGTTGATGAACGGCGTTGTAAGTTAGGATTCTACACGTGATCATTTTTATCTGCCCCACGTCCCCGCGCCACGCGTTGAATTGAGCAATTAATTAGCAATGCAACTAGTACATCTCAGTAGATAATCTCCACGTTCCGTCCCTTCTAATTATGCCCAGCTTGTCTTGGCCTTCTAGGTGTTTGTTCAGGAGTCATGGCACAGGCGGTTGAGGTTCGGTCTTTGACAAGTGACGGGCCAAGTCGCAGTGGCCTGCGGCAAATCCAAAGGACATTGACAAAATGGCTTTGGGGTGACGCTATAGGGGAAGAGAGGAAGCTGATACGGAAGCTTGGTTCGTTGGCGCGAGCACTATGCATATATCCTTTGAAGATGTTTCTTACTTGTTGCAGATTTCTTCATTCTTGTACGTTCTTGAAGGCCAGTCCTAGTACACGCCACTTACACCATGACAGACGTACTCCTGCCTTAGCTACTTCTTCAACAAGCTTGGTATGTTTGCAATGTAGGGTGTTTAACAGGTTCTGACGACGTGACAGATAGAGCTGCCTTTGCAAATGCATATGTATGTTGACGGGACATGCTCAGTCGGTGGTGCTAATTCTGCACCAGGTAGCAGGGTTAAAAGAAGCACTACAACTAGAAGGAAATCAGTACAACATCCTCTTGTCGATGGTCACAGCAGGGTAGGACTTCAACTGCTGTTCCAGGGGTTCTGTGCTAACAGAACAAAGCATGCTCGTGGGCCAGGTGCCCAATAGCCTTGTCATCCAGAAGGTGGCCCCTCGGATCTGGCTCCCTTCCATGGTGCTTCTATGGGCAGCGCTCACAGCATTGAGTGCTGCCTGCAAGACCTTCGCCCAGCTATGCGTCGTGAGGTTGTTCCAGGGCGTGGCAGAGTCCAGCACATATGCTGGGTGTATATGTGTCATGGAGTCCTGGTACAAATCGGATGAAATATCCATGCGGACAGCCATCTTGACCATCACGGGCCAGGTTGGCAACATGTGCGCTGGGGCCATGATGGCCGCCATCTACGCGTCTCTCGATGGAAGATTAGGCCTCGATGGCTGGCAGTGGGTTTTCATCATCGACGGGATCATCACGTGTCCGATTGCTTTCTTTGGCTTTGCCTTCTTTCCAGATTTGCCGGAGACGACAAAGGCACCTTACTTGAATAAGCTGGAGAAAGACCTGGCTCTCAGTCGGCTCCCTGCCAAGATGGAGGATGGTCACAACATTGCTCCTTGGAGCCTCGCGAAGCGGGTGTTGGGACAACCAACATTGTGGGTTCCCCATGTGACTGGGGGTCAATGACTAGTAGCTAACAAACCATCTTAGCTATATCTGTTGCGGTTTCTCGGTCCTGGGTTCGGCTTTGCAAGCGTATCAAGTTCAGGGCTTAATGCTGCTCTACCTGAAGGCTCGTCAACACATTGATGGGTGGTCCCAAGCAGAGATCAACACCCTGCCTCTCGGGACCCAGGCCCTCGGCATTGTCGTCGAGCTCCTCTGTGCGACAGTGATTGACAGGTCAAGTCGGCGGCTCGCCACAGGCTTGGGCCTCTGTCTTATTCAACTCGTCTGCAGTATCATTCTTTTTGTCCCCAGTATGACAGTCGCCGGCAACCTAGCAGCCTTGTACCTTGCGGCTACGTCGAATGGCATCAACCCCTTACTCTACGGGTGGTCTTCAATCATCGCCTCCAGAGGGGGTGATGATGCAGCGCGAAGCACCATTTTGGCGGGCATGGTGGCCTTCGACATGCTCTTGTACACGTTCTGGGGCATCGTACTCTATCCCGCTGATGACGCACCGTATTGGCGAAACGGGTACATCGCCATGGTATGCGTTGTAGCAGCGCTATCGGGATGGCTGTTCCTAGTCCGATGGGTAAGCTTGCATTGTGAGAGCTGTGAATCAAACGAGACTGACACGACATAGCTGGACAAATTCACACTGAAGAAGTTGGTCGAGAGGCCTCACGGGCAGGAGCTTGAGGTGTTGGGGGTTGAAGGCGCTGGTGAGAGACCTCAACGAATCGAATAGACACATTCACAAACATTGCGGCAGCTGATTGCCCTTGGGATTCAGTTGGAATAGACAACTTACTCTCATCCACCCTGCGCCTGGAACAAAGTTGTTCGCAACGCGATACCACATTTGCCATCAGAAGGCGCGTTCTCGCCTCCGCACGTTTGACTTGAAGATAATGGCTATGCTGGGACTGTTGTTGGAAACCGTAATCTGTCTTTACCGTGTCTTTTGAGATAATCGCATGGCTCGATTGAAAAGCAACGCTACCTGTATCTCGAGTCTGCACTCGTCTCAGACCCAAACCCCATGTCTATATCTTCCGCATCAATAGTACCTTTCGCGTGAGCGCCTCACTTTTAGCCGTCCTGCCCTGACATCCAAAATAGTAGAAATTTAAGCCGCGCCACCGCGCCCGCCCACACTCCATTGCGCCTGGGCCTCCGCGACGTTGGCCGCGATGGGTGGTAGCTCCCGGCCTCGGCCTGTCGGCGGCACCAGGAACTTGATCTCGACGAGGTAGCGCAGGTACCGCCCGATATCCTCGCGGGTAATGCCTTCACCTGCGCTGTCATCTACGCCTGTCCAACGGTCTGCGTCAGCCTTGAGCACAGCCACGGCATTTCTGTCGTCCAACTCTGGGGCGCGCGTCGTCGATGGCAGATTCGATGTGGCCATGTGGAACAACGGCATCAGGGCACTCTGTTCCTGGTCCTTCTCGACGGATCCAGCCGACACAAACTCCTCAAGCTGTGTCTTCCACTCCTCATAGTCGACCTCTGGGACGTTGTAACCGTAGTAGCTCAGCGCAGAGAGGAACTCGTTCATCCGCAGCCGAGGGTGGGCCGTGACGTGCACGACGTTGACACCAGGAAGAGGATTCAGGGCGGCCGCGATGACAACGCGGGCCACGTGGTCCACAGGGACAGCGTTCACCGAGTTGACAATGCGGGGCCGCGAACCCAGCTGGACACAGCCCTTGCAGAACCTGATGAGGAAGTCATCCGTATTCGACACACCGCCATGGCGGCTGCCGAGGATGTAGCCAGGACGGACGACGGCGCCACGTAGGCCTCGCCTGCCGGCTTCTCGCACCAGCTGCTCAGACACCCATTTGGTCTGGCCGTAGCCGGTGCCGAGACCAATGCGGCTGCCCTGTAGATCGTCGGCCTCGAGTACCGCCCCGCGTCCCGTGGCAGTCTGCTCCTGTGACAGCTGAACGTAGTAGTCTGTATCCAGTGTTGAAGTCGACGATACGAAGGAGAACAGCTTCGGCTTTCCTTCATTGCATAGCTTCATGGCATCGATGGTTGAGAGGACGTTGCTGCGCATCATCTGCTCGTAGCGCGCGATCCAGTGGACGTAGGCCGCATTGTGGACAAAGACGTCCGCTGTGTCGGCAACGTGCTTCCAACTGGCGTCGTCGAGACCAAGACGGGGCTTGGACAGGTCACCCAGAACGCAGGAGATTCTGTCGGCCCAGGGATCTTGCCACAGCCCGTAGCCTTTGAGAGATCTCGTGAGACGGTCCTTGGCGAAAGCGAGATCCTTGGCTCCACGAATGTGCGCAATGAGCTTCGTGTTCTGCCTGTCCAGGATATCCTTGGCCAGGTATGCACCTAGGAAGCCCGTGGCACCTGTGAGGAAGAACGTCGCTCCGTGTGATGGGCTCAAAGCATCCGGGTCCGCGCTCTCGTACTTGGCGTCGAGAGTGTTGACCAGCTCATCGAAGGAATCAGAGTACACTGTTTCGGCTGACTTGTCGACCGTGACGGCCTGGCCGCTGCGCAGACGGTCTACTTGTGTGCTCAAAGCTCCCAGAGTAGGGTTTGCGTAAAGAACACCGATGGTGATGTCGGCGTCCAAGCTTTTGCGGATCGTGAGAAGGAGCTGCTGGGCCAGGAGACTGTGCCCTCCGCAGTCGAAGAAACTCGAATCGGGCCTAGATACGGTGAGCTTTGACCTGAAGAGGAATTCATTTCATAGAGCCGGCACTTACTTGATGGTCTTGGCATTGAGGCCAGGAATGAGAGTTGACCACTGGGTGGCAATGGTCTTTTCAGTCTCAGACAACTTTTCCCAGCTCTTCAGGTCTTCCTCCGAGGCATCCTCCATCATGAGTGCTGCATCAGGGAAGGGCAGGTTGGGGGAGTCGACCTTGCCGTTCGGGTTCAGGGGGAGCTTCTGCAGGACGATGTAGATGGACGGCACCGAGTGCACAGGCAGACGCGTCTTGAGATGATCTCGCACTTCAGCCTGCATGCGGCGGAATCTCTTCAGGTAGACGACGCTGGGGCCCATCTCCACGCCTTCGTCTTCGACATCCTCGTGACCATGAGCCTCCAGCCAACGCTTCCACTCGCCAATCTCAGGTACGATATAGCTGACAAGCGTCGGCTCCTCGTTTCGATCCCTTCGAACGAGAGTCTTGCAGTCTCGAATCAGAGGGCTGCCGCTCAAGTTGGCGTCAATCTCGTTGAGCTCGATGCGGAATCCGCGAATCTTGACCTGAGAGTCAATGCGGCCAGAAACACGGACAGCGCCCGACGGGAGGTACTGCCCAAGATCACCGGTGCGATACAGCCTGTCGCGGGGCCCTTTGTAGTAGCGGCGCCACGGCTCGCCCTTGTCGTTGGCCTTGTCGGCTTCAACCCACTTGCTGTTGTCCACGAACCAGTTGTTGATGAACTTCTCCTTGTTCTTCTCGGGGTCGCCGAGGTATCCCTCGGCCAGTCCAGCGGCTCTAATGTAGATCTCGCCAACTTCGCCAATACCGCACATCTTGGTGTGGTCCGCTTGCGACACGACGAGAACCTGCACATCCTTCATGCCCCAGCCAGCAGGGATGGTGTCCCCCAGTTGATCGAGAGCTGTCGGGTCCTGTGCCGCAGATGGGACCTCGAAATACGACACGGCGCGGGAGGTCTCGGTCGTGCCATACATGTTGATGATATTACATGAAGGTCCGAGTTTACGCAGCACCTTGCAGTCGCGGGTGGTGAGGACGTCGCCGACAAAGAAGACCTGACGCAAGGCGGGAAACTTGGTGGTAGCGCCGCCGACGAGAATCTGTCCCATCGCAGGGGTGAGATGGGCCGTGGATGGCGACCATGCGTTCATCCATTCGCTCAGTTTCTCGTGCTGGATGTCCTCCTTGGCAGGAATGAGCAGCTGCGCGCCAAGCCATAGAGGTGTCATGATATCTAGACTCTGCTGTCAATACGGAAACAGAAGTCACGATCATAGACGACGTTACTAACCTCGCTGGATGGGATCATGAGCAATACCGGAGAGACAGGCAAACACACTCTCGGATGAAAGGTTGAAGCGCTCGGCCATCCAGGGGAAGTACCTGGCCAGACTGTAGTGGCGTCCTAAAACACCCTTGGGCCGCCCCTCACTTCCGGAGGTGAATGATAGCGTGGGGTTGGAATCGGGGCCAACGAGGACGTCGGGAGGTGACGATGCCTTGCCCCTTATGCCATCGAAAATGTCGCTGTCGCTGCCATCCTGCTTGCCGCCAGACAGTATGCCATCGTCACTAAGGCGCAGGTCCGGGATCTGGGATTTGATAGATAGCTCTTCGTCGATGTACTTCTGTACAAGAGGTGCAAGGGGGCTGTATCGGAAATGTCAGCAAGCGAATCGAAGCTCGTACCGATTTCCAGCGCTTGTCGGGGAGTGGTGGCCGTCATGGTCCGATAAAGAGGAACCTACCCATTCTCGTCTGTAGTTTTGCCAATGGATATGAGTGCCTTTGGCTGAGATACTTCCAGATAGACTGTATCGTTCGGTCAGTCTTTCTCCTTGGAGCGATTCGTTTCGGGGGAGGCGCGAACTCTGTTGCCTCTGCGGTGGGTAGAGAGGGTCCAGCACTGTCACTGTAGCTCCGGCAGCCTAGAGCCTCGGTCAGCAAGGTCGCACGATTTGAATGGGCAAAGAGAGTCAAACCAATGTCCCCATGAAAGCGCAGACTAGCTCCACCGAGCGGTGGGCAAATATCATGACAACATCTCCATTGGTGATGCCTGAATCATGGAGGTAATTTGCAATGGTGCTGGATGCCTCGTCGATCTGGCGGTAGGTATATGTTCTGGTTGGTGATCTTGCCCACACGTCAGTAGAAGCACAGACAAGCGTGAACTTTTCCAATTGGGCTCATTCGCATACGTGGGTGTCTTGGTCTCGGTCACGCAAGGTCTGTCGGGATAGGCCACAGCGTTCTCGTGGAATATCTCGTGGATGGCGCCGGGATAGCCACTCCAATCGAGGTCGGCCGTGGGATCGGGTATGCCACTCATCGTGTCGGTTTTGCGAGGAGATCAGTGTCAGAAAAGATCCGTAGAGCATATAGAGGGAACGAGATCAATCCAAACAATCCGCGGATGTCTCGCCATGCGTCACAGCAAATTTCCATGGAGCTCCGATCATCGGGAGGGGCAGTCGGAGGGAGGCCACTGGCCAGGCCAGCTGCCGATATCGATACGTGTGTGGAAGCACGTGACTTGGCACGGCAGTCCAGCGGCTCAGCCCGCCCCACTACCAGGGACCGGACATTTTGTGTCCAGTCATTGAGGCGCGGTCAGGATCGGCCAGTCATCAGGCCGCGCACTGCAGTTCTCCATAAGAATCATTGATCGCGAGCTCGATTTGACAGCGACCCCCGCTTTTTGCCCTTTCGAGGAATGTGTAATCTGAAACAGGAGCACTTGGTCCGTTGCCTTGGACTGCGTCACAGCGGAGGGACCCTGGCCTCCGACGATGACATCTGCGTTGTCGATGCGGTGGATCAGACAATGGGATTCATCATGGCAAAGTGATGTAAATGTGGAAACACGGGAGCTTACGCAGACCGAGGATTGACGCTGGCATGCAGGTCCTGGCAGATTCTCTCTGAGGCCAGGGCACCTTGGGTGCAGCTGATATCATCTTGGAGATAAGGTGGGCCAGCGGCCGGAGGTAAGCTCGCGATACTATGATAGCTGGTGACGATCGATGGTGAGAGATGGGTGAGGCATGTCTGATGGGCAAAAGCATTGATAAGCCATGAAAATCACCTGGTTCTGCCTTGCTCTCCGCTAGACTAGAAATAAGGAAGTTGCCATTGTCCTACCTGCCATTGTCCCAAGTCACTTACTTCTCTCTTCCCATTCAGAAACAGAAAGAATTACCTTCTCACCAACAACACCTGGTGACCACTATTGACTTTGGGTCACAAAAGGTCACAAGACCAGCCTGTTTTTTTATACTTCAGACGAGGAGCGTTTTCCCCCTCACCAACATTATAAGAGATTTCTCAACCTGCTTCCCGGACCTCTTCATTTCTCACTTGATCAACCACACACGAAGAACCCGAATCACATTGCCATCCAACTACCACACACACTATCGTCAACAGGCAATGGCAACAGCCACCACGCGGCGAGGACTCGCTGGTCTTCCCACGCAGAGGGCAGCGCTCACTGCTTTCCGCGCGAATGCTGTCCCGCAGTCATGTCGTTCCAGAATGGCAGTACTGAAGCAGGACCAGCGACGTGGTCACAGCACACAGGTCACTGCGCACAACGGCCTCGCCTCTGAGTCGACACCAGTCACCGCTCACAATGGCCTGACCCCCGAGCCCGAGTCGGCCCCAGTGTCGCCCTCCAGCAATGCTCGTCGTGGCATCCACTCGTCGCGGCACCGTGCCGCCGCCAGCATCGCCGACTTCACGGACGAGCCCTTGGAAAAGCCGCGTGCGCCTTTGTCGGTCCTGCCGCTCACCATGATCCTTCGCTCACTCGCTACTGCTTCGGTCTCGTCTTCACCAGCGTTGCTCGCTCCCTCGCTGCGTATTATGAGCGCGATAGCGCACTCGAGCAACCCCATTCTGAACCCTGATCGCAACCCCCTGTTGCGCTTCGCACTCAAGAAGACATTCTACGCCCAGTTCTGCGCTGGAGAGAACGCCGTCGAAGTCAACCGAACGATCGACGGCCTCAAAAGCATTGGCTTCACTGGGGTCATGCTGTGCTATGCGCGAGAAGTCGTCTTGTCTGGACAGCAGGCCAAGGCCCTCCGAGAGGGCAAGATCGGCGATGAGACCCCCGAGCTGATCCAAAACGAAGTCGCACCATGGGCCAAGGGCACGCTCGAGACCATTCGCCTGGCACAGCCTGGCGACTTTGTTTCGATGAAGTTTACCGGTGCCGGTAGCCTCGCCCTGTACCAGCTGTCCAACCGCCTTCCCTGCTCGCCCTACTTGGCTGATTCCATCGACGCAATCTGCAAGCTCGCCTCGGACCGTGGTGTCCGCGTGGCGATCGACGCTGAGCAGGACGCTCTGCAGGACGGCATCGACGACTGGACCCTTCGATTTGCCCGCAAGTACAACCGGGACCCCACCAACCCGACGGTGTTTGGTACCTACCAAGCGTACAAGAAGTGTGCGCCCCAGCTGATGTTGAACCATCTCGCCGATGCGAAGAAGAACGGCTACACCCTAGGCGCGAAGCTGGTACGCGGCGCATACCTCAACTCCGACCCCCGCGAGCGCTTCCATGACACTGTCGAGGATACCCACGCTTGCTTCGATGGCATGGCCGCCAGTCTGTTGACCCGTTCCTGGAACTCGACAGTCCGGGGCGAGGGCGAGTTCCCCGACGTCAGCATGATCATTGCGTCGCACAACGCGGAGTCTGTTAGACGCGCTCGTGCCATTTGCGACGCTGGAAATGCCAAATCCCCCGTCGCATTCGCCCAGTTGCAAGGCATGGCTGATGAGGTCAGCTGCGAGCTCGTGGAGGCTGGCTTGCAACGCCAAAAGAAGCCTGGGCCGATTGAGACTTCTCCTCGTGCTGCCGCTTCCGCACTACCTACATTCAAGTATCTTGTCTGGGGCTCAACTGGCGAATGCATGAAGTACCTCCTCCGCCGCGCACAAGAGAACAAGGAAGCCGTCGGCCGCACACGCACCAGCCGCGATGCCATGTGGGCTGAGCTGATCCGACGTTGCAAGGTTGCGTTCGGCATGACCGCTTAAGATTTACGACCCAATGATTTGATGACCAGATGGCGTTCCGAGAAACGGATTGTTTTTCCCAAGGTTATACCCGAGATATTGACACCTCAGCGGATTATTTGTTTTTGAGCCGGAGTTATACTATGAGCGCCTTAGATTAGACAAAGAGATTACGCAAGCCTTTGTTAATAGATGCTTTAAACTTACAATTCTTATTTTGGTCGTACGTGATTTGCCTCACAAAATGCAATGGCGCAGTTGTGAATGTTGGGCGCCGCGCTCACAACCCACGTAAGGCCATGGCACCAACGACCAGCATCTCCACCTCTTTCTGCTTCGCACTATGATCTTTGATCTTATCCAGCCAATTCAGTCCATTCAGCTTGTAATATTTGAACACCTTGCTCATGTCCGCCGTGGAGGCCAGTTTCTCGTCCGTCGCCGGTACCTGGGTGCCCTCGACGTTCTTCGCGAGGTGTTCTGCGATCTGTTCGGTGGATGGACTGCCGTTTTCCGCAACCTTGACGGCAACAAGGTTCTTGGTGGCCGTTGACACGCCATATCGACGGTAAGCCTCTGCTATCTGTGGAGCATCAGTCATTTGAATCACGCTGTGGGCATGATTTCGCACATTGTTGCTCGCCGCCAGGTTGGCGACAATCTCCGAATGGACATTTGGTGTTTTGAGGACGTCGTTCGATGCTGACGTGACAGCTTTGAAGACTGCCGACAACAGATGGAGCCGGGACACGATCTTTTCTCTGTTAGGTGATTTTCCTGGCGCTCCAACGTAAAGACTTCCATACCACCGAAGCGTCGACAAAGGCATATTCGAAATCTGCGTTGCGCGACAGAAGCTGCTTGTGGAGGAACTCGGCGTTGCCCACGTCCTGGAACAGGGCGAGGTGGATGACGTGGCGGCTTGGTATGTGGTCCAACTGGACAACCTCTATCTCGGAGGACATGGTGAATGAGGTTTCTTGAGGGCTCGGTGGTGTTGAAGATTAAGCATTGGCATCGCGGGGTTACAACGGAGGGGTCAGACCGTGAAGAACCACGGCCGGGATTCCAAGGTGGAGGCGACGCGTTGCGCGCGCGACTGGTCAGACCAAGGCAGCTTTGCGTTCTACCTACCCTACTAGGTTACTGTCGTCTTTTCTATCCGCGCAAAATCTACCGAAACATGTTACTACCTGTCATCAAGGTAGTGATCCTCGTCGCACTCGCAATAGCCTTATGAAAAGGGGCGTACATAGCTGGGACCTCTTGAAAGCTGCATGTAGGAGCACGCTTTAGAACTACCTTCAAACAGTCATGAGGCACCGCTATTACTTTAAATATTGAAGCACATAATGTGCAAAACACTGTCCAGGTTATACACAAAAAAAAAACCAGCTGGCCATGTTAACTTCAATGGCGCACTCTAAAACAGATCCTATCAGGTGGAATGATACCAGGCAATCATCACTCAATCTCGAATTGGCCGTCGATGTGATCTAAAAGGGGTAAGGAGGATGCGAGGCGAGAGTGGTCTGCCGCTTTTGCATCATCAGCCCGCAGTTTAACCGCTGGATGCAGGGACCCACCTCGGAAAACACCAGCGGCCGAAGCTCAGTCGCGCAAGTCGACAGCTCTTGTGCCTATCATCAATCAACCCATCACCAGTACCGCCACGATGGGCAAGAAGAGACGCGGCCATGCCGACATCGAGGAAATCCTCGGCAGACCATGGTGCTACTATTGTAAGCGACCCGGACCCACGCTCCCACGAACGCGACAGCTGACTATCCCAGGTGAGCGAGACTTTGAGGACCTCAAACTCCTCATCTCGCATCAAAAGGCGAAGCATTTCAAATGTGACCGCTGCGGTCGCCGCCTGAACACCGCCGGAGGTACCTCACCTCGTCCGCCTTGAATCAATTGCACAGCTGATACAATGGCAGGTCTCTCCGTGCACCTGAACCAGGTCCACAAGGAAAACCTCGATCACGTCGAAAATGCGCTCCCGAACCGCCAGGGCCTCGAGGTCGAAATCTTCGGCATGGAGGGCATCCCCACCGAAGTGCTCGAGTCGCACCGCAACCGACTCATCCAGAACTTCTACCAGGCACAGGAAGACCGAAGGATCGCGACCGGCAACCCTCTGCCTGGTCAGGCCAAGGAGCCGAGGAAGAAGATCAAGATCGAGACGGCGGAGGAGCTCAAGACGCGTCTGAGGGAGTGGCGCGCCAGGAGGAAGGAGATTCTCGCCAACGGCGGCAGCTTGGAGAGCATGATGAAGAGCGCGCAACAACAAGCAGCGCCGGCGCCCGTGCCCGCGCCGGCGCAGCAGCAACAGCACTACCCTGGCCAGCAGCAGGTGCCGCCTCAGGGTCATTTCTACGGCCAGGCACCCGAAGGAATTCCCGCGCGACCACCTAGCGGCCCGCCTGGCGTGGCTGGTCTTCCTCAGCGACCCGGCGGCGACAACATTGACCAGCTCATCCGCATGGCAGAGGCAGGCGTGAAGCCGGCCGCGGAGCCAGAGAAGGCGAGCAAGAAGGACAAGAAGGGCAGGATGTTCTACGACGATGCGGAGATCAGTCCGGAGGAGAGAATGGCCAAGCTACCCCGGTATGCCTTCACGGCGGCGTGATGTGCTCGGTGGGAACTAGATGGCGCAGGATATAGCAGTCATGTTCACAGGGATGGTGTTGGGGCGCTTGTATAACACGGAACCAAACAATGTGACATTATTCTCACTGAAGGCGGCGCGGCCACCAACATTTGACTACGTATGTGGTACTCGATCGGCAACATCTACAGATCGGGATGCTCAATGCTCAGCAGGGCGTCCAGACCCCTCGATTGCATGATTTCCTCCAAAGTCATCGTCTCAACCTTGACCTTCAAATCCTTTGGCCGGATCACCTTGCCCGTGACGCCGTGCATAAAGTCGTATTCGGCCAAGTAAGCAGGTCCGTCGAGGACCTCATATGGCAGACCAGTGAGCTCATGCATCCTATCCTCCGTCTCGGTGGTGACGGTAGCTTTCTGGCCAGTGACGCGGTTCCAGGTATCAACGACCTCGCGCATGGTCACCTCCACGTCGCACGCCAGGAGCTTGACACCGGGTTCCTCGTCGACGATCAGGTTTCGGACAAACTTGCCAAACGTGATATCAGTGTGGATCACGGGCATCACCATTGTCTCGTCGCCTGGCAGCATGATCGCATAGTCGCCAATGTGCGGGTACTTGTGCGGCAGCAGGAACGGGTTGGTGTGGTAGACGCTGGGATATACAAAGGATACCTTGCCCTGCAGCTCGGGGCACGACGCTTCAATGTAGTCGACGGCTTCCGCCTTGGAATCCCAGTGGCCTGAGTTGGGATATTTGCCCTTGGACGCCTTCTTCATGGGTCCGAGTGCGGAGTAGACGAAGCGCTCCAGTCCAGGGACCTTGGCTGCCTCGTCGGCCACATTCTTGGCATGGGAGAATTCGACCTGGAAGCCAAACGCGGTGGCTCTTTCGCGGGTCTCCCCGGCCTTGTTTGCTTGACTGTAGGGGGCCCAGAAGTCCGTGTTGGAGAAGATGGCGGTGACACCTTCAAAGGCCCGGGCGACGGAGGCAGGGTCGGCGAGCTCAGCCTGAACGACCTCGCAACCCTGGGAGGCCAGGTCGCGCGCTTTGTTGGAAGACGGGTCGCGTGTGAGAGCGCGGACGGTCCAGTCCTCCATGGGCAGGAAGGCCTTGACCACGGAGCCACCCTGGATGCCGGTGGCGCCTACGACAGCGATGATTTTCTTGGGGGCGGACATGTTTCGATGAGGCGACTGGCGGGTCTTCTGATGCTGTGCTGATGGTCATGGCTCTCTGTAACTGCTGGACATGTCGCTACTTTATACCACGCTTCGTCGCGCTCTGCTCACGGCTTTACCTCTGCGCATGGCCACCTTTGACGCCATGTCCAGCAAGAGGCTGATGGAGACGCGCACTGGCTTACTGGGGAGAGCAATGCTTCACTCGATTCGCACGCAGACATCGAGTCAAATCTTGATGTTGCGATTGAATGTGGCGTTGCGGTACGTATTCCGTACAACTACAGCTTACCCTTTGCGTTGGCCTTCATTGGCTGGTCAATGGTAAGCCATGCCTGGCCCATAGTAAGCCAACATGCCGCCGGCATTAACCAGAGCCCAGACTCAGAGATCCGTGCTACAGCCTTGGCGCTATTACGAGCCAGGACTTGGTCCGTATTGTCGTCTGTCAAGTCTTGCGCAGACTGCAGGGTAGAGGAACAATTCAAGACCGCAGAGAAAGCCACGGAAATTATGCAATACAAATCCACGAAATGTTGCCAAATCGAATAATAGGGGATTGCATTGCATTGGTGGGTGGTGTGATCTCGGAAACTAGGTCTCATAAGTCCGGTCAAATCCGCTGCGCGCCGCTCGGGACATGGGCGGTGTCTCCGGATCCTGTCGACCTTCAACACTATTGATTACCGGCCCTGTCACTTGACTTCACACAGTGGCTTACTGGAATTTCCTTATCTACACAAAGCCTGTGTCCGGCTACGCTATGTTGATGTTACCTTTATTCTTCCCGGGAACTGCGAGCTCAGTATCCATGTCGGATGCGTCCAGGCACAATGACCACTATACGCCTACCCAAACGCGGTCATGTTCAGTGGACGGTAATGAGGCTAGACCTCGAAAGAAGAGTCGAATCATTACAGAAGCACGAAAAGAGCAGAATCGCGTTGCGCAGAAGGCGTTCAGTGAGTTCGGATCTCACAGCCGTGCGGGAAGGCGATGGACTGACGAGGATGACCAGGGCAACGCCAGAAGGAGAAGAGACAGCAATTGAAAGCCAGCCAACCAAAACAACCGTCTATCACCAGTGACCAGCCCCGACTTGGCGCAAAAGGTACCCCTGCCGCCAACACAGGCATCCCTGGTCGAGTCAATGCTTCACCAGCGACCTCGTCTAGCGCAGCATCCGTCGCCGCACCGAGCGGTGAGGGCGTTCTTGGACTGGCAACGTTCATGAATGTCGAGCCGTTACCGGCGGTGTCGTTGCGTCACGAAGGATCAAGTGGTTTTCCGGCCCCAGCCCCAGCTTCATGGGCCCAAGACATGGTTGAGTTCGGCGAAGAGCCATTTTTCTCCGCCAGCGACGACCGAACCGGTCAAGAATCACCAGACGACTCAACGCCCAGCTCCTGGGACGAAGCTCAAACCGTGTTCCAGGCAAGCCCTGCTCTCGCAGATCCTTGGTGCAACACATTGGAATTCCTACCGACTACCATCTTTGGCGCGTGTCTTCACAATGCCGCCGCTCTTGGCTGGGACGCAGAGCAACTAGCCACGTGCTCACCCCACGGAATCTCACCATTCTACCGACCTACGACGCCAGAAACAAATCCTCAGACGCTCTTGGCCTCACTCACCATCAACCTTCCTGGTCAAACGCCGCCCCATCTTCGCCCAACCCTGACGCAGGTTCTCATACCCCATCATCCGTCCCTGGACCTGATCCCTCTGCCTCACCTGAGAGACAGGGCGATCATGCTCTCGGCTGCGATGCCCTTGGTGTTCAATCTTTGGGAGCTCAAGCTCGACATCTACGTGAAAGGAGGCCTCGTGATGTTGAAGACGACGAGGGGCAAAGACCACCGCGAGAGGACTTGTCGGCCCTGGGACAAAAGTAGCTGGATCGCGGAGAGATGGTTCCTGCGCAAGTGGACAATGCTTGTAGACGAGGAACTATTGAGCCTGGGCCGGACGGAGGGCAGGGTAACAGACGCTGTGGAGTGAGCAATGCTTGGCCCAAGCTGCGGCCAACCTCGTGGCGCTCGTCACCTGGACAGTCTCCTCCCAACTCCAAGGCATCCCAGGGAGGCGGACAGGCAAAATTTAACCTCGTCAATAAGCGTTCCTAATTCACCCCCGCTTCTGCGATAGCCGACGTTATTTGTCATACGGATCGACATCTTACAAGGCCGAAAGAGGCAGCTATCACTCCGATGCTACCAATGGTGTGCGGGGAATACCAAGCGAGATAAGTCTCGGGAGTCGCTCTGCTTGGCCGAGACCGATGCCCGGCTCGCTTAGATGTGTACATCTACCCGGATCTCGCCTTGATCCTGTTTCTTGGGGTTTCCCTTTTGTCTGCGTATTCTAATTCGGACACACTGCCTCGAGGCCAACTCAGTCACCATGGCAGCCGAGAAGAACGATGTCGAAGCCCAGGGCGACAGGATCGGTGCAGCCCCCGAGCCAACTGCTACCACCGATGCCCATGAGGGCGGCGATTCCAAGCTGGAGGAGCATGAACTTCGTCACAACGGAAATCTGCAGCGTGGGCTCAAGTCTCGCCACGTGCAGTTCCTCGCCCTCTCCGGCGCCATCGGCACAGGACTCTTTGTCGGCTCTGGCCAGGTCCTCTCGCTTGCTGGGCCACTGTCCATGTCTCTCGCCTACCTCATCACCGGCTTCAACCTCTACTGCGTGATCAACTCGCTGGGCGAGATGGCCGCGTGGTTGCCCATCCCCGGCTGCGTCCCCATCTTCGCTACGCGCTATGTCGATGAGGCGCTGGGCTTCACCCTTGGCTGGAACTACTGGTACCAGTTCGCTATTGGCGTGCCGATCGAGGTCAGCGTCTGCTGCGTTATTGTGGACTACTGGCCAAACGACATACCCAAGGGTGCTTTGATCACCATCTTCTTCCTCGCCATGGTCGTCATCAACTGCTTCCCCGTCAAGATCTATGGCGAGGCCGAGTTCGTCTTCGGGGCGATCAAGCTCACCACCATTGTTGGGCTGATCCTGCTCATGCTTATTATCACCTGCGGCGGAGGTCCCAGTGGGCACGCCATCGGGTTCGCCCACTGGATGGACCCGGGGCCGATGAATGCGTACCTCCGTCCAGGTGCGCTGGGCCGCTTCCTGGGGTTCTTTAAAGTCTTCATCCAGGCCACCTTTGCCTACGGTGGCAGCGAGATGGTTGTGGTGGCCGCCGGCGAGACGGAGAACCCTCGACGCAACATCCCCAAGGCAGTGCGTCGAGTCTTCTGGCGTATCCTCATCTTCTACGTCATCGCCCTCTTCCTCGTCGGCCTCTGTGTCTCTTCGGAGGACGACGGTCTGCTCAACGCCATCAGCAGCGACGCGCCTGGCGCCAACCAGAGTCCGTTTGTCATTGCTATCGAGACGGCTGGCATCAAGACGTTGCCGGGTATCCTCAACGGCATCATCCTCTCGTCGGCCTGGTCCGCCGGCAACTCCTTCTTCTACGCATCCACGCGTGTCCTCTACTCGGCCGCCATCGACGGCAAGACACCCGCTATCCTCCGGTACGAGAAGTGGGGTGTGCCCTACGGGTGCGTGGCCATGACCACCGCTCTTGGCTGCCTCAGCTACCTCAACCTGGGCAACCGCTCCTCCGAGGTCTTCTTCTGGATCAGCAACTTATCCGCTGTCTCGACGCTCATGGTCTGGGCCAGCGTGTGCTACACATACCTCTGCTTCTACAAGGGGCTCAAGTATCACGGCATCGACAGGAACACGCTGCCCTACAAGGCGCCCTTCCAGCCATATCTGGCCTACTTTGCCATCTGCTTCTGTCTGACGATTGCGTTCTTCAACGGATTCGATGCGTTCTTCCCAGGGCGGTTCTCAGCCAAAAGCTTCATCCCACCGTACATCAACATCCCCATTGTGCTGACGCTCTTCTTCTCGTACAAGATTATCAAGAAGACCAAGTTTGTCAAGGTGCAGAACATGGATCTCTGGAGTGGCAAGGCGGAAATTGACCGGATGGAGCCTTTGTGGCCTGTCGAGCAGCCTAGGAACTTTTTGGAGAGGATCTGGTTCTGGATTGCCTGAGCTGGCGGTGTAGATGGGGGTACCCGTAGTCTGAATGAATGATAGCTTGGGAAAGCTTTTTGAAGCTGCTGTAGGGTTGAAAACTACTAGTGCTGGATAGTCCAAGTCCAAAAGTACTTACCTACCTCACAGAATATACAATTGAATGCTGTGACTGCGACAAGGTTCAGCGTAACAAAATGCTAATGCAATATGAGTGGATGGCATCATCTGCCGGGTAAGCAAATGAACAAACAGGCCCCTGCACGCGCCTGTTTCGAGTCCCTGCAGGGCTCCATAGAAACGCGTCGTCTGGGCAACCATCATCCCAATCCGGGGTCGGAAAAACAAACGCATGAGCCTCACAACGTCACAAGCCAAAAGCCCACCATCTTCACATTCACGCTCGCCAGCTCACGATCCTTTTCAACTTGGCGCCTTCGACAAACAACTAACGCAGCAGCTTCATCAAGCATACGACCTCTCGCACCAAACCCTCTTCCGTCGGAGGCGCAACTCTCTTTTCGCTTCACACTTGATACCCAGTTTTTGTTTGTTTACCTTATGTTCTGTCCTGCCTGAACATCATTTCCGTCTGCGCTCCTGTTTGATTGAGTACTGGACCGTCAACATCGAAGTATCCGGGGCTGCAAGAGCATATATCACACACACACACACACAATGGCTGCGCCTAATAACCAGTCGTCCATCACAGTCGCTGGTGGGTTCCAAGGATTTACAAGCAGAGCATTCCAATGCTGACTATGTCTCAACAGTCCGAGTACGGCCCTTTACAATTCGAGAAGCTGCACAAGTGTACGCCTGCCACTACTATTCCGACACAAACTGCATACTGACCGACGCAGACAAAAGAACGACGATGGCACAGTTTTCTTGGGCGACGGCTCGCTCGCGGGCGCGCCGCAACCAAAACTTCACCAGCGCGGCATAAGGAACGTCATCAAAGTGGTCGACGACCGCTGCTTGTAAGGGCGCTTTGGTATCTATTCGTTCGCCTACTGACAGGGCTCCAGAGTCTTCGATCCTCCCGAGGATAACCCCGTTCACAAATTCGGTCGATCTGTCGTCCCGACCTCGAAAAAGACAAAGGACCAGGTGTTCGCGTTTGATCGCGTCTTTGACGAAAACACGAACCAAGCCGACGTGTACGAAGGCACAACAAAGCAGCTGTTGGATAGCGTCCTCGATGGCTACAATGCGACTGTCTTCGCCTACGGCGCAACTGGTTGCGGCAAAACCCACACCATCACTGGCACATCGCAGCACCCTGGTATCATCTTCCTGACCATGCAGGAATTGTTCGAGAAGATTGAGGAGCGCAGCCAGGAGAAGACTACGGAATTGAGTCTCAGCTATCTCGAGATCTACAATGAGACCATTCGCGATCTCTTGGTGCCCGGTGGGAGCGGCAAGGGTGGACTGATGCTGCGGGAAGACAGCAACCAGGCCGTGACAGTGCCTGGGCTGACAAGCCACCACCCCAAGGACGTGGCCGAGGTTATGGACATGATCGTGCGCGGCAATGAGTACCGAACCGTCTCACCGACAGAGGCCAATGCCACATCATCGCGCTCTCACGCCGTGCTACAGATCAACGTCGCGCAAAAAGACCGAAACGCAGACGTCAACGAGCCTCACACCATGGCCACGCTCAGCATCATCGATCTGGCCGGGTCAGAGCGAGCTTCCGTCACAAAGAACCGAGGCGAGCGACTTGTCGAAGGTGCCAACATCAACAAATCCCTCCTTGCACTGGGGAGCTGCATCAATGCGCTTTGCGATCGACGCCAAAAGGCACATGTGCCGTATCGAAACAGCAAGCTCACGCGACTCCTCAAGTTCTCCCTGGGCGGCAACTGCAAGACGGTGATGATTGTGTGCGTGTCGCCCTCGAGTGCACATTTTGACGAGAGCCAAAACACGTTGCGGTATGCGAACCGGGCCAAGAACATCCAGACAAAGGTGACACGCAACGTTTTCAATGTCAACCGCCACGTCAAGGACTTTTTGGTCAAGATTGATGAGCAGATGGCCCTGATCAACGAGCTGCGCGCACAGCAAAAGGACTCTGAGAATGTCTTCTTTGCCAAATTCCGGAAACAATGTGAAAAGCGGCAGGCTGCTGGGCACGAGGGCGTACAGCGCCTCAGGGCGGCCTATGACAATTGTGCTGGTGAGCGTCAAGAGCGCATCAACAGCATGAAGCGTCTGAAGGCATTCGAGCGCCGGATCGGACTTTTGTCGAGCTGGATCGCCGCATTCGATACTGTCTGCGATCAGCGCGGCGGTGAGGATGATGCCATGCCGCAAAACCTAATCTCGATTCGCAAGACCGCACAGGGTATTCTCCTTGAGTTGGAAAGCAGCCGCCAGCATATCCACCAGAAGATAGAAAAGTCAACATGGGAGCGAACGATCGATACCGCCCTTGGCCATAGCCTGAGGCAGCTCGAAGGCACAGAGGGTGCGGATATGGGCGAAGCTGCGAGCTTGGAACGCGAGGCTGAGCTTCTAAAGGTCAACTTCTACCGCGAGGCGTACCACGAGGTGGCAGAGCAGGAGAGAGCAGGCGATGCTTCCATGATGCAGATGCTACTGACTGCCCAGTTTGAGATGCTGACCTCAATGGCGGATACGCTTGCCATGGACGAGGAATCGGCAGTGGCCCATGCCAAGGAGATCATCCACCGTCTGCTCCAGACTGGCTACACCGCTGCCTCCCATGTTGTCAAGCCCGATGGATCCCTACCTGTTGCCGAAGTCTTCCCACCAACGCGCAAGGGCACGCCAAAGCGCAAGAGTTCGATGCATGCGTACATCAAGCCGGTAGCCCAGCCAGTCTTCGCCGCTGCTGCTGCTGCCCGTAACAACGACGATCACCAAGCCAGCCCGATGAAGGCCTCTCCGAGGAGACGCCGCGCTGCGACGCCAAAGACGAGTGTGAGCTTCAGCGCGGCCCCCAAGCCAAAGAAGGGCGGAGTTAGGTGGCGCGACGATGAATCCGAGGACGGAGAACTCGCCGACTTTGAGAGAACTCCGCAGTACAAGGATCCGACACCTGAGCAGACCCCTTCTGCAAAGCCAGAGCCTGCTGCTACAGTACCCGAATCAGCTATGCCGACGATCTCGATACCTCAGGAACCGACCATTATGGAAGAGTCGAGTCCTAGCATTGAGATACCGGAAGCCGCCAGCTTGCCTGCCGCCAAGCCAAGCCGGTTCCAGGCTGGCTTTCTATCCAAGTCACGAGCATCCATGGCGCAGGATGGCGGTTCGCCCAAGCTGAGCCCCCCAAGCCTCAGCCTCAACCTTCGCAAGAGCACCTCGCCTGAGCCTGAGAGTAGGCTGCCTGCCCTGCGGTCACTTGATGTCGATAAGGTCGGCAACATGTCGCCGCCCGTGAGCCGGCCTCGGTACCTGCGCTCCTCGTCTAGCCCCCAGCCGCGTCCACCGCGCGCTATGGCAGATGAGAACAGTCCCCTCTCGAAACAAAGCAACTGCTCTGGGTCCGACTCCGAGTCCAGTTTCATAGACTCGCGTAAGCTGCGAGGCGCAATGCACACTGCCAACCATGCTCGTCGGGTCAGCCTCATGACGGGGACGTCTGCTTCCAAGGCCAAGCGAGTCTCTTCTATTGGTTCCATCGGCGGAGGACAGGCAGGCCCGCGACCTAGCATGCAGGGGCCGACCTCACACAGCTCGGCCAGCAGCGCGAATGGCATTTCCCGAAACCGACGTGGAAGCACGGAGCGCCGCCGGAGCCCACCCATGGCCTGCTCGCCGTCGGACCTGCGATCCAACGCGAGCGAGAGGACACTTACGGCCGGCCAGGCGAGGCGAATGAATCTCGGGGGAAGCCTCCGGTCTGACAAGCCGTCCGCCGATGGTCCCAGCCCTCCTGGACCCAGGCGCGTCACTATCGGTGTCGGGTCAGGGGCTGGGGCAGGCATGTCGGCCCATCGCCGCCAGACGAGCAAGAGCAGCGTGACGTGGAGGTGATCAAATTTACGAAATTGCATTTGCTGAGCGTTGCAAGGGATGGCTTTACACTCTCACAGATTTTCTTCTCCTTTGTCGGCCCAGGGCTTGTTTGTTTGGTGTTCAGGTTAGATCAGCACGCGATCCGTCAGCATAGATGGCGCATTCATTGCAAGTGTAATTAAGGAATGATCAATTTGAATCTGCTTGATTGAACTCGACTCTTGTGAGGCTATTGACCATGTCTAGCAAGGACTGTTCCCAGCAGCACTGGCAGCGTCCTCGGGGATAGCACCGGCCGCGACGGCGGACTTGTAGCACCAGCGCCACTCGTCCATGCCTCCGATCCAGTTGCACTTCCACGTCCAGAAGACCCAGCCGCCGCTCTTCTCAAATGTCTGGACCTGAGCGTTGAAGAAGGACCGATACCAGTCGACCTGGTCGGGGCGGTCCCTAATGCTGAACTCGTCGTTGTGCTCCACGTCGTCGGCAACGGCGATGGACCACTCGCCGACGATAATGCCGTCCTCGCGCTTGTCGTTGCAGACGGCGTTGATGTAGCCGTCCTTGGTGGTCTCGACGCTGCCGTCCCACTTGTAGTAGCGGTGGTCGTCAAAGAGGGTGTGGTCCGTGCTGGGCAGGCTGCTGGTGGGATCACCGGCGCCCCAGGCGTTGCCCATGAACTGAATGTGAAGCCTGTCGCCGTCGGCGACGTTGAGGGCGTCCTCGGCGTTGCGGATGGAGGTGTAGGCGTTGGGGTAGAAGCTCTCGATCATGTAGGCGGCCTCGGAGGGGTTCTGGCCCGCGTGGACGGGCTCGTTGATGACCTCGAGGGCGCCGACGTTGGCGTAGTTGGCGTTGGTGTGGATGCGGTCGGCCATCCAGTAGAGGAACTCGGCGGCGCGGCCAAAGTTGTCGGCGGTGTAGAAGCCGGGGTAGTCGACGCCCTGGGGGTGTTAGCTCTCACGAGATCAGTGGTGATTTGGGTTCTCCTTCACTCACGTGGCCGGTGTACTGCTGGTTGGCAAACTGCGAGCCTGGCCCGCCGTGGAGGTCCATGATGACATAGAGACCGGCGTCCTTGGCCCATCCGACGAGCCTGTCGACGTACTCGAGACCGCCCTGGGGGTAGTACTCGTCGTCCTTGACGAGGTCCTCCTTGAGCCAGAAGCCAACGGGAAGGCGGATGGTGTTGAGGCCGAGGCTGGCCATCTGCTGAATGTCCTCCTGGGTGGTCCAGGTGTCCCAGTGGCCGCGGAAGGCCTCGTTGGCGGCGTCCTGGCCGAGGGCCTGGGTGCACTGCCACTCGTCGTTGTAGCCGCCGCAGCCCATGTTGTTCCAGGCGTCGTTGGCCATCCAGGGCTCGATAATGAACTGGGAGCCGAGGTTGACGCCGCGGATCTTGTCTGCGCCGGGGAGCCAGCGCTTTGTGCCCGTGGCATTGTACAGATCTGCAGGCGTGTCAGTGGCTGCCGTGTCTTGCAGAGTTGTGAAGGAGGGCACAAGGTGACATACCCCTTTCATAGGGCATCCATGCCTGGGCTCCGGTGAGCAGGAGGGTTGTGGGAAGCAGCTTGGAGTACATCTTGGCTGAGGTGGGAAGTGACAGTCTGTGATGATGCTGAAGAAGCTGATCAGGAGATGATGGGAGAATGGCCCGTCTTAAGTACTCAATATCATCGGACAAGAGAAGACAGGCCTGACCACGTTGCAAGCAATGGTTCCATTCGGTGTACGGCACCGCGGTCTTGGTCGCAGATCATCGCCATGGCCGCTGTCGCATTACCAATGTATTATGATGCGCGCGCATAGATGTGGTCCTAGCCTCGTGGGATCTCATTAGTCGGCCATAAGCCCCGGCACATTGAAACGCCGTTGGGGCTGTGGGGTTGGAAGACTATGTATGGCCACATGAGGAAGGTGTAGATGCCGGCTTTCGGACGTCGAGGCATTGAGGCGTCCAAATGAGCGGATGGGTAGTCCATTTGATGTCATTCGGGCCTTTGGAGGGCACTAGGTTGGGACACCTAGGTGCAGGTGGTATTGCAGTAAGCAACACGAGGTGGCCGTGGAGGATCTGGCTGCGGCACTGCTATGCAGAGAGATGTATGTAGCCTTGACTGGTCATGCATGGTCGACGCCAGGAGATGATGTCTTGTCCTCGCCTCGACAGTTCTCTGTACGTGTAGCTCAGGTGAAGGCTTGGGTTCACATGACTTTGCGTACAGGCATCTCTGCCGAAAGTACCAACAATGGCGAGTGATCGTCAACTCTGAGCTTAGAGTCGAATTGGGTTCCTACCACGAAGTGAGGATACGTAGCTGAGAACATGGATGAGATCGACTAGCGAAGAGCCGATGATCCGCGTGGCGCCGGCATCGACAAAAGGGGCAACTCTTAGGATCTCAGCAGCCCACTTGGTCGCCTGGCTAGTGTCTGAAAGGCAATCCGAGAATGCGAAACATGCAAGACCCTGCTCCGCTGATGTAAGGGCTCGTGTTGTTTTCATTGATGATTGGGGCTTTGGGTAGCGTAGGATCTAGTCGGAGAATTCATCTGCCCCAAGGACGGCCCTACGTGTCTCGGGCGGCCGACTGCCTAGGCCTGTCTCCACAGGCGCCTACTACGTACGTGTACCTATGTTGGTTACGTGCGGTAGTACTCAACAAGATGCCGGGAAATGCTTTGGATCGTCTTGAAGCGCTGTGCTGGTTCCAGTCGCTCTGAATTGAGCAAGTGATGTTCATGTTGACGGTAGGGTTTGAATATCAGAACGTTTAAGGACACAACGGCTAACCGCAATGATGATCTGAATGTAGGACCGCATTTTAGCCCTGACAACCCAATACGGGAAACGATGTTTCCTTAAGCCTCCAGGCTTGCTGAAACGAACATCCACTTACCCCTTTTCTACAATCACATGCCAAATCCGTGATCATGCTGTCTCGTTGGGAGCTGCATTTGACCGGTATAGGGTAGGCGACTTCTTGCTTACTCATGCCGTGCCATGGTCCAGACCTCCATGAACCCTGCTAGCCAGCTGCCATCCCTCCAGCTGGCTTCGAACCCCTGGATTTCAACTTGGTGCTGGGAATCCGGGATCGCCCAAACGCCGTGCTCACACAAAGCCGCGGTCAACTCGCCGCGTGCTTTGCAGCACACCATAGACAGCCAGACACGCATGGCTGTCGCGACATTCCTTCGGCGAGGCTTCTGCCTAGTGCTACCACTCGCATTGGCCTGCAGCATCTGGCTGTACCTCTATCCCGTCTTCAAGGGCTGCGCGTTCCCCATCGCCTCACGCGACCCCATCGAGGCTTTCCAAGAGACGAAAAAGCTACACTGGCCGTACGCCGAACCAGACAATGGAGTGCCCACCGAATTGGCTCCCTTCCGACTCCTCGCCCTCGGCGATCCGCAGCTCGAGGGCGACACCTCCATACCCGTCAAGACACTTGGCTTCTTGCCGCACCTGAAGAAGATAGCCAAGCATGTGGCCTTTCAAACCAAACATTCGTCCCTCCGCGAGCGCGTACGCATGACCCTGCACGACACGGTCGACTTTTACTTTGAGGACATACCCAACGTCCTCGAGTCGATCCGCAAGCTTATCGATCTGTTCTGCAACGACTTTTACTTGGCGCATATATATCGCACGGTGCACTGGTGGACGCGGCCCACTCATGTGACCGTCCTCGGAGACCTTGTCGGCAGTCAATGGATTGACGATGCCGAGTTCGAAAGGCGAGGCAGACGGTTCTGGCATCGTACCTTTAGGGGCGGTGAGAGGGTCCCCGACGAGGTGGCGCTCTTTCCACAGAGAGAATACGACGTATCGGGCGTTTTGACCAACTCGGAAGAGTCAAGTGTCTGGACGAGACGCATCTTGAATGTCGTCGGGAATCACGACGTGGGGTATGCAGGCGACCTGACAGAGGAGAGGATGGAGCGTTTCGAGCGTGTGTTTGGCAAGGCCAACTACGAGCTTCGCTTCGAGCTGCCCGTCACAGATCCTGAGCTGAACAAGACCATTGTGGACGATGAGACGAACCCAGAGTCGCTCCGACTGCGGCCCGAGATCCGCGTCGTCCTGCTCAACGACATGAACCTGGACACGCCCGCAAAGAGCTCCGTCTTGCAAGACGTGACCTACAACTACGTCAATGCCATCATTGGAAACTCCCATGACGTTGAGTTTCAGGGTGGCTTCACCATCATACTGACGCACATCCCGACGTACAAGCCCAAGGGCGTCTGCGTCGACGCGCCCTACTTTGACTTTTATCCCTCCTCTGAAGGCGGTGGCGTCAGGGAGCAGTACCTGCTGAGTCCTGACGCCAGCAGGGGCTTCTTTGAGGGGATCCTGGGCGTGAGCGGCAATACAAATGCCGACGGCAAGGGCCTCGGCCGTCCCGGCGTCATACTGAATGGCCACGATCATGCCGGCTGCGATACGTACCACTTTATCAACCAGACCAATGGCACGACACAAGCAGACCGCTCCTGGGAACATATTACCTGGGAGGACGCCCAGACACAGGAGATACCGGCCATGCCCGGCCATCCAGGTCGACGAGAAATCACCGTGCGTAGTATGATGGGTGGTTTTGGCGGCAATGCTGGCTTGCTGAGTCTGTGGTTCGACTGGGAGGCCTGGGAGTGGCGCTTTGAGTATGCAGACTGCGCGCTGGGCACGCAGCACTTTTGGTGGTTCACGCACATTGTCGATGCGATTGTTATAGCGTTGGCCGTGGCGTATCTCGGCGTCAGGGGGCTCGAGGCAAAGGGCGTCAATGTGGACAAGCGAGCTTGCGCGCTTGTGGCATTCCTGCGCAAACGAAACAATGAGTTATGGACACGAGGCACGAAGACGGCGGCGAAAGCTAATGGGACGCCAAAGGCTGGATAGAGTAGTTTTGGCTAGAAATGAGAATACATGTACTATATGCCCCTGACATCAAGATAGCACGAATGTGAACTTGCTGTTCAACCACAGACGCCACAAAGGCCATTCAATTCACATATCCTGTGCTCTAGCTCTCATCAGCTCATACAGATATTGTACAGATTTACACGGGCAGCCAATCTGCTTGCACCTCTTCCTCCCCCCCTCAAAAAAATGCCGAGTCTATATGCAAAACCCTCCCAATGGACAAATAGAAATGCGGACACTCGCGTTCTCGTACGCGCCGGACCCCATCGGCGAAGGGAACAGTTGTACAGTTTGTTTTGGGTTAATATTAGTGGAAGGTGTGTGTTGTTGGTTGGGGCCGAGATGCGGTGGAGATTCGGAAACGCGAATGTCGCTCACTCCTTCTTCTCCTCCTCCTTCTTAGGCATGAAAAAGCCGCCGAGGGAGCCGTACATGTTGTCCATGGCTTCCTTCTGCATCTTCTCGGTCATGGCCTTCTCCTCGTCCAGCCACTTCTGCCCATTCTCGCGAATCTCCTTCTCCAACAGCTCGTAGTTGCGCTGGCCCCGTTCACGGGCAATGTCCTGCAGCATCTTACCCTGCGCAAACGCCTCGGTCGGGTTCTGCTCGCCCTCGGGCTGCATGGTCATGCTCATGTTGCTGGGTCCGAGACCGAGCATGCTGCCCAAGGCGCCCATGCCGGAGGGCTTCTTGTGCTTGCCCTTCTCGGCGGCCAGACGAGCGTTGAATTCCTTGCGCGCGATCGCTTCACGGCGGGCGAACTCGGTCGGGATGTGCTTGCCCTCGAACGACTTGAGCACCTTGCGCACGTCGTCGTACTGCATGGTGTGGATGTACTCGAGGAAGGGGATAAGGCTAACGAGCTCCTTGTCGTCCTTCTCACCCGCCCAGGGGTCCAGGATGATGGCGTTCTCGGGCTGCTTGCGCACGTGGCTAGCCTTGGTGTCGAGGACGATGACCTTGGACGGGTCACGGTTCAGGTAGGAAAGGTCCTTGACAATCTCGCCGTCTTCAAACTTGGTAGCCTCGCGGAAGAGGGGCCACATGATGAGACGGAAGGGGTCAAGTTTGCGCACAATGCCCTCGGCCATGCCGAACGACGTTGATGACCAAACGACCAGCTCGTAGTATTGACCGAGGTAGCGGATGAAGTAGTCGGCGCCTGGTCGCTTGGCCAATCGCCAGCCATGCTGGCGCGACCACTCGCTGTGCACGAGCAGATCCTCCAGGCTGATCACCAGAGTGTAAGGGCGCTCGAAACTGGGATGAGGGTCGGGCAGTAGCTTGTCAAAGGACGGGTTCTGATAGTATGAGACCGACTCGCCCATTCGGGCCCTCAGTCGCTGCCACCACAGGACCGGCGAGAGTCCGTTGGGAATTTCGGGATGGCGTGCCGCCTCGGCCTCGTCGTCCCAGTTGCGGCCAAGATATCCCAGACCGAACAGTGAGCCTGATCCCACGCCAATCAAGAGCATGCGCGTCCACCAACGACGGTTGCGCTCGCTCGTCGAGACATATTCTGAATCGCCGCCACCACCGCCGCCGCGTCGCTCGTACTGAGGCACTGTTTCGAGTGCGGCATCCGATTTGACATCTTTGCCTTTGGCCTGCTCCAGCTCGTCGAAGAGTGTCGAGGGAATACCCTGAGTCAGGTCAGGCAGCTTGTCAAAGGGTATTTGGTCGGTTTCTTTGGCGTCCTTCGCCTTGGCGGACTCGGCTGCTGCTTCGTTCTCGGGCGCGGGAGTATCGGGTGATTCCTTGGGCGTCGAATCAGATTTCGGCGCAGGCGTCTGCTTCTGAGCAAAGGACCGGGTCCAAGACTGGGTGTAAGAGGCTGCAGCAATAGGCAGTGTCCTGTTCAATGGCGCAGCCGAGATCGCTCTGCTACCAAGGCGCGTGGCCTGCGCGAAGACCAACCTGGATAGCATGACGGAAGAGATGTGTCCCGCGACAAGGCGCGTTGCAAGGTTGGGAGGAAAAGCGTCACTGGAGCTTATTTGGTCGTTGGGTCACTCAAGGCGACATTGCAAGCTCGACCTCGAAATTGGAGATGGCGCGAGGGAAATTGTCCCAAAGAGAAGAAAGCGATGGATGGGTGGTGATGCAGCTGCAGCTGGAGTTCCAGTCCTTCGAATCTTTTCCAGCGCCGCAACCACTGAGCTGGTGCCCGGCGGGTGACAGGGGGGGTGTTCACCCGAAGATTAGGCGAGTTGCTCACGGATCTACTGTTTTACCGATGTCGTCACTGGCACCCCACCTCTGCAGGTAGCCAGATCGGATGAGTGAGGACCGGAGTTAGAGTGCCGCCTCACGTGAACCCAAATCCCCGTCTTCAACATGCCCGTTCCTCAACGAAGTTACGATATAAACACACCACCATCATCAACAGCAGCCATCCTCCTCTGCCCCTCTTTGGCACCTAGAGCACGAGATCTGCCCGAACCAATTACACCTCACAACTTCCTAAGAATATCAGCAACCGCGTCCACGGGCAAGATGCTCGCCGCTGCTGCGTTCTAGGGTGGTCCCATTGTTGACATTTCGCCATGGAACCACCCTCTACGGCGCAAACTGTCTCGCGAGACCTACTACAATTATACTCAAAATCTCTGGCGTAAAGCCATTCGAAAAGCACCGAGTCGCAACAACTGTGGACACTACTGCCGCCCTCCAACTGAACGCCACCACGACAAGGCTGCCCCGCAGAAAAGTCCTTGGAACCGAATCGCCACACTATTCCATCACGGCATTTCGAACTTGGATCCTCACAACGGGCCACCTTCACCATGGCACCGGGTCGACGACCAGCCAAATCAGGCGTTCTGGTCATCAGGACGCCGCCAGCAACAGCACCGGCGGCTGCGCCTGCACTCTCCAAGGGAGCATCGACAGCGCCTGCTCCTTCGGGCGACGTCGACAGCATCCCCATTGCGGACCTGACACTCGACGTCCCTCTCAGACCATTTCAGCGCAAGCGCCGCGTTCCCGACCGGTCTTTTCCGTTTCTCGAACTGCCATCTGAGCTGCGCATCAAAGTCTACGAGCACTACTTCAGGGATGACGAATGGCCTAATGAGATTCTCGACTTGGGTCCCGACATTTATAAACGGTACCATAAAAAGCTAGGAATCATCCGAGTATGCAGGCAGATTCACGACGAGGCCACCCATTATTTCTACAGCACCCGTCGATTCCGAATATTCCCCACCAGTCCAGGACGATACTTCAAGACGAAGAAGCCGCTACTGTCGCGGATGAAGAAGGTCCAGCGCGAGTGCGTCACCTCGCTCGAACTGCGCCTTGGGCCGGGATGGAGCGCGCCACCTCGGGGATGGGTGGTCAACGATGCCCTCGGGCTGACCGAATTCACCAACGTCCGCACGCTCTGTGTGTTTGTCGAGTGCGACCCCAGCGATGGCGTGTTCAAGGGATTCCGGCGCTCCGAGGGATTCTACGAGGGGTTCAGCCGCACCCTCCTCGCCAGTATCCTAGAAAAGCTCCCTTCTGTGAACATTGTCGAGTTTGACGGCTGGTCGAGCGTTAAGAAGAAGGGCGCAATGATGTCGGGCCTACTCGAGACTGCGAGAACGGCTGGGTACTTGACCGCCTGGGGACCCGAGCGCGGTTGGACGGACGAGGACCACGAAGATGACGAACCTAACAAGCATGAGCCAAACCCCTTCATGGCGGTGACACCACTCGCCACCGGTGACTGGCCGCACAACATTCTGGTTTCAGCATAGTATCACGACAGGGACAAGGCGTTTGGGCGTTTGGGCACCTTTGACGGGCCGTCGGATGGTATATAGTCTAGCGCGGTCCTACTGGGAATTGACAAGTGTGAACTTGCTTCATTGAAATCTTGGACACGTCTAAACGCTTCAAATGTAATGTGAAAATTGCAGCTCCACTCAGGGCCTCTCACTGTGCCCCCAGCGCCGTCAGGGCGTTTCTGAGCTCTTGCACCGCGGTGGGCACGTCTTCAAAATTCAGTGCCGAGATTGCCCACTTGGCATGTTTTTGCGCCTGGTTGAGGTCCTTGTAATGGGCGGCGGGTGAAGGTGCACTAGGCGCTGGTGCCGGTACGGGCACAGGTTGTGGAAGCGAAGGGGCACTGGGCTGCTGCTGCGGAACGGAGGGCTGAAAGCTGCTGGCAGAAGAGCCTGGGAACGCTGGACCCGGCGGAGGCGCAAACTGCGAAGACAGCTTGGTTGGAAGATGTGGTGACGGACCTGGCGGGATCGAAGAAGCAGCCGAGGCTGGCCCTTCGGGCGCGACACTCGGTATGGATGCCGGAACTGAGGGTGGGACCACAGAGCCCGGAGTAGAAGGCTGCGGCGGGTGTGGTCCTGTGGGAAAGTAGTCTTCGGGGGCCGGAGGATGCGGCGGAGGACCAGCGCTTCCCAGAGGTTCGCCGGCGTCGGGCGCGTCTTGTACAGTGGCCGGTTGAGGCGCGGTGCCTAGGGAGGCGAGTTCTTGAACGTCCGGGTCGTTGGGATCAAGACCGGTCGCTCCCTCCTCCTCGCCCCCTTCTGCCTGTTCAGGTTGCTTCGGGTTCGACTCGTTGGGGTCACGTCCTTCTCGCAACGCCTTGAGGATCCGCGCGGCATTCCACTTGGCGAACTTGATTTTTTGCAGGACCTCGGGCTCGAGCTCGCCCCATTCGCGGAGGAGGTCGAAGAAGGTAGCCGCCGCGTCGAACGTGTCGGCTGTCTGTCGAGTGACCTTGTCGGCGCGGAGGGTGCGCTCTGCACGGTCAAACGTCTGTTGCGCGAATTGCTCAATGTAGACCTTGGCGACCTCGTTGTCGGTAATCGCATCCTCGGCAGCGTGTTCAGCCTTTGTCGTCTCGAGTTGATCGATCAGGTTCGTCGTGAATGCGAAGGCGTCCTCGTCACCCGAGTGTAACCCTTTCCCAACAATTTGATTGACGGCGCGGTACTCGCCTAGAGCATTATAAGAATACAGATGTCATTCAATAAATAGGATTTGGGAACGAACACCAGTATGCGACGGCTGGCTTGACCGAACGCAGCTGGCCAGCGCGCTTGATGAAGCGGCTGACCTCGGGGATTTTGAGCGACTCGGGAAGAGCCTCAGCCATGGTTTCAATGTGTGTGTACCGAGATCGAGAAGTGGTCTTGATGCTGCGGGTGTCGAAGGAGACGTGCGGTCATGTGTTATCGCAATGTATTTGTAGAGTGTGAATATGGAAGACAGGTCGTATGACGTTGCGGGGATGTAAGTCGGAAGTGTGGCTGGTAGTCAACAATCCCATGTGGGCGCGCCACACTTTTTGGTGCCCCTCCACAGCTCGCGCCACCGTTCCTGAGCTGCAACCTGCACGCATCAAATGTTCCACCGTGGCCTCTTACTGGATCAGGATATAACACTTCGAATGCAACGTGCAACGTGTTCCTTTGTTGTCTCGAATTTCTCTTCTATCATCTCCAACTCTTATAAGAGTGGATTTCAATATGCATCAGCCATCGATTGCGGCAGCCTTGATGGCAGCGCTGGCTGCCTTGCCGTCGGCCCAGGCTGCCATGTACACCAAGTCGTCACCCGTTGTCCAGCTGAACGCACGCAACTTTGACAGTCTCATCACCAATTCAAACTACACATCAGTATGTCTCCTGTCCTACATACAACGGCGTCTACTGACTCATGACAGATTGTTGAGTTCTACGCACCGTGGTGCGGCCACTGCCAGAACCTGAAGCCTGCGTACGAGAAGGCAGCAAAGAATCTCGATGGCTTGGCCAAGGTCGCAGCTATTGACTGTGACGATGATGCCAACAAGCCAATTTGCGGTGCTCACGGCATCCAGGGCTTCCCCACGCTCAAGACTTTCCGCCCTGGAAAGAAGGCCGGTAAACCTATTGTAGAGGACTACCGTGGACAGCGCACCGCATCGGGTATCACCGACGAAGTCGTCAACAAGATCAACAACCATGTCACGAAGCTTACGGATAAGGACCTGGACGCCTTCTTGGAGAAATCTGGACCCAAGGCACTACTGTTCACGGAAAAAGGCACGACGAGCGCCCTTTTGCGCAGCATCGCCATTGACTTCCTGGACGTCATCAAGGTTGGCCAGATTCGCAGTAAGGAGATCGCAGCCGTGGAGCGATTTGGTATTGAAAAATTCCCTTCGCTCGTCCTTATTCCAGGCAGTGAGGATACAGAGCCAGTCGTCTACGGTGGCGAGCTCAAGAAGGCTAGCATGGTAGACTTCCTCAAGCAGGCCGGCGAGCCCAATCCTGACCCGGCGCCGGCCAAGGGCAAGGGAAACCAGGTCAAGGCGAAGCCCAAGGCTGAACCCGCCCCGGAGCCTGAGGAGTCCCCCGAATCGTCCACAGCCAGTTCCACGGCCGAGGACGTTGCTCCCACCGTCATCCCCATCCAGTCCATCTCGTCCAACGACATGCTGCACGAAAACTGCCTTCAGAAGAAATCGCACACGTGTGTCCTTGCATTCATACCCGAGGGCTCTGCCGATGGCGAGAAGGCCGTCGAATCCCTGTCCAAGCTGAACACCAAGTACATCCGTGGACAACACCACCTCTTCCCATTCTTTGCTCTGCCTGATTCTGTCGACATGTCCTCGACCCTCCGCACATCCCTTGAGCTCGGTGCCGATGTTGAGCTGATTGCCTTTAATGCCCGACGTGGTTGGTTCAAGCAGTTCCAGGGCAAGGACTACACCGTAGAGGGTATCGAGGCATGGATTGACGCTATCCGAATGGGTGAGGGGGAGAAGAAGAAGATGCCCGAGGGCGTCCTTGCCGTGAAAGCTTCTGAGGAGAGCCAAGCCGAGAAGAGTTCGTCGGAGGAAACCAAGGCTACCGACCCCGAGCCAGAGATCGAGACCGAGGCGCCCGAGGAGGAAGAGATTGTGCACGAAGAACTGTAAGCAATGCAGGGGTATCTGGGCAGACGTAAGCTTTAGCGAAGTAGAAGAATGTAGCCAACATACCATTCTCATTCGTCCAAATCCATAACCATGGTATCACTCCTGTCGACGGCGCCCTCGCGTATCATCTGCACGCCCTTTTCCCGGATGACGCGATCAAGAATTTGCTTCACCTGCTTGCAGCCATCCACGCCAACGACCAGCATGCCCTCCAGTCTGCTGACCTGCAATCTGCTCTCGCAGTTGAGGACGGCAATGCGATCCGAGGATCCCAATGTTGCGACGGTGAGATAGGGCAGCTCCTGCTCCTCTTGCGTGTTCAGATCCAACAACGGATCGGCGGAATCGTCCGAAGCAGAGTGGGAAGACGTGGATCCAGCGGTGCAGGCCGCAATGTAGTCGGACATGGGGATACCGGCGTCGATCAGGGCGAGGGTGGCGGCGTTGAGCAGTGCAGCCAGGAGAGAGCCATCCGACGACAGGACATGGAGCGAAATGGAGATGCTCGAGTGAGGGAACAGGTGCGTGTGCACAATGGACGAAAAGGTCTTTGCGATGGTGATCTCGAGTTCCTGCGTGCGTTTGTCGTTGCGCCCACGCTTCTTCCGGTCGACGGACGAGAAGCCGGCAATAATGACATTGACGTTGATGCTGGCCGTGTCACGGGCACTACCACCGCCGCCGCTTGTTTGGCCGCGTCTCTGGGACTGGTTCTGCTCGGCGGGACCGGTCAGGACACACATGACCTTGGTGTGGCCCATTTCAAGGTAGGAGGAGCCATCGGCGGCAGCTTGCGTTCTGATCTGGGCGTGCAGGCGTCGCAGCTCGTTCCAACGCCGCCCGTCGACACGGAGGAGAGCGAGCGAGTACGTAGACGTGTCGAGAGGCATCGTGGCAGCTTGACGTGGCAAGGAATCCGTCGTTGGGTTGAGTATCTGGATGGGCGACGATCTTGAATCCGACCTGAAATTTCGATGATGGTGGGGTGTAGCAATTGTGGCTGGAGCTAGCTGGGGATGTGGCTGATGTCCCTCTTCAGCCACCCTAAGCACCTTACTCTTTGGTCGACAATCATCAGAGCCATCTCATGGTTCTCATCCGCCCTCAAGTCAGATCTCCCCGACATTGCGGAATCGCGGATACAGCTCAGGGGCTGTGTCTGTTTCTCTACACTCTCCGTACGGACTGCTTATGTCCGCAACTCCATATATGCACATGTGCTGAACCAACATGCATTGCTGACTGCAGCCTGCCTGCTGGTCTGCCTACCTTAAAACCGAGTCGGATTTACAGACCCAGACATCGTCATCCATTTCCGATTGAGCGAGTCCAAGCTCTCCCAACATCCACTTGTCGTTGCTTATCGACTCTCATACACCCGTTGCCGAAATGCCGCCCGCGACTCCGGCGGACAAAACGTCAGAGAACGTGCAATGATGTAACGCGGGGACGGGAACCTGAGCAAAGCTCTGCCCATGCGTACCGCGTTTCAATGGCCGCCGCTTTCGTACATTAGCTACCAAGCAGGAGTGCGATCATTGGTCGACAAAGCTGATGCTGATAGGCAGTATTGGGAGATGGATGTTTCTCGCGCAACCTGACTGGCTCAGGCGACGCAATTGACTTCACCACTAGATCTAGTCTAGAAGTCTACGACTCGAGCTGTCTCGACGTCAACGAGGAGGTGGGCGGGATGTCTTGGAATACAAAATGGCAGCGTAAACCCGCCTTTTTGAGGGGATTTCTCGATATCTGCTCATACGACTCAAGCTTCACCAGAACAGCATATCCACTTCTCGCAGCCCGCAATATATCATCATGTCTTCTCTTCCCAAGACTTACAAGGCGGTCGTCATCCCCAAAGCCAATGCCCCCTTGAAACTCCAAGATGTCGATCTCCAGCAGCCCGGCCCTGGGACGGTGCTCGTCAAAGTGAAGGCGTGCGGTGTCTGCTTTTCGGATGTTGGGACTGTCAGCGGCCACATGGGCGACGTCTTCCCCCGTGTTCCCGGCCACGAGATTGTTGGTGATGTCGTCGCCGTTGGCGAGGGCGTCACACGTTTCAAGGGTGGTGAGCGTGTCGGCGGACCTTGGCACGGTGGCCACGACGGTTGGTGCCGTGCCTGCCAACGGGCTCAGTTCCAGATGTGCGACAACGAGCAAATCAACGGCGTGACCCGCGATGGTGGGTTTGCCGAGTACGTCGTGCTGCGAGCAGAGGCTGTTGTTCAGGTGCCCAAGGAGATAGACCCTGCCGCCGCGGCCCCGTTGCTGTGCGCGGGCGTCACCGTCTTCAACGGCCTGCGCAAGGCGCACGTAGAGCAAGGCAACCTCGTCGCCGTGCAGGGTCTCGGCGGTCTTGGCCATCTGGCTGTCCAGTACGCCTACAAGATGGGCTACGAGGTGGCCGCTCTGTCCTCGGGCGACGACAAGGCTGCCTTTGCCAAGGAGCTCGGCGCCCACCACTACATCAACACCAAGACGCAGGATGCGGCCAAGGAGCTCATGAAACTCGGCGGTGCCGCGGTCGTTCTCCAAACGGCCCCGAGCCCAAAGGCTGTCACTGAACTCGTGGGCGGTCTCGCTCCCGCTGGCCAGCTCATCAACCTGGCACCTGTGGGCAACGCCGAGGTCAACACTGTCGCGCTGGTCCTCAAGGGTGCTTCGGTGCAGGGGTGGCCCTCTGGACACGCGCTGGACTGCGAGGAGGCCATTCGATTCGCCATGAACCACAATGTCAAGTGCTACATTGAGAAGTACCCCTTCGCCAAGGTGCAGGATGCGGTGGACAGCTTGGTGGCCGGCAAGCCTCGCTTCAGGAACGTGTTAATTATGGACTAGGTTTGGCATATAACGAATGGACTCGGTGGAGAATTTAAGCCAGTTCATAAGGAAGAAGTAGCCAGTTGCTTAAATACAAGATGATAATGAACTCATGCCTTAGGACGCTGAGGGAGGCTCATGGCTTCCAGCCTCCCGTCCTTTCCTTGAACAAGCCCTGAGGGTCGAGCTCGTCAGCCAAGGTCTTTGCCAGCTCCGCGTTCTCGGGCCTCAGCCTCCCATAGTAATCCTGTGTATGGAACGCATCATTCGAGAACAAGGGCAGGTAGGCGTCTGGCAGGGCACCCTCTTCCTGCCCGGCAAGGACTATCTCCCGGATGCCGCCAAACGCCGCCTCCATGGCAGCACTCATCCGTTCGTAGTCAAGCTGCAGGAAGAAGCTGTAGTTGAGCTCAATGACGATCCGGTCGACGTCGTTGTCAAAGTCGATCAGGTCGCCGCCCATGGCCCTGGCAAGCTGTGCGATACGGCGGGGGAACGGCTGGTAGGCAATGGAGCCGATGACACCAGAGACAAGCTGCTCGCCGAGGGTGACGTTGCGCCAGTGCTCGTGGACCTGGGGGAGAAACTCGGACGCCATGTCGGACTCGGGGTCCGTCGGCAGCGGGATGGTCTCTGTGCCAATGAGGTACACTGAGCCACGGATGACGAAGAAGTTGTTGGCGTTGACGAGGCTGGCGAAGCTCTGCGTCTTGCGGGTGTCGGTCAGGTGGGGGATGGCCGTGAAGTTGGTAAAAGTGCCCTCTGGCGGCTCTGCACCGTTGTAGAAGAAGAAGACGATCCACCCGTCAAGGATGCCGGCACCAGTGTACTCGGCCGTGGGGATGATGGCGGCCTTGTCGTCCTTGTTGTAGCGGGTGAAGTCCTGGATGGCTTGGAGCATGAGCTCATCCGTGTCCGACTTGCGAGGGAAGAAGACAGTGCCGCCGTAGATATCGTCCTGGCGGTACGACTGGACAGTGTAGCTCGTCACGACGCCAAAGTTGTTGCCACCGCCCTTGAGAGCGCGGAATAGGTCAGGGTGCTCGTCTGCCGAGGCCGTCACGATGGTGCCGTTGGGCGTGACAAGCTCGACCTCGATCAGGGAGGATGCGGCCCAGCCATATTGCTGCGACATGAACGAAAGGCCACCGCCAAGCATGTAACCGCCAACGCCAACATTGCCTATCCTTCCGCCCACAACTGACCATCCGCTGCCGTCCAATGCATCGGCGACGGCGTCCCATCGCAGGCCGGGACCGATACGAACGATGCCACTCTCCTCGTCGAGGATGACCTGGTCGAGCTTCTCGGTCGAGATGAGGGGTCCTTCGTCGACGCTTGACCACTCGACGTTGGGGTTGTGCCCTCCTGACTTGATGGCAAATCTGTCAGTGTTGTTCTGCCTTCCCAGAACCTTGAGGATCGCAGCCACATCATGAGGCGATTCAGGGTAGACGACGCAGGACGGATCGAGCTTGGCACATGCTGTCGACCAGTAGTCGTTGGAGGTGGACGTGTAATCGGGATGAAGCTTGTATCGAACCTCGACACTGGGCGCGACGTCCTCGATGACTGCGCATGTATTGGCTGTGGCAACGCCAGCGAAGAGAGTCGCCACGCAGGCAGAAATCGCAGTCAGCTTCATGATGACGGCAGCAGCTTGAAAGACAAGACAGCCTCAAAGAACCCAGAGCGTGGATGGACACGGACCACACGGCGTTTCGTTCTGAATTATATACTCTCGAAACCTCCGCGCTCGTCAGATTTCACTCTAATTAGGCTCAACGCCCACAATACAGGGATTGCCATGGTCTTATTAAATACGCAATTCGCTAGCCGACTAATCAGGAACACAGCGGAGCGTATCGTACGCCCAAGACCATTATAATTGCCGGATGTTAAATGTGACAGATCCTGCCTATGCCCATCCTGGCCCTCTTGGCTCCGAGCTGCATGGTCGCGAGCAAGGATGGTATAGCCAGAACCGGGAAGCAAGCTGGCTACCCCGGTGTTTCCGTGATGGGCTGATCGTGATCTGCGTGAAAACTGCCTGAACACAGTAATCCTTTCGGCGAGCGGCCTCGTGGAAGTTTCCGAGCTGTGCAGCAGCCTAGCAGCTTCCAGTCGAGCAAGGGGGGTCTTGTGGTCTAATACCGTGTCACCCTCGTAGACTTTCCTTGGGCTGAAGGCTGCGCTAGCTAATGATACAGCGACGTGGACTCGAGCATCTGTAAGATTGATAAGTTAGATTTAGAAACGTTCGTGCTGGTCAGCTGGGTCAGCTTACAATCACGGGGTTAGAGTCCGTACATGTAGTTGAATTCAATGTGTGCTGCGAGCGCATTGTGTGATGTGACTACGCGGATATATGGTCACGGGGGCGAGACATGCAAAAAATACACAGAGGTAGGGGGCTTGCGATGTTGTGTCCAAGTCAGCAAGTCGACTATCAAATCAGGAGTTCAAGTTCCGTTACCATTGGGGCGGGCAGTCAGAAGTATACGACATGGCCACATTGCAAATCCTCGACGAGTCGGCGACGAGGTCGACTGCATGTTGGCATCTCCAAGAGTCCAAAACTCTCCCAAAGCAGGCTCAAGACGACGAGGCCTAAATAAGGTCCATCGATTGCATTCCGCGTCGGGACAATTGCCCCTGGATCCCGCCGTAACTATCGAGAGGGCTCGGATGCTGTTTGTATCGACAAGATTGAAGCATCTCACCAACGTCTCAACTATTTAAACCCTTGAACAAGTCCATTACTTTGTTTGTAACATTATGAATCAATCCCCAAGATCATATTCATACCATCACCAGACCGTTGATCACAATGTCGCAGTTCGCAATGAGCCTCCTCCAGGTAATATGCTCACCCCCAGTACATCTCCTCAGCTTCGCTGGGCTTTTCGGCACGCAGCTCTACCAATCCTTCATCGTCACAAAGGTGTGTTACACCACACTACCCAGCGATCCCTTTATCCGGCTCCAGCGCAGGATCTTTCCAATATACTTCCGCATGCAGAGTGTCCTGTGGCTCGTCACGGCGTTGACGTTCCCGCCCGCAGGACCCTGGTCGCTGGTCCAGGGGGGTGCAGCTGATTGGGCTTCATTCGCCATCGGGGGCCTCTGCGCAGTGCTAAATCTGCTCGTGTTTGGTCCAAATACAATGCGCGCCATGCTTGCGAGGCGCGAGGTTAGTGAGCCGCCCTGCAGGCAGACGCCCTTGGATCTTTATGTGGGCTAATTAATCAGTGAAATTTACAGGAATAGCGGTCCGAGGGAACGAGAATGGCGAGACAGACGTCGTCGATTTGGCTGCAGTGAAGCGGAGATTTTCCAAGAACCATGCAGCCTCGATGCACCTCAACCTGCTCTGCATCATTGCCTTGTCCTGGCATGGCTGGCGGCTAGCAGGCCGCATGACTTTCTGACAGGTCTTTGATACCAGATAGTATTGTACAGAGTATCTATTATGTATTATGGTTCATCGCTTGTAAGCGTCCACGGTATATATAACAAAACATTGATGACATGGCTCATAAAATGAGACGAGGCTGCCAGAACGGTGCTTTCTCGACCTCGACGCGCACGCGACCTCCTCCCTCCAGGCGCGCACCCTGGTCCGAGATGGGCGTCGACTTTCGCGTGTGCGCCACTTCCTGCCGACTGACACACGCATCGTCCTCGGGAATCCACAGGATTGGCTTGGGCGTCCACATCTCCGGCGGATGGTATGACCGCCTGGGGTCGTCTCCGGCCTCCGGCAGCTCCTGGGGCAGTGTCAGGAGGTGCTTGCGGATCGCAATAAAGTCCTCGTGAATGTGCGGATTCAGCCACCGGGTGACAATATTGGGCTTTGCGTCGGGGTCCCGCTCAAGGTTGAACCCCATGGACTGGGCCTCCTTGTTGAGTTTGAAGTTAGTATAGTTCTTGAGGAATGTGCCCACTGTGTCACGAACGGTACGTGAGCCTTCCATCGCCCTGGTCCCCGACGGCTCATGCACCTCGTCATCGTCGCTGTGGCCAGCCAGGTCTTCGTCCTCGTCGCCGAAATGCTCGTCCTCGTCAAAGTAGCTGGCTGCTGCGCCGTTCACGGCGACCGATGGGTCTTCTCGCTGCGCACGTGCTGCTTCGGCCTTTTGTCTCTCTTCTTCCTGGATCTCCTCTTCCAGCTTTAGCGTCTGGGGCAGGTTCTGCAGCAGAGGAGAGATGGCCTGGTTGATGGAGAGGTGGATGAGCCCCGTCAGGACAAGCAGCATAGCCATCAAGACACCGGGCCCCGTAGCCGAGTTGAGGAAGAACATGCCAGTGAGGCACAGTTCGGCGAGGTACAGCCCAACGACAAGGTGGTTCAGAGCACGGGGGTAGTACAGCCCCTTGCTGTCAAGATCCGAGTCCAAGACGTAGATGAGATTGTACCGCCAGACGATGTAGTTGAATGCCATCCCTAGCGCGGCGAATGCGAGGATCACCGGCGCGATGCAGGCGTACGCCATCGCAATGACCCCCAGGTTGGTAAAGACGGGGTAATCGCGGCCCCAAGCGGTGCGTCGCATTGTACGCCAGAGCCGGTAGTGGGCGCGTGGGATCTGCGCAATACGCCCCAGAATACCATGGCGGAGGAGGTCAATGGGCTGGAGGATAGACGTGCCAGCGTTGGCAAGGCACTGGATGAGGATGTACGAGATGTAAAAGTTGGATGCCAACGGGAGGTTCTGTGCCAGCACGTCCTTGGCTTTCAAGGGGTTTTCCAGAATGCCGAAGAATGCGGCCGAGGCGGCCGACGTGAGGGTAGTCACCAAGAAGACCTGCACGACCTGGAAGGCAAAGTAGGCAGTCTGGGTAAACAGCTCGACCATGTTCGAGGTGGGCACGGCGGCGGCGCGCGCGCAGGCACGCAGCATGCCTGGCACAAGGGCCATGAACATGGACAAGATGAGAGCCGGGGCGAAACCGGTCAGCAAGCCCAAGATGGGCTTGGGAAGCTCCATGATCCAGCCAAGCCACGGAGCCATCAGGGTCAGTGTCTGCACGTTCGAGATGACGCCCACAAACGCGGAAGGGATAGACCAGAAGATGATGCCCGCAACGATGAAGCCCATGATTGCGAAGCGGCGAATGATGCGCGACCACCATGGCATCCTCAGCACGTCCCAGACAATCTCGTCCGGCCGTACGCCCAGTAGACGCGGTGCCATGTGCAGTGGCAGCTGATGGGCCAACGACTGATGGGCAGCTTGCGCGGCTTCCTGGGTGTCAAACTCGATGAAGGCAGCAGACATCATGTCGCTGGCGTCGCAGTTGGGGCCGCGAAGACGCTTCCTGATCTGCGCAACGTCCCGGTTCAGCTCGATCAAGCGTCGCCGTGTCCAGCGGATGGTGTCAATTCGGCGGAAATAGTTGCCAATGGGGCGGTGATAGGGACGCGCCTCGGCTGGCAAGTACTGGGCAGCCACTGATCCGCGCACATCTGACATGTTCGGATTCAGGCCGTAGGGGTGTGTGTACCGGGCCTCGTCAGTGTCTTCAGCCTTGGTGTCCGCATTCGTGTCGGCGTCCGTCACAACGCCTTGGAGCGTGTGCATGCCCGAGTCCCGGCCCGCTGAGCTTTCTTCGATTGCATCATCCGTGTCTGCGCTTGGTCTCACCTCCTCGTTGGAGGGCTGCGGGTTGGACCCTGCTTCCTCCTTGGCGCCTGGCGCCGTTTCCGTGGCCAAGACCTTCTCGTTGGCTGACTTGGCATTCTTCCGCAGTTGTTTGTCACGCACGGCGTTGGCTTTTCGTATGAGGGCAATCTCGGCCTTTTCCAGCCGCATAGCAGTCTGCTCTCGCTCTTTGAGGAGGTTCACGAGATGTTTGGAGGTGCGAGGAAGCCAGATGCGCTTCACAGAGTCGCCGTACAGCTTTCGCAGTCTCGCTTCGTCGAGATAGCGCTGGGGCACGCTGGTGAAGAGGACGGTCCGGGACGACAGGCGCTGGGAGTAGTATGGCGAGGAAAGATAGGCTTGACGCATGTTGATGTAGTAGATGTTCTCGCGGGCGACCGTGAAGAGAACAAAGCCAAAGAGCAGCCATGCCACCACGACGTTGGCGTATAACCGGTTCGGGTTGTCGACATTGCCAATCGTCAGCTTCTCAAGCTCGACCTTGCCCCGGCCACCAGTGGCGTGGAGGGGTAACAAGATGGGCCAGGTGAGCAGACAGCCCGCGAAGCAGATGTTGCGCAGTACTTTGAGGAACCGTAGGAAGAAGAAGCCGTCGAGTGAGCCATGGTTGAGGACGAAGGTGTCGGGCGTCTTGAAGAAGGGGATGATCCAGTTGAACCAGCCGCCTGGCAAGGCGGGCGTGGGCTCTCTGCGAGTTGGTCAGTCAAAACCGGCAGCGCAACCATCGAGGCACGACCTACTCAGGCGCTCGTAGCGCGGCCAATGTCCGAGGAGAGTAGACTCGTCGCAAACGTCGGCGCCCGATGAAGAATATGATCAAGCACACGGCGACGTAGACAATGACGGGCACAAATGTCGAGCCCAGCTTGGACAGCGACGCGCCCTTGTTGCCGTTGGCCGCGCTGAGTGTGCCCTTGTTGTCTGACCCTTCCCTCCCCGAGCCCACGCGAGGGTCATCCTGTTGCGTGATGCTGTCAATCCAGCTTTGCAGGCTTCGTGCGGCGAGGGCTTTGGTGGATGCCATGGCAGACGCCTACAGATGCGAGCAGCGACGGGAGAGACGGCGTCGGGTCAACGTCGTGGCATAATTCGTCGGCAGCGCTTTCGCTTGCGTTCTCGAGGCTGTCGGTCGCGGGTGGGCGACGTGATGATTGAAGGGCTCTGCATGCTGCTCGAGCCTCGAGGGCTGGACTGGTCTATCTTGTAATAGGATGCCGATCAAAAGCAACGGCACATCCATCATGCAGGGCCAGCTGCACCTTTGATTGACGTGCTCATCAAATTAACGGTTTGCGGAGGTCCCACCGGCCTCCACCAGACAACCCACAACTCGCGCGCCATACGCATCATTTTTCAGCTCGTCCAGGGCGGCCTGATAGACCCTTGAATGTCCTGGCTCGGAATGGTCCAAGCCTCTTTTCATCTTGCCAAGACGAGGGCGCCGTCAATCTTGTGCCTAATCCATTGAATTGGGGCGCGCTCTGCACGCGTGCGCTTCACGCCAACGTCAACGTCAGGTCTGAGCCCGCGCCTTAGCTCCGCGCAAGTTGAGCGCAGCTAGCCTTATCCAGCGGGGATCGTCGGTGTTCCTGGACTAACGGGCCACGGCCAACGGCTGCCATGTCGACTATTCGTCCGTATACGGATAATTAGGGGCGGGCAAATGATTATCACAGCCTTGACGATGCCTCGTGATCATCTCGCGGAGCAGGGCGGCCACTGCCAGAAGTCCAGCCGCAGGGCAAAAAGTACCAAGCCACCGGACAGGGTTCCTCAATGACGCTCGAGACTCAGAACTGTCGGAGTCTGATTTGGATGTGAATCATCAACCAAGAGGGCCCTTCCATCCCGAGGCTGCGGCGCTGTGGGGTGTTCCGCAGCCGCTCTCCCTGAGACTTGCAGTAAGACAAAACATGGGCATCTACCTAGTACGAACTGCGCACAAGTCTGTCCTTGGGCACGCCACCACGTCCCGGAAGGCGAGTCTGCCGATGATGTTGCCTCCTCGCACTGACGATTGGCTCATTGGGTTGCGCGTTCAATCATCTACTACCAAGGCTTCCAGTACCGGTATGCCGTCAGCCAGCTCACGGCATCGCGACCACCCAAGCGAGCAACCTAGTTTCCGAGCGAGTGTGCGCCTTGTCCACAATGGTCACCTGTACCTCAACGCCTTCAACTGTTTCGCCCGCCTCTTCTCCGCATGTTGGCGCCTTTGTCGAAGAAGTCTGTTGCACAATAGTTAGACTGTACGTTTCACACAAGCGAGCGCCCTGCACAGAGCCGCACTGTCAGCCAACCAGGACCAACCACAGACTAGACGCAGTCTGTGAAGCATCGTTATTACGCTCGTCGGCTTGACCTGGCGACAGATGCGAGGCTGATGCCTTGAGGCTGCGTAGGGACAGTTTCTTCAAGGTTGCCAATCGTCACTTGGTCACGCAGCACTGCAGGATGCCTTTGAAGGTACGAGGTTTGTTTGTTTCATTATTCCTTGTTCATTATTTTTCATTTACTGCTCCCAAGCCCGCACATCTATCGGCAGGTGTAGCCACCGTCAATGACGATATCGGCACCGGTGGTGTAGGTGGAAGCGTCGGAGACGAGGTAGACGTACGCGCCCTTGAGCTCCTTCGCATCACCGTTGCGGCCGAGGGGGATCATGCTCTTCCAGAGCTCCTGGGTCTTCTGGTCGACAAAGTCGGACAGGCCGGTGTCGATGTAGCCGGGCGAGATGGAGTTGACGCGGGCAAAGTCGCGCCACTCGTTGGCGAGGGAGCGGGCCATGTGGATGCAGCCGGCCTTTGCGACGTTGTACGAGGTCTGCTCCTGGGGGTAGTTGGCAATGTGGCCGGACATGGAGGCGGTGATGACGAAGGAGCCGGAGCCCTGCTTCCTGAAGTGCGCGCCGACGGCCTTGGCGCAGTAGGCGGTACCGTTGAGGTCGATCTGGATGACCTTGTCCCAGGCCTCGGCGGAGCCGTCGATGACGCCGGCGTCGGCGGTGGCGCCGGCACTGTTTCCGTCGTTAGCACCTGTGGACTGAGAGGGAGGTTGCAGGCAACCTACTTGGCGATAAAGGCATCAATCTTGCCAAAGTCCTTGAGGACGTCGTTCACAAACTCCTCGACGGCGGGGTAGCTGGTGACGTTGAGCTTGTAGGCCTTGACCTTGACGCCGTAGTCGCGGGTCAGCTCCTCGACGTTCTTCTCGGCGCCCTCCTTGCGGGAGGAGTAGGTGATGGCCAGGTCGGCGCCCATCTCGGCGCAGCCGCGGGCGGCCTCGATGCCCATGCCACGGGGGCCGGACGCGCCGGTGACGACGACGACCTTGCCCTTGAGGCTGAAGAGGTCGGTGAGACGCTCGGCTTTGGGGATGGAGACAGGCATGATGGGCTGGTTTCTGGTTTCTTGCTGGGGTGATGATGAATAGGAGTGATGGAAGGATGGGAAAGGCAGGCAGACCGACGTTCGAAGTTGGGGAAGGAGCTTTCTTAAAAATGAAGGATGGGAGAGGTAGGCAGAAGAAGAGGGGTAAGGTTGCTAAGGTAAGGCAGGCAGGCACGGGTAGCTCAAGGTTGACGCATAGCTAGAAATCAATGGATACTACGCGGCGACGTTGGACGAAGAGCCACTGGTAATATTGACTGATCGATCGCTACATCGCTCGGGCCATCCGCGATCTCAGTGCCGGCTGGTCCACGGCCCAGTAACGCGCTTAGAGAAGAGGCAGTTTTGCTGGTTCGCCGCTGACTGGTAGCTCCAGTCTCCTGGCTGGGCCCAATCCATATCTTTTCGTCCCCCGACACGTCCGTCACATAATACTGCATAGCTCTCGGCTTGTGATACTCGAGTGCTGGCGTGGAAGCTGGACGCGACAGGCCCACCACATTGATGTCACGGTCACACTGCGGGGCTGGTGTTTCTCTGGCTTCCAAGCCCATTTGCTAGCCCAGGAAGGGCGCTAGTGGGGAAGCCTCGTTCGTATCTGTCTGTTCGTCTGTCTGAAAGACGGTGGTGTCTGCTCAAGGCTTGACAAAGCTGAGTTCAGCCGTTGTCAGCATAAGGACTGACAATTGGGTTCCGGAATTGGCATCGTGACTAAGGAGATGCTCAGCAATTGCGTTTGCTGATGGCCAATTGCCCATGGCCCATCAACGTTTCTCGATGACGCTAGTTCCTATCGCTGACCTCATAGCCACTTGACGACGACATCGCGAGGAGGGGTTGGCTGGCCAGCCCAGGCCCACCGAGGGGCAGCCGCCAAGCCAAGCCTGCAGGAGCCGGAACGCCTGGAACACAAGGAGCGGACGGGAATCTGCGTGAGGTACTCCGTAGTACGGGTACAAGTATACCAGGTAGTCAAAAGGCGGCGAACGACTGGCTGTGAAAACCCACAGCATTGGGGGAATAGGAACTGAGCATGATTGAGATATGTGTCAGCATGGAGCCCATATTAACTGTTCGGGGTGAGCTTACACCTCAGTCTCGCCGCTCGCGAGATTGTCTCCGAGTATTCGTGTGCTTGTGTTCATCGACAGGCCCCTTGACACGGCGGCCAGCCTCACAAGTCACAACTTCAGCTCGATGCAGCCACGCATATCGCGTACTGCAGGGTCGCGTTGGTCATGCCGTTGGTTGTTTCTTTCATGGCATTGGATGCATACGCGGGGTGCTCCTCACCGCACTTTTGACACGCAAAACGATGTGAGATCGACTATAGCGGCTTGACGGATTGTGTTCTGTCCCGCGCTTGACCCTTTGTTGCAACAAGAGCGGACGGGGGCGGGGAACGCGCAAACCGCATTTCCGCTCTTTACAAGTTGCCAAAACCATGAGTGGAAGGTTTGTTTGTCTAAAAGTTGAAGTATCGTTATCGAGATGCAAGAGCGCCTTCACACATAGTCTAGTGTTTCCAGATCATTACACCATAGGGTAGGCTGGATTTCGAGCCTCGGTTCATTGTTTGATGACAGCGAGGCTGGACGATGTCCAGCCTCGCCGACATTGAATAAGTTCAGTTCGAAAGCTGGCCCCTCCGTGCACTAGTTTTCAAAGAAGAAATATGATTCATTCAAGCGGTGAAATCTCTAGGTGATCTCATATGGTGGGAAAGGAGCCGAGATGTCTTCACGTCCACCACAGGGCTACTCAACACGATCAGGTACAATATAACGTTCCAAGTATGTCGACGCGCCCCCCATATGTTATTTGGTCATCCAAACATCGTCTGCGTCATCTGCCATTGCGTTTTGATAGGGGTGTGCATCGAACCACGTCTCAGCAGATTCCTTTTGCGCGTGCCTGTTGTAGAACTCGTCCAATAAGTGATTTAAATCTAAGAAAACCATTAGGCTCAAAGTTCAGCAAGGAAGAGTTCCGAAGGGAGGCTAACCTGCAAGCGGCATACCCCGTGAAGGTTGGAGGGAGAACTGCGATATGTAATCATTGAAGAGAATCAAGTCGCTGGGAATTTGCGTGCCTTTGCTTCCCCGCGTTAGCTCACTGGGAAGCGGTAGTCGCATTATAACCCGGGGTTCATACCTCGAGGAATAGTGTAGATGAAAGGGGTCTCAACTTGCTTGCCCTCGTCCTCACGATCGAGGTTTTCGTTAAAGTGTCTTCGCGCGAGCTCCTGCATCATGAACGTGTTTGGAAACATGACGGCTCCGTTTGAAACTAGAAGCCGCTCAGCACACATGTCGTCTGTCCGTCGAGCTTGCGTATCTTACCTGATGTGCCCGTCACACCTGGATATACCAAACCATGTTGTCCCACAATTACGCCTTCTTCATACAGACCGTCCGGTCGGTCGTCAATCTCCCGGTGGTTGAGTAGGCTTGAGCTGTAGCGTGGGGAGTAGTAGTGCAAAGTTGTAGGGAACGAAGAATAGATAGCTTTCACGGAGAACAATCGCCGTGAGAGCAGGCGTGATTGCTGATGTACGATGAACGGGCGACGCAAGCTGCTGATCATGACGAAACGGCGACGCGATTTCTTTGAGATTTAAATATGACAAACTTGTTCCTACTTGGGCGGCCAAAGTGCTTTACAAGGTCGAGACTGGACGTCGCGTTGCGCGTAATGATCGCCAGGGTCCGTGCAGAACTGCATTGAAGCCTGAGGCCTACACTTTGCGGCTGGATTACCGTTTGACAGAGCCTGCTTACCACTCTCCATTCTCTACGGAGTACGAAGTAACATTCATTTACACACAATCTATAACCCCATACTCCACCGCACGTCAAGATGCCCACCACCAAGCTGATCGCGGTGTTCAAGAGATTTCCCAAGGAGATGTTTCGAGTCAACAATGGGAGACAGGTTAAATTGCGTGCCTGGATACCAAGGCGACAGGTGTACGATATATCTGCGATGAATGGGTTTGTTCAGCCAAAAGCTACAGATCCTAAGTGTAATGAAGGTGGGAGCTTGGAAAAAGGGTCATATGATGTCCACTCAAAACTGATCTTATTGCAGCTCCCAACGGCGCGTCGATGCGGCCGAACTCGCCTTACCAGCAATCACTGGTTTCGTGGCGTTTTCGTGGCGATGATGTCGTCGTGTATGCAGTGCCTGAAGGGACAGCGCTTCCGACGGATCTTCTCCTGGTCCACGAACGATCGGACCACTATTCCCTCCAGCCAGCGGTTTCCATGCATATTGCAGGCGAGTGAAGGTGCTTTGGGATTTTGCATGCTTAGGCTAATATACCGGCGTTAGAGCTCGATGCAAAGATAAATCGTTTCCTTACAGCTCATGCGAGGGCTTTTACGAGGGAGGAGTGGTTGGAGATGTACCCGAAAGCGACTGAAAGCTTGTAGACATGAGACGAATGACAATGATCCAGAACAAACGCTAGTGGTGTCTGAACTACATATCGGAAGCAAAATGGCCGAACGTCCAGGAGTCCAACTGGCCATACAAGCGCTTTCCAGACAGTGCAGCGCATGCTGCGATATGAGAGAAATACTGACGTTGCAAGTTACTTATGCGAACGCTAGCATATCCAACAAAGTACAGCCACGATAGAATGCGCGTGGGGGAACGCGTCCTAACAGTTCGATCGCTGGTGTATGCCGATAGGCAACGCTCGGAGCCAAGAGAGCACGGTATTGAAGGACATCCATAGCGGTACACAATAGTGTAGAGGGTCAGAAATCAGTTTGTCTGTCTGTCATTTTGACAAGCCGCTGAAACTTTTCATCATTTTCCCTCGTCTGATAGTCGTTGCGTGCCATGGGCTTTCTGGCGAGATGACGGCACTGTCTTCGAGACTTCCGCGTGGGCCCGGCATGTTCCGAGCATCAAGTGGAGCTTCCGGACCCGAGCCGGATGCCGGAAGGACGGAGACCCGCCGGTGGGAGTCGCGTGTATTTTTGGTCCCTGCCAGCGCTTGAAGAGCCTTTTTTGTGTTTGAGTCGTTGGCCAAGTCTGAGCAGTATTCCAATTGTAGAGAGCCCAATGTGCAGCGAGCGTACTGCACGACCAGAAACCACTGAAACCCCGGACTATATAAGATCGGGTCTCTTAGTGAGTCAGTGACCGTCTCCTCGGGGAACAAAAAATTTCCAGCTTCTCATAGAATTGACGCATTCCGCGGAGATGCTCATGTAGCTTGTCACCCGATGTCAAAACCTTGCGCAAACCACAGTGATTTTTCCTGAACAATGCGCGACCGCCTTGTTTCCGGAACAAAACGGGTGCTCCACGCAAAAGGCCTTGATTCTTTTTGTAATAATCGCCTGATTCCCGCAATATCCTCAATACGCGCGCAGGAGCGCCTGGCGACCTCACATATTGCTGCTATTACAAAAGGTGGCCAGCGGTCGCATTGCGGCATATATATATCTATCACAATAGAAGCATCGATTCATTAAAGGCACATACAGACGACTATTGCACTATCGTCATGGCACCGACACCACGTCAAGTCGAGATTGTCAAATCGACGGCCCCCATCATCAAAGAGCATGGCACCACAGTCACAAAGACCTTTTACCACAACATGCTCAAGGCTCATCCGGAGCTCCTGAACTACTTTTCTCTTCGCAATCAACAGACAGGCGCCCAGCAGGCCGCCCTCGCCAAGTCCGTCCTTGCCTACGCCACCTACATCGACGACCTGGGCAAGCTGTCCCATGCTGTTGAGCGCATAGCCCACAAGCACGCGTCTCTCTACGTCAAGGCCGAGCACTATGACGTCGTGGGCGAGCATCTGATAGGGGCCTTTGGGGAGGTCCTGGGCGACGGGCTGACGCCCGAGGTGAAGGAGGCCTGGATCGCGGCATATGGACAGCTTGCGGGTGTTTTCATCCAGAGAGAGCAGGCGCTGTACGACGAGGTGAGCGCATGGAGAGATTGGCGCAAGTTTCGCATCACCGCCAAGGAACCGGAGAATGAGAGCGTGGTGAACTTGTACCTTGAGCCCGTCGACGGTCAGGGACTGCCGACGTACCTGGCTGGTCAGTATGTTAGCCTGCGCGTACCGATCCCCGAACTCGACGGGCTCTATCAGAACCGTCAGTTCAGTCTGAGCGAGGCACCAGTGGAGAAGCCCAGTCGATACCGCATCAGCGTCAAAAGGGAGGCCACCAACAGGGGTTCCGTGGAGGACTTGCGCCAGGGCAAGGTCTCAGGGCTCATCTCGAACATCTTGCATGACAAGTATCACGTCGGCGACGAGGTTCAACTGAGCGCGCCGAGGGGCGAGTTTTTTGTGGGGAAGAAAGATCTCCAAGAGTCACAACAACCACTGGTCCTGCTCTCTGCTGGCGTTGGCGCTTCCGCTCTCGTCGCTATTCTTGACGCTGTTCTCGCATCTACCTCTGGTACTCGCCCTATTCAATGGGTCCATACGGCTCGACACTCTGGCAACACCTGCTACACGCAGCATGTCCGAGAACAAGCCGCCAAGCATGACAACCTGAAGGCCACGATATTCGTCAAGGAAACCCGTCCCGAAGATGGCATCGGCAACGAGTACGATGTTCTGGGTAGGATGACGACGGACGTGCTTGCGAAAGAGGTCGAACTACCCTTTGATGTCGAGGAGGCAGAGTACTACGCGTGCGGTCCGGAGGAGTGGATGGTGGAGCTGAGAAGCTTCTTGGAGAGCCGTGGCGTCAAGCGGGAGAAAGTGCACCTGGAGCTGTTCAAGACGGGCGATGTTGACCAGTAGAATTTGTTCGAGCTATTCCATAGACGTCGAGGAGGGACAATCTCCGCTCTTGTCATTAAACATTATAGACCAAGAACTAATAGAAACCCTTTACATCCTACAATGCGTAAGGCCAAGCAGCACTGCTGACAGAAGAGAGAAGGCGCTGACGGGACTCATCGACCTGCGGATAATAACCATCTGCTTTCTCCTTTTCTGATTGACGACACGCAAGACGGAGGCGGCCACGCACCGCTTAAAGAGGGCGAGGGTGGTGGCTCAGAAGGATGGGCTGGATGATGTTGTGGATCGGGACTTGGTGAAAAGGGGTGAGGCTTCGAGGCGTTTCTGAGCGAAGCAGGCGTTGTTCGAAGAGGGCAGAGATGGAAGAGCGTGGGCAGGAGCATGATTGCTCCACTCGCTTGATCAAGACGGGCTTACCGATAGTAGGTAGAGTGGAAGATGAGACCCGGTCTGCAATCTAGAGCTAAAAGCAGCATGGTATGATTACACATCCATCAAATCCTGCGGTGCTGCCTCTGCACGCTCAGAGTCACATCTTGTGCGAGAATTATCACCTGCCCAGACAGATCCCTGGACGGGCGGCCAAGTCAGAGCGGGTGCGTCGCTGCATGGTAAATGATATCGTGAAGTCGACAGATCAATATGTCCCGTACATAAAGATGTACAATTCAAAAAAGAAGAATAGTTTGGGAGAGTCCTTAGCTCGTATATCATGACGTTGATTGGGATCCCAGCGGTCAAGTAAGCACATCATATCGCGATATCTTCCCTGGAGCTGGACCAAAGCAACACTAACATCATTCTAATTTGCAAAACTGTCCGCGCGTGCCGAGAACGGTAATCAAGGAATGACTTAAGAATGCTCCGCTATGGGATTTTCAGCTTATGCCGGGTCAAAGCCCTGCCTCCAACACCTGCCGACGCTGGTAAGGGGCGCCATCCTTCGTTCATGTATGCAATCGAGTAGAGCTAGGGTATTGCAGACAGCCTTGGACGAAGGCTAGCAGCCTTCTCCCCAAGTATTCAGAATGCAGTGAAGATCATTTCCCGGGCAAGGCTGACATGGATTCATGCGGATGCTTGTATTCGCCGAAAGAACGGCGTCTCACGCTCCAGTCGTTGGAGCATCGCTTGTCTGTGGCCCGATTAGGCAAGTCCATCGACAGGATGGCACCACAATGACATGACTTGCATCTCAAACGGACCTATTGTCATGTGTCTTCTTCTCTAGCTGCCACTTGGCCGAACCACCTGCAGGTAGGAACACTGCCGCAAGCTCTTGGCGCGGTTCTTGTCGCTATGCGGAACTGTGAAGCCCCGAGGGGCAAGGCGCTTACTGTCTGCCCTTGATAGAAATACCTCAGCCCTGGCGAACACTATTTTCCAATTGGAAGAAGCCCTTGGAAGGGCACGCAATACGACGCTGTCGAGTAACGTACCAGCGTGATGCGGATCCTGGGTTCTGTGCTTACAAGTTGGGCTTGGCATGGATGGGCTGAACCAACGTCGGGGCAGTGTGACACGGCTTGGGCCGGATTGTCGTTGGAAACACTGCCGATCACAGGGACTACCAGTTAGGAGTCAACTTCTGGCGCTTCATGGTTTCTTAGTCAGTATCGTCCTTCACCTCAGGGCGAGAATTACTGTCCAGACAAGATCCCATGTCATGGAATGAGAGCCAGACTAGTATATAAGACGGCACCTGTCCAGCTATTCTCCATGTTGATCACCATCGCCGACCACCACCGATATCCTGATTCTTCAGAGCTTGACAACAATGGCTCGCTTTCTTACTGCTGCGGCTACCGCCGCATGCCTGTTGGCCCACGCCAACGCCAACCCCGTCGCTGCTCGCGAGGAAAAGGTCACCATGAAGAACCTCCTCGGCTTCGATGAGAGTCTCATCAACCCTTCGGCTCTCTCAGACGACACAGTGATTCCCGAAATCACCTATATCCAGCCAGAGGACGCCCACTTTGCCGATGGAGCCACGGAGGCTGCCCCGTTGACCATCACCGAAGAGCAGGCCAAGACCCTGTCCGAGCGCTTCATCAACGGCGCTGACGATCGATACCAGTACACAGACGGCAACTACCCCTTTCGCAACGTAGGGAAGCTCTTCTGGGACAATGGCGTCTTCTGCTCCGGCGCCCTCATCGGCCCGCGCCACGTCCTCACCGCCAAGCACTGCATCGTCGATGGCGTGACCGGCTATTTCGCGCCCGGTTTCGACAACGGCGAGCCCTATGGACGCGGGCGCGTCACCAACATTGTTTCCTCGGGCTACGAGTGGGGGTCTGCCTGCGGCTTCAAGGGCGACTGGGCCGTCATGATCCTCGACAACCGTCTGGGTGACCAGCTCGGCTACTTTGGCGTCAAGCTGCCCGAGGCTAGCAAGCAAGACCAGTCCATCTTTGACCATGTTGGCTACCCTGGCGATCGCGACGGTGGGAACAGGCCTTACCGCACGCCTGGCAACACCGTCCAGTCATTCCGTCCATGGGACTGCGATGCCACGGGCCCCTTCTACACTGACACGGACTGCATGGGTGGACAGTCGGGTGGTCCCCACTGGGAAAACACAGGTGATGGCGCGTATATCTGGGGCACCCTGTCTGTCACCTTTGACGGCGGCAACGGCGTTGCTTGGTCTGGCTGGGGCTCTGGCAACGAGATGCTGGACACTGTCCTGCGTCTCAGGAGCGAGTTCCCTTGAGGGATTGGGGGTTAAAGACTGTCAATACTGAAAGCATGTATGCTGTATGTACTGCAAATGGAAACATTATTGACCTCTCAACTGCTAGCCGTTGTCACCGTGAGCGCCTAACTTAGGTGCAGAGAAGGCTCCAGAGGGAAGACTCGGAGGAGGATGTGCAGCGGGCATGGAGCTATGCATTCACCTGTGACACAGCAAAATTCAGCAATCACCTCAAAAATCAACTTTACATGCTCAAAGGACGCGTGCGTATCACAGCATTGAAGACACAGGCGTGCAAGCAGCTTGATGCGCCGCGTGCCAAGGAAAGCCGGACCGGACCTGCGACGCACGAATCACGTCGCGGCACTCGACCCAAAAAGGGAAATGCCTTTTGGAAGCGGCCTAACCTGTAGTTCTCGGTGCGGCAGCCAGAGAAAGGACTCACTTCTAAGCCATGGCGCATTCAAAACTCTATCTTCGTTTGAATTTTTATCGAAATTTTAAGGTTTCGTGGTCAAAGTTACGTTAGGTGTGGGTGCTGTCATTAGAGTTGGTTCAATTCTCACGATGATCTATGGTTAGAGTGTGCAGTCATGCGACCATCCGGATATTTGACCTGGCATGGATCTGCGTGACATTGTTAAAATCAAATCATCTATTCGAAATCATGTCGTCTACTATCCGAGCATTGAACTTATAATGAGCCTTTCCCGTCTCTGAATATCTCTTCATGCCATGCCTTGTCCTCTGGATCCCAACGGCATACATATTCCCATTCTGCTTGATACAAACTCCAGTCATCCGCGGCCAACTCTCTTCCGAAGATGACAGGTTCTCTAGTGCTCCATTTCCGGTCAGACGGCCAGATGCGCAATTTGGGTTCCTCAGTAGCCCCAAACTCAACCATAGGCGCTGTGTCGTTGGACGGAACCATATTATGCTCCATGAGCTGCCTGAGCCACGGAAAGTACCACATCTTATCCCACCAAGTGGTTCGTCTTCCCTTCAAGCCGTCTTTCCAAGCATTGTGGTGTATGACGGCAGGCACAGCAGTGGTCCAAAAATCTGTATAGAGTTTCAACTGGCGCCATGATGGTTGGTCTGATGCAGCAAGCTCGAGGGTGTGCAGCGGTGGATTGGCCACGGCTACATCGGCAGGTAGACCGTCCACGCGAGGGGGGGATATTCCCGCTCGATGTGACTCCAGATCAACAGCTTCAGGATGACCTAGCTCGACAAAGAAGCCGTCTTCTTCGGAGTAGCAGGTAGGGTAAAACAACTCTTGTCTGTAATCCAACCCCACGTGGTACTCGTACTCCTGCTGGAGTTCTCTTGTCTTCGTATTCTCTGTTGCACCATCGTTCTTAAGCCGATCTTGGGCCAGCCTGCGCCTCCACACCGACTGTTCACCGAAGACCTCCTCAAAGACACCCTGATCGCCGGCAAGTTCCTGACCATCCTGCAAGCCGTCAAGATAGCCGCCCATGCGACGCTGCACTCGTCCGAAAAATCGCTTCATATCCCCCACTGGACCCATGATGCTGCCGCTGTTAACGTAGCGTGGTCGCATGTACCTCCAGCTTCGGAGCTTCGTGTCTGTCCACACGCCATATGTGTCGCCAGGCAGGATGCTCGTAGGCACGTCCTTGCAGTGAAAATTCGACACCGAGTCTCGCGGCGAGAAGCAGCCTTTCTGAGCGGCAATCATAATGGTGTGGTGTATAGAGTCCTCGGCTGTCATATTGTGCTCATTCTGCAATCGTTGATCTGCTTCTTGCAAAGCCGTGAAGTATCTGTTCAGCAAGACGTCAGGGGGCAGTTGGAACCACACATCGAGGGCATCGAGCATGATGATGATGTCGTCGTCGTCCAACTGGTCAACGCTAGGGGTGTCTTTGCTAGTGGCCCAGTTGAGGTAGTCAAGCGTGCCCGTGATCTTGGCGAGCTGTGACGCTCCAACGCCCTCTGTATCGGTGTGGAAGTCCCTCTGCCAGTTGACGATGACAGGCGACGGGTATCCCAGAGCAACGGCACTCATGATCAACTTGCACAGATCTGGGCTTGGTCGATCGATTGGGAGGATAATGGCCAGCTTTCGATCCCCAGATGGTAATGCGCTTGTGTCGAGAGGACTGCGGCTCTGCGTGGCCCGCTGGAAGGTGATGGGGTCTGGCATGCGGAATACCTGCCATGGTCAGCGACTAACATTGGACACGGTATTGGGAGACGAACCCAGATGAGACTTATTGATGCGAAGAAAAATGCCACGAGAAGAATTGTAACAGGAAACTTCCCTCGAGGCTGTCTCTTGACCCACCTCAGCAGTGAACCTGATGGATGGCGTTTTGGCACCGACGACTTGGAACTCATCATGGCGGCCCGTGATTGATGAATGCAGGGAAAAGATTGCGGGTTGAAGCTGTCTGGCAGGTCACGCAAAACAGTCCATTGTCGAGATGCACAGGTTTTGATGTAAAATTACCTTATATTTTATTCTCAAAAAGCTAATATTGACTCTGATGGTTCCGACTGCCGTGGTACGCAACCCGCGGCCTCCTGTCTTCTATAAGAAGACGGGAAGCCTTGAAGAAGACTAGAGCAAGAATAATTCATTGGCGTCAAAAGTGCCGCGCCATGGGATTTGACTAACGCGCGTAGGGCTGACTAGGCCATGGTACAGTACCCGGAGGCAATTTAATGCCAGACTCCTTACTACGCGTCTGTTGTCAGCATCATTTCCCGTGCTGTTGACCGCCGATGGGCTCCAGGATCTTCATCCATGTCAAACATGCTCACAACAGCTTCATGTTCCGAGGCAACGCTGGTGACAGCTCGGGGCGCCAATAAACTCTAATCGGGAAACATGGCTAGCATACGTCGCCTCAGCCACCGGATAGAGTCATTTCGTAAATGGGCTTGGGCTTTATCGATATACAGGTGGATCTGGGAGCCCGCATTGATTGTCCAGCGATCCTAATAAAAGGCTCCAGAGAGGCACAGCTGCGTCGGCGGTCCAGATCCTCAATCGCTGTCAGCCTGTTGGTCCTGAACGACAACCCAGCGTGCCGACATAACCGCTCCCCAGAGCGTACGTACAGATTGTCGTGATCGACAGCAAAATCACCTGCCTGGTTTTTAATGGACGGATTACGGCTGGGAAGCTACCCACTTGTAGGCTGAGTGCCGCATTGACAAGCCGGACGGATTCAGGCGATTCGTAACAAGATCAAATGCTTCTGCAAGGGTAGGCAATGAGGACGGATCGTCGTCCCGGTCTGGGGGGCCAGCTTACCGTCACACAACCGCACAAATGAAGGACTGGTCTCGTTTGACATGAGAAGAAAAATCAAACCGCATTAAATATCATGTTTTGCGAGGCAAAAACCAGGAAAGGTGCAGCACTCGGCAGCCGTCCCAGTATGTCTCAATCTTGGGCCACCCACAACGAAGTGAGTCAGATTTTATATACGACGTCAATATGCAGTTCAAGCCGTTAGTTGATACTAACTATGTATCGCTGCCTGCTATCTGAGTATTGCCCCCTTTATATATCCGTTCCTCGAAAAGTACGTTTCTCTTTCATACTTTCAGTACAAGCCAGAGATGAAGTAGAGGCAGCCTCAACAATACTCGGTGATAGCAATGAACCAAGTCAACTTGGAATAGACTATTACTTCTCACTGGGCACCCTAAACACAGGATACTCTTCGCCTTGATCGACCTGGATGATGTTGAATGTGACATAGCTGTCAATGTTCTCGGGCTCAAGCGCAATGAATGCCAAAGCCGCATTCTTCTGCCTGGTGCTGACCCGGAAACTGCCCGGTGGTAGCACGACGTCCCTTTCTCGAGCAGTGGTAGTCACCGTATTGAGATAGGTGCCCTCGTACTGCGACGGAGTCACTCGGGACGTCTCGATGATCAGCGTCTCGACGGTTCCGTTGAACCCGTGCTCCAGCCTTTCGACCTCAAGACCGAGGTTCTCAAGCTTGTTGGCAACGTCAAACCAGGGGCGAGGGATGATGTAGGCCTCGGGCCTGGCGCGGGTGAGGTTTGCCTCGGAGGGGGTCGTCCGGATGAAGTCAATCTGGGGATGAACGACACTGCCATTGTTGATGTCAATGAGGGTGAAATTGCGCGTCTCACGGACGTACGAGTCCGTAACGATTATTTCCTCGTCGCTTTCAATGAAGTCTTGACGGGCATCTTCGACCGTGGAAAGGACACTGTCAAAGTCGTCGCGAGCGGTCTCGAGGATTGTGTGAATCTTGACCAGGGCAGTGGCAACGCGGCGGTGGAAGTGCTGGTCCGCTAAGCGGATGCCACGCATCTCCAACAGGAAGGAAATGGTCTGCGTTAGACCGATTGCATTGCGACCAGTGCGGGCCTCGGTGACAGCCTCCTCGAGGACAACGGCATCATCGGGGTCGTCGTCGCTGGCGCCGTTCGTGACGTAGGGCTCCCAACGCAGACCGTACTCCTTCAGGGCGTCTCCCATGGCAGGAATGAATTTTTTCAGGACTTGGTCCACGATATCGGGGTGAATGTTGGGGTTGATGCTACTAGATATGAGAGCGTCGGCACCGTGCTAGTACCTCTCGCTAAAGACAGTCGAGGCCGCGTACTTCGTGTATATCGATGGAGATGTGAGGATTCTACTGAGTCACCACGCGCTTGATGTTCCTGCTCTGCTTACGAGCGAGCTTGATATGGTCGCGGTTCCTATCCAGATTGTAGGCTAGCTGGCGCTGGAAGTAGGCGATACCATCGACGTTGTAACGAGGCAGCACTTTGATGTCCATCTTCTCGAGGATCGACTCAGCCCAGGAAGGTTCAGCGTCCATCTTGCCCAGCAGCGCAAGAACAGACTGATCAGCTGCCGGTTCATTGCCATGGATGGCAGCTTGTATATAGACGCGCAGCTTCTTCTCCTCGCCTTTGCCGGGCGTGGACAGATAGAGGTAGGGGATGGCGCGGCCCTCCTCCGACAAGAAGTCGGCCGTCTCGTACGACAACCACGAGTTCTTGCGAGCAAGGCTGCGGATGAAATAGTCATGGTCGATCTCATCAGCCGGGCCTTCGGAGCCATTGGCAAAGCGTGCAGGCACAGTTTCTGGCTTGGAGAAGGCAGGCGCATGCAGTGTGATGTTGACTTTGGGAAATGCCCTCGCGACAATGTCCGAATCTTTCTGCACCACTAACCAGTTTTCACCGTATTGGAGGCCGGATTGTGGACCTCCTGACTGGGCAGAGGCACAAGAGGTGAGAAGGATGCCGGCGCATAGCGTGCTTGAGATGATGCGCAACATGATGAAGGTGGACGCAGAGGCTTGGGCTAGACCTCTCTGCAGAGGCACCACTTAGTCCCGCGGAGATTCAAGCTTACTTATATGCCTAAATAAGGTTGTAGATTTGTCAGGATCAACGAGGGGTATGTTGAAAACGTCATGAGCAAATCGATCAAAGCACTGGCATCGGCAGTTGAGTTTTTGGTGGCTTGGGATCAGATGATCCCAAGGTGCAGCACAGCCTGGGTGTCCACAACGTCTGCGATAGGAAGCAAGAGGTATCTTTTGTACCTATTTTATCGCGCCATCTGGTGGGTCGGTTTGAAAGAGCATCCTCCTCGGGTGGTGTGGTGAGGGGGCAGCCGTTGATGTGTTGTAAGCTGGTTGGAGATGGCCTTTTCTTGTTGTCTGAGCCTTGAATTGTTCCAAAAGGTAATAGAAAAGAGATGATTCATTCATGTTGAGCCTCTGAACGGCTGGTCGAACCCTGTTTTGGAGTGTAGCCAGTATCATGTTCCCTCTCTTGTCACGGCTGTGATCGAGCAACAAACACGAATACCGATCAAGCTTTCTTGTATCTTTCCCCGCAATACCCCGGTCGACTCCGCACTGGATCATTATCAATGGTGCGATAAAATGAGCGCTGATCTGTGTCGGAGACGCTCCGATAGTACAAGTTGCGATGCCGCAATGGAGGCCATGCATGCATGGTTAGCCTGCCCGAATAGGCAGTTGGCTATCGTTACTAACCATTGACTGGCATGAAGCATGAGTGATTTTGGACCGCAGTGATTCATCTGCAAACAGCGATGAAAGTTTTCGGGGCGAAAGCCGAGCTCTGTCCCATCCCTGATGGCTTCACTTCGCCAATGGCGTGGTACTCAAGCGGCAGTGCACATGTCCACCACTCACGCAAGAAATACCAAGGCGTCGTGAGAACACTCGATACCATGTATGTGACTAGATATATGAATTCGGGATACGCTTCCGTCAATTTGCACTCTTTTCGACGCTAGTGACTGGGTCTGGCCAGGATTGCAGTTGTCTCCCAAACATGCATCAACTCCTCGTGCCTATCATCAAAGGGGGAAAGGGTCCTCTGCTATTGCACAGCCAAAGCGTTTGCTAAGCTCGAGACTCCACCTAAAGCCGTCAGTAAAGTGTCTTGTATCGAAAAGGTCCGCGACTCTCTCATACCGGGTATATTGAGAGGTGTACTCATGAAGAAAAAAGACCATCGCTTCTTCCTCTTGCACTGTTCAGCCAGCGCCTCAAGATCAAACATCTCACCGATCGGCATTCCCCACAGCGCGAGCAGGTACTGGTGCTATTTTACCCGTCAGCTATTGCCCCTAGAAACTCGAAATGTGCCATCGCTCACCAGGAAGTCTTTGGCAGGGGGCCACGTCTCCCACGCAGGAGCGTCTCCGGCTACCGCGCTGAAGTAGCTGCGGTTGTAATGGTCAGTCAACCATTCACATCAGAGCTGGGATTCCATGTATATGGGGTGCATACTCACCTGTCGTGCAGCCAGGTCTTGATCTCTTCCGTTGGGGCCACGCCGGCCAACCTGGGGGACGCACTGCCGAGCTCCTCCAGCTTAGCCGGGTTCCTGCGCTCAATCTCATGATACTTGGAGATGTAGCCACTCCGAATAATGAGAATATCTCCAGGCTCGAATGTTACACGTTGCTGTCTGGCCACCTGAAGGAGCTCGTCCAAGTGTATCTCATGCGAGGTGAAAGGATCGTATTCCTCGCCTCTTTGTTTCTTCCAGCTATAGTAATCCAGCAACACGCCTCGCCCCACGATTCCGTGGTTGGAGATGGCCTGGATACCACATCGGGTGTCAGTCCTGAGGTCGGAAGGTTGGAGGCCGTTGTAGAAGAACTTGTTCTTCAGGTGTCCCACGTGGCGAAAGCCGTCCCATTGACTACCAGACTGGGTGTTCATGTCGATGAGATCGTCCTGGCTCATCTCAGTGTCTGGCGTCGTCTGTTTGAGAGTGAGCTTGGCTGCTTGACGGCCGAAGGATGGCTTCTTGGGCAGATTCAGGGGCCAGCTACAAAGCCTTTAGCACGCTAGAGGTTTTCAATGCGTACATTGAGCTCACTTCAGTGACACAACGTCGCCGTCTAGGAGTTCTTTAGTTTTGGCCTCTCGAACTCGCTCTGGCGTCAGAAGGTTGATTCGGCCAATCTTGCACACAGATGGGTTACTCAAACGTACAAGAAGGCTACGTTGGGGAGCATACTGACTTCATCGTCTGGGCCCCAAATCCAAGCAGTCTCCAGAGGAAGATCTGATCCTTTGTTCGACTCTCGAATCTGCTCGAGTGTGGGAAGCCCACCAGGGAACTTCTTGAGTGCATTTTCCATGTTAGATGGCAGGGAAGTGAGTGGTCCTGGATTCGGGTTTGGGGTCGCGCGCGATGCCGGACACGTACGCAGATTTACACTGTGGTAAGAAGTGAAATAAGAATTCGAGCCTTCAAGTATTCAAGTCGGGATACGCCGTAGTCTACACGTATGAGCGTAGCCGAGGCCCCGCGAACGCCAAAGAGGGGAAAATCCCCAACGGAAGCTCGATTACGTAGATGCCACATAGTACCTGTCCTTGAATAAATTAGGCGCGCGTTCAATTCTACGTTTTGCTTTACGCAAGGACTTTGATGCTTCGGTGTGGGTTAGTCTGTGGTACGCTGAGACTCCACAGTCCAAACCACCGAAGGCCTCGCGAGTATCGTCACCAACGACCGACCAAGCACAACGGCATAGAGGATGGAAAGGAATTGACACCATGGACTAGTAGATGCTCATCCCTCCATCTAACTTACGATTAACTGTCGATCAAGCATAAGGTAATATTGGCTCTCAAGATTAAAGTCGAGATATGGTTGCCTGATGGCGACCTTATCGTCGGTCGCTGATACCGGTACTTCAATCTTGACGTGGTCCCGCGTCATGAGTGAGGGACGGGGAAAGCGTTTCTTGGCACAAGGCCTCGGTGTTATTCTTGCTTACAGCGGTATTCCCTTGGCGCTCATAGATGTGTTGAGTGAAAAAACGGGAACGTTGGTCGTGATCTTCAAGTATCAAAGGCGGGCCGTGGCACGACTGGAGATTGGGAATCCGATGCAGAATCGCGCGACGAAGGCTTGATACCAGACAGATAGAAGAATAATCAATCAGCGTACAATCGCCGTCAGCATCACCTAGGATAAATATTTACCAGCGCTGGTTCCACTCAATCAATCGATAATCGGTCTTGCCAATGACGGGAGAGGTTGTCCACATGTACGTCATCACTCCGATTACATCGTCGAGTGTCTCTCAGTTAAGAAGATCAACTCTTGCGCCCAGCTTGAACAGATCCTAACACAATTCATACTTGATCCGACGCACATAATGTCTGCCAAAGTATTCCTCACCGGCGCCACTGGCTACATTGGAGGCGACGCGCTGTACGACATCTCCCGAGCTTACCCCAACCTTGAACTAGCATTGCTCGTGCGCTCGCAGGAGAAGGCTGAGGCGGTCCAAACGCAATACCCCAAGGCCAGAATCGTTCTCGGTGGTCTAGACGACTCTGAGATTATTCAAAAGGAGGCAGCGTGGGCAGATATTGTCATTCGTAGGTCATCACCACATGCAGTACACTGAACAAGACATGAAAGCTAACCATTACTCCCCTCTCCATCTACAGACACAGCCGACTCATCAGATCACGAAGGCGCCGCGAAATCCATTGCAAAGGGACTTGTCGAGGGACACTCTGCCGACCGTCCCGGCTACTGGCTCCACGTTGGCGGGACAGGCATCCTCACCTACTTCGACTCCGAGGTCAAGAAGAGCTTTGGCGAGCCCGACGACAAAGTCTTCAACGACTATGAAGGCGTCGAGGAGCTCACCAACCTCCCTACAGCCGCTTTCCACCGCCACATTGACGAGATTGTCCTGAACACGGGCACCCAGCATGCCGATAAGGTCAAGACCGCCATCGTCTGCCCGCCCACCATCTACGGGCAAGGTCGTGGTCCTGGCTCCGGCCGCGGACGACAGGTCTACGAGCTGACCACGTTCATCCTCAAAGAGCAGTACTGTCCTAAGATCGGCAGGGGTCTCTCCAAGTGGAACCACGTGCACGTGCACGACCTGAGTACAGTGATGAACCTGCTCGTCAAGGCTGCGCTCGACCCGTCGCGCAAGGACGACCCGCAGATCTGGGGACCCAAGGGGTACTTCCTCACTGAGATTGGCGAGCACACATGGGGACCACTCTCGGAAGCTATCGGCAAGGAGGTGCAGAAGCAAGGTCTAAGCAACAAGGACCAATTGGAGACAAAGGGTATGTCATACGACGAAGCCGTCAAGTCTCCTGCCGGGTTTGAGGCGGCAAGCTGGGGCATGAACTCGCGCGCAACGGCCATCCGGGCCAAAAAGGTGCTTGGATGGCAGCCCAAGGAGCACGGTCTCTATGAGGCGATTCCCGAAATTGTCCAGTCCGAGGCATCGAGGCTGCAACTCAAGTAGATCCAAAACATGATATTCCTTGCCACGTCGTTAGCCGTGGGAGTCCTTGAGCTTCTTGAACATGCCCCCAGCGCCCCATAATATACCTTCCAGCACGCCAGGATTCCCTCTGTATCCTTCACCAGGGTTCCCATCCGCGTCTCTCCAGATCCCGTCCTCGGCCACAGCCCCAAATTGGTGTGTGTTCTGGTTCCTCTCCAACCCCTCTCGCCACGCCCTACATATCAGTGGGCTGTCCACCATGACATTGACCTCCTGGCTATGATACCAGGTCTGCGTGTCCTGGTTGCCACTGCCCTGCACACCGACGCAGTCATCCACAATCAGGATCTTGACATGACAGCTCCTTGCCTTGAACGACGCGTGGATCGGATAATTTTGGTCTTTGCCGACGTAGTCGTGCGCATGAAGCTTCTCACGGGCCGGGCCATCTGCCGGCAGCATGGCTAGCAACCTCTGCGTGGCTTGCTCGTTTGTCCCACCCTGACCAGGAATCATCTCGCCAGCGTCGTTATAGCCGAAGCAGAGATACACGGTCACTTCGACCCCACGCGTCAAGGCATCGACGATAGCCTCGGTAACGGGCATGGTGTTAAGATCTGGGGTCTGGATGAACACACTCCGCTCGGCGTTCCTGATCAAGGATAGCCACGCCTCGTTCTGAGGCACATGTACGTTTGACTTGTCCACCGGCCCGTAGGCGGACCGTGACACCATGGCAATGGGTACGTCCTGCGGCGTCAATGTCGTGATATATGGCGTAAAGACCTCGTCAGGTGCAATCTCAGGCCCGGAAGGCGGCACCTGCTTTCTCGCCATCATGTTGAGAACGCGGTTCGTGGCCTGGAGCGGCGTTTCTCCCCTCCCAGGTTCATGGTTGGCCTGGACCCTCCTGATTTCGGATGCAATGTCGACGTCGTAGTGCGGTTGGTCCGGCATAAGCGGGACCAAGCATTCGTTCTTGATTTCAGGCTTCAAATCATTGCTGCGCACATGCCGCAATTCGCCCTCCCCAACCTCAACCCCAGAGTTCTTCCTCTCAAGGCCTTGGGCGTCTCTTCCCAGACTCTTCCCCCAGCACAGAAGAGCCGTGTCCCTCAGCCCCTGGACAACATTCCCTTCCAGCCGCGTCATCATCTCCATGTTGTCGTTATCCTCCATATTGCAGCTCATGACCATGGCCGACGTTCCATCCACCACGCAGAACTTGGCGTGCTGCGTACCCAGGGGCACGCAGTGGTAACTCGCCACGTCCAGGTCCACGTTGGGAATCTCCTCGAGGGATGGCAGGTCAATGGCTTTCGACGTCCATTCCGCCTCGCTCACAGGACGATGCGGATCCCAGACGTTAGAAAAACTAGCCTTGTCAAACATAATCCTCACCACAACCCTGTTCGACTGGCTCCGTCGCGATAGCTCCACCAAGGCGTCCCGGATCAATATCTGCGCACAGCTCGGCTGCCACACCGACGTGATGAGCAGTACCTCGCGCTTGGCACGGACAATGGCATTGGTAACGTGGCGGATCACGTCAATTAATGGTCCGATCACCGTCAGCGGCACAGTGCCATGCGACCCCATCAACGGAGGCGAGACGATGCCGCAAAGGGGATCTCGGTCCAGGCAGGACGCCGCATCAGCAAAGGCTCGCAGGAACAATGGGCTTGGCTTGGTATCGCCCCATTTCCCACACTCCAACACTCGCTCATGGGAATACTGCGATTGCGAGGCAGAATGGTGGTCGTCTCCATACAGACGATGGAATATCTCACCGGGAGATTCGGACGGTGACTCGGCCGTGACCGACGACACCGTCTCGGGAACATTGGTCAGTTTGATGAGGTGATCAGTCACCATCGTAGCCGTCTTCGCGTCCGCAAAAGAAGTTGCGCCATTCTCGAAACACGCAGCAGCCAGACGGAGAATATTCACGACTTACGGAGATCCAGGGGGGACGGACGTCATGTGTGGGTAGCTGTAGTGGTGAGTACGTACGTACTTGCGTACGCGTACAGCCCAAAGGGCCCAGCCAAGCTTTGGAGCTAAAGAAAGGCGACCGGCAATAATCAGGACAAAGACGTCAAATGTGGCATATCCTTCCCATTCTGGCGTCCCATTTTACCCGGGGACCTACTACATAGCAGGTTTCAGTTCATGTACATCGTCAAGTCATTTCACTCACACGGCCTGCGCCATCGCTCATCGACCGTATTGAATGCCCAATCCCATGCGGTTCTGTGCCGTCGAACCGCTCTCCATCCGGCTCCTCTTGGGTGGGCTTCCTTGCTCTAGTCGTGGCTCTTCGATAGTCTCCTGGCTGCTGCCATACTTGCGCTTGTCCCCGTCATTTCTCACATTGGAGAAGAGTTTGGACTGCAGTCGCGCAGACTGCTCCACGGCGCTGGGCGTCCCGTCGCGGGACAGGGCCTGCCGCATCTCGTAGCTGTCGCGGGGCTCACGTCGTAGCATCTCCGTCGCCGCCAGGCTGGCCTGGCTTCCGTAGGCGTCGGAGCCGTCCTCGCCACGACTCACCTGGCTCCCGGCGAGCGCCCCCGCGGAAGTGAAGGACCGTATAGCTTGTCGCGCTAGCTCCTCGTTGTCGTCGGCTGAAATCGTGCTCTCCCTGGATTTCCTGCGCTCAGTTCTGGGGGTCGGCGATCCACGATCATATAGTCTTGGGGCATACCGGTGGTTATAGGGCTCTGTCTGGGGAACCAGGTTGGCCGAGGGCAGCAGCCCAGCATAGGGGCCACGCGGCCGGTGCATGGGCGTGGTGGGCAAGGACGACATGGACTGTGCATTCCGCTGGTGTTTCCCGCCGTGACGCGAGTTGGACCGGTTCGGCAAAAACGGGGTCGAGGGCGCGCTGTTGTTGTCCTGGCTGAGTACCTCCAAAAGTGTGGTCAGTTTGTTGTTGTTGCTGCCGCTGTCGTCTCGCTCGAGACCGCCGCGCTGGCCACCGCGGTGGGCGCTGCGGCTCTGTACCGGCGATGCTGGATTCTGGCGAGGTGTCGTCGCTCCATGAAAGATCCCCCCTGGACTCCTCAGCTTGTTCATGTGCTCACGATTCTCCCTTATACGGTTGAGTAGCTGATGCCTCTCCTCGATGAGGGACATGACCTCCTCATCTTTCTGTCCGATGATCCTCTTTGCATTCTTCAGTCGGCGCTCCAGCGCTTCGATCTCCAGCAGCGCCTCTTCGTGAGCCGCCTTGAGCTCAATGAACTTTGTCTGCACAGCCTCTGAGAAGGCACTGAGCTCACGCTTTGCCTGTCGTGAGTGTTCGGCCGTCCGAAGGGCGTCAATCTCCTTGCGTAGCATGTCCAGCTCCACATCAGCCCTGTTCGCGTCTTCCGATGCCTGAAGGCTCAGCAAGTTGTACTGCAATCTGTGGTGGGCCGTCTCCATCTTCAGCTTCTGGTGGTCTGCAATGCAGGTCTGGAGCATGGCTCGAAGTTCATCTGCCGAGCTCTCGCGCACCTGTCGGGGCGAGGGCGGCACAAAGTCCGTAATGTCCCTCTCGCGCACATTGTTGAGAATCGTAGCAGGGGGTGATACGAGATTTGACTCCTGGGACTGTGTGATGGGCTGTCTAGCGCGTCGGCTGTTACCATTGACGTGGCTGCTGCCGGAAGGCCCAACTTGGGTCGAGGGTGGTGGGGTCAGCGAGGAACGGATGATGGTTGTGGCCGCTCTGTCATCGTTGACCTCGGTCCGGAATGAGTCGTTCGCGTCGTTGACGGGTGATGCTGGCACCTCGGTGGAGGGTAGTGTGACCTGCGAGAGCTCGTAGGGGCCGACTTCTTGGGGTGTCGACGGTTCAATGGGCGTCCCAATGCCATCAATGGCCACGCCATTTGGGCGTTTGCTGTCGGACTCGGAGTCCGAATACATGTTGTATATAACGTAGCTCGAGCAAGGGCCGTACTGTGGGTAGGGGTAGCGATCGATCGCGTTCCAAATCGTCTGTTGGTACTCAGACACTTGACGTCAAGGGGCGATCCGCACGCAAGCCAGAGCGCATGTGTCGACGCGTCGCTGAGCGGTCTGTTCCAGCAAGTGTAAATATATGCGAAGAAATTCGAGCGACCGGCATGTAGCAAAGAGGGTTTTGAAAAAGCGACGCGACCGTGGATGGGGCCAGAGGGTCAGTAATAGTGGCAGATCGCCAAAGGCTAACGACGTTAACGTGGTGGTTGCCCGGCAGAGAAACTGGAGAGGCTGGGCGAGAGGACGCGCTAGGCCGCAAACGGACTCGGTGAGGCAGCTTGGCGTCGGTGTGCACAATATCCTCAATATCCTCACGTGCGCAGTTTGACGACTGGCAGGATCTTCCTCCCCTGCCCTCCCGGTGAGCAAGTGATGAAGCGAATGACTCAATTGTAATATTTTGAATATCCAGAATTAATATAACGGGTATCTTCGCGCAATACTCACACAGCTGTGGCAGCCAACCTTTCCAATGCCACAAATTAAGAAGCCTTACAACCCTGATGATCCACAAAGGCTAATTACTCGTTGATTATACGCACCCAAGCCATAAAACGCCGCTGAACAGTAGACTGAAGCTTATTCGACGTCGCTCGAAGCTTCGTCGCCATTGTCGCCCTTCCATTCAGCCTTCTCCGCGAGAGGGACGCGGCCGCGAAGCCACCTCAGGGTCGACTCGGTGCCTCGCTCGAGCACATTCCATCGAGGGACTTTGAACCGATTGCCCATGACATCGAGCTTCTCCAGACCCCCAGAGCCCCCGAGGAGGCCAAGGCGAGGGTTGAGTCGTGAGATGTCATTGCTGGAAACATCGACAATCCTGAGCCCCTTGATTGTCTCCGGCTCCAGATCAGTGATCTGATTGTTGGCAGCCAGGAGTATTTTCAACAAAGGGAAGGCTTCGGTCAGTGTCTTTGGTAGCCCATTGACTCTGTTTAGACAGACATCCAGCTTCTCCAGTTGAGGTGCGCGCAGGTGTCCCACCAACGGCTCGAGCCCAGTGATGCGATTCGAGGCCAGGTTCAACTCCCTCAGCGCAGGAAAGTCTATGTCCTCCGTTAGGTAGGTCTCTCCAACAAACTGGTTGTTTGAGAGAGACAGAATCGACAGGGTTTCGGCAAAGAAGCTCAAAGAGTCGGGAAAGGACGTAAAGAGGTTGTGGTGCAGCATGACTTGTTTGATCCGGTGCTCGGCCGCAACCTTGGAGCAGACAACTGGTTGGAGCGATGACGAGTCCGTCCTGGACCGATCGAGGACGCCCCCCGACTTGACAGGCCAGACTTCCTTGGACAGCGTACGTGAGCGTGAGCGTAGGCTCGACACCGTCTGCGACCGGGACCGCACCGGAGAGTGAGGCGCTGAAGTCGGAGGCGTAGCAAAGTTATCGTCGACGCTGTCCTCGTCCTCGTCATCGTATCTTGCATTTCGCTGTTCCAACCTCTCCTGGGCCCGCATCTCGGCCTTTGCGTCGGCCAGGAAGCCAGGCACGCCAGGAGGAACATCAGAGTCCGCCTCTTGGTGGGGGTATGGGGGCGGCGGTTCCAGCCGAGCTGCCAAAGCATCCTTGAGCTCATCCGTGGCGAGTGACACGAACTTCTTGTCCCGCAGAGGGTTGCCACTGAGCCGGATCATGGTCAAGTTGTCCATGCGAGCAATCTCAGGCGGTATGACCCGGATGTCGTTACCAGAGAAATCAGCATGTCGAAGCTTTTCGAGCGTTGTGAAGCTATTGGGTATCCCCGAAATGCTGTTCTCATCGACCGTCAACGTGAGCAAATTTGTCCATGTGGTCATGTCTGGCAGGCCTTGCAGTCGGTTGGCGGACAAGGACAGCGCGTGCAATACCGGTAGATCGATCGCGGCACCCAGGGGTACCAGCCTGGTCAGCTGGTTCACGGATGCATCTAGTGTCTGGAGCTGGGGTAGGCTGTCCACAGGATCCTCAATGAGGGCGCCCGCGAGCTTGTTCTTCCGCAGGAGAAGTTCGGTCAACGGTAACTGGGCCAGCTGACTGAACGAGAGGGACTCGAAGCTGTTTCCGCTCAGGTTCAATATTCGCAGTCGGGTCATGTTCTCGACGCCTCGAGGCAGCGCAGACACGTTGTTACCGTGTATGTCCAGTATCTCCAAAGAGGTGAGATTGCTTAATTCGGGCGCCAACGGCCCGTAGAACAGGTTCTTGGCCAGTTTGAGATCTCTCAGGGATGTCATTTGAGCAATCGTGTCGAGGCAATTGTTTTGCAGGCGATTAGAAGACTGCGACCATTCAGCTAGAGAGCTCTGTGCGTGACAACATTTTCGGACTTACCAAGTTCAGTGATGTGAGATTTGCCAGTCGCCTGAAACCGAGGGGAACATTGACCAAGAGGTTGCCATGGAGGTCCATTGTTTCAAGCCCTCCAAACATACTTCCTGCACTATCCTCCTCGTTGGCGAAGCTGCTGGGGTCTGAGTCGGGGAAGATGAAATCGTCAAGCTTCTCAAACTCATTGTCCGCCGCCACGAAGCGTGTCAGATCAACACTTTCAGCCCAGTTACCGTTGCTGGCGCCAACACTTTCCAGGTCGTACATTTTCATCACCTCCACCGGAATCTCCTTTAGACTTAATGCGGCGATGTTTAAACGGCCTGTACTCCTTGCGGCGCCGATTCTTTGTTGCAAGACCCTCTGAGACGCGGTCTCGCCCTTCTTCAGATTGAAGGGGTCTTCGTGTGCGACACCAAAGTCGAACCCATCGTCGCTGGGAACAATTGGTTCTTCCGTCTGAGTATCTGGAACCTGCGCCGAGGTAGACTGCTTCATAGCCTCCCGTTTCGCAGCCTTTGCTTTCGCAATCTGATCTCTCAATGCAGCTGATGACTTGCGAGCCGAGCTCGCCTTCTCGCTCTCATCGGGTTTGACTTCGCTGTTCGCCGCTCCCAGATCAATGGCCGGTAAAGAAGGCTTTCTATATAGGGAGCCTGCAGATACCTTGGGTTTCAAGGGACGACTGGCCACGGTCTTGGCACCTGTCTTGGGGGGCAGCATGCCATAAGTCTTCCTGGCGGTGGTAGGCGTAGAGTTGGTGGTTGTCGCCGCGCCTGACTGAGGCAGCTTTGACGTTGATCCCAAGGAGGCTCTTGACGTAGTCTTGCGCAGTGCGGGCGTTTTGGGTGCTTGCAGACCTGAAGACCTCGCCCGTGGCGTGCCATCAATGGTGGAGAGCGATGCGTGGTACGTTGAGGTCGACCCTCGGAAGTTGGGCTCTTGCTGGTATCCAAGTCGTGACCCAGGCCGACTGGCAGCGCTCGGCGGTCGGTTGGACCCGTCTGAGTTGTAGCTCGACCCGGGCCTCGATGTGGTACTACCTGCCCTGGAGCGCGACCGATTTCGATCGAAAAAGGAAGATGATTTCTTGCTCAAAGCTGGAGAAGAAGGAATGTTGGCCAATGTTTCCATCGTTCGCTCAGAGAGGGATTGTCTGGGCTTGAAAGGCGTTGATACTGTCGGAAATTCAGACACGCTATCCTCGACTTCAACGGCGTCTTCGTTCAGTCCAGACAACGGCGATTCCGAAAACGATTCTGAAGGCCGCCGTGTCAATGTCAGGCGCCGCCGGAACAGCACTCCGTCTGTTTCCGCCGGCTTGCTCTCCGCCTGCTCCTTGGCGAGCGTGTCCATCTGGGCCAGGCTCGTGCGACGAGACAGAGGGGTGGCACTACTTCTGCCGCCATTGTAGCTGCCTGTCGTAGATTGCAGAGGCTTGGCAAGAGAGAGCCTAGAGGGCCGAGTTTGCGACAACTGATCGCGCGATACCGAAGCTCGCAACCTAGGTGTAGCCCCTTGTCCAAGACCGGTCCCGGTGCCAGTCCCAGAACGCAATTGATCCCTTGAGATAGAATTTCGCAGTCTCGGGGTTCTCAGCCCCGTATTCGCATCGCTCGATATATCTCTTGGCCCTATCAAGCTATCTCTGGACGGCGAAGGTCGGATGACAGAGCTGGGGCGAGGGATCGTGGAGGTGGGTTTCGGAATGCTTGAAGTTGGCCTCGCCTGGGGAAGCTTCGACGGCCGTGGAAGCCCAGTTGTGCGTTTCGGTGTCTCGTCCATGGCGAAAGGGGCATCAGTCGTCGCGGGGCGGCGAATAGACACAACCAGTCGCGCCTAGTTCCGGGAGCTAGCCAGATGCACGACTCGTGGTATGAGGGCGCGCGGACGCTGGTGTGCGGGCTGATGAACAGATGTAGAACAAGATGGGGGCATCGACAATGGCATGTTCACGGCCCCATTGGTGCTGAACCTTCAGGAATGTGCCGAGGGATTGAGCTGGAGAAGTTGAGCGTCGAATACGGAGGTGGAAATCCACAGACAGCCTGACTGACCCCTGATGCTGTGAACTTCGGATGCGTGGAGTCAGTCACCGCGAATATGGACATAATAATTGAGGTATTCAGCAGCCCGAAAGGTACGGGTTCTTGGATCAAGATGAGTGTTTTAATTTGTCAACTACCCCAGTACCTGGCCAACCACCCGCGCTAAATGGCAACCGCCCAACACCAAACAACGATTATCAACACAAGGAGGTCAGTCATCAGTCATCGCGCCAACAAATCACTTTGACCCCGCCGCCATGATTTCGTTACTCGTAATCTTCCAGGCGAAGTTCAAGATCCGTATCGTCGTCGTCTGAATCATCGAAACCGTCCTGTACGATAAATCCATCCAGGGAATCAAAATCGCTGCAGTTGTCCGGTGCCTCACTCTCCTCGCTCGCCGATGAATCTAGAACAATGGGATTGTCTTTATCGTTAGGTGATACATCCAGCTGCTCGAAGCTTCTGTTCTGCTCGCCCAAAGCACGCATTGATCTTGTCTGGACCCGTAGGCGGCGGCCAGGCGCGGGCTGTACTGAGGGAAGCCGCCGTGCTTCCTGACGCTCGCTGCCAGACGACACGGAGCTCTTTCCATTGGGGCGGTGGCTTGCAGTCTTTGTGGTGCTGGGATTCTTCTTCTCAGCAGATTGAGCGCGCTGAGGAGTATCCTGCTTCTTATTGTGCGTGGTCGGAGCTGTCTGCTTGGACTTTGGCGGACGAGTAGCTTTGCCCCCTCTCCAGTCGCGCAGGATACGAACAATCTCAGGGTGGACCAGCTGCCTCGCTTGCGGGTGCTGCATTCTTTTCTGGTTCCTCTTGAGCAATGTGTCATAGTCGGTGTATTTGTGACGAATGTGAGCCGTGACCGCAAGACGGACCTTGGAGGTCATGTCGCGCGTGCCTGTGCGCCCGACCCTCCCACTGCGCTTCTTCAAGGTATGTTGGAGTATCGTTCTGAGGCTATCCTCTGGAATCTTGGGGAAGTCTTTGAGGATTGCTTCCTTGAAAGTCGCTTCGGTTGCCCCATCGCGCCTCTCAACAGCGGCGCGTCGCGTCGCCTTTGTTTCCTTGTCCTGCTGGTGAACTTTGCTGATAATGTCGTGCGGTGCGCGAAGCCCAACGATCTTGTTCCCACCTTTGACAACGTACAGTTTCCTGCCGGAGGCATGTGTCAATCGACGGCAGATTCCTGTCTTGTAAGGATTGCCCTTGGCAAGAAATCCGTAGCCTTTTGGCTTTTGGCTTTTGACATCAACCTCACACTCCGAGGCAGGCATTGTGATGCTCGTGGCGATCACAGAGATGATTTTAATATTCGAGAGAGACGCCGTGCCATTTTCTTTTCGGGCAGTTGTTTAGACGGGATGTTGTGGTCTGGTTCTTTGTTGCACGTTGGCTTCGTTTCAAGATCGGTTTGATGCTGGACGAGGCGGCATTTGAATGGTCCTACCCTACAACCATTTAGTCAACGCTTATTGCCAGAAGCAGTTGCCATTCAGTAATTCACAAGAGAAGACTTGAAATATTCATGCATTGGCCTGATATTACCAAAGCTTTGTGCACAACTGCACAATTCCTGCCGTCTCATGAAACGGTCACAGTTCCTCGTCAGCTTTCCTACATGCGCCAACGTCAACCCATTGCCCATTTTAGTCGACCTTCAACGCCAACTCGTCCGACTGAAAAGTACCCATAAACGCATCCTCGCTATCAGAGGGATTGTCAAGCGAGGCATCACTAATGTCATCCTTCGCCTTCGGCCAGACTGCTCTCCACTCGCCCTTCAACAGCGCCGTCGCAGTTTCTCCCAGCGTCTCCTTAGACACCATTGCAGGCTTCACCTCAATCTCGCTCGTTTTGCTTTCTCCAGCTGCAAGCTCAACCAAGTGGTCCCTGGTTGGAGGCCAGATCCTGCGGAACTGCACCGTTGCCAGCTCGAGCGCTGTATCTTTGCCAGAGGGCGTGAGCGACAGCAAGCCGAGGGCGAACGCAGCTTGGTCAAGTGGCGAGTCGTATGTCAAGATGCTGACAGTGTAGTCATTTGTGTTGGTCACGGTCGCCTTCACAGAAATAGGCCACTCGGTGGAAGACTGCTCGATCGACACCTTCAAACCCTCCAAAGGGTTGGGCGAATCGCGCTGGCTCATCCCGACTTGCTGCGTGCCAAACGCTCGAAAAAGAACGACAACAGCGACGAAGAATAGAACGCCCGTGAATATTTTGGGACCTGTGCAGGCGCGTGAGGGACTCATGGGGCTGGTGACGAGACTTGTTGCGTTGAGAGAGCGGGGATCAACGTGTTCGTGAGAAGAGCGTGGTGACCTTAAGCAGGCAGGCAGGCCGGCAGGCCGTTCGAGGTCGCAATGGCGCCTGTTTGTACCATCCTATTTCAAGGCAGCCAACTACCTCATCGAAGTCAACCCAAGGTTGCCTAAGTAGAAACACTACTTGTGTTATCCTCCTGCCTTGCCGGGCCTAACCCCGCAGCAGGCAGTGTCAGTGCCGTGTCCTTATCTCACCACCATCCTGTTTAGATCCATCGAATCGGCAGTCCACGCAGGCGACAGAGCCGAGGTCACCTTCTCAGTCGGGCAACTAATAGGTCGACAGCGCACCAGTCACGGGCCAGCACGCGCTCGAATACTGCCGACATCACACAAGGGCAGGCAACGCAAGTTCAAGGTCATGTGGTCATAACGTCGTTACTATCCAAGATCTCCAACCCGATCCCTTGTACTGTGCCCAAGAAAAGAAATAGTAGGCCCGTCCTCCTCTTCCTACATGCCCATCGAGAAACGCCCCCAAAAACCAGCCTTCTCGAAACACCAGTCTTCTTTACACGCGGACAAGTCCTTGGTCCTAGGTAATGGTACCCAGCATGGCCCGGACAATCTTTGGCGGCGGTCCTACAGCAAGGAAGATAAACACGTCAGCCGCCTGTACTGATTGCGAAGCGCTGTCCCACCCGGGGCGGTATGGAAAAGGGAGGGGTTGAATGAATGGGCTTCATGACCGCTTGGGGACGCTGAGACTTAACCGACCCTTCTTGTCCTTTTCGATGCGCGGTGGCTTCGAGTGGTGGATGACCTTTTCGACCTGCTCCTCGTACAGCACGAGTTCCCCGTTGGGCAAGCGCTCGGCGCGTACGAGCTCGCGGCCCCCGACGGGACCCGTGCTGTGCTTGGGGCGATGGGCGAGCTCACGTTCCAGAGCTCGGATTTCGGCGCGGATCTCCCGCCCTCCTCGAGAACGCGAGCGAGAACGGGAGCGCTCCGCGAGGGCAAGAGGCCCCACAGGCATGGGACCCGAGGCCTCGTGGTGGTGGTGATGGTGATAGGAGTCCCAGCTCGAGGTAGTGGATGTGCGAGAGGGAGAGTAGTCGCGACCTGGCGGAGGCCCAGCGTCGACCACCACGGGAGCCGGGGCTGGGACTGGACCCGGAGCTGGTGCCGGTGCCGGTGCCGGCGGAGGAGGTGCCGCAACAACCACGGGCTCAGGGGCCGGCGCGGGCGCAGGTGTCGGAGGGACGACCGTCGCAGGCGCTGGAGGTGGCGGTGCGGGAGCGGGCGCAGCTGAAGCGGCAGGAGGTACGAAGACGGGATCGTCTCTGCGATCTTCAAGGAGGTTTCCAGCGGAGGAGCGGGCTGCCGCCACTTCCATTTCACCTAGAGGCCATTGTAAGCATGTCATTCTTCTCATCGTAACCAAGAATAAGAAATCTCACTCTTCTTGTACTCCTCGCTCAGCTTGAGTAGCTCATCAATGTTGTCCTGACCAAGGGCCTTTTGCACGATGAGCGTGTTGCCCTCTTCAGTGAAGGGATAGCCAATGTCGATGAGAGCACGCTTGGACACGAGGCGCGCAGGGATTCTCGTCTTGCCCTTCTTAGGGTATTCACTCTTGATCGTGGTGCCACCGCTGCTGCTGGATGATCTCGAGGTGACAGTCGACGTGGGAGAACTGCCCCGGCGAGTGCGAGTGCGTGTAGACCGAGTCGTGGCTGGGGATGTGTCTCGCCTGTCGCGGCGGACATACTCCCGCTCACGCACGCGGTCAGGGTAAGGGCGGTAGTGCTCATCGCCGTAGTAGTCTGGCTCAGCAACCTTGATGTCGTCGTAGTACTGGTCGTCATATCGCCTGGGAGGTGGGAGAGCCTTTGTCTTGGTTTTTGGGAGGGGTATATCGGTGTAAGGTGGCGCACGGTACTCGTCCCGTGGATCTCGCGGGGCGACGTCTTCACGACGTGCAGGTGGGGGGTACTCCTCACGTTGGTCGTAGAATTTGCGCATGGGTCGACGATCATACGTATCTAGAGACGACTGGCGGCGCAGGAAGGCAGGGCGTTGCGGCGAGCGATCTCGTCGATACTCCCGCTCCCTCTCCATGACTGGAGGAGCTCTGCGCTCATACTCCGGGGCGTACTCGCGGCGGGGGGCATGTCGAGGCTCATCCTCGTAATACCGGCGCTCACGAACAATGTCGTCGTCATAAGACCTAGGGTTTCGGCGTTCATAGCGGTCATCGTAGTAGTCGTCCCTTGGACGTCCTCCACCCCTCATGTAGTGCCTGTCGTCGTCGTCGTAGCGAGGGCGATCTTGCTCATAGTCGAAGCGATCACGGTCCCAGCGCTCGGGTCCTCTAGTCGACATTGTGCTGGTCGTCTTGAGATAAAAAAAGTCGGCGGAGTGGTTGGAAAGAGTGACTTCTCAGGAGCCCTCGCGAGACGCTTGGAAGCTGAAGGTACGGCGGTGGGTTGGCAGATGATGGGCGACGACCGATGACGTGTGTCGCAACCCCACTTCCAGGTCGTATTTTTGGTAGACGGACCAGTGAAGCCCAGCAGTGGCTGATTGTTGAGTTCGAAACACAACAGTCTGGGCAAGGTGACTGGAGAGCAGAGTGGCTGATGGCACACCTGGACGAGGTCACGAACTGCAAGGCTCTCGACGGCTATTGGGCCGTATTCTCGCGTTCGCAAGGTCTGGACTTGAGAAGATGCTCGCTCAGGGAAGTCTATGGAGAAAAGTTGGGAAGAAGGGAAAATTACGACTTCCAGGAACCAGCCTTCAATTTAACAACAGAAAACCCAAGAGAAGCTCGCTCGCTCGCTCGCTCGCACTGACCTCATTCTGCTTCCTCGCGACATGGACTGGGCACTGAGGCTACTGAGTATAGCAGGGCGCAGCTGGCTTTGCTTGAGACGCTTGACCATCTCCTCGACGCCCAACTGGTGGGCCAAGACCGGGCATTGACGGCCCTGTCCGGGACAGGGGTGGTTGGAGTTGGCTGTGGAGATTCCCAATGCTAAGGGCTGATAGTGCAGCGGAGGGGTTGCAGGCGAAAGGCCTAGCAGATCCTAACCACACTTTCTTGTCCAAAGCAACTGTCGACAAGCCCTGCCAGCCCGTTGACTGGGGCATCCTCGCTCGACCACAACGACAAAGACCTTTGCCAAAGCGCACAATTTGTCGATTATAGATGGGAATGTAGAAGCTCGGGCATCGAGATCGGCTCATTGGGCGCTCTCGAGGACGCGAGCCCCTCTCTCTTGTTTCTTCTCACTTGAGACCACGCCAGTCGAGGCCAAGCTACGAAGGAAGCTCTGACCAGAACATCGGCCACGCATCGTCAATGTAGGCGATGACGAGGTCGCAAGCAGCGAGCGGTGCTTTCCCACCTCAGAATACTAGGACAAGCCATCACGCAAGTCGCACATTGCACACGCAACCACTCGCAAAAGACGCGGTATCGTTGCGAGAGGAAGTCGTGATAGCCTCATCACCCGACCACCCCCAGAACCACCCGCAGGTGACTGATCAAATGACGCGTCGAAAAGTCTCCGCTTACCGATGTCCCCGCCCCTCGCTTTTATGGCCTTGTGGAGAGGCAGCACTGAGTCGACTGGCAAGCGGTTTGGCTAGGGTGAGCCTTGCGCGCCAAAGGTATGTCGGCGACGGCCACCAGCGTCGCGCAGTCATCTTCAAGGCTTCAATTTGAAGCCCAATGGACCAGGCAAAAACCTCGCGTGGCAGCACCCTCCCAAGTTATCACCAACCTAAACCGGCTACTTCCATTGACTAGCGCACATCGCCGTATGCGGGGGATGCAGAATCACGAGCATTGGTGCCTCGGCAACCCTTACGAGTTTAGACCTAAAAGCACTGAGAAAGATTCTTCTATTGACATGTTCATGGTTTCAGCCTTGATCCACCGTCAATATGATATCCTCGTGGGCGACTGTCGTGGCCAACTATGACCCTCATGTCATTGACGTGGTCGGCACTCAGCTCGTCCAACTCGTCTTTTGGTGGCTGCCTTGCACCTTGTTTGTACTCCTCGATATCATAGCCCCGAGCTTCTCCGCAAGGCACAAGATCCAGCCGGCGCCCAAACAGCCAAGCAACGCAGATATCAAGCACGCTGCCAAGGTCTCCGTTCAAAACCAGGGGATTGTCCTTGCTCTTCAATTATCCCTGGCCGCCTTGGCTGTGCTGGCGAATCGACCACCGGCACTTCAGGTCACTGCTAGCTTTCCGAGCTTGAGAGACTTCAGCCAGGACTTCCTCATCTGCCTCCTGGCTCGTGAGGCCCTGTTCTACTACTCCCACCGGATCCTGCACACCCGGTCTTTGTATGCGGCCATTCACAAGTTCCACCACCGATTCACAGCACCGGTGTCGTTTGCTTCGCAGTATGCCCATCCTGTCGAGCATATCATGGCCAATACACTGCCGATTGCACTTCCACCATTGCTATTGCACACACACATCCTCACAATGTGGGCATTCCTCGCTTGGCAGCTTGTAGAGACGGCCACTGTGCACAGCGGCTTCGACTTCTTACATGGCGCGGCGCGGAAACATGACCGACATCACGAGAGGTTCAACGTCTACTTCGGCGGACTTGGTCTGCTAGATTGGATCCATGGCACAGACGAAAAGAGAGGCAGCAAGATCGAATAACACGGGGGTATATTGCTTTGTGTACTACCTGAAGCAAATCATAACGCTCTCATTTCCCATTTCCATTCTCACTTCATCGTTACAAGCGCTGCTCGAGTGTTCGGCCCCTCCTTCTTTTCTTAGCTGGTCTTCTTCTGCGCCAGCTTCTGCCCCTGAGTTGTGTTGCGCATGTACAAGAAAGCGACCAGGGCACCGACGGACAGGATGACAATGTTTCCTTCGACTCGTCAGTAACACAGTGATACAAGGGCTTGTTTGAGACATACCAACAATGAACTTTCCGACCCCGGTGCTGATGTCGACGAATCCGCCCAAGACGTCGCCAACAAGCGACAAGATGCCGACGACAAAGTTGTACGTGGCGAGGAACACACTGTGCACAACAGAGTAGGCTGCGCCAAAGACGGAGGACACAAGCTCGTAGATGGACGCGAAGAAGTCCGATACTGCAGTGGTGATGGCCATGGTGTAGTTGGTAATACGGGGGATGGCAGATGGGACGGTAGGGTTCTTTGTGACGGAATGTGAGTTGGCGAGCTGGGAGAAGTTCTTGGCGAAGAAAAGAAAGCAAACTGAACCTCGACCCTTTTAACTGTTCCCTCTCAAACGTGATGAGCAAACAGGATCTAGATCCCAATGGACTGGATTGTCTCATGGTGAAGTGACGTCGCCATGACTAACTGACGTCATTGTCACAGTAGATGAAAGTTGCTGACAGCCTCGCTGGACAGCCTCTTCTTGCGCCGAGTGCAGCTCACGATATTGTACGACTTGAGGGATATTGGGAAGCTTGGGAGCAGTGTCTCGTCCTGAGATGAAGTTCACCGCGATGTGGAGCTGCGACATCGATTAACGCCGCTGCTTCTTGTGGAAACTCCGTACTCGGCAGACGGCATTTGCTTCGGATGCGAAGGCAGCGTGTTTCTGGATTTTCTCTAGCGAGAACTATTAGGCACTTGTTCGTATTGCATAGTTCGTTAGCTTCAATAGTACATGTAAATTCCGATTGTTCCCCGAAACCTAATTTGTTGGCTGATGGATGACTGGCCCACTGGGATTCGTAAGTTGTTCCTGGCTGCCGGTGCTCATCCGCGTACCACCTCGCTTTGCCAAGGGCACAATCTCTAGCCTCTGCCTCTCAGGCTCTCGCCCAGATGACTTGGCAGCTGCGCCGAGGGCGGCGCACCCGGGTACACCTACCGTAATAGAACTCAATACGTAGAGCAGAAGCGGGAAGGGGCGCATTCCAGCAGCGATAATACGTACATCATTCATCAGCCCACGAGAGCCGGGGTCGATCCTTCAGTCCAGTTCAGAGCCAGACAGACGTCTGGAGTCTGGACCCCTTTATTTCCCCGAGCCCCTCGAGCCCTCATTCCGCCGGGGGGGTTCCATCTTCGTCCAGATCTAACGTTAATAAACACCACGCGTCGATCGCCAAACTGCGCTGCAGGCCGTCTCTAGGGACATCATTCATTAACCCACCACTGCCGTCGTCGTTGATGTCCAGGCGCGTATCATCGTTTCTTCCACTCAACATCCATCCCGCCCATTTCATCACTAGTCGCCATTCGCTTCAATTGCCCACCGCGTACCGCTTCGCAGCGCCGCCTCCTCGATAGCCTCAATCGCCAGCGCCGACTTGCCCCTGTCTTGCAACGGTCTCGTTCGCCTCGCCTGCGCGGCGAGCCGAATCGCTCGAGACTCTCGGGCCACAAAGAAATTCACATAAAATCAGACTACAAACGAATTGCCCATCATCATGGCACCGTTCTCGCGGACGGAGAAGTTCTTCGTCGCGCACTGCGCGTTGCTCGCCGTAACATTGGTGATAGCCGCAATCGTAGGGTTTTCGATGTTTTGGCTGGCGCGCCGACGGAACGACCCGGCGCGACAATGCCTCATCTGGGCGAGATTCGCCGTTGTCTTCTTCATCCTGTATGCCTCTGGTGACCCCTTTATCGTGAGATGGTATCGCTGACCCGGTTAGGTTCTGCTTCACCGAATTTTGCGCCGACGCCGTATGGATAGCCTTCTCTCGAGTCACACGCACAGCGAACGAAGATGGGTTCGTAACGGAAGACGAATACAACATGCTGGCGAAACTACGGCAAGCTAGTCTCGAGCTCTCGGCTGTTTCGCGCTTCACCGACTGCGTCCTCCTCATCTGCTGCTGGATGACCGTGATCCTTCTAGGGGTTGGCGTCAATATTGTCCGAACGGGCGAGCCATCTCGGCTCGACAAGCCCATGAAGATCGGCTCGTTTGCCTTGGCGGGCATCCTGGGAGGTTTGGCGATCGCGGAATGGGGCATCAAGATCCAGGCGCATGTGTCATTCGACACAGACTTGTACAACCTGGAAACGGAAGTTGGGTATTCTAGCTACCTCCTCAACGTGGCGACCAGGCTGGACTTTTCGTTCGTTGTGATCGCGTGGGCGCTCAGCATAGCGACGCTGGTGCGTTCGACGATGATCTGGCTACCGAGCCGGGTAGACAAACGGTTAGACTGGGTAGGTTCCCCTATGTGTTCTATCAGGCCATGAAACTAACCTGCTAGCCCCTGTTGTTCTTGATGCTCTGTTGCGGCGCACTGCTCTTCCGAACGACGTACGAGCTCATCTATCAGCTCAAGTTCACAGACTTTAACGACATCCTACATACGCCCCCAGAACCAGCATACATTGAGCTGATTGAGATTGTCTTTCATACCTGGTTGATCTTCGCCATTGTCGTCATGTTGCTTTCCTTGGCAGCAAAGAAGCGCGGCGGACTGTGGTCGACACAGCAACCCTTCTTGCACGGCCCGGAAGCGGGAGACGGTCAGGAGGCGGGAGACGGCCAGGACATACCTCTAGAAGATATGAATGTCGATCCGCCAGCGTACTCTGCTGCCCCGGGCGCCAACAACGGACCCCCAGCTGGTGCCGCGCCGCCTGCAGCTGCCGAAGCGCCGGCGGCTCATCCGAATCCAGGACTAGCTGGACCAGAACCCTGGCAGCAGGCTGCACCACAGAACGAGCCCGCCGATGATGACCTCGTAGATGGTCTCGGTCTCGGCGGTACACCATCACGCTACCGACCACCTGTGCCCCAGGGTGACGGCTACAATTCCGGCATCGTAGCCCCTATGGTACCGGCAGAGGCGGAGGCAGGGCCCGCCGACGGGTACGGGATGGGGATATCGTCGCAACCACCGCCCGAGCACGAAGAAGTCATGGGGTTGAACCACCAGGCTGACGGCAGGCCGCCGATCTCTGAGACTTTGCCGTACCCGGAGAAGAACTAACCAAGGAGGCACAGGGGTTTTTCTTTTGGCGTTGCGTGTTTTCAGCGACAGTTTGGGAAGCACATACACTGGCGTTTGTCATGATACCAATGTTTGTTAGCTCTATTGGCGTTCTGCTTCTATGTTTATAGGTTGAGGTAATAGCAAACATGCGGACTGGATTAATCCAATTCTTCGACGTACTTTGCGGGCGCCACAAAGGGCCCGTCCTCTCCCAAGGTGCCAGCGACATATCTACATGCGTCAGTGTGAGGCCGTCCTATCAAGGGATGCGTATTTGCGAGGGCGTACTTGGTGTGGCTCCCGCGAGCAGCGAGCTGTCCCTTGCTGTTCTTGAATGTGATGGTCGTGTACGCCAGCGTCTTGCCAACTTGTGGCGGTGGTTAGCAGCTTGTAACGCGGCTCACAAAAGTCACTTACTCTTGTCACAAATGGCAGTGCCGGTGAGCAGGTCGCCAGCCTTGCCGCCAGGGCTCAGATATGACACTTGAGTCGGTTAGCTTGAATGAACCAGCGGTGCCGTGGGGCGTCTTCTTGCCGTTGAGGTCCGTCGTGACGCCTGTCGCGAAGCGTCCCGTCGATGCTACGGCCAGAGAGCCGCCCAGGTCGACCATGGCAGCGAGTGTGCCGCCATGGATGGTCTGCAGGCGATTCTAGGTCTTATTAGCTTTTCCTGTGCGAAGCACTGCGGTGGCTAGGTCAGGCCCACCGTGTGATTCTGGTGAATGTCCAGTTCGAAATCGACCCGGCCATTGGACGCGTCTGTGATGCGAAAGCGCTGCGCAGGTTAGTCCTTGGCCCTCGGGCGCGAGTCGCAATGCGAAGATACGTACATTGGCTCCGAGAAGGCTTCCAATGGTCAGAATTCTGTGTTTCGGCGAGGCATTGGGACTCACGTTGGCTCGAGGCCAGACTCCTTCATGAACGCGCGGAGCACCTATGGTCGGGTCAGCCTCGCGTGTCAATGTGCACTGCCACAGGTGTACTGACGCTCTGTGTGAACACTTTTGGAGTCAGGCGCTTCGACATGGTCGTCGGCTGTGTAACTGAGTTTGTCTAAACGGGTGAAAGAAGGGCTGAGTGCATTTCCATGAGCTCTATAGACTCTATAGCCGTGGATTGCCGAAGGAGCATTTCGAGACGGTTACTGAAGGTTTGCAGGCAACAGGATCAACGTGAAAGGAATTCATTATATTGTTTAAAGAGTTTGAGATTTAGGTATCACTCAATACGTTTCTATTGGTAACATTTACAATGTATGAGTAGTGAATTACGCTCAACATCTTGAGTACTCCCAGTCGCGACGCCGACATGTCCAAGGTACCCGGTACCAGGTGTGGTGCGAGACATGACGTCCTTATCGCGCTGTCGATAAGAGTTCGATAAGCCGTGAACTTCTGACGGCTCGTGCACCTTGAACTTCACGCCATGTCAAACATCGTCACCACTCCGTTCATATCCCACCAGGCGCATTTCTCCCGCCGTACTCAGACCATGCCATAGCACCACCTCAAGGCCTGACTGACATACGAATCATCAGCCGCCACCATGTCAGTCAGCACGGCACCCTCGCTCCAGCTCACGGATTACCTGGAGAAGCTTCCAGGTACGACCTTTCGGAAGCTCTACCAGCAGCCCTCGACGGCGTTTGCCATCTTTCGGCGCATGCTGCCCCAACTCGGTAGGCCAACAAACGTCCTCTTTAGATTCGTCATGATGCTCATTGCCAGCCAAAACATTTGTTATGCGCATGCTCTTCATGCCCAAGCCGATGCTCCTCCATGATCTCGAGCTCTGGGTGCGACCCGATGCGAAAAGGTGGCCATTTCCCTCTTTTGCTTGCGCGCCGAGGCACAGCCTCTGACTGGAGACAGGCAAAAAGATCAGGCACTCTCGATACTGCAGGCATTCCACATTGTCCACATCACCGCGCCGTCCCGCGACAGACCGCAGGAGATGCAGCTCTCCCCCAACTTCAAAACTTCGATGCGCCTCGCGCTCACCGGCGGGGGCACACACCAATCGTTTGGTGTTCCGTCCAATTTGACCGTCCCGACCGAAATCGACATCAACTTCCTCGATCGATACGCGAAGAAGAAGTGGGAGGACATTTTGCACTTTGTGGTCTCTTCCGTGGGCTACAAGTCCAGCGCAGAGGCCAATGGCCCGAACAAGAGCGTGAAGGAACTCATCATCTCAGGGCGGCTCGTCGATCGACGTCCAGGAGGCGGCATCGGCATCACGCAAGCAGGCTTCACATTCCTACTTCAGGAAGCCAACGCACAGGTCTGGACGTTGCTTCTACTGTGGCTTGAGGCAATGGACAACAACCGCGAAGCCGGCTTGGAGGCGGTCGACATGCTGTCCTTTCTATTTGTCCTGGCCAGCATGGAACTTGGTCGAGCGTACGATACAAACGCCCTGACGGAACAGAGGCGGAATATGCTCCCGTCCTTAGTCGACTTTGGCCTTGTGCATGTCCCGCATCATAAGAGATCCATGTTCTTCCCGACCAGGCTGGCGACGACGCTCACATCCGGCTCCAGCTCGAGCCTGCGCTCCATCTCCGAGGGCGTGACGGCCGCGACAACAGCAGTCCAGACGTCCGGCGGGCCCCTAGGCTCGACCGAAAAGGGCAGCGTCGTCGTCGAGACGAACTACCGCGTCTACGCCTACACCCACTCCACGCTGCAGATTGCTGTCCTCGCCCTGTTCTGCAAACTCACCTCCCGCTTTCCGGACATGGTGGCCGGTCGCCTGACACGCGCCTCGATCCGGCAAGCCATCAATTTCGGCATCACGGCCGATCAGATCATTGCGTACCTCGCGGCCCACGCGCACGAGCAGATGCACCGCACCGCGCTGCAGACCGCCAAACCCGTCCTGCCCCCGACCGTTGTTGACCAGATTCGCCTCTGGCAGCTGGAGAATGAGCGCATGAAGACGACCGTGGGCTTCCTGTTCAAGGAGTTTGAGGATCACAAGGAGTACCTCGCGATCGCCGGGTTCGCCGAGGAGATTGGCGTGCTCGTATGGCGGAGCGACAAGACGGGCATGTTCTTTGCGAGCAAGCACGAGCAGATCAGGGACTATCTGCGGATACGCAAAAAGGCAGAATGAGGAAAGACTTGGGTTCTTCGGGCCAGGCGTTTTTGTTTTTGGTTACCATCGGCTTCATGTCACTCGAGAGTGTGGGCGTGCACTTGGATTGTACAGGCGTTTTACATTGATTATGGACTCGCGAGAGTACGAGGCTAGAAGGAAAAAAAGGTACCAAAATTTCCGAATAACGCCCAAGCTAGTTGCCATGCAGACGATCATTGCCACCCTCATACGGTGTATCATCCCACCGAGGGTCTTTGGTCTTCCTCCAAGAGTGCCTCCAAAACGCGGTTTCACCTCCCTTCGAGAGAGTGAATCATCAGCCCACCGAATCGCTTGCCTTCAAACAACCCATGGCACCTCACATAGGCCGAGGCACCGGTCCCCTTTCAGTTGCGACCCTCTTCGCACTGCGACCCGATGCGGCGGCCTCCTTCAACGAGGACAAGCTTCGCCTGCCGCTGCCGATCCACTTTGATATCTTGTTCTCCTGATGCTGTGCCTGGGATGTCCTTTGTACGCGTTTGTAGGGAAGCAGGTGCGGCTGCTTGTACTTTTGCGCATAGGCCTGCCGCCACTCCTGCAGCGACGCCTTGGCCTCCTCGGTAGAGCACATGCACTCCAGGCGGCGAAAGACTCTTTGTAGAATTTCTTCTTGTTCGGTTGCTGGGTCTCGGGGATTTGTCGATAGACCTGCGCCCTTTGGTCTCGTGGTAGGATGTGCCGTCAGGGGATGATGCGTTTCTGGAAGCGCCGTCAATGTCGATGGCAAGCCGGTTCCGGCATCAGTGGCCTGCAGAGCTATGTGACCAGGCGGTATTGGAATCAGAGCTTGGGTGGAAAACTTGTCAAACAGGGACATGAATCTGCCACTCCAATATGCGGAAGGCATCGCGTCACTGACAATGTAAGGATCAGGCTCAGGTGTGCGCGTGGCCGGGCAGCTTTGCGGAGAGCCCGCCTCGATGGCCGGTGCGGGAGACGCAAGAGGCGAAAATGAGAGCACAATTGTGCTCTGGGACGAGAGAGATGCTTTCGACGCCGTTGTCTTGAGCGGTGTGGTAGTCCTCAGGGATGATCGTGATATCGAAGTCTTGAGTTCGTGGAGCACGTTCATCGTCCTCGAGCGAGGGAGATTGCCTGAGGAGGTCTCGTGAGGCTTCTAGCCGCGACTTCCCTCGGGAGGCATGTTCTCATCCTGTGGGAGCGCAGAGTCGAACCTGGGCAGCGCTGTGAGGGTGGCGCTGGGTCGGAGGGCTGGGCAGACAAAGGCGCGAGGCGACGTGCTGAATGCTGGCATGCGCAACTTTGGAGGCGTGCGTAGGAGAGACGTCGAGGAAAGCGGCAGATTTGTTGCCGATCCAAGGCCGAGCGGCGAGGAGGATGCTGACCGGGGATCTGGCCGGCGTATTGCCACGTTCTTCCTGACGCTGGTGCTTGATGGCATAACGCTGGGGATTTTTGGCGAGACGCAGTCGTTGATCGCGTCGACCATGATCAAGGTCTCGCTACGCGAGAAATCAGGACCTCGAGAGTTCTTGACGGGACCCATGGGGGATGTTATGTGAAGTCGAGGAGCCTTTCTTCGGATGCCAAAGCGTGTTCTTGTTCTGGGAGGCCTGGAGCCATGAGAGCCGATTCGTGCGTCCATTGCAAAGGGTGCACGTTTCACGTATCCCGGAAAGAGAGTGTTATTGTGCAAAGCACGCACGGCATGGCGAGAGACAGACGCGTCAATGTGGAAGACGCGATGTGGCCCAGCGCTATCGGATAAGGAGAGGTGGATGAGGCGGTTGTTTACAACAAGAAGGGACGACCCGTCATGGTCAGCTGACAGCACCATATATTGGGTGACGTTATTGGATACAGGTAGGTCAGGTATTCACGAAACTGCCGCGTCCTCTCTCTTTTCTGCCTACTTATTACCACCTACTACACAATGCACATATCGCACATTCAGTCACCCCCCAACGTCACCAGGCTTACTATCTTCGCCGGCTATCATCGAATCTCCGTTGGGCCGCAAGTGTTGCTCAACATCGTGTCGATTTGAGAGCTGGCCGACGGCCGATGGCAGTGAGTAGCACATTAATGTATCCTGTCCAAACACTGATCGCAATGATCCTCAAGGGCATACACGGCGACACCGTACTCACTCGACAAAGTCGCTAGCGCTAACAAGCAAAATCTAGCTACCTATTGTTTAGCTACTATGGATGAGTGCCAGTGCTAAGGTATATAGACCTCTCCATGGCCCTGTATAGACTTCAGGTGGCTTAATGATGCTTATAGGTTATATTAAGTATTGTCCGATATTAGCACTACCTCTGCTAAGAATATTGCCTTCCAAGACAGTCCAGCGCTGGCGACTTTGTCGAGTGAGTACGGTACTAGGCTTCTAATGCTTGCAACCCTTCTTCCACCGCCTGATGATAATCTCAGCAGCCTGCAGATAGCAAATGTCAGTGACCACAGCCTTTCAAGAGCAGAAACCAGGGGAAGCCGGGGATCTCGTACCTTCTCGCCAATGGCGTACGCCGTCGTGGTCGTGTGGGCAGCAGGGACAGTAGGGATGATGGAGCAGTCAGCAACACGGAGACCTGAGATGCCGTAGACGGAGAGACTCGAGTCGACGACGCCGCCCTTCTCGCGGGGGAGCATGGCCGCCGTGCAGCAGGGGTGCATGAGCGACTGGATGACGGTGTCCTTGACGTACTCAATGAGGGCGTCGTGCTCCGTGACGTCGGCACCGGGGGCGACCTCGACGGCGCCCAGCTCCTGCCACGTGTCGGTGGCGTAGAGCCTGCGGAAGTAGTCGACGTAGGTGGCCATGATATCGAGGTCAATGGGGTTGGCACCAGTGGCGTAGTTGACGATGGGGGTGGCATCGTGGTCGGTCGAGTTCAGGACGACAGAGCCGCGGCTGAGTGGCTTAAGGAGGAAGGCCGTCCCTGGGCCCGTGTGGAAGGGCATCTCGAGGATCGGGTGCTCCGGGTGCTCCAGAGCCTGGGCGATGATCTCGAGCTGGGCGAGGTAGCCCTCCTGGACGGTCTCAGTGGCGCTGGCGGGCAGGTACTGGAGAGCAGAGCGGTCCTCGATCTGGGCTCGGATGTTGGCGACAATCTGCTCCCACGCGGGTGTGACGTTCTGGAGGGCAGCGTAGGCGGCCGTGTTGCCCATGGCGAGGGTGTATGGGCCACGCGCGGGACGCTCACGGAACTGGGCGACAGCCTCGGCCGCGTAGGTCGCGTTGTTGATGACCTCGGCCTCGTTGGGGAGAGGAGCATCGTACGAGTAGGTCAGGGGGGTGCCACAGTGGTCTTGGAAGTTCTGGCCAACACCAGGGAGGTCCTGGACGAGCTCGATGCCCTCCGACTTGAGGTACTCGGCAGAGGCGACACCGCTGCGCTGGAGGATCTGGGGCGTGTGGATGGCACCGGCCGACAGGACGACCTCGCGCTTGGGGCGGATGGTCTGGACCTCGCCACCGGCGACGGGGCGGAACTCAATAGCGGGAGGGGCCTTCTCGTCCCTGTCGACGATGAGGCGCGTGACCTTGTGCTCGACGAGGAGGTCAAGGTTGGAGCGCGAGTCCGCGATCCTGGTGTAGTGACCGACACCAGCGTGGGATCGCTCGACAGTCTCCGAGTTCTGGGCCGAGGGAACCCAGCAAACGCCATGCTTGTCTCCGTTGTCACAGCTGACGGGTGTCTCAAGACCAAACTCCTCATATGCCCGGCGCGCAACCTCTGGAGGGAAGTTTAGCTTCTTTGTCATCAATTAGTGTGTCAGTCTGGGGGACACATACGCTGGACAGGCCACTGGAAGGGCGGGAAAGAGGCTTCGATCGAGTCGCCGTCGTAGGCAGAGGCATCCCAAGTGTAGCCGTGCTCCTCAACAAGCTCATCGCTGGGCTCGGTGAGAAACAAAGACTAATAACATTGTTAGCAAGGGTAAAAGGATCCGGTATCAGGGGAGATTGGGCAAGGACTCGCCTTCTTGAACGCGGGGCCAAAGCTCTCCCAGTCCCATTTGTCAGGGCTGTCGTCGAACTGAGGGCTACCAAGACGCGCCCACTCGTCGTAGTCGTGCCTGGAACCACGGTCCAAGAACTGCCCGTTGACGGCAGATCCTCCGCCAACAGTCATGCCAAGGATGACGGTGGCAGCGCGGTTGTTGACGCTGGCAACAGGAGGGGAGCTGATGACCAGGCGGCTGGCACCACGGCCATCTTCGGGCGGGTCGTAGTAACCGACGGTCCCCTCTATCTTGCCATACTCGATGACCAGAACGGTCTCTGGTACGGGGGAGCGTCCATGTCAGCTCGCAGGCCACATGGCAAACATTGAAAGGATTCACGACTCACTCTTGGGGAAGGCAGCCGAAACGCGATCGGCGACGGTCAGACCGGCGGTACCACCACCAATGACAACAAAGTCATACTCATCCCGGAGCTCGGTGACCTGCCTCGTGGCAAGCCTGTGGGCGTGGCGGGGGAGGGCCTCAACTACACCGAGGATGCAGGCGCCGATTGAGAAGGCCTTGAGGAGACGCATGGTTGTCTTGGTCGGGGGAATATGGGACACGAGGATGGGTGGTGTATAAAGAGAATGAATACCCGACAGGAGAGCAGATGCAGTTGCTACTCTTGGGAAAGACGAGCTCAGAGAAGAAGAAGAGGAAAGATTATCGCGACTCTCTCTTATATCCTACCGGGACCCGGTCCCTACGCGTGCGCTCGAACGAACGGAGACACGACAGACCCGAGAGATCCCCGGCAACGTGGGAAAGCTCGCCGGCCATGGGCCATGGCCACGCTAGGTGGGATTTGTCACGCATGAGTGATGGGCCACTTTGATTAAGAGCAGGCCCAATGGCCTGTCGGACGGTGGCGTGACGGTGATGTGCCCCGTCAAAAGAACTTGGTAGCTAGCTGGCTGACTGCTGGACCCCTTTCCAGGTCTGCTTGACCCTTTCGTGGTTCCTCCCTGGAGGTGCAGGCTCGGCTGCAGCAATGATGAGAAGGGGCAAGGGTAAGGATGCCAAGCCGTCTGTGTATTTATGCTTGCGTGGATAAATGCGGATGATTCTCCGGACCCCTATGCTAACCTATTAACCTTACGCTCCCCCCTGTCTTCTCGTTCCTGGCCAAGACTCACAGTCTCACTCTCACACGACTGCGACCCTGGGCTTTCGGCCTCGTCAAAATCTCTGTGCTGATCTCTTCCTCGTCAAGACAGGACAGGCTGATCCACGATCGCAGAAGTTGCGGGGATGGCCTCGAGGGTTGAGCAACTTGACCGATCTTGCGCACGATTTGCGACAGCTCATGGTTGCCAGGTGGTCCTGACTCCTGCTCTTTTAGTGAAAAGAAAACAAAAAGACCTTCATCCCTTTCCCCTCGATCTTATGCTTAATATAAAGTGCCGGATTGTTGTCTCCTTTCTACAGCAGAGATCTTGGCAGTAGCCTGCAGCCTACAGGGCATCGAGGGCGAAAAGGGCGCTGATGCGTTCTGGCCTCTGCCAGCTGAAGGATCCCAGGTCAGGGACGCTCCCCGACGAATCGCTACTGAGCACGCGGAGAAGGATGCAGGTCAGGTACCACGCCTTGCCAGGGTTCCCTCTCGACTGCACGCAATATGGTCCGGGGCATCGCGAGGTTCAGTCCGGGGGGTGTTTGGATTCTTCAACGCCGCCCCCTGTGATCAGGGCTGGACTTGCCACTCCCTCCCTACACGTACTTGACTGCTCCCGATATTAGAATTCCTGGCCCGGGACTTGACAAGAACCCCACGGACGCCGCTGTCTTCCACCTTTTGCTCATTATCAGCTCTTCCCGACAGCGTGCTTTGACGATGAGCGCCTTCGAACTCGTTGCCCGCGCGTGGGCGCCCGGGACGGACTTCCCGGAGCCGGCCAAGCTGAACTGGCTCTACCATCTGGGTCTTGCGGTCATCTGCATCCTGTGGACTCTGTCGCTCCTCGTTGTCGGCCTCCGGCTATGGGCGCGATGGACGTCGAAGCAGATCGGCGTCGGTATGTCTCCTGAAGCCAAGGAAGGGAGAGAGAAGGGCCTGAATAACGTGTCTTGATCCAGATGACTACCTCATGGTTGCTGCCATGGCTGTCAACACTGGCTGGTTCTATACATTGATCATGTGTAAGTCGGAGACGCTGAAGAGAGACTGACTTCCCTGCGCAGACTAACAGGTGTGTCCTTTGCGAATAGATGTCAAGTCGTGCTACGTCGGAATCCATTACTGGGACGCGCCGGAGCTCTCGCTGGATCAGCAAAGCAAAGCCAAGCTGTACGAGTGGCTGATTATTCTGCTGTACCACCCCATCCTGGGCTTCGTCAAGGCGTCGGTCCTGTCCTTCGACCAGCGGTTGACGGGCGTCCACAAGCCGATCCGCTACACAGTCTACGCTCTCCAGGCCGTCAACGCCGGTTGCATGATCTCCATCTTCTGCGTCACCCTCTTTCAGTGCAGCCCCATGTCGCTCAACTGGACGCCCGGTTATAGGCGCAGCTGCATCGACAACGTCAGCTTCAACTACGCCTACAACGGCATCGTCATCGCCACCGACATTGCTGTGTTGGCCGTGCCGTTTTGGGCGTTTGTCGGTCTGCAGCTGCGGACTCGACTCAAGGTCGCCCTCCTCTGTGTCTTTGCTCTCGGTGGACTGTAAGTTGCTGCAAAAAAGAAACAACGAAAACCAAAGAATCTGCTTGCTAACCTGCGGGTGAAAACTAAACAGTGTCACGGTCGTCTCCTGCATTCGTCTCGTCCTCCTGGTGAACTGGTTCAACCAGTTCTACGCGGGTCTGGGCTCCAAGGACATCTACTACTCCTTCGGCTGGGCCGTCTCGCCCATCGAGTGCAACCTCGCCATCATCGCCGCCTCCATCCCTGCCCTCTGGCCGCTGTTCCGCCAGGCCTTCCCCAGCATCTTCTCGGATCTCAACTCGTCGTACCAAGGCCACGCGCAGCCAGCCAACACCAGCCGCGCGACCGGCTTCCGCTCCAACCTTGCCCGGCCCATGGGGGCGTCGCGCCTACACGACGACACAGACGATGGCTTCGTGATGAAGTCCATGCACGCCAACGGCCAGGTAGACTGCAGGGCCACCACGCCCACGGGGTCGCAGGACGGTATCATAGACGTCAAGGATGGCATCGTGCGCACCACCGACGTGGAGATGACCTATGAGGACACCAACAAGAACATGGATTACGGCCATGACCGCGACGAGTATGGGCGGAAGAAGGTCATGCGTGTCCTGTAAAGATCTTGTTCTGTTCCAAGGCAGAGTTGTGCTTAAATGCAGGATGTGCCCAATGTATACATGTGGACTCGCATCCCATGTATCCAACCCTCTGAGAACTTGTGGGATTAGGTTGGACGTGGAGAGAGCCCTCGACGACGATACAATCATCCATCACGGACATGATCTAGATACGATGGTTAGATAGCTTCTTCGCGAAAGACCTCTTTACCACGCCTTTGCTCTCGCCATGGAGGACTCGTCCACTGCTTCCCGCAACCCTCAACCTGCCCACCCCTTTATCCCAAACCTGAACACAACATCCCCCTCGCCTTTGGGTATAGCATGCCCATTCGCATCCCACAATGCCCTCTCCACAAACACAACCTGGCCCTCCCGATCCACGATCACCACCGTCTGCCGCTGCGTCCCATACATCCCCCTCTCGAAACCCACATCCTCATGGCTCTGCTCCCCTGTCACTACCCCGTGCTCCGGCGCCTCGGCCACGAGCTCATCATCCGTCGGCCACGTCCCCCTCCCCTGGGCCCTCGCCTCCTCCATCTCCGCCCTCTGCTTCGCCCCGCCCAGGGCGGGTATGAAGATGCTCGTCTTCAGATCCTGAATGTTCTCCGCCAGACTCCTGTCCTCGTGCCCCACGAGCGTATCCCGACTCAGATGCGCAAACAGCCTCTCCAGCAGCGCCCCCTCGGCCTTTTCGCCCTTGGCGGCTCCTTGAGTCCCCTCCACAATCTCGTCAAACGGCGTCAACCCATCCCTCAGCTTCGGCCACGTCCCGCCGTTCCGAAATGTCGTGTTCGTCAAGCCCCAGCACCGTCCCTGCCCCGCCGGCACAATGGGCACGTCACCCAGGGTATCCGCCCTATTCGACACAATAGCAAACCCATCCCCCCGTCGCGCCATCTTGCCACAGGCCATACTAAACCCGCCCACGCCCTTGACGCCCTCGCCCTCCTCCACGAGCCGGCGGACACTGTCGCCGATGTACTCGGCCGGCGGCTCCGAGAGGAAGCCCGTGACCATGCCGCCGCGACTCCGGCGTCCCTTGGGCGAGGGGCCAGCGGCGTCCACTTCGCGATAGTTGGTCAGCACGGCGATCTGCCCCGTTTCCGTGACACCGAGCCATGTGCCGCGCTCGGGACGGTGGAGGTCCCGCGACGAGAGGATGCGCGTTGTGTGGCCGTTGGTGGGCGATGTGTGCGTCCACCAGTGCGGGCGGGACGTGGGTCTGAGGATGAACTCGTCGCGGTTGTCGGCGAGGATGAGGGGGTAGTCTGGGTGCGACATGGATACAAAGACGATGCACATGTTGGCGGATGGAAGTGAGGAAATAGGTGAAGGATGGAGGTAGATGGTGTTGGTAGAGTGAAGAGGAAATGGCCTGATGAAGTGAGAGAGGCGGGCGGCTAGTGTACGTTGTAGGGTAGGTGGATTGATTGGCATGTGCTTGCATGCCACATGATCACACACGGAATCAGCGTAATTAGAAGAGAAAGTATGAATCTATCTGTATATTATTCTATATTGATTAGTATGTTTTTGAGCCGTTCACGGCTTGCAAAGGGCGTTATGCACGGAAAACCCATTCTACCCGCATTAAATCTATATGTAGGCACGTTTCACGCTTTGACGCAGCATTTATCGCTTGTTGTAGTTGACAAAACGGCTCTGCGACTCGTTAGTATCCGTTTTTTTTTGAATCAACGCCGGGGAGAACTTACCGCAAGCAGCAGGATGAGCAGGTTGCTGCCCATGAAAGCCGCGTAGATGCCGAGATCCCTCCAGCGGTGGTCAAAGGAGATGTTGAGGCGCGTGTAAAAGTCGTCGCCGACGCGGAAGGCGCAGTACTCGCAGTCCTGGGTGCTGTTGGAGACGAGGTAGCCCGGGCCGCCGTTGCGGAAAAAGGGCTCCATGTACTCGCCGCAGTTCATGTCGCTGGGCGCCGTGAACAGGTTGAGCTCGCCCTGGCGGCACTTGACCGAGATGCCGTGCAGCGCGGTCGACACGGTGCCGCCGATGAGGCGCGTAAAGGGGTCGAGCTGGTACAGCCAGGCCTTCCAGAAGCCGGGCATCTGCGGGTACGGAATGGTGACGCCGCAGAAGAGGGCAAACGTGATGATGATGAACGGGTCGAACTGCGCCGAGATGCGCGGCGACGGCGTGAGCGACGCGTTGGCCTGGCCCAGGGAGATGGCAAAGATCTCCGTGATCAGCACCATGAAGAACTGGTACCCGGCGCGCGACGACTCGGTCTGGAAGCCCGGCATGTAGTACAGGGGCAGGAAGAAGACGACGGCGCACATGATGGAGTAGGGCATCTCGGCGAGCGTGATGGCCGTGACAAACGTAAAGGGCGAGTACATCTTGGACGACTGCTCACGGAAAAAGATGGCCCGCTTGATGTGGAACATGACCTCGACCTGCGTCATGATCAGGGCTGGCAACACCGTGATCTGGAACATGACAAAGACCTTGTTCTGCAGCGAGGCGCGCGAGTCGTCCAACTGCAGGTACGTGAGGCCCGTGATGATAGCAACGGCGGCGTGGTTGAAGAGGCGCGTAAACAGGTAGTTGGGCGACCGCCAGAAGGAGCGGAACATGCGGCGGCATACCACCTTGAGTTGGTGGCTTACCGGCGAGGCGTACTCCTTCTCCAGAGACGCGTCGGTGCCTCTGGCCACGGCGAGCCTCTCCTGGCGCATCTGCTGGATGACCGTCTTGGTGTGGGCCAGCTCGGGACTCTCGTCCCAGATGTCACCCCAGTCACGGTCACCGACGCGCGGCGCGGAACCAGCACCAATAGCCTCGAGCATGAACTCGGCGACGTTGTCCGTGGGGCGGGCCTCGGCACCGTGGCGCTTGAGGTACGAGCGCAGAACGTGCGCATCCTTGCCAATGTCGCCAAAGTACACGGTGCGGCCACCACGCTCGAGCAGCAGGAGGCGGTCAAAGTTCTCAAACAGGGACGCGTTGGGCTGATGGATGGTGCAGAGAATGGCCTGGCCGGCGGCAGCGAGCTTCTTTAGGAAGCGCACAATGTTGTAGGCGCTCTGGCTGTCGAGGCCGGATGTGGGCTCGTCGAGGAAGAGGAGAAGCTCCGGCTTGGCCGCCAGCTCGACACCAATCGTGACACGCTTGCGCTGTTCGACAGTTAGACCAGCCTCCGGGGTACCAATTAGGGCGTCGGCAATCTCCTCCATCTCGAGCAGCGAGATGATTTCCTCGACATAGGCGTGGCGTTCGGCAATAGGGGTCTCGTACGACTGGCGCAGGTCGGCGGAGAACCGGAGGGCCTCGCGCACCGTCTGGGTGGGCTCGTGGAGGTCAAGCTGCTCGGCGTACGAAGTGGAACGCTGGAACTGCTTTCCAGGCTTTGTGCCGTCGACCAGGACGTCACCGCTGATGACACCGATATTCTTGCGGGAGGCGAGCACATCCAGAAGAGTGGTCTTGCCGGCACCAGAGGCACCCATCAGCGCGGTCAGCTCACCGGGCTTGACGTATCCAAACACGTTGTTCAGAAGACGGCGGGTGCCGCCGGGGACGGGCACGTCGTAGCAGAGATCCTCCCAGGTGAGGACGGCCTCGGACTTGATGAGGAGCTCGGAGCCGCTCTCGTTGGACTTGTCGGCACGGCGCGCCTTGCGCTTCTCCGCCAGGGCCGCGTTCAGCTGCTTGCGCTCCTTGTTCTCCTTGGAGAAGACCTTGGCCGCGTTGCCACCCATGCCAAACTTGACAAACTCGCCGAGCACAACGTTCATGATGAGGAAGAAGACGATGAGCGACATGATGATGCCCCAGTTGCGCCACAGGTCCTTGGGGTAGTACGAGTACGTCTGCGAGATGTAGGCGGATCCGTCGATGAAAGTCGAGCCGGCCGAGGAGCCGGCGAGAGTGCAGACCTGGTTCTCAATGTTGTCGTACCCGGGGCCCGAGGGGATCAGCGAGTCGGCCGTGCACTCCATGTTGATGCGGCCAAACTCGTTCATCATGAGGGCGCTGAACGACAGACCCAGCACGTTGACCCAGTAGATCCAGCGGAGCCAGACCTGCTGCGCGTCGTACTGGATCAGATAGCCCGAGGTGGTGACAAAGAGGGTGATGACGATGACGGCGAACTTGATGGCGTAGTCAAAGTCCGGGCTGAGACAACCGATGATACGGAAGAAGAGCGTCATGGCAATGTTGCCCGAGAGGATCATGAGGTAGAAGGTGAAAAAGGCACCCGCGTCGCGCACGAGACCGGTCATAAAGTACACGATGATGGAGAAAACCATAATCTCAGAGGCGGCAAAGGCCTGGTCGACAATGATCTGGCCGATCCACAGGGCGGACGGACGGTGGAACGCGTACGCCTTATGCTTGTTGACAATGGAGCGGCCCATCATGGTGCTGGCGAGCTCGGAGAAGGCCTGGAAGGCGTTGAACAGGAGGGCGACGAAGAGCAGACCGCCCTTGCTGAAGGCGCTGGCGGAGGTCTCGGGGAGATTCAGGTACAGAGTGCCGAGGACGATGGCGATGATGATGGAGCGCAGCCAGGAGACGGTCAGGTTGAAGCGATCCTGAATCTTGAGCGTGAACTGGCGCTTCATCAGGGCCCAGACCTGCAGGTGGAAGCCGACCTGGTAGGGGGACTTTTTGGACGCGCTGCGCTTGCTCTCGGCGACGGCCACCTCAAAGTCCTGGTGCGCGGCCTTTTGCTGCTCGAGGGCGGCCTTGTACTCGGCCATCTCGGCCTCGTTGGCCTTTTGCTGGTCCGACTGGCGGAACGCCTCGAGGAGCGTCTCGGGGCTGTGGGGCGCGTTCTCGGGCGAGCGTCCGGGGGCGTACTCGCGCTCGAAATCGTCGGTGCAGCCGGTCACGTAGTCGGGTGTCGTCTGGCGCGGACGCGGGTTGAAGCCGAGGCCCTCGAAATAGGCACGCGCCGTCTTGGCCGGGCCAAAGTAGACTTGGCGGCCCTCGTCGATGACCATGACCTTGTCGAAGAGTTCAAAGATGTTCTCGGACGCCTGGTAGAGCGAGACAAAGGTGGTCGTCTTGTACAGGTTGGTCTGCACGCGGAGCGACTTTGTAAAGTCGAGGGCGGTACTGGCATCGAGGCCACGGGTACTGTTATCCCAGGACAGGATGCAGCCCTTTGTGATCATCATCTCGGCGATAGAGACGCGCTTGCGCTCGCCACCAGACACACCGCGCACAAAGGCGTCGCCGACAATGGTCTTGCGCGTGTGCTCAATGTTGAACATCTTGAGCAGCGTGGTGATGACGTGCTCCTTGAAGTCGGCCTTGGACATGTTGCCGGGGCGCTTGTTGGGCATCTTGGTGTCGAGCGCAAAAGCCAGCGTCTGCTCCACGGTCAATGTCGGGTGGTGCAGGTCGTCCTCGGCGTTGTACACAGCCTCGCCTCGGTAGCGGCCAAACTCCTCCGCAGTCCAGGGGCCGTAGAGAACCTCGCCAGTCACGCTGGTGTATCCGTATCGCTGGTTGGCGATTGTTTTGAGGAAGGTCGTGCAGCCGGATCCGGGCTTGCCAAGGACGAGGACCATCTCTCCGGGCTTGCAAACACCCTGGAAGTCGTGGAGAAGCGTCGCCTCGACAGGCTTCTTACCAAGTCCGAACAGCTTCATGGCCGGCGTGATGTAGTCGAAGAAGCTGATGAACGCATCTGGGAACGTGGGGACATAGTTGGCCCGACCTCCAAGCCCCTTGACCGTAAGGCCGTCCCAGTAAGCACCAATGTGCTTGTTCTTGATACCAGCCTCGTTCTGCGAGTCAAGGTCACCACGCAGGGCACCCTCGAGGTCGAAGACGGAGCCCCCGTCGTCCGAGGCGGAGGGGTCCGACACGTTCTTCTCCGGGTCGACCATTTCTCGGCGGCCGCTGCGACGGCTCGCACGCGAGACACCGGTGAACTCTCTCTGCAGCTCCTGGAAGTCGGCCTCGGCCTGCTCTACTGAGATACCGGAGCGAGTCCGGGCAAGTTCGCGCGAAGTGCGCTCTGCGGCCTGCTGTGCCTTTTCATCCTCGTGCTCTGCAGTGGACACGGACTCCTGGTAGGTTGCTGGTGCCTCGATTTCCTCGGCAGGGTGACCAGCGGCCACATTGGCTTCGGCGCGCTGAAAAGCGTCGGCCATGACCAGTGCAAGTGGTTTCTTGACAACTAGTTACTTGTTTGGTTTTGAAATACGGTATGATCTTGCGCCCCAACAATTGTTTTGGAATGCTTGGTGCGGCTCCAGTCGCTAGATAGGAGGCCGCCGAACAGACACGGGAAGAGGGAAAAGGAAAGAGAAAGGAATGTAGGCAAAATCGAGCCAAGGAGTGACAAGAGGGTAGAAAGTTCTGGGCAGGATCAGATAATAAGTAGCGAAGGCACTCCGTATATGCTCCGGTGGGAAAAAAAAAACTTGGCCCAGACGAGCGAGAGGTTGACGATCACCGGTGGGGGGCGTTAAAAGCCGGCGCCTCTCCTCTGACTCCTTTCAGTCTTCAGTCTCCGAGATGTCGTGGAGCATATGCGCAGCAGGGGGTCCTCTGTCGCGTCGGATCGCCCTTGTACATGCGTACGTAGCCTTGCGTGCGCCTCAGATTGCGGCGGGCAGCATTATAAATCAACTCGGCGCGACCCTTGCACGATTTATATAATTCAGCCGGCTCTGCCTCTGGCGCCGTGGTGCGTGCGTGCGTATCAGTGCTCCAGGATGGACCTTTGTTGAATGGACCTTTGCATGCGGAGCTTGGCATCTCTAAATCCGCCAGCGTCTGTCCACCGGGGTCCCCACCCTACTCTGCTCCCTTTGATTCATGTTTGACCGTATGTCATCTCGAATCTGTCGCAAACCTTCTGGTCGGCCCCGTGCAGGACGGACGGCAGGCTCGCCTGCATGTCTGCAAATCGTGTACTCCGTACGGCGGATGAGTGAAGATGAATCATATCATATCGACAAGGCAGTCGACCAAGCATGTCCTGACAGGCTGGCTGCCCCTCTTATTGCTGATGAATTAAAAGTGGTCGGGTAAGATTCAGGACGGTGGGGCCAACAGGCTGCCCTCGAGTCAATGTGGCGGCAGCGTCCTCCAGGCTCCAGCAAGCGTACATATGCTTCGATTGACCATCATAAAAGTATGCGTTCATTCATCAGCGTACGTTCCTCCATCTCCAGTCTCGCGCGCTTGCAGACGTCGGACGGACACCAGTGATGTTTGTGGTCCCCTTTCAGTCGGTTTCCCGTTCACGCTTCAAACTTCAAAACTTCCCCACGTCCACTGTGTGGCACTGTTGGTCGGTCGGTTGCTTCCATCTATCCATCCATCCATCAACCATTGTTCATTCAATAGGCATCCATTCCTCTACACAGGTGAATGCTAGGCAGCTATGGCGGTCGGTCCGCAAGCACTGCGTGTCGATAGATATAATAGTGAGTCGCTTGTTTATCGTGGTGAACATTGTCCGTCGCAAACAAAGTGCGGCCAGCTCCGGCTAACGCCTGAGGAAGCCTTTTTTCGTGACCCTAGCGGCTGAAAGGCACTGAGACACACGGCCGAATCCCGCACATGGCGTCCTTCGCCGGCCAGTCAGACGGCCTGCGCGTATGCGAGATCACCGGAATCCTTACCCCACCAGCAAGCCAGGCCCCCTTGCTGATGGCATTTCTCACGTTGACTCATTTCGAGTCTTCGACAGTTCGATTCCTTTTCTCGGGTCGTTCGTTGCGAAGGCTCTCCAACAAGTGAAAGTATCCGCAAAGTATCCGCGTCAGCGTGCAGTGGGTATCTTACCGTATTGGCACCCTTTTTTGTGGCCCGATGCGCCTGGAAGCCGCTTCGAAAAAGAAAAGACAGGTCGCAACGTGGGCAAGACAAACGCCAGGTGCTTCATCGGCTCGTCGAGAATGGACCAAATTCGGCCGAACGCTCGCCTCGTCGTTCACCCACCGGCGATCCCAAGGACCCAAAGTGATGTATCTCTCCCATGTAATGCACTTGCGATTCTGCGTGACGGATGATAGAGGGCGCCTGGGAGTATGACTGATGGATCAACAAAGAGTGCGATCTCGGTATGTATGACAGCCCCCGACGCAGTGTCGCAACATCTCACTGGGCTGTACGGCAGGCCCGCGACGATATACCCAGCAGAAGCATGGTTGTTGCACGCGCGCGATGGCCCACACCGGCTTCGGGCACACGTCGACGCGCTTCATACATACATCAGCCCTATGTATGTGTGCAATTGACGCCCGACGCTCATCTGCCGGCCACTGAGTTCGTCATTGCGGTGGTACATGTGCGGGGACCTGCCTCGGCGACGCACACGCCACCACTGCTGCGATGCATTTGCATATCAGGCCGGTAAGTTTGGGTGCTTCCGTGATAGGTCAGGTGTTGATGCCTTTTGCATACTATGTGGTTGAGTCAGATGCCTAATCCTTCGCGAAGTGGTGAAGCGAGCTCCGGGAGCTCTCAAAGCCAAAGAGGGTGTCGTCTTGCCAGCAACATGTCGCGTTCACAGCTTCTCGAAAGAGTACAGTTCGACACGTTGATCATCGGCTCCCATGACTGGAAGTCGCACAACCTGCTCTTCTCGCTTCGCCCAGCCATTATTCGCCAAAAGCGCGAAAACTTCATCTTCCGACGAATGGCGCGGCTTGGTTGCCATGAACAATCTCGTAGGGCCTTTGCCAGAATGCGCAGCATTCATTTCGTGCAATGCAGATAGCGTCCCAACCAAGGCAGGTAGCACGTCCACATTGTACGTGCAGTCGCTGAACATGATGAGATCCCAGTACCGAGCCTTGACGGCCGATCCAAAGTGACCGTGGCGACCTTGTTCCCAGTCGAGACTCTCAAAATCGAGGTTGATGCCCGGCTCTGTAGACGCACGTTCAATGTTGGCTCGCACTTGTTCTTCGGCATCTTGCAGGTCGGTCATCAAGACAGTGCGCTCATGTTCGGTTGAAGACCTGATCTGGGCCGACGCCGCAGCGAACCCGAGCCCTAAGAGTCCGACGCCGCAGCCGAGTTCGAGGATGTTGAGGGGCTTGGAAGATGCCAGCACATCCGTGATCGCTCTCAAGCATTCTCCTCGGCTTGATCGCGTCACCGTCCTCTGTGCCGTTTCAGCCAAACCACACACGGCAACAATCCCACCGTCCCAGACGTGCCGGGCCAAGCTTTTGGGCTCGCCGATATCTTCAACAATTTGTAGCGATGGGGTATGAGAACCATCGCCCAAGTCAAGCTTGCGCACAGAAACCTCTTGGCCATGCATGTTGCCGTCAAGTGTCAGGAACAGCGGCATGACAAGACCAGTCTTCTTCTCGGGATCAAGGACGTCTTTGGCGGACCTGGCAGAGTGCTCATCCGCAACACTGATACAAATCTCCACTGCCCTCCCACAGTCAATGGCGGCGGACACCATCATGGAGCTGAAGCCTTGCTTGAGGACTCTGTGGCCGGGCTTCCAGAATAATTGGCCATTCTTGGTGAGCGGCACCGTGATGGTTTTGGAGGCTGTGGGCAGTGCGGCTCGAACATTGATCTCTAGTGGCTCGTCCGGGATGAGGAGCGAGTCACCTAGATCGGTCGAAATCACAAAGAGCAGCTCAAATTGACGTATCTTGCCGACTTTGGAAATTTTGGGCGGCCGAAGGCAGCGAATGTAGTGCATGTTGATGATTCGAGTACGGCCGCGCTGACTTGATAGCGCAGAGGAGATGTGCCACCGCCAGAATTTCTGGTAGATGTCACCAGAGACTTTTTGACGTGTAGAATAAGAGAAATATGTGGTGAAAGGGGAGTGAAGATGAAGGCCGTGCACACCATCTGCTGGACTCTGGAGCCTGAATTCGTTGACGGGCAAAATCTCAGTGAGGGCAGGTGCGAACCGTGCGAGTCGCGACTGCATTGAGTGATTAGTCATCGATTCATCGCCCACGAACTGGGTCCTCCAGGCTCCTTGAAGTCTTCAACCAGACATCATCTCAGATAAAGACGCGCTTCTCATCAAGACGTCGCGACTCTTTGCCGGGGATTGACCCATGCGAGCGCTCGCTTCGGCAGAGCTCCTGGGAACAACAGTACATGAGGTGGCAATGCACAGAAGAACGAGTGCTTTCATGTTTGAACCTCATTCGTCAATACTTGGCTCCTTTTACCATTTACGAATCCTCTTTCCTGCCTCTTTCCACCGGAAATCCAAGGACTGGTTACGACGACCCCGTGCCCTTCAATCCTTCCAGAAAACGTCGGCGAATGTCCTTGGCGTGCTCAATGTTCGCCTTTGCACGTTCTCGCGAGTCCCTGGCCCGCCTCTCCAGCCAGACGTTCCTATCCTTCACAAAGGCTTCCATCCTTTCCTTGTGCTGCTCCACCATGGCTGCTCTCTTGGGGTCAAGAGACTCCAGCGCAGGCGGCTTGGGATGCTCGCCAGCCGGGAAGTCGGGCTTGCGTGGGATTCGCTCCTCCACCGGTAGAATATCGAGCCGGGGCCCCGGCAGGGTCTGGTACCAGTACGCCGTGGTCGACCAGTCGTCTCGGAGGTGGTTCGCGTGCCCAGTCTCCATCGTGACGCGGATCTTCTTGCTGAACCGGACAGGGTCGGCGAGGTGCCACCGGTAGCTGACCTGGTGGTTTGGGACGTCTTCCTCGTGGATGATGGTGCCGCAGAAGGGATAAGCGTTCTTCTGCATGCCCCATCCCTGGCTGAAGTAGTCCTCGCCGCCGGTGCCGTGCATCGAGGGCGGCCAGGTGTCGTCGTCGATGAAGATCATGTCGTCGCCCTCGCCCCACCATGTGCCCTGGAAGTGGGCGACACTTTGGTTGCAGCCAATGTACTGCCCGGCGCCCTCGGTCTCCAGGATCACATAGTTGCCTTTGCCATCGAGATTGGGCACCTGCGTTTCCAGGCTGTTGGTCTGGACGCCCTCGGGGGCCCAGCCGTTGGTCGGGTTCTCGCGGCGCCAGTTGGCATGGAAGAAGAGGGTATCATTGCTCAACGGCTCCGGGAACAGCTCGTAGTCAATGTAAAAGTACTGGATGTAGGCCTGGTCATTCTGGTTCTCAATCTCGATGCGAGCGCGCTTGTTGAAGGGCATCGGCAGGTAGCAGTTGAAAGCCGCTGCGCCGCCAAATTTCTTCTCCTCGGACGGCTTGACGGACACGGTGAATGGGAGGGACTGAAAGTTGGCTGCCATGGAGTGGCCCAGGCAGAAGAAATCACCAATGGGGGCCAGAACGTTGGGGGTCTCCGAGTCGTCCCAGTACATCTTGATGAGGACTTTGCGGTAGTAGTCTGGGTCGCTGACTTCGTAGTTGAGGCCGAGAGCATTGTGCACCTCCATCATCGCCACGCCCGACTTGGAGTATGGGATGAGGCCAGGTCCGACAATACGACGGCACGTCTGGACGAACCACAGGTGGGTGATGGTCCCTGGACCCTCGATGTCAGCTAGAACAGCCGTCTCCCCGGGTTGGATGACCCAGGCATCTTCGTTCAGGCCGCTTTGATCCCAGCTGGAAACGCGCCCAGTACGCGCCGTCTTCAATTTGGCGGCGTTGCTGAGAAGATCTCCGCCTAGCGAGGAGATGGGGTTGCTCATGGTTTCGAATACTTTGTGGTCGGGATAACGAGGGATGTTCGCTTTCTCTTCGCGTCTTGCAGTACGAGCGTTGAAGATGAGTCGTTGGGAAAGAAGGATAGAACCTCGATCTGGGACACGGATTTATACATCCTGCCTCTGAGCTGGGTGAACATTTGGCGACTGCTTCCTGGAATTGCTAAAGGACGATACCTTATGTTGGCTACCTACATGTAGTTAGGGTGCTGTTGGCCCGACTCTCGGGTTCTTGTTGCCTGCATTTCGGATTGCGACGGACGCTCCGCGATAAAGTCGACACATACTTTGGGCGGTTCTACAGGTGGGACTTGAATGACGCCAGGGTATCCAGACCATCTCCGCGATTTCATACATGTACCCATCACATTGGACAATGCATATTAGGTACTGACTGAACCAGGACCCGGACAATCGGGTGGTGAAGATGCGGAAGCAGAGCTCGCCTCCGCGACGTTCACGCGGGGAAGATTCCACTTTTCTCCTCCCCACAACGCCGTGGTCGAGTCATGCACGTACCTAAAAGAGGAAGAAACCCCAGATGTGTGAATTCATAAGTTCAAGTTCGTCGCGGAGCCAGGTCGGCATTCCCGACTTACTCCTTTGTCCAACACCTTGCACCAAACAGAATGCAAGACCAACAGGCCAGCCCGTCGGTATCCCCTCCGCCTCTAGGGAGGTCGCGGAGGACCCGGACGCGACCACGAACTCGTACGACTGTTGCATGCGATGCTTGCAGGGCGCGGAGAACGAGATGTGACAGCCAGAGGCCTGAGTGTGGTTACTGTCGCACTCGCGGACTCAAGTGCCACTACGAGCAGAGCCTACCCGCCCCTACGTCCAAGTACGTCGTGTTGGCATCTGGCTTCACCTTGTCTGCTATCGTATGCTAATCCATCCACAGAGTGGAGGTGGAACTCGCTGCAATTCACCAACGGCTCGACTACATCTCCGCGATGCTGCCGTGCCCTGGGCAGACTTCCTTCATCCCAGATGGTGTGGTGGCGGTGGGCCACGATCAAGAAAACCATCATGTCTTCACAGGCGAGGAGAAACTACCCTTTCAGCTGCTCGGGACCGAGTGCATGATGACCATTCTCGGTCTCGGCCCTGGGTTTGCCAAGGAGATTGCCATGCTCGAGAGGAACGCATCGCCCGTAGGCATAGGGAACTCGTCGAGGCTGCGTCTCATTCAGCAACCACAAGCCCTCGCTGCGCTTGCTGCCTTTTCCCAGCTTGTCCACATTTGGTACCCCATACTCCGACCCGGGTTCTCGGAGCGCTACCTGGACATCATCTCGGGGCCTCTGACGCCAGGGCCCGAGTCTTGCATGGTCCTGTTGGTCGCCGCCATTGGCACCCTCGCCCTGCAAGATCATGAGCTGGGCGACGCGTCTTCTGGCAACAGCAGCGAGCTCTACCTAGAGGCTGCCATGGCCTCCTTGCCCGCTGTCGTCACTGACAGAAGTGTCGAGGGCGTCCAGTGCCTTGTGCTTCTGAGTATTTACCACTGCTGTCTTTCCAAGCCTTGCCAGGCACACGAGTACGCCGCCATGGCCTCGTTCAAAGTGCAGAATATCTTGAAACACGTGGGGATCAGCGATGGCGAGCTCTACGAACACGTGAAGCGCGCCTACTGGGCAGTCCTACTCCTTGAGAGCGAACTTCGCGTGCAGTTCGACGTAGTAGATAGCGGTATCTGGAAACACGACGACCAGGTCGCCTTGCCCAACAGCCGCCGTGCATGGCAGTTTGATGTCGACGCAGGGTCGCCGCAGGCTTCCACCACCTCGCCAGACAGCACGCTCTCCGCGGACGGCCCTCGGACGGATCGTACCCAGTCGTATTTCCTCGCCGAGATCGCCATGAGGCGGATGCTGCACCGCTGCAACACCGCCATCCGCAGGACCCCTCGGGGTGACATTGTCTACGCGCCACACATTGCATTGGAGCTCGAGCTACAGCTCGATGAGTGGTATGGCTATCTGCCAGAGCCTGTGCGCTTCCAGCACCTCGACGCAGATATGAGCGATTCCGCTCTTGGCCACTTGTCCGTAGAACCTCTGGGCAACTTTCTCCGTGTGCAGTACTACTGCTGCAAGTTGTCGATATACTGGCCGGCAGTGTATCAAAGCATCCAAGATGGCACAGCCACGCCCGAGGTGCTCAAGCATTGCGAAGGGTTCTTTGACGCATATATCCAACTGATGCCGAGTATAGTGATATGCATTCGCAACTGCATCGTCAACCGGTGGACGCTGTATGCTACAATCTTTATGACGTCCATGGCGGTGCTGCAAGCATCGCAGCATCATTTTCTCAGAGCCGGCTGCGCGGTGGACTGGTCCCGTCTTATGGTGTGCTTACAGTCCACAAGCACCGTGGACAGACGCGTCGTGGAGGCTAGCCCATCCCTTTCGCTTCTGGAAAGGACACTTGCTCAGCGACTGGCAGAGACTTAGTTCTCAAGTTTAAATTAATTCCGCTGAAAGTCAAGTCTGATCATAAGCGGCAGCCTCGATTCTACTTTTCCTCCCCATTCGTGCCCAGTCCATCCCAAACTGTCACTGTCTCAAAGATCGCACTGTTACTTATGCCAGTTGCAAAGGCAGTGATACCTCCTGTATCTTGACTGCAACATCCAGAGTACACCATTGTCGCCAGCGCAAACCGGTCATTCGCGAATATCTCCAGAATATCGCCGTCAAAGAAGATGCGAAGCTGGAGCTTCTCCATTGCTGGTCCATCGCCTTCACTCACTCCTTTCTGAGTGAGGAGAGTGAATGGCCCAGAATCTGGGGATCTGTTAATAGTTGGATCAGTCGTCGAAGCCTCGCGATCGACAGTGATTGTTTCCGTGGTTGTGGAAAAGGTGACGGATGTGCGAATGGACAGGTCATTGCTATGACGGACATGAAAGCCAACAGTCTCGCAGCCAGAATGAATAGAAACTACCGCCTCGAGTTCCCAACTCACTGACTGCGTTTTCAAGGTTGCTGGTTTTCCGGTTATATCGGTTCCTGGCAACATGACTCTGCCTAACTTGACCACTTTGGTGGCAGTCTTCCGGAGCTCCATCATTTCCACAATGGGCTTCACTCCCAGGGTTAAAACAGAAGTAGAACCATCCGACTCCTCAATGGTCTCGAAAGCGCATATGTCTGCCAGATTACTGACCAAGGCCTTTTGAACTTTGGGTATTCTGAGGAGAAAGATCTCCCGCGGAATGGCAAGAGATCCATTCCAACCTTTCGCTTTGGCGGCTTCCAACGGAATGTCCTCCTCTGGGATCCAGCCATATACAATACTGCGGTCAGACACAGGGTCAATGAAAGAGTTGGCGGCATAGTAAGGCCCATGGTCGAAATGTCCTCCATGGCCGTATTGAAACTTAAATCCTTGGCCTGCCATGAGGACCTCGCCGGACAACCATAACTGGGACCGTACAGTACGTGAAGAAACTCCTGCGGGTGGCCGGGGGTGTCTCGCATGACTTTCCACGTCACCTTCCGCTCCGAGGATGAGAAAGTGACGGGTCTCCGAGCCTGCACGCAGCGTAACAAGATTCGTACATTCCCAGTTGACGCCGTAATTGCCACTCCACTTCTCTGAAGGTTGGAAACGAGCAGGCAGGTCTACCAAAGTATCCAGATACGTCCACTCCTCGTGGTTCTCATGTTGAATCTCGTAGAGGAAAGCCGTCGGACCTATGCCTTCTATGCCGCCGGAAATCAAGCCGTAGGACATGGTGGCACTTGTTCCAGCTGTGTAGTGGATGGAGGGCAATGCTGTGACGAAAGGATCGCGGAACCCTGTGACTTCCAAGCCGGCTGGTTCACCACGTAATACTGGGTTGTTGCGCGATTTCTCCCACGTCTCCCCTCCGTCGCGCGATGTTGCGATCGAAAGACCAGCTGCGTTCCGCGGATATGGAGGCGTGCTCCAGTGAAACGGGAGCTCCTTCACAGACGAGTAGGCGACCCTCAATGTCTTGTCGAGCGGGCTTGTGGGAGGAATCCAGCAACCAGTGAACACGCCCTCGGCGTCGTAGGCCTGGTCTGGGACAAGTGCCGGCGACTGGAGAGCGCGCGTCCAGGTCAGCAGATCTTTGGACACAATGTGACCCCAAGACATGTTTCCCCATTCGCAGCCTTCTGGGTTGCCTATGTTTTCGTATTAGCCACCCATCCGCCCTGTCATCAAGAACAGCACTGAGCTTCGTACATTGATAGAAGAGGTGGTATGTCCCTGTCCGAGGGTCGTAACCTGGGGCGCACGGATCATTAATCCAGCCATCTGTAGAGAAATGAAATCTAGGACGTCCAACCGACGTTTGCTTTTGCTGCGGAGTCGGCGCCATATTGAGTACAGTATAGGATGTACGGTCACTTCCTCGAGCTCCGGATATCAGGTCTTGGAAGGGAAGCCGAAGGCGACTATTATAGCTTGTTGAGGCCGTTCGCCATCGCAAAAGCACCTTTGCAACGCCCTCATGTTCTTGCTCACATTAAAGCACAACTAGGCTCGCTTCCTGTCGAATCCCCCAAGTCCCTGACGCTTGCGTCAGTACGAACCGGACTAGCTGATGCCATCTCAGTGGGAATCAAGCAGGGTTTCGCGGAGGTTGGGCGAAGCTCCGCGAGAACGGGGACACTTCGCAGCACTAGTCACCGTGGCGTTCAGCTCGTTAGCAACAACTTGGTTTATGTGGACAACCCATCGCGGAACTCTCTCTAGGTCCGCGACGGTCTCCGGTCTCCAAGACTCCAACCCCGACATGCACGCATGCCTGCATGGCAGGAAATCTGGAGGCAGAGTGCAGACCCCAGACCCCGGATTCCTGGCATCCAGTTCTTCGGGTTCGATCGTAGAACTGGACTGGAGAGTCGTCCAAGGTACATTGACTTATAAATATTGCATCTCTCCTTTCGCTTCTATCATGAGATGGAACACTCTGCTCTCTGCATAGCCCTACCTCACCCTCACATATCTCCCGCATCAATCCACCAGACATTCACCTTCTCAGGTTCAGCATGACTCTGATCCACGGGTTGGTTTACCTCTGCTCACTCACAGATCTTCCGACCACTAACGGGAACCCACAGGGTTGACTACTCTGTTGTCAATCCAGACAACAAATGGAAGATTCTCAAGTCTCAGTCGCGCTTTGCGCTATGGGGTCAGCCATCACTCCCTCTTCCCCCTCCCTCCCTGTCCGCCGCCCCTCGCTGACATTGAATGTTGCCCATAGCTCTCTTGATCTCCTCGGGTGTTGTCATGCAAGGCTTTGACATTGTCGCCGGCGGTCAGCTTGCCGCCTTGCCCGCCTTTCGAGAGAGGTTTGGCGTGCTCCAGCCTGATGGCAGCTACCTCATTCCCGCCCATTACCTGTCCGCCTGGAACTCGATCGCGCCCGCCACCGAAATCGTCGCCACCTTCATCTTTGCGCCGTTGCTCGAGAGGTTCGGACGCAAGTGGGGAGTCCTCGCGGCATCGCTCATCTCGGTGGCCGGTGTCCTCCTCCAGCAGCTTGCTCCAGACTGGCGGATGCACCTGGCAGGCCGGGGCGTCAACGGCATCGCCATTGGCATGATGTTCACCATCTCGCCACTGTGGATCGGGGAGACGTGCCGTCCGGAACTGCGTGGCTTTTTCCTGTGCTTCTTCAACACAAGCATCGTGTTTGGCCAATTCGCCATTGTCGTCGTCAGCCAGGGAAGTAGTCACATTGACGGTCTGTGGCAATGGTGGCTACCGGTCGTCGCCATGTACATCTTTCCTCGTAAGCCGCGTCCTGCTGCTCTTCACACCCAGTCTGCATAGGCTAATGGACATGTGTCGACAGTCATCTTGACGGCTGCTTGGCCCTTCTTCCCCGAGTCACCCTACTGGCTTGTCCGTCGCGGCCGTACACTCGACGCCAAGAGAGCACTTCGTCGCATCTATGGTTTCCAGGAAGCCGAGTACTACGATATCGAGGTCAACCGCCTCGAAGAGGAGATTCGTATCACCAATGACGTGCACGGCGGCACCTCTGGTCTGTCGTCCCCAAAGAAGGTGCTCGGCATCAACATACAAGCAGAAAGCGAATGCTTCGACGCACAGAACCGCAAGCGCACCTTTACCGCCATCTTTGCTGCCTCGTCCCAGCAGATGATTGGCGCCACCTTTGTGATCGGCTACGCGACGTACTTTTTTGACCTAATCGGCATCAAAGACTATTTTGGGGCCTCGATCGCTTTGTATGTGGTCATGCTCCTCGCGAGTACTGCCGCATTCCCCCTGACAGAGATATACGGTCGCCGCTTCTTGATTGTCGGCCCGCAGTTTATACTATGCTTCATGCTTCTCATCATCGGTATTCTGGGGTGCATCCCCAACCAGGCTCGAGCGAGTTGGGGCATCGTGGCCTTGCTGTACATCTGGGCCCTCATCTACCAGCTCTCGATTGGCGCTACAGGCTTTGTTCTGGCTTCAGAAATTGCGACAATGCGACTCAGAGCAGCTACGCAAGGTCTCATCACCATCACCAACTCGCTTTGGGGACTCATCATGCAGTTCACGGTCCCCTACATGATCAACCCAGATGCCGGCAACTTGGGTGGTAAGGTCGGCTTTATCTTTTTGGGCACTGGGTTGATCGCCAGCGTGGGCGGCTGGTATCTATTTCCCGAGACAAAGGGGCTTTCGTTTGAGAAGCTGGACGAGCTATATGCTATGAAGGTGCCCCCAAGGCATTTCAAGAGAGCGGTCGAGAATACCGAAACAGGTCTCAGCCTGGTCGATCCTGCTCGTCCCCTGAGCTCATCTCTAGTCAAGGGCGGGGATGTCCATCTAGAGCACGCTGCCTAAGTTGGGGTTGCAAAGACCTTGGCAGTTAGGAATAGTAACGTGGAGTTGACGTCGAGCCCTGCTCCAGTCCAAGTCACCATTTCGTCGCCGCACCAAGATCATTATTGCTTTGTCACATTCAGTCAGTGTCAGTGGATTGCCAAGTTTCAACTGTGTATTTCGCCTATCAATAATAGCCCACCATGGCGTACGCCATGTCGTCCAGCGCATGCGCGCATCCAAAACTATCTAGAAGCCCATCCATATCAATGCATAGACCGTAATTACCGCGAAGTATTCCCAAGCAAATCTAATAATCCTCCATCTAATTGCTTTTCCGAAGCCGAACGCAAAGCAGCCCAAGCTTTTCAAATAACCAGTACAAATAACCAGATAAACAAAGGAAATCGTTCGCCGCCCCCATTCACTCTTCTTCCGTCGCTACCTCGCCACGAATGCTGGGTATCTCAAGAGTAAAGAAAATGGAACTCCGTTGGGATGGTGTACGAAACATCCCAGCCAGGGTAGTCAAGTCCAATCTTGACCACACCGGCATTTGGTACAGGTTGCCCATGTACGTCTTCAAAACAATAGTCGCGCCGCCGCAGAAAAAAATAAAGGAAATGAAAAAGTAGAGGATCCGAATGTCTGTCCAGACACACGAGGGGTATCCAAGGAAAGCAAAGACTCCGGCAAGCAGTAGTTGTACAGGTCCGTGTATGCGTGGCCATTCCGTCCGGTTTAGTGGAAGTCCTGTTTAGTCCGGGTCCACGGGCAGCGCGCGGTCGAGAAGACAAGGAAAGGAAAGAGAAGAGAAATTCCTGGAATAGTGTCTCCTCATCATTTGGTGGGGTTGAGCAGGAGCGGTGCCACGTTGGCTTCGTAGCGGATGCTCCATGTCCTCACCTTCTGCATAAACTTCTCGACGCGTGGAAGTTCCCGGTCACGGCCAAAGAGGGTGTCCACGAACTCAGTCCCGGCATTCTTGCCGAGACCTGACTTCTTCTTGCTGGCAGCTTTCAGCATGGGCGCCTCGCAGTTCTTGAGCAACAGGCGCAGGGTCTTCATGAGGCGTTCACTGCCGTCGATTTGGTCGTTCACAATCTGCCTGCTCTCCTTGGTTCGTGTCTTGAGGCCTTCCTCAACACACTTGTTGGTCTTCTCGGTCAGGTCAAGTAGTAGCAGCCAGAGTTCGCCAGCCATTTCGGCGATGGGTGCGCGGGGCCCCACGCTGTACACAGCCCAGTCGTAAATCCATTTGCCCAGTGAGTTGGCGTCAAAGACGCTGCCCAAAAGGAGGATGGGCTCCTCCCGCGGATCCCAGTTCTTGAGTGAATAGCCAACCGGGATCTGGTGTCGGTCCGCATCGAGTTGGGTAGCAGCGCGGTGCACACGCAGGTCGCTCTTTGAGGGGGGCTGCTGTTGTGGCCGGGCCGTAGCGGAGCGTCCCATGGCTGCCGAGGCACGCCGAGCGTGCGAGTGGCTCGTCGGGGCGCGAGTCTGCGCCATGGGACGGGGCACCTCGGTGGCAGGGTGCCGTGTGTAAACTGGCTCGTTGTAGAGGGGGGATTCCTGTGAGAAGAGGCGGCGGTCAGTGTACCGTACCCTATCGTAGTCGGAAGAAGTATTGGTGTATCTGCGACTCCTAGACCGCGACTGGGCAGGCAACACATTGGTGCGCCGCAGGGCCTCGATGACCTCGTCGTCTTCGGATTCGTCTTGGGGAGAAAAGGACCGAACATGGGCAAAGGAGCTCCGAATATCCTCTGAAGGGAAACGATAGTGGAAGGACTTGGAAGGTCCACGCGATGGAAAATCTTCAAAACTCACATCAACCGTGGCATATTCCCCGGAACTGTTGTATCGTGGAGAATCCCGCGGCGGGCGTGGGCTAAAGGCAGAGGCTGAGTAGCTGCTGTGACGGCTGTGGCCGATGCGGGTTGACGGGCGCTGCGGCGTGCGCTGGGCCTCGACCCAGCCCTGGCGAGGCGATGGCGTTGGGGTGGCCGAATTCATCCTCGCAAACTCCCAGTCGTCGTATTCGTAGTCCGGTGTCGATCCGGGTGTCCTTGGTGATTGATAACCGTACATGATATAGATTGCCGTCAATGTCCCCTTGGCGTCTCCTAGTCAACTTCCTCACACTCCTCGCTCCAGCGCGTCGCGGGTTGGTGTAAGTCGTCGATCGTATGCGGTTTGTTCCGTTGCTCGTTTGTTGTCGTGTGGTTTAGTCCTGTCACTCTGGTATGTGATCGGTCGAGAATGGGTTGATAAAGTGCCGTGGTACTGCAAACATGACCAAGGGCTATGTGACGCAATATTGCTGTTGTTTCCCCCAGATCAAAGAGGAAATAGCGGAAAGAGGCCTGTCTCCAGGTTGACTTGGCCTATTGCTCTGCTTGTTCGGGGCGTCCAGGAAGACGTGGATTTGCGTGCTGGACGTTGGTGGCCAGCAAACAAATCAATAAGCGGTAGTGGAGATTCAACGTCGACAACGACGCTCTAAAGAGACGCGATGCAAAAGTTTGTGGTAGTGAGTGTTTGTTGGTGCAAAAGCCCAAACGAATGTGGGAGAAAAGGGAAAGAGGAGCGAGAGGCTGGTTTGGTGGTGGGTGTGCGTCGAGATATATATTGGACGCAGGATTCTGGAGGGGGCTAAGTCCCGTCTGTTTGTGCGCGCTGTAGCCACAGTTGACTCCTTTGCTTCAGGCAGGGAAAGTGAGGACAGGGGGGGCTCAGAGAATGAGCAGGGGTCAGCTTGCCAAGTGGTGACCGGGGTGCCGCCAGGAAAGCAACCGCGAAATTTGCTGCTGCTGCCTGTGTGCGAAGTGGGTGTGAGCCTAACATCACTCACGTCCAGCGGCGCTTAGTCACTGCGCGCACGGCGCTGGAAGCAACCAGCATGTGCGCCTACAGTGCTGGACTGCGCGAGAAGTTACGGTCCGCACTCCGCAGTCCAGTGAGTCCAGTCACAAAGCAAAGCCCAGCCGTGATTACTTGTGATTAATTAATTTATAAGGATAAGGCTATCTTCTCGGTGAGTACATGATCCAGTCCTCGGTCTGCAGGTTGCTAACGCCAGTCTTTATTAGGAGTCATCTCTCAAATAGCTTCCTGTGTTTTGTCTCACCGGTGTGACGACTGAGCCTCTTGTGGCCTCCGCCTGACGCAAGCTCGGTTCACCGAAACTACGAGCGGGTCTCACCTCATCAGACCGAGAACCTCAGGTCTTATTATTACTCACAATTTCATGACGATGTCGGAGCCCAGCTGAGCCATTAAGTCAGAGACCCCAGCCTGGTCGCGCGTGAGTCTGTGACGCTGGTCACCGAAGATCCTGGTCGCAAAGCTTGTCGTCTCCACTGACGAAGCGAATCCAATTCACTGGGACAGGAAGGCGAATAGACTGGCCACTGGTCTACGGAACGGCAACCGCTGCCCCGGAGGTCCACGATGAAAAAAACGTCCCGAAATGTCAGCTTTTGCCTATTATTATCGCTCCTCCCGCCGCTGTCGCCATCGACTCACGTATGTTGAAGCCTTCCGAGTCATCAATCACAAATGGAGTGGTTGGGTAACGCCAGTCACGCACGCCACATACCTCGGTCGCTAAAAGCTACGCAATCAGCGTCCGCAAAGTCGTGCACGCCGATAATCAAAGAAGTCGTTGCACAGACTTGGTGGTCGCTTAGTATGACGACGATCACTTGCTTGGGTCAGTCGTCCGCAGCAAATCACGCTCCTTCGCCACAAGAACAGAGTTGCGAGTCCAAAAGGAGCATCGACGGCCCTTCGAGACACAAGCTCGAAATAGGCAGTTTGCCTCTCACAAATAAGCGCCCACTATCCCCCAACGGCCATGCTGACAACATGGAACCTCTGAAGCTCCAATAACGGACGTCTCAGCACACCTTCGCGTGAGCTTGATCACCATCACATGCACCACCCTCCATTTGATCTGTTTCGCGCGCTGTGCGAAACGAGTCGTCTCCGTTTCAACGTCTCCGTTTCGCAGCTCACAGTTCAGCACGCCGCTGGTTTTCCCTTGAGCGCAAGGAAACGGGGAGGGCTGACGACCACCACGCCTCGATTCTGATGTGCAAATGTCCATTGCTCGACGGTGCATTAGGTCAAATGGCAAAGGAATCGTGGGAAGAAGTCTAATATTGAGCGAACTGCTGCAACAGCGCTCATGCACCACCTCCGCATCGCAGCACATCGCATCGCATCGTACCGTGCCGTCTGGCGGAGGTGGAGGTGGCGGCCCTTGCGGGACGCCTGCGTGGACACCATGCTAAGCCCACAGCGTCTTGCCCGAAAGGCGCAAGGGCCATGCCGCAGACGAGGCTGGCAAATGGGATATTTTCCAGTCATCTGTGGGTCATTGGGGGGCGGGCTTTGTCGAGTCTCGCTGCCAGCCTGCCACAGCCTCGTCTGATTATTATTTCTGAGATGTTCTGAGATTCGAGCCTCAACATTCCGACGCATCGCCTCCCTCTTGTCTCTCGTTCATAGACAAAGGCCAACGCGTGTTTGAGGCTGTTCAGTATTGAGCCGAGCAGAGCGTCGCGCGGGGCCTAGTCGCTCGGTTGTTTGCCTGCGTGTTTGCCAGCTTACACAAGGTACATGTACCAAGACTCTCACGGTTTCCAACCTTCTAGAGGATCAATCTGCAGCCACAGAACCGTGAGTGCTGTGCAACGCACGTTTCGTCTTTCCGTTTCCATTTGAGAATCTGCCATCAAGGGACTTCGCAAGAGCATCGAATCCCACGGCGGAATGGCCAGCACACCGCAGGACTGCCCGGTATAATAGCCAGCTTCACCTTGTCCGCACCGAAATTACCACATGTTGTGCGGCAGGCAACATCTTGTACGCATTGCAGAACCACTCCCTACCCTAGGCAATTCAAAACGCCCTTCCAGTCAGTATATCTCGGCGACTGGTAGGGGACGAAATTGTCATTGGTGGGCCAGGCCTCCAACCCTGGTCTTTTTCTAGAAAGCCACCCCCTGCTGTCTTAGGCCCGGCGTGACGATCCCTGGGACGCACCAGCCTTTCCGCGCTGCCGGCCACAGATAATACCCCTTGTCCTTCAAGGGGATGGAAAAAATTTTCACACATTCTTGCTTGAGCCATGGCTCAATTTGCCGGACGATGAACAACAACAGAACAGTGTTCTGGCAAGACGGTCTGAACCGGATTTTCCCCTCTGCTCTAACACGACACCATGTGAGTCACCACAAGGCAGAGGCAGAGAAAACCATGTGCAAACTCCCAATCTTCTGAAAGATGCGCTGTATTGCTGTCCAAAGTGCATGTTGGCCATCGAATTAGACGCTGGCTGCACGGTGTCTGCATTCCTGATTGGCAACCTTTGGTGCTCCCCTTCTCCAGAATCCAGACCCGATTAAGTGTGGCCCACTCACGGCTCCTGTCAGCTGTGCCTCCGTCCTTTAATAAAGATGTCGTTGCCGTGGAAGACTGGACGCTGATGCTGTACAGCACCAGCGGTCAAGTACAAGCTTCAGCCTTCACGAAGCTCGAGTCGGTTCCGCCCCAGGATCCCTTGCTTGTACACCCCCGAAGTAGCGACTGGAGCCTTCGCATCACGTAACTGTGCGTATGCACGCACGTAATATTCACCGACTCTTCGAATGGTCTATCACGACAGCAACGGGGAAGATTTATTTTTTGAATAATTTTCAGAACTATGTGCGCTCCATGACTCCTTGTCCCAAGGAACGTGTGGTCGGGCCGGATAGCCCATCATTATTTGCCTTTTATTATTCAGGATGGGATTGCAATGCAACATGGGAATTCCGTCTTTACCTCCCTGGTCCCTGGAGAGGGGGGCACTGCCTCGTCCAAGACATCCTGCCTAATAACGTTCTATTTAACAAAGGGCCAAGCTCGAGGAAACATTTCTTAGGGCAACAGGCAGCGCGGTGACGTACCGATTCCCACAACCCCGATGGTAGGAGATTTGGTTGGGAATCGGGCGTCTTGTTTCGCAGAAAGTGCCAGCAATGCACGTCCGTCCGGATAGACATGGGCAGGGGTCAGACTGGAAGGGGGGGGCGTGGAAGCTATGCCATGCGCTCAAGGCTCGAGTAATAAATAGCCGTGCCTTTATTAGGACCAGACGAAAGAGGGCTGCCGCGGTCAGGGCAATCAGAATGCAACAGGCATCCGTAAATTAGGAGGACGGCCCAACACGACCTCGTCGTTGCAGCCCAACGGACGGTACGCTCGCTCGCTCTGGACTGTGTTTGGACCTCGCCTTATCTCGTCTTCTTGAGCGCGACTTTCTCGAAAAGAATTTCCCCTTCTCCTCATCCTCTTGTGATGCAAAATGACAGAGTCTGCAGTTACAACAGGGCATGACCGCCATCTAGAACTCCTGTGCAGGTGGTGCTCATGCGACTGTGCCCAACCCATGTGAGGACACCACCAGGTGCATCATGGCGGGCATCATCTGCACACGACAGACGTGCGCACACATTGTTAACAGAGCAGAAGACCCTCTGTGCTCATGCAGCGTGCCCCTCCAGATCGGTTCTGAGAAATTTTCTACATCATGATGCTTCATGTGGTTGCGCTGTTCATGCATGATTATTAGTAGAGTCATGCTGGCCTGTTCCTCTCGGCTAATTTGGGAGCGCAGCATCTCTGCACCGGTCTCTCGCTGACATGTGCGTACGTACGTACCCTAATAGTATCCGTAATCGATGGTGAATTGTTATTGGCGCAGGACTCGCACTGCGACAAAGCCAATGATGGCCTGGGACCGTGCCATTATGTGAGTGAGACAACCTATTGGTGAGGTGTTAGTCTTTGTCTATTTTGTGCGACGGCTCAGCTCAGATGAAACTGTGCGAATGGCCCTGAGTGCGAGGTGTTCTTTTCTTTCTTCTTGAAATGCATGGACGCGACGCGCGCGATCAGTGTCTCAGAGCTCTCGAGAGACGCGACAGGGATGTTGAGTGTGGCGGTGCGGGCATCCAAGCACTCGGCACCGATGCTGCGCCACCCGAAGTCCGGCGCAGGTGGGCCCCTAATGCCGGCGTCACCGGGGATCTCGGGCTTGTACTTTATCTCGACGTCCACTGACTGGTGCGGACAGTCCTGCCAATCCGCAGCGCGCGATCATGACTCAAATGTCCGGGGATGTCTTTCCCCCATCATTGGTTGCTTCCATGCAGAATCTAGGCTGAGCTTTTGCCTTTCAGCTGGACATCACTCGCCACATGTGTGATGGCTCAGTGGCTACACTTTTACGTAGAGGCGATCGGGCCTTGTCTTTTTGCTTCGCACAAGCACGGCTACCGTGCCATCGTAAATCTGCCTGGTGAAAACGGGAACAGCTGAAACAGTTGGTGGCATGACTCAGGATTCCCGTCGAATGAGAGACGCGTTGGCTGCTACAGGGAGCCTATTCGTCACTAGATTCACGGACACTGTTGCCACTTGTGCATTCATTCACATGCCCGTGCAGTGCCTTTTCTCATGATAGGGGTGCAATTAAAGCGACTGTTTTCTCAGCAGATCCAGTAAGACTCAAGTCTGTGACTTGAATGTTGTGAATGGTCATGTCGACTACCATGTGGAATTATAGGCAGCCTCTGGTTGACGACGACGATGGTAGCGACGTCACGTACAAGGAACACATGTGCACCTGAGCGTGCATCGTTCTCACGCACATTTCTTGGGACGAGTGTTTTATTCACGGGTGCCAAGACTGATTTCAGGCTGTCCATGAATTGCTAGTGAACCGTGCATGTACAGGGTAGTTACACTCCGTAAAGTAACACGACGCTCGCTATGGCAGCATTCGGGAAGGTCTGCTGCCATCTGAATAAGATGGATTAATTTTCTTCTTAGCACGCCTCACATTGCCTCTTTCTTGATATCGAATTAATTAAAAGGAGTCGTCACAGCCTGTTCGATAGAAGTCGTATTCACATGTACACCTATAGCAAAAAGAAAAGGAAAAATAGTCGAAGTATAATAGGTTTTTTTTTTCTTTACAAGAGCTGATTTCTGACACGCCCTCTTCTAAAACATTGCTGATCATAGCCCAACTCTAGAAACCAACGCTGTCGTGAGTCGTGTGAGGTGAACACCCAAATCGCTCATCTTCTTTAATCTGCTCGTTCGTCGTCACTGCTGCTGCTGCCATGGATGCCCTTGGGACGTTAAGTATTGTCGTTGTGGTAGCCCTTGTGCTTGCCTCCATGAGCCCTCGGGGCTGGACGATATTGGTACGTGGCCTGTATGTGAAGCGAGGACTCCTCTTACCTCGCCAACTGAAGTGGTCGTCTAGATTATGTGCAGGCTCGTATCGGAGTCACCTCCCGAGCCAGAAGATTCATTAGACTCCTCCGAAGCGCTATCTTCCTGCTCCTTCCTGATGATGGACTCAAGGAGCTGGATCACGGTCTCCTCGCTGTAAGGCCCCGGCAGCTGGGCGCTCTGTCGGGCGGATGGAGGAACAAACGACTGAACGGGCTGGACAGCGTCTACAGCCTCCGCGATCCTCTTCCAGATAAGGCTTTCACGTTGGCGAGCCCTTTCTTGATGATACGCTTTGCGGAGCGTTTCCTGGTAGAGGACTGGCTGCTGTAGAGAGTTGTAGATGAAGGACCGCCCGTTGACCTCGACCATGAACCAGGTGCCACCGTTGCCCATCTGGCCGCGAGAAGACAGCAGCGTGTACATGTATTGTGGATGAGACATTGTCCAGATAGTCAAAAGATGCACGCTTGCTCTGTAGTGGTGATACACGGGTATAGACAGAGGGAAAAGTGTTTTGTTGTAATATGGACGCTGCCAGATGCGCAGTGGCATCTCGAGCTTGAAAGACAATCCTCTTATACATGAGAAGGACCCCAAGTCAGCTTAAAGTCTAACCTTAATTTACTCGCACACGAAAACACAGTTTGCAATAAAAGCGTTGAAACTATGGAAAAAAAAAAAAACATTAAGCTTCCGCACGGGATACTTTACGAGACAATAGGCTCTCGATTGAGTTGACGCTGCGCTGCCTCACCCGTGATATTGGGATTAACGAGCTACAGCAGTAGACTGGACCAACCTGAGTCAAATAATTCAAATGCAATGCTATGCTAGTTCCCATGAGATGCAGTAGAACAGTCGTAAATCGTAAATCCGCGCCGTCTCCAACTCCCCGTCATGCAACGTCCAGGGGTTTGCGGCCGTATATCGCGCGAAAGGGGAAGTAGGCGTGATGCACGAGCAGTCCATTGTGCTCGGCCGTGATGGCCTTGCGCACGTCGACCAGGTGAAGCTCAATCTGGGCTGGTGTCCAATGGAGCCCGTCGCGGAATGGTCTGCGCGCGAGGCCGTTGAGCCCCATGAGGACGACGTCGCGCAGGATGTGACCGCACTCCTGCAGCTTCTTCTTCTTGGCCCAGGGCCCGACGGGGCATTTGGAGAGTTTGACGTGTATCTTCTGCAAGCCGGCCGCTCTCATTTCGTGCTCAGCCGAGAGGATACCATTCATGTCGGAGCCAAGCTTGGCCATGGCCTCGCCGAGGTAGTCACAGAATTGCCTCCAGGGATAAGGGTCGGGACATGAATCGTCGTCGCAGGCTGCGGCATACTCAAATTCTTGGAGCTCAAACCAGCCGCCAGGTTTCAAATGGCTGGTCGATAATGGCATTGTCAGTTGGCCGGTCGGGGTCGCGGATAGGGCCGTGCTTGGACTCACGAGTACACACGCTCCCAGAGCTCGGATCGGTTCTGGACGGAATGCAACGTGTGTCGCATGTGGATGAAATCAAAGTGGTTCTCGGGATACGTCCAGCCAGCCTCGTGCTCAATGTCATCGACGAGGAATTGCACATTTTCGGGGACCCAATCCGGCTGGATGGGCGAGAGATCCATACCGTGCAACTCGGAGTCGGGGTAGCGATCGGCCACTGGGAGAAGTCAGGTTCATTGTCCTACTAATAATAATTCCTGGGCCCGACTGTCTGGGTCGGGCTGCCAGGGTCCGGTCGGTCCCAGCATCTCGGGTGGGTGGGGGCCAGATCATCATTCAATCTTGAAACAACGTGACAACTTGAAGATCGCGACGACGTACCATCGATGCACCATTGCCCCGTGCCCGTTCCTGCGCGATATTGTCAGTGGCTTTTCCACAAAAGGTACTCCGTCGTGACAGTAGACACTTGAACACGCACCCAAGTCCAGGACCATGGCACCATCCTCCAATGCCTCGTGCACCGGGGCGAAAAAGTACTCGCCATCGCACAGGTGGACGGTGAGCGTGTGCTTGAGATTTTCGCGCGATTGCTCATTGTCGTCGTTGGGGAAGCAGTACTTGCCCGCGCGGTACGCATGGTACCGCAGACCGCCGTCGACAATGTGCTGACGGATGCTGTCGGTGAGGCTGTGGGTGTCGTCGCTGTCCTCGACGTTGGCCAAGTCGCCCTTTTCGATGCTCTGGATGATCGCCGCGTCGCTCGAGGTCCCCACCGCAATGGCCGTGCCACTCGTCGAGGACGGCGTTGGGGGTCCTTCGTAGCAAGGCGCTGCGCTGCAACGGTCGTCCATGGCCGCCCTCGTGTGAATGAAGGAAAAAAAAGGCTGGGTGTGCGATTGGGCAGAGCGCGGGTCGAGATGGGGGGAGGCCTGGAGCAGGCTGTGAGGCGCGGTCCATTACTTGCTGGCCACGAGAGTTGCGTGGGAGCACCGAGGGGGTACTGGACTGATAATCTCAAGTTACGTTACCGTGGCCAAGAAAAAGTGAGCGACTGGGCCATGATATGAGAGAGTTTTGCTGGTGGCTTGCGAGACCGGGACCACATCGCACCACTTTATTGGGTGCGGTGCCATCCGAACGCCTGGATTACTTGGAGTCGCACTCGCAGACCGCAACGACCCTGCATTGTGGAGGAGCAGGGGTGGTGGACTCTGGGAACTGAACTTGGCACATTAGGATTAATGATATGCTTGTTTCTGCTGTTGAATTCCACATGTGGTCAGGGAAACGCATGTCTAGTATTGAATGGACAAGGAAACAGTCAATCACATCACAATGAGTCAAGGAAGCAGTAGCATGTGCAGAGTATAAATTCCAATTCAATATCAAATCAACATCAAAATCCTTCTCAACTACCTATTACTGAATCGAACACCAACATCAACCACCCGAGCGCGCCAGGTCCGCCGACCAGAGCAGACTCCTCGCGTTCCACACAAGGCTGGCAGGTCTTCCCTTTACAGGAAGAAGGCCATACCAGCGATGGCACCCATGCCCAGGGCGGGCAGGATCTTGCTAGAGCCAGCGACGGGGACGTCGCAGTGGACACCAGTGCACTGGCTCTGGCCGTTGTTGTTGGCACCGGTGGAGGGAGCGGCCGTAGGGACGACAGCAGGGCAGTTGACACCATTGCACGCGGCACCGGTGGTGGTGGCGGGCATGGGGGGCGCGGGGGTAGGGCAGTGGTCGCCCTGGCAGGCGGGGACGACCTGGCAGTTGTCACCCTCGCAGTTGTACTGCTTGTAGCAGTCCTCACCCTGGCAGGTCTCGTAGCCGCAGGCGTCGCCGTGGCAGACCAGGTTCTTCTCGCACTCGTCGCCGTAGCACTTGGCAGCGACGCAGTTGTCACCGTAGCAGACAACCTTCTTGAGGCAGTCCGCGCCCTCGCAGGTGGGGTAGACGCAGTGGTCACCGTTGCAGACGACCTTCTTGTAGTACTCCTCGTTGGTGCAGACCTCGGGGTGGCAGACGTCACCCTCGCAGACGACGCGGTGCTTGGCGCACTCGGAGCAGGGGAACTGGGGAGCGCAGTAGTCACCGTAGCAGATGAGGACCTTCTCGTGCCAGGCGTTGGCAGCGGACGTGACCTCGGGGCAGTACTCGGTGGTGTAGGTCGTGGTGGTGACCTGGCCGACGGGGCAGTTGGTCACCTCAGGGGGGCACGAGGTGATGGTGAGCGTGTCGGTGATGGTCTCGGTGACAATGTTGGTGCCGGTGGGGGCCGCGGTCATGGTGCCGGTGGGAACAGCGCCGCTGGTGACGGCGGCGTCGCGGATGCGGATGTAGACGGAGAGCAGGATGGACAGGGGCACGGTCTGGCGACGGGCGACGGCGCCAGCGAGGCCACCGCAGGACTCGAGCTCATTGCCGGGGCAGGCAACGTCGCACTGCGAGTTGGCAACGCGCTGGGTGTCGTCGCTGTTGACCTCGTCGCCGCAGTAGCAGTCGGTGCTGTAGACACCCATGAAGCGGCCCGGGCAGCTGGCGGCGCAGATGTCGAGGCTCATCTCGTTGCTCGACGCAACCAGCTCGAACGTGGGGAACTGCTCGGACGAGGAAAGGCATCCGAAGAAGCGGAAGTCGCCCAGCTGCTCGGGGAAGCCGACGGGAGCGGTCTGGGTAGGGTTGGCACCAGACGAGGTGGTCGAGCTCCAGGTGAAGGTGGAGTTCCGGGCCAGAGCGACCTGGCCGAGGCCAAAGGCGAGAAGAGGTGTGTAACGCATGGTGGCGGGTGTTGTTGGCTGGGATCTGAAGTCCTAAAAAGAGTGTGGGGGGTAAACTGAAAAGAGAGCTCTCGGGGTGAAACCTGAACGAGTGGAATCGAGGCTGTGCTGATGCTGTTAGTGATGAGAAGGTAAGGAGACAGCTTGATGGAAAGGCTCACCCTGCTTTATACTTGGATAGCCCTCGTCTCCGACGCGTCTGTCCCACTCACTGGACTCCAGGATTTGTTGTGCGGGTTCATCTTGGCCGCGTGAGCCATCCATCTGGCGGCCTTGGAGAATGCTGCTCGACGGGGCCAGCGTGCTTTGTGGAGGCATGTCTCGGTGGTCGTCGCCTTGACAAGAAGGCCAGGAGAAGCTTGGCAGCTCGTAGCGGGAGCCGTTGGATCCGGATCCAATATGCCCGCGGATTCCAAGACGAGCTATTGCTGTGCCTGGTTCTGTGGGCGTAGATGTTGTTCTCCCCTCGTCGCGTGACAATTTTGACGTGAGACAGTATTGTTTGTCGAGCCGCCTGGAAGTATGGAGCCCCAATATAGGGCGTTCAGACTAGGCCGTGATCCCTCGGTGCCTTTCTATCCCTCACATTCCATATTATCGATCGGGTCCAATCTATCTATCCTTGGAGGGAAGCGTCCAGCTGGCCATTGGGGGAACGAGGCTCAATCCGAGGTATTCCACCGATATTCGAGGAGAAGCGTATGTGCAATGCTCGATTCGGGTCCACCGATACACGGGAAGTGCTCTCAAGGATCCGCGGACACTGGGGTTTGGTAGATTGGCGCGGCGATGGTGCGCACGATGTGGTCTGGTGCTTTGTGTAATGTGAAGTGAGAGTTGAGGCTCTGCTGTCGTTGAAGGGCGGCCGCCTGGAGGACGGAGACTTTAGTGGGTCACTCGCTCGCAAGTTGGGCGGTTGGAGAGTGCCTACCCTACGCATCAACTTCTAACCATCATGAGAAGGCCAACTACAAGTGAAATTCGAATATAGGTCTAAAATACACTGTTTATAGGCATGGAATTTCATTTTGCTATATTTAAGTGTGAATGGACTGTTGCTTGGTGTCATTGGCACTTGAATCCATTGTTAGGCGATGATATGTGGTGTTAGAGCTACATATGTCAGATATGTACATCACTATCAACAACCACGTGCAAGTCAACACAGCCCAAGTTGTATATTCAAGTACTACTATGCTATCATCACTTGTGGACGTCAATGGGCTGCACACACAATGTTGCCCATAATTCAAAAACTAAAGACTCTTAACCTGCTAAACACGATGAATTACGGCCCATATACTATCGCCAGATTCCATATTGGCCGGAGCGGCAGCTGCAGCTTTGCAGTGACCCGAAACAAAGCACAGACGCTGAGAATTCCTCAAAAGTTGCAAAGACATTCCCCCAGAGCTTGTATGATCCTATGCTCATATGAAAATACTAGAATCTGGAACGCCATCGCCGATGCTGACTCCCACGACGCCCAAGATCAGTCCCAACATCATGGGCAACATGATATAAGATTCCCGTTTCAATGTCAGACCGCGAAATTATGCCCCCACATTTACAGACACCGCATGGCATCCAACGCGCCGGATCGTGTTTTATTGTGTTGTTCCTGTTTCTGATCACTGGCATGCCATCTGAGACCTCACGACCCGATCGGGGACGTCCTCGACATGGCCACAGCTTGTAAACAAGTTTACACGCCCAAAGGGGGGCGCATCTCTGATAAGCTAGCCAAGCCAACGCTCCAGCCTATCTCGGACCTGGCCGATCAGACTGCTGTCCGCCGCCTTGGCCGTCGAAATCGCCCCGAGCGCGCGCACGCCCTCGTGCGGCCTCTGCCCTCGAATCTCGTCCTCGCTGAACCAGGCGCCGTGCAGGCCATACGGCACCCGCTGCGGCAGCTTGATCTTGGCCACGACGTCCTTCATGGTGCGCGCGTCGAGGATCCACAGCTCACTCGTCGCGTCGTCGCCGGCCTTATCCTGCGCGTCGAGCTGTGCCTCGTCAAACACGTAGAAGAGCAGCCACCCGTCGTCCTCGCTCACGCCGTCCGTCCGCGGCACGAAGCGCGGCTCCTGGGCGTACCAACCCGGCGGCATCGCGAACAGCTGGATCGGGTCGTGGGCGTCCTTGCTGGCCACGACCTGCTGCACGTTCCTCGCGTCCACGCTGCCCTTGATGGTCTGCGGGGGCTTCTCGACACCACGCGCAATCAGCGTCCGGGCGTCGATTTTGGAGAGGTAGTCAATCTTGGCGGCCTTGCCGAGCGCGACCGTGAACGACTTGGACGTCGTGCAGCCGTACACGTACCGGCACTCGCCCATGGCCCTGTCGGCGGCCACGACGGGGAACTCGAACGGGATGGCCGACAGAGCCCACTGGTGGCGGATCTGCACCTGGCCCTCGGAGAGCGGGAAGGCGTAGTAGTACAGCCTGCACTGCTCCTCCTCGGCGTACTCGGGCTGCACGGCCTTGACCTCGGGGCTGGCAATGTTGGCGGGGTTGAAGACCGTCGCGGCCGACGTCAGCCGGCAGGCCAGCAGGTTGACGACGGTGTCGCGTTGGGCCGTGGCCTTGCTCACGAGGGTGGTCGTGTCCCAGCAGTTGGCGGTGTGGAAGATGAGGCAGGGATTGGTCTCGAACCACTTGACCTGCTGCGGCGCGTAGCGTGGGAAGACGCCGAAGCGAGACCGGCTGGACGAGTCGTAGTGTAGAGGCGGCAGGCCGCGCATCTGGTTCATCGGGTCGAGCACGAGCGGCAGGTCCATGATGACGGTGTGGTGCGAGGAGACGCCAAAGTCGTGCATCATCTTGGGCGACGAGATGCCCGGGACAGGCTGGTCGAATGTCGAGGGGGGGCTCGGCTCCTTGGAGCTGGAGGGCTTGACGATGGAGTATCGCACGTAGGGCTTGGCAAACGTGGAATGGAAGGCGATGAGCTCCTTGCTCACGGGGTCGACCCTCGGGTGCGCCGTCATCCACTCCCTCATGAATGCCATGGGGCCCTCGCCGCCAAAGCCGCTGCGCTCGTCGCCGTCGTCCTCTCGCTGCGCCCTGCGTCCGTTGTACCAGCCAATGGTCTCGAGGGTGGGCAGGAGGAAGCGCAGCGGGGGGCCGCTCTCACACGTGGCCAGGGCGCGACCGTCGTGGTAGACGACATTCGTGTTGGCCACGCTGATCTTCTTGATGGTCGGGCGTCCCGGGAAGCGCGACACCATGGCGAGGGCGACTGCGCGAAAGATGGCCCACATGACATGTAGAAGCGCGCTGGCCGGGCTGACGAGCGTCGCGATGCTGGGCAGCAGGGGCCTGGCGAGGGACTGGTTGTGCTTTGCGTAGCAGTAGACGTCTGTGAGGAGGTACTGATTCACGAAATGGGGCTCTATCGTCTCCATGTCGCTGCCATCGTCGGCGCGCTGGTGTTGGCGCTGGAAGAGGACGCCGGCGAGCATGCCGTCGCCATCAAACCAGTGGGCGTCGCGCCCGAGGTCCTCGTTGGTGACGGGGTTGGCGCCATTGCGGACGTACTGGCCGCCGGCGAGGTCGCGCGGGATCTCGCCCTCGTAGGCGCACGGTGTGAGTGGGAGTGTCGAATGGATGGGCGCAAAGTTGCCAGAGAGGTAGCTGTCACGAAGGGTCAGTGGTTGGAGGGACAGAGTGTAGGTGTGAAGTCAGTTGAGGGCAACGTACGGATGGCGGGGCTTCTTGTCGTGTTGCATGATGTATGGATCATGGGCCCTCCCAAGGTAAGAGTGTGTGTGATGGAGAGGAATGCTTCAGACGGGTGAAGCTGCTGCGATCTCGAGAATGCACATGGCAACTAGCATGGCAGGCGTTGAAGCACCAGACACTGCCCTGACTACCTTGCCTTGCCTTGGTCCAGTCCCCCCGAGGGTGTGATCGATCGCTGGATGACGCAGTTGAGGTGTCAGACACATGGCGCGACTGGACGTGGAATGCCGGAGCAAACTCGGCAGCGCACGTACACATCCGGTAATAAATCAATTGGAAGTTGGCCAGATGCAGTTGGTCTGGCACTGGACTCTGGGCTGAGCCGGCTGGGCGCTCTGGGTCATCTGGGGTGTAGAATGATGAGTCGTAGATCGAGAGGGTGGCCTGTCATCAGACTTGATGCTCGATTTGGTGGGTGATGAGATAAGTGCAGGGTAAGCAGATCACAAACCACCACCCTTGCTGGCAACATGTCGTTTGCATCACCTTGATCAACCGTTGCATCTCTTCCACACAACGCCCGGTATGCTCGGTCGAGCCTCGAGACACTATTGCCCGGCGCGGCACGACCTTCCGAGAAGCGCTCACGCGGATTTGCAGATCGTGCAGCGATCTGGCCGGGCCATTCGCGGATAGCGTCCACGTTATCCATGCTGCTATGGTCCATCATCCACCACCATCGTCTGTCGCGACGCGCATCGAAGACCACGCGCGCACCAATGTGTCAAGGTGTCCAGACCACGGCACGTCGAAGCCGAGAAGAGCCAGCAAAATGGCATTCAGGTCCCCCTTTTCCCGTGCGGTAGCTCTGCGACGTGGTGCGATTCTCGTTGGCGTCACCTGGTCTATTGACTGGAATCGAGAGTGGTGAGATCATACATTCTGACAGCTGGGCGCTAACTTGATCTTGGGACCTCCCAAGGCGCGGAACGCTCTACGTATCGGAGAAAATTCTGACAGCACTCCATGTCCCGCCAGATGCATTCGCGATGATGATTCCACACGCTATTGGGCTCCGGCCGTTCGGCAGTCACTCATGCAGTACGGGCCAGGCGAGGTGGCCGACGTCGATACGCGGATGACATGGTGCTGGGTGGAGCGGCCTCGCAGTCGATGAGGTTGTATACGAACGTGTATATAACCTCGGGTTGTCACACATCAGAGCAGTACTCGGTCAGTCATTCAGTCCATCAGTCAGTCTCAACCCCAACACCACACCAAAGACCTCAAGACATCACCATCACCATGGGCAACGAAGCTCTGTACGTGAACCGCGTCGTCGCTGTAAGTCTCCCCTGCCTGCCTGGTGCCTGCCCCAGCTTACACCTCGCAGCCCCAGCCGGACCTGGGCATCACCACCCATGGCTCGGACTGGCTCTACGCCGTGTGCGCCATCATGTCCGTGTCCTGCCTCGCGACGGTGGCCCACTCCATGACGGTCCCCCACAGCCGACGCCTCTTCCACCAGATCACGGGCGTGCTGCTCCTGGTGGCTGCCATCGCCTACTTCAGCATGGCCTCCAACCTGGGCCAGGTGCCCATCCAGGCCGAGTTTGTGCGGCCCGGGTCGAGCCAGGTCGGGGCCGCCGGCACGCGCGAGATCTTCTACGCGCGCTACATTGACTGGTTCGTCACGACGCCGCTGCTGCTGACGGACCTGCTCCTCACGGCGGGCGTGCCCTGGTCCACCATCCTGGCGACCATCCTGGCGGACGAGATCATGGTCGTCTGCGGCCTCATTGGCGCCCTGACCCAGACCCGGTACAAGTGGGGGTACTGGGTCTTTGGCATGTTCGCCTTCTTCTACGTCGTCTACAACATCCTCGTCGTGGGCCGTCGCGGCGCCACCGTGCTGGGCGGGTGGGCGCGCAAGACGTACTACGCGTGCGGCGTCCTGACCATCTTCCTCTGGTTCCTCTACCCCATCGCCTGGGGCGTCTGCGAGGGCGGCAACGTCATCCACCCGGACTCGGAGGCCATCTTCTACGGCGTCCTCGATGTCCTGGCCAAGCCCGTCTTCTCGGCCATGCTGCTCTACGGCCACACCAAGATTGACTTTGCCACCCTGGGCCTGGGCGTGCGCGAGCCCGGGCACCCCAACGGCCATGCGGCGCACCACGAGAAGGCGGCGATGGCTGGCTACCAGAATGGCGCGCACAATGGTGCCTCCAATGGTGCTCACAATGGTGTGTCCAATGGTGCCTCCAACGGTGCCTCGACTGCCAACGGTGCGCAGCCCCCTGTTGCGGCCTAAGGTCACGCACGGCGACTGGCAAAAGTCGATTGAACCAACAGCAGGAGAGTGTCGGAGGATGATGGATAGGGTGGTAATGGAAAGGAATGGCTGCGACATGGAGGTCGCAATTGTTCGCGCAGCAGCAATACCCGTCGACTCAGTTGACACAACGACTTGAACACTTTAAGCTCTCCAACAAATAGCAAATACACATAATTACCATGACAGAATAGCGTCCAAGCCCGTCCCGCATCGTATACCCCACTTGTCGTCGTCAAGTCCGCCGACGCTGGCCATCTGCCGTGTCAAGATCCGGACCCCTCACAGCGTGAGGGGAGGATGGCGCGAGGCAAGTTGAGGAAAACCGGCACATTGTCTTTACCCAGCCATCAGTGGGGCGAGCCGGATATAGTCTGCGTATATATACGTATTGAGGAACCTCATCTCTGCGAGTGGCATCGCTCTGGCCCTGGACAGCACTACCCACTCCGTCACTCCGCATCCAGTCCACATCCGCATCGCACAATGACACTCCCCTTCCACGCCGACCACATTGGATCTCTGATCCGGCCAGAGTCACTGGCCAACCCGGACCAGCAGGACCCGGCCACCCTGGCGGCGGCGCAGAGGTCGGCCATCAAGGACATTGTCGACCTCCAGCAGGCCAACGGCATCCGCGCCCTGACGTCGGGCGAGTTTGACCGCAAGTACTACTGGTCCGGCTTCTTTGAGAACCTCGGGGGCTTCCGCGAGGTGAGCCCCGTGCCATGGGAGCTCACGCGTCTGTCGGCGCCCCCCATCGCGGCGCTCAAGAAGACGGGGCGCCAGTATCCCCACGCCGCCGTGTGCGAGGGCAAGATCACGTACGACAAGAGCCCCTACCTCGAGAGCTGGAAGATGCTCCGCGACCACCTGCCCGAGGCGCAGTGGAAGGAGTGCAAGTTCACCATGCCGCCGCCGTGCTACTTCCACCTGCGCCTCGCCCCGGGCAAGTGCTACGCCTCGTCGGCCTACGACTCGGACGAGGCCTTCTTCATCGACCTGGCCAGCGCGTATCGCCAGGAGATCAAGACGCTCCACGCAGCCGGCCTGCGCAACCTGCAGATCGACGACCCGACGCTCGCCTACTTTTGCTCCGAGGAAATGGTCGAGAGCCTGCGCAAGGACGGCATCGATCCGGACAAGCTCTTTGACCTCTACCTCTGGGCGCACAACGAGTGCATCCGGGACCGGCCCGCCGACATGCACGTCGGCCTCCACGTCTGCCGGGGCAACTTCTCAAAGTCCATGCACTTTAGCGAGGGCTCGTACGAGCGCATCGCCGAGCGCTTCTTCAAGACGCTCAACTACGACACCTTTTTCCTCGAGTACGACAACCCGCGCTCCGGCGGCTTCGAGCCCCTGCGCTTCCTGCCTCGGCACAAGAACGTCGTCCTCGGCGTCGTCACCACCAAGGAGCCCGAGCTCGAGGATCCAGAGGTCATCAAGTCCAAGGTACTCGAGGCGGCCCGCATCATTGCCGACGGCCAGGGGCGGACCGTCGAGGAGGCCATGGGCAGCATTGGTATCAGCCCCCAGTGCGGCTTTGCCAGCGTCGCCATCGGCGCGGATGGCATGACGGAGGACAAGATGGTGCAGAAGCTGAAGCTGGTCAAAGATGTCGCCAGCCAGCTCTGGTCAGGCCGTCAGTGAGTGATAGGACTGTCGTCGTCATGCGCACGGAGAGACTCCTCCGGCAGGCGTGCAAGACACGACCCCAGATCTGCCTCCCTCCCTCCAGGAAATGCGGTGCCAATGGAATTACAGCAATTGACAGCTGCATGCATTGATCCCCGCATTAAATGAATGAATGAATGTCTTGATTCCACTGTGGCAGCGAATGCTCTCCCACACATCGACTGCGTCATTGCTCTCCGGCCTGGTGATTCATGATCATGATCTCATCCCTATGTAAAAGGATGCACGTCGAGCGCATGCACCTTGTATGTGCCTGGATGGGCAGTAGTTGGAGATATGAATATCATCTGCCCCTCAGTGCGTCGTCGCATCTTGACTGCCAGACCTCCCTCGACTCACAACATCTCACTCACTGCCATCATCTCACGCAGCATCACCAACAGGCCTCGCCAGCGTCAGAACCAGCAGCCCTTTCGCGATAACGATCGACAGGACAGCAAGATGGCGTCCGTTATTGACCAAGCAAAGGTATCATTTTTATTGTCTCCTGCGTACATGTAGATAGACCCCGAGCCAAGAGCGACAGGCTGACAATCAATGTCTCCCCTATCAGAACACCCTGGCCGAGAACTTTGGCCACGGAGCCGACAAGCTCGCCACCCACAGCTTCTCCCTCGACCAGACACCAGACCTCAGCGGCAAAGTCGCCGTCGTCACGGGAGGATCCCAGGGCATCGGCTACGGCGTCACCCACACCCTCCTCAGCCACAACGTGAGCAAGCTGTACATCCTTTCCACCGACGAGCAAGTCGTCAGGGGCGCCAAAGAGGCCATCGCCAAAGACATGGGCAAGGACGTCGCGGACCGCACCGAGTGGATCCACTGCGACCTCAGCGACTGGAAGCAGGTCAAGGACGTGGCCGAGAAGATCAAGTCGCAGGAGGAGAGACTCGACATCCTCATCAACAGCGCCGCCCGGGGCATCATGACCTACCAGCTCACCGACTACGGCGTCGACCGGCACATGGCCGTCAACCACATGGCGCACGTCATCCTCACCTCGCATCTGCTGCCCCTGATGAAGGAGACGGCCGAGAAAAAGGGCACCACCGTCCGCATCACGAACCAGGCCAGCAACGTGCACGAGAGCGTGCCCAAGGACCTCAAGTTTGAGAGCCTGGATGACCTCAACCAGGACCTCGGCCCCAACACCCAGTACGGACGCTCCAAGCTCGCGGCCATCCTGTACGCCCGCTACTTCAACCGCAAGGTGACGCAGAACGGCCATCCCAATGTCCTGATGAACGCCACCCACCCGGGCATCGTGAGCACCAAGATGAGCACCCAGGACATTCACGAGCCGTAGGTTCTCTTCCTCTGGACCTCAAAAAAACGTCCACTCACTCACACCCCCACAGCTTCCCCCTCGGTGGCTACGCCATGTCCGCCGGCCTCGAGCCCTTCAAGAAGGACCAGTTCGAGGGCGCCAAGAGCACCGTCTACGCCGCCACCCTCATCGAGAGCTCCGGCAACTACATCTGCCCGCCGGCAGTCCCCGAGCCTGGCAGCGCCGCCTCGCAGGACGAGAGGCTGCAGGACAGCCTGATGGAGCTGACGCGAAAGGTGGTCATGGACAAGACGAAGCGCGAGTCGGCTGACCAGGGATGTCCCTTTGACGACCTGGTCCTGCACTAGACGCATAGACACGCAAGATGCATAATACAATTGACACGAGAGGCATGTTTCATCGTCATTCATGTACTGTGCTAGCCATGTCCAGTCCCCTACGCGTGGCACGAGGCCTCGCATCCAGTGCAGCCGGAGCCCGCCGTCTTGGTCGTCCCACCGGACACGACAGCCGGGCCGGGCGCCTGGTAGCTGCTCACAGGGGCGTACATGTTGAACAGGATGCCCGGGTCCTGGGCCGAGTAGGCACCGGGGAACTTGACGGTCGCGGGGGACGCATTGCCCGAGCCGTCGACGGTGAGTTGGTAGCAGGTCATGTAGAGCTGGGCGCCCCCGACGCCGCTGGCCGTGTGCAGGGCGATGACCTCGGCGCGGAGGAGGTAGTCGCCGGCGGGGGTGTCCTTGGGGATGGGCACGTCGACGAGGCCGCAGCACTTGTTCATGTCCTTGACGCCCCAGAAGTCGTCGCTGCCCGAGTAGCCGCTCGGGTTCTTTGTCCAGCTGTCCTCGTAGATCTTGTACCACCCGGTCGACCCGTCCGCGGTGGCGGCGTTGTCGACCTTTGTGAGGTAGGCCATGACGGGGCCGTAGTGGTTGCCGCCAATGGCCTCGTTGGCGCAGCTCCGGTCGTTGGGCTGCTGGTGCATCTCGACGGTGACTGTGTCACCGGCTGCGACGCCGCACTTACCCTTGGCCGCGGCTGGGTTTGCATTACAGCGGAGGGCGTTGCTTGAGACGTCCGTCACAGGGCTGTTGGAGGCTGGGAGACGGGCACAGGCCGAGCCGTGAGACAGACATGTTAGTTGGAGAGGTTAAGGCTTGACAAGACAAGACTCATCTGATCCTCGCCGTTGATCCAGAGCTGCTGGAAGGTGGCATGGCCCATGGCCTGCGAGGCCGCGAGGGCCGCAAGGACGGAGAACTGGAAGGACTTCATGGTAGCTGGAGAAGACTTGGTGGCGATGGTGCTGAGGACCGACAACAGAGGGGGAGAGAGCGTCGAGGAAGCCATCTTTATACTCCTCGATCTCTGCCCTGTCAGCCCCCATCCTCTTCCCGCATCTATTGTCCACTGTGCGAGACAGGCGAATCACAATGCCGACAAGACAGATGCATCAGCATTACGGTCTGCAGCAGCCGAAGGCCCAGACGGTGCGAGATCGACGTGGTGAACGCCAAGACGTTGCAAACAGCACCTCCTCGGGAGATTCACTTGACAAACGTCGTGGTGATTGGCAGCGGCCTCGAATAGGACAATATATACGGCACTGCATGCCGGGTTGGGGAAGTATCTCGGAGCCACAGGGTCCGGGGGAGCGCATGCCCCAGGAATCCAGGATGCGACGTGAAACGACACCATGAACCATGTTGGCCGACTTGGTAAATCCATCTTGATGCCCGGCGGGTGCTGTGGCGGCGGTCTGTCCCCGATGGGCCAACTGCCGGTTCTGAGTCTCGTCCGCGCGCTGAAAGGCACAGCCTGTGCTCAGTCTGGGGTCGATCTTGATACGTCTGTTGGATATGGCGAGTACGTCCGTCTCTACTCGATATGGTTGGTACCTGACTCCTCGCGCTGTTCTTGACCACTTCATCTCGCGCTGCAGGGCTGGTGCATCGTTCAATGAAGACGCCTGCTACAAGCTGTCCTTGACGTGCTCATATCCAGACGAGACAGCCTCGGTGCAGCCTCGAGACAGAGAAGCAGCCTTGTTGCGATCCTGGAGAGCTTCAGCCATCGAATAAGGCAGAGATGGACGATGCGCACAGCAGGCTCAAGGCTGTCGGTGCCACTGCCATTGTCGTCGCGCTCCAAGGACAGTAATCGTCGTGGGAGGTACAGGTGACAGCGCTTAGCGACGGCTGTGCATAGGGAGTCCCATTCTTGATCGAGGCACGGTAAGCAACGAATGGATGTGTGCCTTACTCGGATCTGTAGCAGGTGAGACTCCAGAATACGCAGGTGACGAGCACAGACGCGAGACCGAAACGTGACCAGCCCAGGCGCACGTCACGCGACCTCAGCTAAGCTCGGCATCTCGCACTAACACCACGGGAGCACGATAGCACCGTCATCAACATCAGGATGGCATAGTCAGCCTTCCGTCTCTGCTCTCCCTGGTTCAACGCTGCAATGAGCATCCGTGTGCTTTTTGATCACTTTGAACTCACTTGAATCCCCTTGGAACAAGCCTTGCCATGCGCTTCACTTGCTAGGCTGCTATCAGCCCTCTCAAGGTGTATGTACAGTGAATGAATGGTCTATCCGCCTGAAGCCTAAAGGACTCGAAGCCTACAGGCACCGCATTCAGCGATGCGTCCTATTATCCGCATTGAGTTGGCGCTAGAGACGCCCTACGGCTGCTACGGACGGTGCATTAGCATATGCCACTGCTGCCTCCAGGCTCCATCCGCCCCGCCGCCAGATCTGATCTCATACTGACTGGAGCCATCGCGGTGAGTGAAGGCTATCCTCGTATCTGCATCACCTCACCTCACCTCACTTCACCTCGCTTCACCTCACTAACAACCTTTTCTTGCGTGAACAGCACGCGCAGCTCGCATCAACTTTTAGATTCGCGTTGGGAGAGGCTCGTGCCTACAGAAGAACCCGCCCATTATGTTCGACCTCTTCGCCATGCTCCTCTCGTAAGTTGCCGGCTGCCCCGCCAGCTAAATCCAGGGTCCTACTCGTAGTCGCACAGCTGACAGACAGCGATGCAGCTCCGTCGCCTCGTTCCTCTTCCCCATCTTCGCCTCGTACAAGGCCCTCAAGACGTCGGATCCCGCCCAGCTGACCCCATGGCTCATGTACTGGGTCGTCTTCTCCGTCGCCCTGCTCGCCGAGTCGTGGCTCCTCCCCATCCTGTCCTGGGTGCCCTTCTACGGCTACGCCAGGCTCCTCTTCCTCCTCTACCTCATCCTCCCCCAGACGCAGGGCGCGCGCATTATCTACGAGGAGCACGTCCACCCGTTCCTCCAGGACAATGAGGCCAACATTGACGACTTTATCGCATCCGCCCACGAGAGGCTCAAGACCGCCGGCCTCTCCTATCTGAAGCAGGCCATCGAACTCATCAAGACAAATGTCCTAGGCCTGCCACCGTCCCAAGAGCCCCCCGCGCCACCCCAAGCACAGGATACGTCCCCGCAGGGTTACACGCAGTCTCTGCTCGCTCGGTTTAGCGTGCCCGCCGCCAAATGGACAGGGTCAGCCAACGCGGGTGCCGATGTGTACAACCTCCTGGCGAGTGCCGTGACGGCGGCGGCCACGGCTGCCGGTCACTCCCGTGGCGCCGAGAACAGCATCATCCCACCCAACTTGCAGTCGTCCGGCGAGAAGATGACCTTTATCGCCGCGCAGCGGGAGAAGCTCGCTACGCTCCTGTCAGCGCTGGACGCGGAAGCGCAGCAGCTGCAGACAGCCGACACGCAGGCGCACCAGACCCGAACCTCGCCCATGCACCTCGACGCTGCCGACGAGGACGGCGAGCCGACGCAGCGACCACCCAGCGGGCTGAGCGCCTGGAGTGCCCTAAGCAAGAGCCGCAGCGAGACGGACTTTGAGAAGATCGAGGCGGACAGCGAGGACGAGGCCTCCCTGCGCCGGCGACAGAACGCGTCCGGCGGAGGCGGCTGGATGTCCTGGAGCTGGGGCGCGGCCAACGATCCGGCAAAGAGCTCGGGAGTCGATCAGTAGGAAGGTCTGCAGCCCCAGTATTGGCAGGAGTATGGCGTTTTCGATTAGACTGCGGACGACGGTTGGTTTTTCACACACCTGGGGGACCACACGCCCTGGGGACCACACACCCTGATATCACCATAGACTACCAGTCTTTTCCGGTAGGAATAGCTCTGTATCGTACAAGTAATATTACCAACCATGTCTATGCGCTCGCCTGTAGGACCCTTTTCCGTTAATGGTGACAATGAAATGATGGAGCGCTGCTGCTGCTGCTGCTGGCCCCAATATGATGTACACGAATCGCGTGAATTCCACGCGATTGCCGCCCAGGCACCTGAGCGTTGGCACCTTTATTTGACCTTCTTCCAGGGGTACACGACCTCCACGGCCCCCTTTTTGTACCACAGCGTCCGCTTCTTCTTGGTCGTCGCGTGCTCGACCCAGACCTCCTGCATCTCGCTCTTCTTGAACTTGCGGATGAACTCGGGGTCCCAGAGCTCCGAGCCGATCCCGAGGTCCTTGCAGCAGCGCATCAAGGCGTTGGACTTTGTGCCCTCCACCGAGGAGGGGAGCTGGTCGGGGCTAAAGTAGGCGTTCTCGCCCTGCGCCTGTGCGACGAAGCTGGTGGAACATGTTAGGGAGACTTCAAAACAAACAAAAAAAAGACACGGTAGACTCACCGTCCCTGCGCAATGAGGGCGTACTCCCTCGTGACAATGTTGGACCCGACAATGGCCTCGCCACGCGGCGCTAGACCCCAGCCCATGGGCCCAAAGACCTCGTTCAACCGCCGCCTGTACTTGATCTCGGGCAGGTAGATGATGCCATCCGGCTTCACCTCAATGTCTGTGGTCGCGAGCGGCCGTGCCAGCGTGGCCGCCTGTTCCTTCGTCACCGGCGCGACGCCGAGGCCGTAGTAGCTCGTCGTCCAGTCAATCTCCTGCACGGCAGGGCTGCCTTCTGCCTGGCCTGGGTAGTGGAACGCTGCTTTGTGCTGCGCGGCTGCCGTCGGCCGGGGTGTGGACTTTGCGCTGGCCCTGGAGGCAAATGCGGAGGTGCGCGGGGCGCGTGTGCTGGGCTTATTGCTGTCGGCGTCTTTCGTCTCGGTCGTCGTCTTAGAGGGAGTTTCGTCGCTCGTATCCTTGCTTGTCGCGTAGGAGCGCGCACATTGGGCGGGCGTTTGCTGCCAGGCAGCGTTGGATGCAGCACAAGCTCGACGTGCTGCCTGGCGAGGAGCGGCCTGGACGGCTCTTTGGAGGGTAAACATGGCCGCGACGCTGGGTTAGGCTTGTGTTTGGCTTCGTGAGAAAGATGACGACGGGGGACGGAGAAGCTGTGGATGGATGTGGATGGATGGAGCTTCGACTTTTCGTGACGGGATTCAGGGTCTTCTCTTTGCAGGGATGCCAATCAGAGTCCTCAGTGACCTGCTAGCTATCCACTTTCAAGAGTCCTCTTTGATCATTTTATATGTGAAACAAGTGTATGCAGCGCTGGTTCGAATAGATTTATGATACAGATTGGTGTACAGGTGGTGAATACATATTGCTACAGGTTGTCGAGGGGGCGACTGTCTCAAGCGTCTCGGCTGGCGGTGCGCTCCTCGTTGCCATGACGCTTCCAACACTCCTTGAACTCTTCCATCTGGCTTGTCAGTATTGCGAAGACGAATTTGATCTTTGGTGTACTGACCTCCTTGGCGCACGCTCTCCAGTCCTTCTTCTCATAGTAGCAGTCCGTCATTTTGGCATTCTCGACTGCCTCGCGTTAGCCACTGTGCCATGTCAAGGAAGCTCGTCTTGATCGCGTACCCGAGCAGCCCGTGCTGAAGATGCGTTTGTTCCTATCTCGGCTGTTAGCGGCTATGGTTGTCCTTCACCTGCGTACCCTAGTGTTCCGCGTGTCTGTTGAGAGTGGGAATTTCATGTTGGGGCTTCCGCTTTCTACTCACCATTCATCCGGCTCGTCGTCTTCTTCCACTGGCTTCGCCGTGACAATACTATTCTTGTCATCCTGTATCGATCCTGAGGCATTTTTCTCCTCTGTTTGCCAGTTTTGGACCCCCATTGTATGACTTGGGTACTGTGTTGCAGGAAGGACGTGCTGAGGTTGCAAAGGTGATCAATTTACCTGATAGTCCCGGGTAACTACTAACGGGATTCATTTCGCACATTTGGACTTGACTCACCAGACACACCAAGATGCCCGTCAGAAAACTCAACGTGCTGGTCTATACAGGCAAGTCGTAATGAAATCTCGGACCGAATCGTGCTAATGTCATGTAGGACCTGGTGCATCAACCGAGTCCGTCCGTCACTGCACCTTTACCCTGCGGCAGCTCCTAACCCCCAACTACGCGGTCATCCCCATAACCGAGGCCATCCTCCTCAAAGAACCGTGGGCGTCAACGTGTGCTCTCCTCGTGTTTCCAGGTGGCGCAGATCTGGGCTACTGCAAGGCGCTCAACGGTGAGGGCAACAGGCGCATCTCGGAGTACCTACGTCGCGGCGGGTCGTACCTGGGCTTCTGCGCGGGAGGCTATTATGGCAGTGGCCGTTGCGAGTTTGAATTCGGCGATCCTCTCCTCGAGGTGATAGGCAGACGCGAGCTGGCATTCTTCCCAGGCACCTGTCGGGGTGCGGCATTCAAGGGGTTTGACTACAAGAGCGAAAAGGGCGCGAAGGCCATCAAGCTGAGGGTAGCAAAGGACCTGTTCGCCGATGACGTGCCTCAGAGAATCACATCGTACTTCAATGGAGGTGGTGTTTTCGCTGACGCAAAGAGCTTCGGTCCCAGCAAGGTACAGGTCCTTGCCGAGTACGAAGATGAGCTGGATGTGGATGGAGGCGATGGCAAGGCAGCAGTCGTACTCTGCAACGTTGGTCAGGGCAAAGCCGCGCTCATAGGGCCACATCCAGAGTACGTTCCCCGAGGTGCATGCACGCATGCGTGCGTCGCTGACGAATGATGCAGGTTTGCAGCTATCAATCTCGACCCCAAAACGGACCTCCCGGGATACAAAGATCTCATAGCCAGACTTGCAGAGGACGACCGCGCACGAATCGCCTTTGTCAAAGCTTGTCTGGAAAAGCTCGGTCTCCAGCCAAACGATGCCGCCGTTACAGTTCCAGAGCTGTCGGATCTCCATCTGACCTCAGCGAACAACGCTGACGTGGTGGAGCTGCTCTACGCATGGAACCCGATCCTGGAGAAGGAAGATGGAGCCGAGTTTATCAAAGGAGAAGCTGACGTCTTTCGTATTGAAACTGTCCAGGAGGCGCTCAACATGTCTGAGATCAAAGACTCGCTTCCTCACGACGATCATCCCCAAGACAAGACCGAGTCATCCCTTGTGAAGAAGATTATTGTCCACGAATCGGGACTGCCCTCGTCCAAGGAAACACCGAGGTGGAATTTCAAGCGCTTCTACGTTAATCTGCGACGCTACCAGTTGATGGAGAAGGACGCAAACACCTGGGGGACCACTCTCATGTACGGCGAGGTGGTCACCAGCACAGTCACACTCTTGGAACAGTAAGTCTTCCCAGCATGACACACGATGGCCTGTCTCACCGCGTCCAGAAACCCAAAGCTTCTCTCCAAACTACCGCATGGCTTCACGTTGGCGGCGACAACCCAGACTGCTGGTCGTGGTCGCGGCGCCAATGTCTGGATTGCGCCTCCTGGGATGCTCATCTTCTCAACCATTATCAACCACCCGGCGCACCTGGCTGCGAGCCGCCCCATCATCTTCATCCAGTACATCACCGCCATAGCCATCGTCGAGGCCATCCAATCGTACGACCAGGGCTATGAGAAGCTTCCAGTGAAGATCAAGTGGCCGAATGATATATGTAAGGTCTTGCCCACCATTGCGATGCAGAAACAAAAAAAGCTGACGGCCTCCAGACGCTTTGGATCTCTCACAAGGCGACTCCGGAGAGTATGTCAAGATTGGTGGCTTCCTGACCCAATGCTCCTACTTTGATGGCGCGTATCAGGTCATCCTGGGTATCGGCATCAACACGATCAACTCCCGCCCCACAACATCCATCAAAGATCTCCTACCCGAAGGCGCGCCCCCTGTTCATGTCGAGACCTTGCTGGCCCGCGTCCTCACGCGGCTGGAAGCGCTGCATGCGCAATGGATTCGCGAAGGGTTCACGGCGGAGATGGAGACAAGGTACTACCGCAGCTGGCTGCACACAGGGCAACTCGTCACCTTGGAGCAATACGGCGGTGCCAACGCGCGCGTGCTCGGCATCACCCGCGACTGGGGCCTGCTGCGCGTCGAGGAGATCGACGGGCGAGGTCGGGGGACGGGCAAGATGTGGGCGCTGCAAAGCGACGAGAACAGTTTCGATTATTGGAGGGGTCTCATGAGACGCAAGTTATAGTCGGACGGCAGTGCGCCCTTCTATCGAATAGAAGCATCAGAGAAGAAACATGAATGAAAAGTCTAGATCATATACATTAGGCCATCTCTCGAATGATAATATGGCACTGTCCATCTTTCTTTTTTTCTAGCCCAGCCGCCCGCTCATCGGCAACTCGATGATGCCTTGTGTCCAAAAAAACGCCGTGCCATGCCGCAGTCGAGTGAAGATGTACATGTACAAGTGATACAAAAGGGGATCTCTTTCCTCCCCGTTTCCCCCAGCCGCTCTGCGCCTTTCCGTTTCGATGTCGGAGTTTCCGTGGATTCATGTAAACATTTACCGGTCCTTGTACATCTTGGGCTTGAACCCTTCCTTCACCTCGGCCTCTTGTTCAACTTTTTCTCGTATCGGCCCCATCTCCCTCTCGATGCGCTCCTTGGCCCTCACGATTTTGCTCTGCAGGTAGAAACTACCGCCCTTGGCTGGGTCGTTGGTGTCAAAGAGCTTCTTGTACCGCTCGAGAACCGTCTCAATATCGGCCTGCCCCCCGGCCGGCGGCTTGACGTTGAGGATCTTGCAGGCCTCGTCGAGGGTCATGTTGCCCGTCAGTGACGCGGCGCCCGATGTCGGGTTGCCATTCTTGGCCTGGGCGCGCTGGTAGGCGGACGCGGCCTGCGCTTGCTTGTATGCGGCGACAAAGGAGCGTCCGAGGATGCGGGAGCCGGTGACGAAGGCTGTGATGACGAACTTGTGCGCCTGCTGTCGTGTTAGACGTCGATGCCTGTGGTGGTGCTGCTCGCCTGCTAAAAGTCAGGGGTTTCGCGTGGACTGACCATGATGAAAATGTGTACAGGCGTTTAAGCCGTGTGGTTATCGAGGCAAGCCCCTAGGATGGCTGTTGGAGATGGTATTGGGACGTGAGGTTGACGAGCCTGAGGGTAGGATCGTGGAGATGGCGTGCGTGCTCATCGATTTTTCCCAGCACGAGTCCGTCTCTCTGCGACGCGGCGGTCGTTCCCGAAGCACGGGATTGGGGAAGATTCCATCCGTGCCGAGAATTCCCCGGCGACTCGGGTTTGGCTTCACCGAAGCTTCACCGAGCGGATTGGCTCTGATTGGTCGCCTACCTACCCTGTGGCAGGTTCACGGCTTTCTAGGAAGCTTCCCTCTTCAATGTCAAGAGTTGCGTAGACTTGTATCGAGACCTGGTGTATTTTTGCTGACGATAGCTGTTATGTTGGATGCTAGGGAGCAACATGTATGCAGGGACGGATGTCACGGTGCACTGAGAACCGTTTCGATGCAGCCCCTCCTTAATCAGCATATTCTACATGTACACACATATTGACATCTGACTTGACCGACCAGCCGTTCTTGTCAACTTCATGACGCCATGACCATGATGCTGTCGGCGGCTGAGATTGAGGATTTGTTGGCCAACAATGGCAGTGGTCTTACGCCCGACGAGTACGATGAGCAGCCAGAGACTGAGGATGTGATGAAAAACCGAGCGGCACTCCTCACTCCTGTTCTCGAGACCTGCCAGCAGCTATGGGACGCGAAATCCGACGACCTCAAGCTGGTGGCCCAGAAGTTGGGAGACGGAAGCCGGGATGGTATGAGACCTGGAGCTGAGCTGCCGCGGCGACGACTTGCTAAGTACCATTAGTGGCCTGGCGTATCGCCTTTGGAGAGTCGGGTATTTTGAACTTCTTCCTCGAAATCAATGCTGCAAAGTCCTTGTCCCCAGACTTGCAGCTACATACTCTCCGACTCGTGGGCAACTCGTGTGCCGATACCGATCAGAACAGGGCTAGGGTGGTCGAGGCTGATCTCTTCAAGCCCATCATGGACTTGCTGGAGGACGAGAGCCTTACCCCAGTCGTGGTTCCAGTACTGTACAACATCGTTGTCGACTACGGTAGGTATTCCTCACCTTGGAGCAGATATGACCTGCTAAGACTCACAAGAACCGGCACAACTACATGCTTCCCGGGCGAACCTCAGTGCGGCGCTGATCGGCCGTCTCGCTGGGCCCAGCATCGATGAGTTTGCCCAGTTAGTCACATACATGTGCAAGACACTGGTTCTCATCAGTGGCCAGGATGGCGAGGCAACACGAGCAGACCCATCCACAGTTCGCGTGCTGCTAGGACTAGCCAACCGCGAGCCATTCTCAAGCGACATTGAGGACTTTGCCATTCTCACATCCGCAGCGGCTGCCTACCTCAGCATGGAGGAATTCCAGGTCAGACTGATCAGTGACGGTCAGCTGCCTCTTCTCCTCAGCGCCATCAAGCACGCAAACACGGTGTTCAGTGATGTGCAGGACAAAGACGGCGAAGACTTGACTGCTTTACTGAAAGCTATGCGCTCAACTTTCCAGCAGACTCTGGCCGACGTCACGGCACAGGACACCTTCTTGAAACAGTACCCCCTCAACGATCCTGTATCGTCCGAGTTATTCAGTTGGCTGAACGGGGCTAATCGGCCTCTACGATCAGCAGCATGCCTTTCTCTGGGTAATCTCTGTCGGTCAGATGCAACTTCAAAGGCAATGGTGCAGGAGCACAAAGCCCACGAGCCGCTCATCAAGCTGATTGCAGACCCGGACGCACGAGATGCTCAAGAGCTGCACGCTGCGTTGTCTTTCCTCAAAAATATGGCTATTCCCATCGACAACAAGCCCGCGCTCGTGGACGCCCTGGAGCCAACCTGCGTTCCTCGTATACTGGCGCTAGACAGCATGCCTCAGGTGCAATTCGCGGCCGTGTCACTGATCAGGCTGCTCCTCATCAACTCACCGAACAACGCCGAAGCAATCTGCAGCCGCTGGCGAAGTGATGGCCAGGTCGACGAGTCTGACACTGTACAGAAGTTGGCCGAATTGTTCAAACGCTCGGACACGGAGCCTGTCAAAATGGAGATTGCCCGAGGCATACTGGGACTATGCCGAGTTGTGCAGTCGCAACCTGTCCAATCTGTCCTGAAAGACATTGCAGAAGTCAACAACTTTCACGACGACGAAGAGTTGAGGGAGCTATTTTGGAAGAGGTACGACTTTACAGAGCCTTTGGCTTACTTGGTAGCCCAAGCCAAGTGGCCATCAGTTCGCTCGGAAGCGTGGTTCGTGTTTGCTCTCATCTGCCGCTCCCAGGAAGGCAGCCGAGCCCTCTCCAAGGCTCTGGAGGACGAGAAAGCTTTCAGCTCGCTGTCAGAGGCAGTGACTGGGGAGCAAGGTATGGTGACAGACGTGTCCGAGGAAGCGCCCACGGACGCAGGGCTTGTACCAGGCGGCACATCGTTGCAGCTTGAACCGCAGCAAATCGACCCGGCACGCCAGTCAGACATGGCACGCGTGGACAGGGAGAACGCCGTGGTCATGTGTCAGGAGCTCTTGAAGCATCAGCCCGAGGACTGGCCTCGACGAGGCGCTCTGCAAGCACTCGTCAGTCAAGGCACCCGCAAAATTATAGAAGGCAAAAGTTCATAGACATCAAATCAAGCATGCACGCGTGGATCCCGAGGACTTTCATTCGTTATTCCATTGACCCTGAAATACAGAGCAGGCCGGTGATCATGCTATTCATACGACCTGGAAACCTAGAATCATCCATCCCCACACTAGACCCCCCGGCCGGATAGTCCCTCGTCGGAAACCGGACACTGCTCCCCATCTCCGTGATAAAGAGAAACGCAAAGAGCAGTATGACCTCAGAACACCAATTCCCTTTTTGAATCGCAACCCAAGCACCCCTAGGAAAGAGGAGGCGTTTATTTCTTGGCAGTCTCGGCCTCGGCCTTCTCCCTCTCGCGCTTGTCGCGAGCACCCTGCGAGCGCTTGATGGCGCGGACGTAACGCAGCTTCGCGTAGGCACCGCCCTCGACGGGCTCGGGCATCTCGCTCTTCTTGATCTCCTTGACGGCCTGGTCGGTGGGGGCAACGGGGAGGGCGTTGGAGATGAGGGTGACCTTCTCGACCTCGCGGGGGTTGGTCTTGGTCTCGCCGGCCTTGGGGTTGTTGGACTTGCGAGGGAAGACAATCAGGCGGTCCTTGTAGGCCTTGAGGCGGGCGACGTTGGCGGCGAGCGACTCCTCGGAGAGGTTCTGGCGGCGGAAGTCGACGCTGATGCCGACGGTGGGGGCGAACTTCTTGGGGATACCGGCCTCCTGTAGGGCAAGAATTAGTCGCCGCACCACGAAAATCTCTCACAGCTTCCACAGAATATCCATACCTTGAGCTCGGCGAGGGTGAAACCACGGCCCTCACGGACACGGCGGTTGTACTTGAGGGTAGGGCATCGCACAATGGGGCGGAGCTTGTCGAGGGGACGGGGCGCAACGGCGGCAGCCTTGGCCTGACGAGCAGTGCGCCTGCTCTTCTTCTTGCCGGGCTGGTCAAAGTGGCATCGGACCCTACGCTGCCAGTCCTTGCGGAAGTCTATTTCATGGTGGTCAGTCTCGCTGCTCGCTGTCGTTCGTGGTCGTCGGGTTGCTCACGGGTCTTCACGATCTTCTGGTTGTGCTTGATCGCCTGTCGAGGAAAAAAATGTCAGTATGGCATTCTTGAATTCATTGCGTGCTGGCTGCCATCACGTACCATTGTGCCTGTTTGCGATCAACGCTGCCTGTTGTCGGTTAGTCTTGTCGTGAGGGCTGATGAAAATAATCCGGGCCTGCGCAGGCTCTCTCACAAATCGGTTCGTAGGTTTTTGCCCTGCGTGGGGGAGGCACAAGAATTTCCAGGTCACGTGGGGAAGGGTCCGGCAGCCACAAATTGTCCTTGTGGCTGGAGCCACCAGCCACCCAACTTCGCTGCCGAGGGTACGTAGTGACCACATGCGCCACATCGACATGAGACAAACTTGCAATGTCGTTGAGCGATGTTGAAGCGTACATGTATGAATATGATTGGGTTATGTCAACACGTTGTTTGTCTATTGTCTAGCAACCTGGTACGCTTTAACTCTTCGCCCACATCTTTTGTGCGGTAAAGCAGCACCGGAACCAGGGCCAATCGTCGACAAGACCTGTTAGACAATACTTGATACTTGCAACTTGCACCCGCGTAAATCTCTTTTCTCGATGTACTGGCTAGCAGACGTTTCTTGGTATTAACATTTGGATGGGGGAATCGGTTTATTCAATAAAACAGTGTGCCTCCCTGGCAAGGGGGACGGACATGCATCAATCCGCAAAGCGCAAGATTGCGCCCTGCTTCGTGCATGTCTCACGCACGGACCGTCTCCTCTGTCTATATAATTCCCTCTTCCCTCGCAACTTACTGAATCCGAACCATACTTACCTTGTTTCTTCCAAGGCAGCTCAAGATTTGCCTTGGAAAGTAAGGGTGGCCTGCATTGCACATCGCGGCGTCGACCCTTGCTCTATTGCCCTTCGGGGTCATAGGAAGCACAATTTTTGATGGCCTCAATTTTCATTGCAATGCTGCTCTATGTGGCTTTGCGAAGAAGATTCCCCGTGTGTACTTGTACTTGTGAAGTGAAACGCTCTCCAAGCGTTGGAGTGCTGTCGAGAGATGTGAAGTCGCCTCCACACCCTCCCTGTGAACTCTAACAAACTCGGCCAATCCAGCTGTCCTTCAGCTTCCCCTACTTCGTGCTTGTCCTGCCTGCCGTGCCACCAGCAGCTGAAGTTCATTTAGCTCGTATACGTAGTACTTGTAGTGGGCTACACTGAGGATTCTCTGAACAGGCTGTACCAGGGTCACTTCATGTCGTTGGGACGGGATGCGTTCCTTTTCCTCTGCCAGCATGGGACACTGAATCGACGGCCAAGGATATTAGTTCTGGACTTGTTATTCCATAATGTACGTGCATAGCCTTCAACAAATTAATAGATAGTGTTGTTGTCCGAAACATGAAGCTGGCAATGCTTGACCAGCTCGGAAGCGAGGCTCTCCAAAATCCACTTGCCATCCGGTCCAACCTACAAGCAGGGCACTACGCACTGATGCATCTCGCTGGTATTTAAAGGCTCTATTACTTCGTATTGTCATTTTATTTATTATCCTCAGGAGTACTCCGTACTCCTCGACACATTAGTGTGTTGGACATCCCAGTGCATGCTGCTCACGCGCCATCCGTAAGAACACATGCAACCATGCTTCACTGTCATCAAGACACAACATGCTCGACTGAAAATACACCTTGTCGCCATCCCAATTGAACATTAGACTCTTCGTCTCCTTCAATATCTGTCCATGTCCTTTTCACTTACACGGATCTTGCTGCCCATCCGTATCGAGCTGTCGCGCACAGACCACCCACGTGATGACCAATGAAACGACGAGCCTCGTCCCATCATTGCGAAAATCTCATGACACCACGACTGTAGCTTCCACGGGCCAACCCCTTCCCCAGGCCTACCACCCACGCAAATCGCCATGGCTTCCCGCATCGGTCCCCGGAGCGTCAAGGACGCGACGCGCTTCACCTCGAATATTCCGCACGCCGGCGCCAAGGGGCCCTCCTCGGCCGCGTCCGCCGTCCAGAAGCCCTCGGCCGTGGCGAGCTCCCGCATCCCAGGCGAAACCCCCGAGCAGCGCGTCCGGCGGTTACGACAGGCCCATCTGGCGGCCCAGCAGGCCCAGATCAGCAAGGCGGACAGGGTCATCAGCGTCTCGCGGAGGTTCTTTGACGCGGCTCATCGGTTCACAGTCGGGGGCGTCATCCTCTTCACTGGTAGGGTTCCCCCCACGCGTAGTAGCACACTGGTCACAGTTTCGGATCGCTGAAAGCCAGAGCAGTTGTCGCCGGCGTCGTCAGTGTATACTCGGTATGGGACATGCTCCGATACAACCGCGCCCGTCGCGCCGAATGGATCGAGGCCCAGAAGAAACTCGAAGCCGATGAACTCGCCACCGCACGACTCGCCTACCTCAAGGGCCTTGCGACCGAGGAACAGATTGAGCTTGTAGAGGAGGCCAACCGCGAGGCGGAGAAGAGGGGCGAGAAATTGCCGCCTCTGCTGGCACCCCCAGAGCACCGCACGCACTTTGAGGAGACTGTGCAGCCCGCCTTCACCGAGCGTACAGAGGGCGGAGGCATGGGCAAAGGCAAGGGCATCTTTGGTCTCTTCTCCGGCAGCAGCAAGAAAGAGGAGAGCAACGTCCCGGCCGTGGCGAACAACGTGCAGGCTGAGGTGCAGACTATCGAGGACAAGGCCTTGGGGGCGTGGGAGCGTGAGAAACAGAACCAGCGCGAGGGCGGGAGCCTGGATCGGTTAGGGACGGATCCGTCCCCGGAAAAGAAGAAGGGCTGGCTCTGGTGAGGGGCGGGATATGTACATGATGGCATTGGGAAGGCAGGCTGTATCATATGTGTAGATCAGGCAGTGCATTAGACGGCGCTTGGGGCTCTTTGTACATGTATATCCTAGGCGAGCTAGTATTCAAGCATTGTAATTGTCACGCGATTTTCGTGACCAATATGGGGAAACGCAACGCTGGTTGATGATGCCTGTGACAGGCTGGTGTTCGGTGATTGTACGCGAGAAATAACATGAAAAAATCCTGGCAGCGAATGTCGGTGTGTGTCGCGTCCTTCTCTCTCCGCTTTGACGATGTAGGTATACCGTGAAAACAAAACAAACAAAAAAAGACTCCCAAAGCGCCTATACAATGTTGACCCTTGAACCAATCCTAACCCATGCAAACATCCCTCGATTCGGGCCTGCGCCTCGGTTGGGCAATCTGCTCAATGCCATTCTATGAGATGATGATGTGATTGAAGTGCCCTGGGACCTTGAGACGGCACTTCTCGCAATCTTGGCGGTACCCGACACTAAAGCTCTTTTTCATGCCAGGCTGCCAGGTCCACGTGTTGATGGTGTGCTTGCTTCGCATGTGGCCTCGACGCTCAGGAGACGGGGACTCGCCCTCGGGAGGATGCGAGGAGGCGCGACCCTCGAGTCCCATTGTAGCATTGGGGTGCTCCATGCCGTGAGGCGAAGGGGGCTGCAGCGAGACGTTCATGCCGTCTTCGTATTCCGAGATGGGCGAGGGCAATCGCCTGTTGTTCTGCAAAGATTGCCAGTCGGTCTGGGTGTCCAATGTCCTCGGAACACTGTGCATATCCTCCATGTTATTGTTGTTCCAGTGGTGCTGCTGGCCACGGACTTGCGCAGCAAAACTGGGCTGGACCGGGGTGGGCATGCGCTGGGTGGCCGTGGAATTGTCGGCCTCTGGGGCGAGGTGATTCGAGCCATGGTGCGAACAGAGGCTGTCAGTCGCCATGTCCATGTCGGAATCAGTCGTAGATGGCCCCGGTGCTTGCAAGTACGAGGAAGCTTCGAGATGGGAGTGTCGAAGCTGAGCTGGCGCGGCGTTGAGCGGCGTCACAGAACTGGCCGGCAGGAACTGTGAGCCGGATTTTGGCGACATACGCATCGGGAGGCTCTGTTGAAGTCGTTTCTGCTCCAGTCAGTATGGTGTTCTTTTCTCTTCTCCGATCAAAGCTACACCTACATTGCGGTGCTCGCTGAAGCTGCAGGGCCCATTGCCCATCATGTCTTGGTCTTCATCTCTGCCCCTCTTCCTGTTGTAATCCGCAGTGGTGTCCCAGAACGATTGTGCGTCGGCCATGTTGACTGTCTCCATGGAAGGTGTCGGAGATTTTCCGTCGGCCCTCGAAACACAAAGCGAGGATGTTGGTCGATGTGCTCCCGTGGGTGGGCAGACCGAAGGGGTGTATACTGAGGTATAGGAATCCCGCTGAATACGATGCTATGGACAGGGTCCCGCTGGGCCAGCTAGTACAATGGCTGAGCTCCCGCAGCAATCGCTTGGTTGAAATGACCCGGAGGAAGAAAATCGGTATGGTACAAAGGGTCGATGATGGTGAATGTAAAGTTTGGTGTCAATTGATCTGCTGTGAGGGGAAGGAGCTCAGGAAGGCTGGGTGCTACGCCGTGGCAAGTCGCAGGTCCAGCTGACGGAGGTGCTCAGTGAAGGGTGGCGTCGGTCAATGGACGCCGAGGCGAGAACGTACGCTAAGCTAGACGGTGACCGATCGGCATGTAGAGCGCAGTGACCAGCACTGTGCCCCTGAGTGAAGAGTGATCTGTATTATATGGTTCTTATGGTGAGAGTTGGGCAATGAAATGAGAAACAAAAGGTTGCATGGTGCAATTGCTGGTAACGTGGGAAGAAGGTGAACGGACTGAACCACTCGCAGAGACTGACTCGGGCCAAAACATGGATGGGGCTTCGCGACCTGGAGCAGACACGCAAGGGTCCCAAAGGCCTCGACACGCGCCTGGGCACCTTGTTGAAGTGCCGTTTGGAAGCCCGCATGAGACCCGCAGACGTCTGCTACATTTTAATAATAAGTTGGCTTCTTCTCAGCACTGTTTAATTCCCTTTGACGCAGAAGCTGGAGGAGATCGCGAGGTACCGACCAACCAAGCGTACCCTGTACCATCATGAATTAGTACTTTGCATCGACGCTTGCTTCGCAAACCAGATGACAACAGCCAAAAGCTGGTACAAGATGGATATCGGCAATTGCATAGACGTCATTGAAGCGCTGTTGATGCGGAAAGCAGAACGCTGGTGCAAAAGTTTCCCAAAAGCCCAGGATCCTCACATGAGAAAACTCGACCACGTCTTCCTACGTTCAACCTCTGAAAACCAGGGTCCCTTGAGACGACCGCTGATGTCGCCAGGACTGCTGCGATAGACAATGTCAAGAATGCGCCTGTGATTTTTAGAGAGGGTTTCGAGACGCCTGTAGAATCATGCTTGACTGTCGCTGAGCCCAGACCGAAAGAGGTGCCCCATTGAGAGTTGTCACGGAAGATGCAAAGCGTATTACAGAGTAGTAGCTGAGCCGCCATTTTATTATTAGCCGCGCTGACTGGGGCTGGTCTGAGCCGAGCTGGCATTGAAGGATGATAGATCTCAGAAGTCAAGCTTCAATGTGGTCATGGAAATACCAATCAGGGTGAACGATACTGGCACATGCATCTACACTGGCGGACAGACCCAGCGGCAAATGCGCAAAAGGCGAATAACGCAGCTCATGTTGGTAAACAGATTTCCTACCTAGGAGGCGGATCAGTCAAACCGATGGAAGCGCGGATTTGCAAAGCCAACGCTCCTGTTCGCTGCGAACAATTGGCATGACTCTCTGGGCTGCCCCTCCAGCGAGCGGGAGCTCCGAAAGACCTCCGATGCGTGGGCACTCACTCTAGTAGACGGCGAGTCACACAAGATTCGTCGCTACGCTTGAGTCACCAGAGTCTGAACAAACTATGAACAACTCCATTTATTATGGAGTGGATGCCCAATGCGTGATCCACTACTACATGGTCCAACTTTTTTTTTGACGACTGACGCATGTGCAAGAGTGATATTGAGACATCCCAAGAGTACAATATTCAACTCACCAGGCACAGACAGACCATAAAAAATTGCCCCGCGCCGCCGATATCGACAACGTACGTCAATTTCCATTGTACACCTTGCTCACTTTGCATTGTACAACATCGCCGCGATTGATCGACCCATTGGTGAGATCTCACTAAGCTCTCAATAGAAGCATCCCTCCCAAGACCCTTTCCGATCTTTATACCATCACATACACACATCATGCCTGGTGTTGATCTGGCCCCGCTCGTGGCCGACGATACTCGAAGTAAGTCACTGCTCGACCATAAGGCATGTTCCATTGTTAACATGGCCCAGTCCTCGGCCAGGATCCCCTCATCCCCCCTGCCCTTCTCAGCTCAGAGATTCCTCTGCCCGAGAATGCTCTCCAGACTGTCGTCAAGGGCCGCGTCGAAGCCGCTGAGATTGTCACCGGCAGTAGTGACCGCCTTCTGGTGGTAGTCGGGCCATGCTCCATCCACGACCCAGCCGCCGCTCTCGAGTACGCTGCCCGTCTCAAGGAGCTGTCCGACAAGCTGTCCAACGACCTGTGCATCATCATGCGGGCCTACCTCGAGAAGCCTCGCACCACCGTCGGCTGGAAGGGTCTCATCAACGACCCCGACATTGACGAGTCCTTCCAGATCAACAAGGGCCTCCGTGTCTCGCGCAAAATGTTCGTGGACCTCACCTCGAGCGGCATGCCCATTGCTAGCGAGATGCTCGACACCATCTCCCCCCAGTTCCTCGCCGACTGCATCTCCGTGGGTGCCATTGGTGCCCGGACGACCGAGTCCCAGCTCCACCGCGAGCTGGCCTCTGGCCTCTCCTTCCCCGTGGGCTTCAAGAACGGCACCGACGGCAACCTTGGCGTGGCCATTGACGCCATCGGCTCGGCCGCCGCGAAGCATCATTTCATGGGTGTCACCAAGCAAGGCCTGGCGGCCATCACCCGCACGAGCGGCAACGAGCACGGCTTCGTCATCCTGCGCGGCGGAAGCAAGGGGCCCAATTACGACAAGGAGAGCGTGCAGGCCGCCAAGCAGACCCTGACGGACAAGAAGCAGAAGCAGGCCATTATGGTCGACTGCTCGCACGGCAACTCGCAGAAGAACCACAACAACCAGCCCAAGGTCGCCAAGGCCATCGCCGAGCAGCTGCGCGAGGGAGAAAAGTCGATCATTGGCGTCATGATCGAGTCCAACATCAACGAGGGCAACCAAAAGGTGCCCGCAGAGGGCCCGGCTGGCCTCAAACAAGGCGTCAGCATCACCGACGCCTGCATCAAGTGGGAGGACACTGTCACCGTGTTGGAGGATCTCGCGGCCGCCGTGCGCGCTCGCCGCTCGGTCAATGGTTCGTAAAAGGGAATGTAGCGGGTTTTATGAGGCGTTCAAAAGAACATTCGAGACACAATGTGATCGTGTAGACAATAAGATCTGTTCTTTTCTTTTTCTTCAATATCGAGATGCTCCATGTCATGCCAAATGAAAGCAAAGATGGAACGTCACCTGCCCGACACGGGTGCGTAGTTGACGTCTTGCCTCGCAAACGACCGCTCTTCTCGCCACGTCCTGGCTTTCCGGAAGAGCGCCCAGCCGAGCAGCCCAACGACACCGATGATGAAGCCCCAGACAATGATCTTGTCCTTGTTGCTATCGCGCTGGAAGCACATGGTCATGACGTCGTCCTCGGTGGCATCCTCGCAGATGTCGATGCCCTGCCCGAGGCAGAAGCTCTTGGTGCACTCGGAGCAGGACGTCGATGCGGTGCGCGGTTCGATCTGGAAATCCCCGAGGTCGATGGATCGGCGGGGCAAGGCGTCTGAGCCTTCGGAGGCGTGCTCGGGTCCCAAGGGGATGATGGTGCTGTTCTTGAAGCATGTGCACTTGCAGAATGTCGGTGCCCCTGGATACGTGTCAGTTTGAACGTCGCTAGCAAATGTGCTATGGCAGCCTACCCGCCGTGACCAGCGCGACGAGTGCCGCAAGGAGCAGGCACAGAGATAAGATGCGCGACATATCGTGCAGAGGTTGCTGAGATCAATGCCGAACGTAGCAGCGGCTGGCCGCGGGAGTTTGGAGGTGGTCATGACCGGACCTGTGGCTGAGGCGCGCCTTCTAAGCTGCATCAGCCACAGGTACCCCACCACACGAGTACAGCCACGCATGATTGGCCAACGACCCAAGTCAGAAAAGTTACGATCGCGACCTCGAACAGACCGACGGTCCTGGCAGTTCTCGAGGCAAACACCTTGTCCCATCACCACGAAAATGCCCCGAATACCTGCGGCACGGGCGCTCGCGCCTCTACGGAGAGCATTGACTTGCTCAAATTCCATTCCTTTCCTCGCGACGCGCGCCATCTCGACGACCCCTTTCCCCCGGGCTCTCTACAAGACACGCGATGGGACCAAAGTAGCCCCTACCATCCCGGAGAGCCAAGCCGTGGAGACCGAGTACAGCCCCTCTGAAGAAGAGATTGATGCTCTTCGCGTGCAAGAGGAGGAGTCTCACGGACCAGGGCTCGCCGTCCCCAGCCAGCTGGTCGAGACCCCTGCGGAGCGGGAAGCGAAGGCTCTGCACCCCGAGTACGAGCCCGCCCGATCTCTGCAGGAGCTCGGCGCCTTGCCCGGCGTGGAAAACTGGTGGGAGAAGGAGGAGCACTGGGGGCCGGAGAGCCAGTTCAAGGGCTTCGCCCGTACCGGCACGCAGGTCCAGCAGGAGGAGCCCGTCATTGAAGTGTACCTGAGGCGGGCGCTTGTCGAGGTTCTGGCGCTGAAGCAGGCTGGAAAATGGGACGAGTGGGCGACAAAGGCCTGGCCGAGGCGAGGCGATGACCAGTTCCGCGCGACGCTGGAGATGGACATTACCGAGTCAGGCGAGCTGAAGCAGGACGCTTCGCACATTGTCGCGGAGCTCACGACTGGGGAGTCGGATTCGCCGTCAGAAGGTATCACGGAGAGCGAAGGGCAGGAGATTTTGGCAGAGAGGCAATGGGACTCGTCATGGGCCCAGATTCCCCTCGACGCAGCGACCAAATTCGCAGTGAGTCTATTTGCAAAACACGATACACGCAACATCCATAACTGACGCAAAGCTCACAGCTTCGTAAACGAGTATACCAGTTCAGCGGCTACCTGATCCCCGACTCCCGCCTCGGCGCCGCGCACAACGTCGGCCACCTCCTGGCCCTCGGCTGCAAGAAACCCAAGCCTGCCCACCTGGCCTCGATCCTCGAACAGGAGGGCGCCTACGACGCGCTGTCCAACGTCAAGGCGCACGCGCAGAAGATCAGCTTTGTGGAGAAGGAGAAGAGCATCGGTCGCTGGAAGGTGATTGAGGAGGAGCTCAAGGCGCGCGGGCTGCCTGTGCTCGGGGCGAGCGACGCCGCGCCGAAACACAAGGAGCAGAGATGGATCATTAGCACATTCCGTAACGTGAAGAGATAAAAGGGGGGGCGGAAGGTGTACGCATATGTGTAATATGTATTATTGTAACTACTATATTTTCAAATCGCATGACGAGGATTCACGCCAGGCGTCGCAGCCACGAAGCTACTGATCCAACCACAGCTGTCCGTAGCCCGTCCCGTTGCCGGGCTCAACATCAGCGATCTGAGGCGCGGCAAAGGGGAACCCACTGTATTCCCAGTTGCCCTCCAGCTCGGGGTACGGCGTCTCGCGAAAGGTCTTCTGGATCTTCCTGGCGCTCTCTAGGAAGCGACTCTTGACATCCTCGTGGTTGGGGTCGGTCAGCTTGCCGTCCTTCTTAACCAGCTGACCTTCGACAATGACGTGGAAAACATCGCCGGGGTTGGCGTGCAGCATGACGGCAGCGACAGGGTCGACCCAGCCCAGCATCGACCACGAGTCCTTCGCGTTCCACACGACGACGTCCGCCTTGGCGCCAGCCTGAATGACACCGATGTCCTCCCTGTGCAAGGCCTGCCCTCCAGACCTCGTCGCCAGAAGGAAGGACTGCTCGACACTCATGGGGTTGGTGCTCGGAATCTCCCACTTCTTCATGACGTCGTCGAAGAAGTCGTACCTGGCGGTCTGCAGCCACAGACGAGCCTGGGTCAGGATGTCGGCCGCAAAGGTAAAGTGCGTGTCCACACCGAGCGCGGCCTGGTCCTGGATGAAGCGGCTGTGAGGATGGGTGTGGCCGTAGTGCATTTCCGACTCGGGCGTGATGGACAGGTACTGGCCCGTCTGGCGCAGCAGCTGGGCGTCGTTGGCGGTGATGAAGCTGCCGTGGGAGAAGACGACGGGGATGGACGTGTTGAGGATGTCGAACCGGTGCAGGTCGGAGGGGAGGTTGGTGATGCCCCAGGGTCCGGCCAGGGAGTGCGTCGTCACGACGGAGACATTGTACTCGTTGGCCAGATGGGCGATCTGGTGCGTCTCTGGCCCGGGCGTGGGACCCCACGAGTCGTACGAGATGCCGAGCTCGACTGGTGAGCCGGCGTACAGATCCGACTCGGCGATCTCGCGAAAGTTGGGGAACTGCATCTCAATGGTGTAGTTGAGGCTCGTGATATTGTGAAAGGTGTAGGCCCAGAACACACGGGCGCGGCTGTCAATGGACGCGTTGAGCCCTGCATACGCCGTGTCGTTGGACCACGTGTGGTGCGCATGGTCGAGGACGGTCGTCACGCCGGCGTCGAGGGACTCGTACATGCCGACGAGCTGGCCCAGGTAGACATCCTCGGCGTCGAAGCTGCTCGCGGCCGCAAACTCGCCATACCGACCAAAGTACTCGGCGAGAGTGGTGTTGGAGGCAATGGTCTTGAAGGCCGTCTGCCAGCCGTGACGGTGCGTGTCGACGAAGCCAGGCGTGATGATCTGGTCGGAGACATCAATGGTGGTGGTGTCATTGGGCAGGTTGCGTGGCCAGGGGGACGAGTTGACCGAGGCGATGCGATCGTCGGTGATGAGCAGGGAGCCGTTGCGGACCACGTCCAGGCCATTCGTCTCGTTGTTGAAGGCGATGATGGTGCCGCCAGACAACAGGGTCGAAGCAGCACTGGCCGTGCCCACGAACGCAGGCAGTATGGAGCGCATGTTGGGCTGATGGATGATTACTGGTAGGGAACTATCATCGAGTGAGCGCACGCATTTGGCGTCGGCATGGCATCATGCTTCATGTTCTTATATTGTCTCCAATGATCCACCTGCTGTAGCTTGACCGACACGCTTTTGCGCACAAGATCGAGCGATACCTAGTTTGTAAGCTGTCTGTCATGATCAACGACCCGCCTACCGGCACTGGTGGGTGGAGTTGCTGCTCAGGTCCAGCCGTGAAGAAACTGGGGACGCCCCATGATGAACTCTGAAGAAGCCAATGGCCATACTTCTTCCGTGAACAACGTCAGAGGCTTCGAACAGGGGGGGGAGGGAGTTTTCTCCGATGCAGTCCACGATCAGCCAGTAAAAGCCGCGCGGGAGGAAAACATTGCGCAGAGTCGATGATGATGCCCTCGCCGAAATGGGACGTTGCTGCGCTCGTGGGCTGGGCATGAGTTTCCAATGACGTCGCCTGCAGGCCTAGACGGACCAGATCTCGCGATCACAAACAGGGTCTGACTCGAGCAGCTTCAAGTGCTCTTGGCCTTGCTGACGATGCGGCCTGGGATCCAGCCTCGGTGCTGAGTGTAGGAGCGTTCGTTCGCACAAGTCCATGTCGCTACGCACCGGAGTAGCTGGGCGCTTCGAAACAATCTCATCAGTGAGCGATTGTCTGCTCCGCTTGTCAATCTCAGTCTCTCCCCGACCCGCTCTGTTGCCCCGTATCCCTGGACACGCTCCCTTGTTCGTGTGCTTTTGTCTCGCTTCGAGTGGACGCGAGACGAAGGTCTCTGCCGACGACATGTTGAGAAGCCTAGGACAACATGTCCAATGCCTGCCAATAGAGCTCCCGCCGCTGCTAGCCATGTTGTTCGTCAAGATAAGCTCAACCTCGCCCCTCCTTGAATCCATGTCTTGCATGAGTAGCGTCGGCACACCGAGGGTGCCAGAATCATGTCAGCAGGCTGTCTGTCACAAACAGCTAACCAGAGCTTACACCATCATGATATGATGAGCAGAGGGTATTGCAATGAGAGCAGACCCAATCCGTCTTTAGAGGTCATGAGTGATCACTTGAGTGCTCTTGCAGAAGCCGGCACTTGATACAGGGTCGCATCCACTCGAGCCTCAAAGAAACAAGACCAGCTTGCAGTAAATACAAGTGCCCCCTTTTTCTGTCACGCCCATTTAACCTTCTTTGCTCACCTGCCTATTCCATCGGCAACACCCTGAATAATTCTAGGATCTTTTTCTTCCAACCCCGCGAGCTCCCAACCGCGTGGGCCAGATATAGCAAGTAACATTGCGTGCGGAATGGGGCGTCAAGAAGGTACTTAAGCCTGCTGGCCGCCGTTGTAATGGCTCCTGAGCGTTTGTTCTACGTTCATCTCGTGACAGGACTTCCTCACCATGAAACTGACATCTACCGCCGTACTGGGCTTGGCCACTGCCGCCTCAGCCAAGGTGTGCAAGCCCAAGATCGACTCTGCCTCCCTCCAGGCCGACATCAAGACCGAAAAGTGCGTCTGCCACGTTGGCCAAGTCTTATAGATACAAATACTAACAAAGTTAGCCTCTGGAAGCATCTTGAGAACCTCAACGAGATCGCCTTCGAGGTGGGCAACGGCAACCGCGCCTTTGGTCTCCCCGGCTACGAGGCCTCGGTCGACTACATCTGGTCCCAGATCAGCAACGTCAACGGCACCAAGGCCTGGAAGCAGGACTTTCCCGCGTGGTTTGGTCAGGTCACCTCCGTCTCCCTCAGGATCGACGAGGAGGATTACTACGTCTATGGCCTCACGTACTCCCCCTCCACCCCGGAGGAGGGCGTCGAGGCTGAGCTCGTGCTGGCGCCCGAGGGCGCGGACGGCTGCGACCCTGCCAACTATCCCGACGTCGAGGGCAAGATTGTCCTGACGCAGAGATTCCGCTGCCCGACCGGTGGCACGCTGGCTGGCCGTGTCGCGCCAGCTGCGCAGCTGGGCGCCAAGGGCGTCATCATCTACCACGACCTGACCACCACGCCCACAGCTGGATCACTTGGCGAGGTCAACCTGGACAAGTACGTGGCCGCCGGCTTCATCCACAAGGCGGATGGCGAGGCGCTCAAGGCGCGCATCGAGGGAGGCGAGACGGTCACAGCCCACTGGCAGCAGACCCAGATCGTGGAGGAGCGCATCACCCAGAACGTCTTTGTCGAGACGGAGCAGGGCGATCCCAGCAACGTCATCATGGCAAGTTGAATCCCCCCTGAATCGACGTAGAGTGCGCGCTGACACGAAACAGCTCGGTGCCCATCTCGACAGCGTCCAGGCCGGCCCCGGCATCAACGACGACGGCTCCGGCACCTCCCTCATCCTCGAGATCTTCAAGGCCACCCAGAACTACCGCTTCAAGAACAAGCTCCGCTTCGCGTGGTGGGGGGCCGAGGAGAACGGCCTTCTTGGGTCCGAGTACTACTGCAGCACCCTCGAGACGGACGAGGTCAATAACCTCCTCGCCTACCTCAACTACGACATGGTCTCGCGGGGCTACTACGGCGTCAGCGACAATGACGGTCGCGCCCATGGCAGCGTGGCGCCCAGGGGCTCCGAGGTGATCCAGGACATCTACCTGGACTGGTTTGCCTGCCAGGGGCTAGAGACCACCCCGGCCATCCTGACCAACGGCTCGGACTATGCCTCCTTCTGGGGCATCCTGAACAAGCCGTTTGGCTTCCTGAACACGGGCACGGGCGTCGCCCAGGATGATTGCTACCACCAGGTGAGCTGGCTGCACGAGCTCGTAACCCCAAAGACTGTACTGACGTGACTGTGCTTGCCAGGCATGCGACACCATTGACAACCCGGACGAGAACGTCATCACCAACAACGCAAAGGCCGCCGCGAACATGGTCGCCATCCTCTCCATGGAGGGCCACGAGCTCATCCCCAAGGACTCCATCAACGCCACCATGCACATCTTCGGTCTCGAGCGCCGCGCCCTGGACATTGAGGAGCTCCTCGCCAAGGGCGAACACTCCCTCGGCTGTGGCCACGAACTGTAGACGGCGGGGAGGTGTGATGAGGCTTACCCTAGCAAAGAAGTGCATGCCAGGCAAGGTGTGAACACAAAAGTAGTAATGATCAGTATTCATGAAACAAGGCTACCCGTCCCTGAACGCCGTATGACCTGTATCCCATACCCCAGCCAGAAAGGCCGCCCGTCTACGCCAGAGAGTCGCCGTTGATCAGGCGCGCAATGAGTACATAGGTGAACAAGAGGGCGCCGGCAATGAGGTACTTGTGCCGCGACATCCACCCGCGGCCCGCGTCCCTCTGCTGCACCACTGCATCCACGACATTGTGCCCGCTCGAGCCCCCGAGACCGAGGGAGGTTTTGGCGCACGAGTTCTTGTCCGCGCCCGCGCGCCGCCCCGTGGCCGTGTCCACGTCGTTGCTGGCCATCCACTCCCAATTCGCCTTGTCGACCTCGGGCCACTCCTCGCGGAACCGCTTGCCGCCGTCGCCGGCCTTGGAGGACGACGTCTTCTCGAGGTGGGAGCCCCCGGCTGTCGAGTTCCACCAGCGGGACCGGTCCGCGAGGAGCTTGCGCTCCGCGTTGGATGCGTAGACGCCGCCCGTCGTCGCCTCGTTGCCGGCCATGAAGGACTGGAGACCGATGAGGATGGTCGAGACCTCCCAGGTCGGGTTGAAGCCCTTGGGATGAAAATCGGAGATGGACATGCAGATGCGCTTGGAGGGCTCGAAGCGGCCGGACGGGGTCTTCATGACGACGGTCGGCCCGCTAAAGGGGTAGTTGTCCGGGAAGGTGAGGACACCCCAGTACTGGCCATCGGCGTAGGGCGTGTCCTTGGGGCCGCCGATGATGTAGTGCCACCTGCAGAATGGTCAGCGCCATTGAGGAGGGGGGAGGTGGTGGAAGTGCCTACTCCAAGATGTTCTTGTCGCTGGGATGCGCTGTGATCGAGGGGGGCAGCTTGTCGGCAATCGTTTGGTATTCGCGGGTCAACTGGGTACGCAGTCAGTTATTTGAAGTCATTACCGTTGCTCTTCAGAGTCGTACCCGCTTCTGCGCAACCTTGAGGCTCATGGCTGCGGCCCGATGGTGGGTGGCTGCGTAGGGAGTGTGGTGGCCGATCCGCACGATGACGGTGGTCGCGTGAGTTCGAGGCGCGGTATGGAAGATGGAGAGTGCAAAGAACAGTGTCGAGTCCAGAGGAAGGGCGTGCGACAATGAGTACCAGAGACAATATGTTGCAAAGCAAAGATTACGCAGCAGAAAGCAAAGATAATGTAACAAAGAGGTGGGCGGTGCTGGGTGGGTGGATGGATGGTTGAACAGGAAGAACGTCAGAGCCAAGGGACCTTTGGGACCGATTGACTGTCTGGCATGGGCTGGACTTGGAGTGTCACTTGGGGGTCTGTGGCTGGGCGGGTTCACTGTGGCTGGAGCAGGGGTCAAGCCACACGCTACCAGGTAGGCAATCACGGGACATTCAGCATTCACTGACATCAAAGCTTCGTCGCGTCGCCTCGCGGTAGCTGAAGACGATAATTCCAGCAACCATGAGCGCACCTCTCACAGGGGTATGTTTCTCCACTCGCAGCCACTCTCAAGACACCTCCAGCTAACGACAAATAGGGCTTTGACCCCTTTGACAAGCTCAATGCCGACACTTCGTCTCTGCGGCACGAGGCTGAGGCGCAACCCGAGTTCAAGAACGTCCAGGATGCGGCAAAGGAGCAGCGGATAGCGCAGCTGGTACGTGAAGCCATGGGTGCGCGCGCCGCAGCAACGTAAACTAAAACTCATGGCCAGATGGCGGACCAGTCCCTCCAGCCCATGACCGTCAACGAAATCCGGATACACGGCGCCTCCAACACACGTCGCGGCTTTCTCGATCCCCTGTTTGGCCCATTGACGGCGGGCAAGGACAGCGCACCCGCCACGATCGGCGAGGTGATGGGCAGCTTGCAGGTTGCGAACAACAAGATTAGCAACCTCCAGATCTTCCAGCCGAACCCCGAGATCTTCCTCACGTCCTCCCAGCAGACCGATCCCTCGACGAGCCCGACGGATGTCGACGTCGACGTCAAGGTCCGAGAGCTGCCTCGCTTCAAGCTCCAGACAGGGACAGATGTAGGGAATGGCGAGGGCTCTGCCTATGGTTCGCTCCTATGGCGCAACATTGCCGGCGGCGCAGAGATGCTCTCGCTGAACGCCAAGACGGGGACACGCACGCGGTCGGCCTACAGCGCGAACCTCAGCGCACCGGTAATGAGTGACCCCGATCGGAGAGTCGCCGTCGAGGCGCTCTCGTCGGCTGCCGAGAAGCCATGGGCCTCGCACGAGGAGGTGGTCAAGGGAGGCAGCATCAAGTACCAGTGGCTCAACGCTGTTCGGGACTCCTTCTCCGTGGAATACGCTGGCGCGTGGAGGCAGGTCACTGGACTGGGCGCCGGCGCCAGTCCCACGGTTCGCGGCGACGCTGGCGACACAGTCAAGAGCGCGGTGCGATCTACATTCTACAGGGAGCGCCGAGACAACCCCCAGCTGCCGCAGAATGGCTACGTGGTTCGCTCTGCGTGGGAGCTGGCTGGTGTCGGCCCTCTAGGCGGCGATGTGGCCTTCTCCAAGAGTGACGTCGAGGTGGGAGGCGCCGTGCCCATACCACTTCCCGGTGTCGAGGGCAGGTCAGGGGCATCGATCGGGGGCGGTCTGCGGATGGGCATGTTGTACCCCCTGCCTCTGGGATTGGGCAACGGGAGCACGTCTCAGCCGAGCCGCATCAACGACCGATTCCAGCTCGGCGGACCAACTGATGTGCGTGGATTCAAGCTTGGTGGCCTAGGGCCGCACGACGGGCACGACTCGGTGGGAGGGGACGTCTTTGCTGCGGCCAGCATCAATGCTCTGTTGCCATTCCCCTACAAGGGCCCTGACTCTGGTCTACGATTTCAGCTGTTCGCCAACGGCGGCCGTCTCGTCAGCCTGCAGCCAAGGGAGGGAGGCCGCAAGACAGGCGACGCGGGCATGAGCGCGGGCGCCGTGGGCAGAGGCATGTTGGATGCCGTGGCAGATCTCTTCAGCGGTGTTCCCAGCACAGCAGCCGGAGTTGGGCTCGTGTACGCGCACCCGGTCGCGAGGTTCGAGTTGAACTTTAGTCTGCCTCTGGTCCTGCGGCGGGGGGAGTTGGGGACAAAGGGGTTGCAGGTTGGTGTAGGGATCAACTTTCTGTAGTAATTAGACTATGTACACCTTGTAAAGTAACATGTAACTTGGCTTGTCTACGGACGCCGCCTAGATCGCTGGCCACGTTGTATGTAGCTGTACGTCGTTTGCGTTCTTGCATAGTGTTTCGTGATGGCCACGCCACATTTGAAGCTGGCTCGCGATGGACAGGATTTCCCATGTTTTCATGTTCAACCACAAGGAAGACCCAAGCAGCCGCGCCACGGCATTAGCTAGTAATGGTGATAAGGTCCGGATCCCCATGTTGCAGATTGTACACCGGTGTAGGGTAAGCTCAGAATGCTGACGGCTTGTGCCTCCTCATATGTGCACGCATGAGCGTCATGCCGCCATGGCACACGTCAGCTATGAACTGTGAGTTGGGATGGATGAATAATAGACCGAAGCCTGCCACAGCCGGCTGAAACAATGCAGCGCAGCACGGTGCCTGGTTCATTGCAACGCAACGCAGCGCGTGGCGGGGCGCCGGGTTGCACTGCGAGCCCGGTGAGATCTTGCCGACCGGAGATTCCCCCACTGGCTGTGATAGCGGCGGACTTTTACACATGGCGGGCGGATCAAGCTTAATTAATTCCATGTGCTGGACTCCAGACTCCAGTCACCTTCAAACAAGTATGCGCAGCGAAGCCTGTTTTATCACGTGGATCAATCTGAGCTGGCGCCCAAGTGTGTACAAGTATTTTGCTCATCGTAGCACGCACCTGCGCTGACGGGAGATTATCTTGCTCATCTTGCTCACTACGTATTATTATATGTAGTTAATGGAAGCTGGACGGATTATGATTCCTTTTAGGCAGGGTGGTGGAGCATGGGGCTGGCGGAGTATCGGACTGCTCCAAGACCCCGTCGACCCGAATGCGATGCGCCGATGCACACAGTCTTCGGCGCGTTTCGTCAATGGCTTTACACAGGGTATGGGCGCAACGGCTTGAAAATGGAGAATCCTCTTGGAGACGATTATCCGCAATGTCGCACAGGTGCCGTGGAGATATGGGATAATCGACGGAAACTTCACAGGGACTAATTATTAGAGTCTAGGGCCAGGGACTGGACCTCCTGAGAAAGAAAGCCGGGGCCAAAGCCCGAGGACTAAAAGTACCTACTACAGTGGCCTCGCTGACCTCCCATTGGACAGGCTGCGTGCAGCTGGAGATCCGAGGGCGGCCGACGTGCCCTAGAAGTATTTAACTTCATCAGTAACCTCCTCACAGAACCAGAGCGTCGCCGTCGTGAGTGAGTGAGTGAGACTCGTAAGCGTGCGTGCGAGACATGAGCACATTGATGGCGACAACAGGACACGGGAGCGGAATTGTCTTGGAAAGACAACACGTCGTAGCTCCAGGTGTCCACTGCTCACGTAGGGCACTCGCTCACTCGCATGCAGATGCTGCGAGATCCAACGTTGTAATCGATCATGGCCACGCACTCTGGGAGGCTCCATCGTCCCGCCGGTTCGTGAATGTATCCGATTCCGAATCATGGTGACGGTAAGTCCAGACTGTGATGACATTGCGCGAGCTACATATATAATGATCAGTACGTGAGCAAGGCATCGATCAATGAACTCAGTCACTGCCGCATCCGTACTAGGCGGCGCTGCAGGCCTTCGGGGCTCGGCGCCTGGGGCTCGGAGAATGACCCGCCACTGCGATGCGCTAACCGGAAGCGGAACTATAGACATCAAATTCGAGATGGTGGGCGTATAAGTAGCGTCTCAGCAACTCATCGATGGACTTGTTGTCAAGGAGAGCAGGCAGGGAAATAGATAATATACCAACTCCGCATGTCCGTGCGTGCTTTTGCTCAAGGAGTCAAGGACGATCAGGCTCCCGCAATTACACGTATCGTACCAGAATCCGCAGTGGCGGACAGAGCTGGGTGCTGGCGGTGCTTCGGGGCGATGGTAGACTGCGAGGGGCCCGCCAGCGGTCCATATTAATTATTTTGGTCGCCCTGGTCCGAACCCCCAATTTCTGTCTGTCGTGCCTGCTGCTTTTATCAGTTATCTCGGCCCCCCTTCCTGGATCTGATCTGATCTGACCTCTGTCCTCCTCAAGCAGTGCCCGTTGTTTACTCTGGCCTCTTGACTTGATCTTCTTACTCTCCTTCCTGCCCTCTTTACCTACCCTTCTAATTACTCCTTACTACTCTACGCCTGCCACCACAGGCCAAGGAGACGCGTCTGCCAAAGCGCGACGACCAACTGCTTCGCAAAACGAACCTCGCCACTCTAGTCTACAGGCCTCATCTGCTCGCTCATAGGGACCACACGCGGCAGCATGACCACCCCCTTTGGCGCTGGCGGCAACGTCAATGCCGCCAAGGCCTCAGAGGGAGCCCCTCTCACCTCGGCAACCCATGGCCAGCACGATGGCCACGATGAGCCCCAGTCCTTCTCTGCCACCTCAAAGGTCCCGGGCAGCACGGACATTGACGACGCAGAGAATGGTCCCAGGGACGCCTCCCCGTCCGACACCCTCAAGGGGGACAGCTACGACGACGGCGAGGAGGACGATGGCGCCGAGATGAGGCGGCGGAGTTCCGTCGTTCAGGCCCTTGCACGCAGCTACTCGAGGACGTCTGGCGTCGCCGGCGGCAACCCCTTCTTCGCTGGCGAGGACTCGCCCCTCAACCCGGCCTCGCCCAACTTCAACGCAAAGCACTGGGCCAAGTCCATTGTCGAGCTCGTCCACCAGGATGGCGCCAACTTCCGCTCCACCGGCGTCTGCTTCCAGCACCTCAACGTCCACGGCTTCGGCGAGGCCACCGACTACCAGGCCGACGTCGCCAACGTGTGGTTGGGTCTCGGCAGCCTGGCCCGCAAGCTCACCGGCGGCGGCAAGCAGCGCATCGACATTCTGCGCAACTTTGACGGCCTTGTCCGCAGCGGCGAGATGCTGGTGGTTCTTGGACCCCCTGGATCCGGCTGCTCCACCATGCTCAAGACCATTGCCGGTGAAATGAACGGTATCTACCTGGACGAAGGCTCCTACTTCAACTATCAGGGTAAGTCAACTTAGTCTAGATCGCAACTTTGGCGAACCCTCCCTGTCTCACCTCGAGCGGCTGCGTGGAACACCACGGAGTGACCCGAGACACGAACTCGCTCAGAGCCTTATTGATCTTGCAGTGACTGACCTCAGTAGGCATGGACGCAAAAGAGATGCACACCCACCACCGCGGTGAGGCCATCTACACCGCCGAGGTCGACGTCCACTTCCCCCAGCTCTCCGTTGGCGACACCCTGACCTTCGCCGCCCGCGCTCGCCAGCCCCGTCAGCTGCCCCAGGGCCTCGACAGGAACGCCTTTGCCGACCATCTCCGCGACGTCGTCATGGCCATGTTTGGCATCTCCCACACCATCAACACAAAGGTCGGCAACGAGTTTGTCCGTGGCGTGTCCGGTGGTGAGCGTAAGCGTGTCACCATCTCCGAGGCCGCCCTGTCCGGCGCGCCCCTCCAGTGCTGGGACAACTCGACCCGTGGTCTCGACTCGGCCAACGCTATTGAGTTCTGCAAGACCCTCCGTCTGCAGACCGAGCTCTTCCACAGCACCGCCGTTGTCTCCATCTACCAGTCGCCCCAGTCGGCCTACGATCTCTTCGACAAGGCTGTCGTGCTCTACGAGGGCCGCCAGATCTTCTTTGGCCGCGCCGACGCCGCCAAGGCCTACTTTATCAACCTGGGCTTCGACTGCCCGGCTCGTCAGACCACGCCCGATTTCCTGACTTCCATGACCGCGCCCCACGAGCGCGTGGTCCGCCCTGGCTTCGAGGGCAAGGCCCCGCGCACCCCCGACGAGTTCGCCGCCGCCTGGAAGAGCAGCCCCGAGTATGCCGCTCTGCAGGCCGAGATTGAGGAGTACAAGGTCGCCCACCCCATCGGCGGCCCCGACGCCGAGGCCTTCCGCGCCTCCAAGAACGCCCAGCAGGCCAAGGGCCAGCGCGTCAAGTCCCCCTACACGCTCTCGTTCATCCAGCAGACGCAGCTTTGCCTGTGGCGCGGATGGAAGCGCCTCACCGGTGACCCGACCCTCAGTCTGGGCGCCCTGATCGGCAACACCATCACCGCCCTGATTATTGGCAGTGTCTTCTTCAACCTGCAGGACGTGTCGAGCAGTTTCTTCCAGCGCGGCGCCCTGCTCTTCTTTGCCTGTCTGATGAATGCCTTTGCCTCCGCTCTCGAGGTGAGCCTATTCCGGAGCCCCTGTGTGATTGGATTTGCTGACAGAAGTAGATTCTGACCCTATACGCCCAACGACCCATTGTCGAGAAGCACGCCCGTTACGCCCTGTACCACCCGTCCGCCGAGGCCGTCGCCTCCATGCTCTGCGATTTGCCCTACAAGATCACCAACACCATCGTCTTCAACCTGGTCCTATACTTCATGACCGGTCTGCGACGCGAGCCCGGCCCGTTCTTCTTCTTCCTCCTCATCTCGCTGTTCACGGTCCTGTCCATGTCCATGATCTTCCGCACCATTGCCTCGTCTTCGCGCACGCTCTTCCAGGCCCTCGTGCCGGCCGCCCTGATCATCCTCGATCTCGTCATCTTCACCGGCTTCGTCATCCCCAAGTCTTACATGCTCGACTGGTGCAGCTGGCTCTACTATCTGGACCCCCTGGCGTACGCCTTCGAGTCCCTCATGGTCAACGAATTCCACAACCGCCAGTTCCCCTGCGACGAGGTCGTCCCCAGCATGGGGCCCTACGCGGACCGGCCCTTTGCCAACAAGGTCTGCAGCTCGGTCGGCGCCGTGCCCGGCCAGGACTACGTCGACGGAGACGCCTATGCTGCCTCGCAGTTTGACTACCACTGGGAGAACCGCTGGCGCAACCTGGGCATCATGATCGCCTTTATGATGTTCTTCCTGGTCACGTACATGATTGGTGCCGAGCTCGTCTCAGAAAAGAAGTCCAAGGGTGAGGTTCTCGTCTACCGTCGCGGCCACAAGCCCGCCGCCGCTGCCCTGGCTGAGAAGAAGCACTCGGACCCCGAGGCCGCCATGGCCAACATTGGCCCCGTCGTCACCGCCGAGCGCAGCCGCGGCCAGAACAAGGAGGGCGCCATGCTCCAGCAGCAGACCTCCGTCTTCCAGTGGCACGATGTCTGCTACGACGTCAAGATCAAGA